TAGATTATATAAATTTCTTTATTATCATGAAATTTTCCGTAGAGAAAGGTTTACTTGATGTTTTTTTATTTATAGATATAACTAAGAACTACTATAAAAATAAAGAATATTCTTATTATTACTATTTTAGCTGTTAGGATAAATATAAGATTATAATTAATATTATAAATCTATAGAAAACTATATATTATATAATAAATTTTAAAGTAGTAAATCTTATTATTTATATTAAGTTTAATTTTATATATTTAATATCTAGAGATTATCTTATATCTATAAAACAGATTAATAAGTTTCTAGATATTTTTTATTATTAGTATAGAAAATTTTTTTATTATTATTATATATTACTATAAGGCTTTTAGTAACTCTATAATTTATTTATATATAGCTAATTTAATAATATAATTATAATTATTATTTTTTTTAATATTACTAGTTATAAGAGTCTGCTTTAAGAAATACAGAATATAGAACTTCTTTTACTTTAAAAGATTTTTTATAAAAGAAGTAATTAGATTATTATATTTTATTCTGTAATTATTAATATAAATAAAAAGTATAAATAGACTATTTTTATTAATTAAATAGTATTTTAAAGTTACTAGATTATATTAATATTTTAATATTTAAATAATTTTCTTATTACTGGAATTATTATCTAAGATATACTTATTTAGATTATAAATTAATAAAATAACTAGAGTAGAAATATAATACTAGTTATAATTATTATCTAGTAATTTATATAGTTTTAGATTAGTTTTTTTATTAAAATATATATCTCTAATAATAAGAATTTTATTATTTTTAATATCTAGAATTTTATATTACTTTATAAAGTTTATATAATTAAGAAAATATACTAATAAATTATATAACTATATTTTTAGAATTCTATTTTTATTTCTGATTTTTTTAGGAATTATTATAATACTGTAGTAGTTAAAAATATAAAGATTTAATAAATTTAAATATTTTTTATTATATAATTTCTATATAATAATTATTTTATTATAAATTAGTAATAAGTTTTTAAGAAATATTATTTTTTTTATAATTTTGTTCTAGAGATCCTGATTAAGATTTTAATTATAAAGAACTATATAAATATAAGTTAAAATAATAAGATTAATATATTTTATTAATATATTCTGATTATATATATATAGAATTATAAACTTTTATTTAATATCTTTATAGTATATTTAAGTAAAAATTTTTTTTTTTTAGAATTTAGGTGTATTATCAGAGTATAAAATCTTAATTTTATAAGATATATAGTTTATTTTTTTAATAAACAGTTTTAATTTTAATATAGTATTTTTTTTTTACTTTAAAAAATAAATATTAATCTAGCTGTTATATATATTAATAAAAAATATTTAATAATATATATTAGATTTTTTATTTATAAGTATATTAATATACTCTTTTCTGATATTAAAGAATATATATTATTTATATTATTCTAGAGGAGTTATTTAAATATATCTCTAGTATATTATAGTATTAATAAAATAATATATTTAATATAAGTATTTTAGTATAGTAAAACCTTTAATATCTATTTTATTTATTATTTTTAAAAAGTATATATAATTTATAATAAAGAGGTAGACTAGATAATAGTATTAGATAATTAAATTAATATAATTTTTATTTATATTTACAGTATATTTCTTGTAGAGATTTTTATATATATAAAAATAGTAAATAACTATTTAAATAATTATTTCTACTAATAGAATTATAGTATTAGGTTTAATAATATTTTCTATAACTTTAGTTTTATTTATAAAGATAAATAAATTTATAATTTTATTACTAGTAATCTTCTTTATATATAAATTATAGTTAAGGTATAGAATATACTAATTTCTAATAATATTATTTTAGCTAATAATCTCTTTATTAAAGATTTTATAAATAATTATTTTAATAGAAAAAAGTAATATTACTAAACTATATTTAATAAAATATATTATACTAAGTAAATTAATCTTGATATTAGGTATATATAATATATTTATAAATATAATAGTATAGAATCTTCTAGTTTTATAAATTAGCTTTAACTTTATATCTCTTATATTTTCTAAGTAAATTATTTTATTTATAATAGTTCTAATTTCTTATTTATATAGTTTAATAATATTAGATATAAAGTTATTTATACTTCTAATAAGATACTTAATAGAACTAGAATTAATAATTTATTTTTTTTTATATTTAAGATATATAATTATAGTATTATATTTAATAAAACTGATTCTCTGTTAAGATATAAGATTAATAAAATTATTAATTATATTATTTTCTATTATTATAAATATTAAGATTATAATTTCTAGCTTATTTTTTACAGTATTTATTTTAATATTTTTTAGTATTATTTTTAATATTTTTAGTTTAGAATATAACTTCTAGTAGTTAAATAATTTATAATTTATTTTATTATAATAATTATAGATCTAGTTCTTATAGATTTCTTAGAGAATTTTTTTTTTAGAGTTATTTTTCTTAAATAAGATATTTTTACTCTTTTTATTTTTATTATTAATATTATTCTATTTTTTTTCTTTTAGTACTTTAGTAAAATTTATATTTATAAAATTAAACTAGAAATATATCTTCTTTTATATAAGGACTTAGGTAATATTATTTTATATAGTTTTTTTCTTATTAAAATAAAAGTTAATATAGAAAATAAGAAATATATTCTAGTATTTTTTTAGATTACAGAGTAAAAACTGTATATATATTAATTTAGAAAATTTTTTATTTATTTTTAGATTATATAAAAACTTATTTAAAGCTTATAATATTTTTATAATATATTTATTTATATTCTTATAATTATTGTAGTAAAAAAATATAGTAATTTAGAGTTTTTTAAAGAATTATATAGAGAAAATAATATTATAATATTTCTTTAACTTATTTTATATTTTTTTAGTACTGGTAAGATTAATTATTTTATAATAAATTTCTAGTATTAAAACTATGTAGATTACTTTATAAATTTTTTTATTATTTTTTTTTTATACGCTGAACTGTTTTTTAAATTATTTATATATTTTATTAAATATAGTTATATTAATATTACTTGAGAACTTTTAGTATAAACTATTATATATTTAATATACTAAAGTAGGAGGAGTTAATTTAACTAGTTTTTTAATAATTTTAGAGATAATTTTTCAGAAGTTTTAGAAATAAAAATATATCTATAATATTTTACTCTATATCTAGTAGTTATCCGCGCCTGATAAGACTAGTAATTTAATAATATTAATAGTTTATTGTTCTATAGTACCTCTATACTTACTTTATTTTTTTAATCTCGCGTGTTATTAGCTGATTAAGATGGTTAATATACTTGATACTTAGAAAGAGACTGTTTTCGATAATAAATAAGGATTCTGATTAGTAGATATATTAAATAGTATATAATATATTTTCTATACTGAAAAGGAAGAAAAAGAGAGAGAAAAGATTAAAAGAAGATTTTAAACCTGAACTAGGTTTATAACCTATTGAAGTAAGTAGTTATACGGGAAAAAGGTATAAAGTCTTTAATAATTATTAATTTAGTTAAGTAAGGAACTATTTATGTGATTTCACGGTGTTTACGTTCTATCAGGTCACGTGACCCAGCGGTCACGCCCCTAGATGTCAACATACTACAGTACTAGATAAAATCAGAGATCTTGAAACTTCCGTAGAGTTTTCATAGAGTAATTTGAGTACTAATATATCTTTCATACTAATTGTAAATATTCTAGGTAAAGTGTAATCCACACCTTCAAGACATAAGAGTAGTTTCAAGCCTTTATCAAGCGACATCTCGCGGTTAGTTTGATGAATTGACTTGAACTTTGATTTGTTTGTGGTAAATAGCTTCCACTTCGATGCAGTGCTCAACTGCGTCTTGGTGGCCCTGACAAGCTTCAAAGTCCATCGCAATAAGATATTGACACTGCGCAAAACAGTGGTAAGAAGGTTCAATGAGATCTATGATGAACAGTGGCATGTTATAAGCGTATACTCTGGGTTAGTAGAACTGGCAAGGATAAGATATGGAATCTATCGCATCACAATAACACTAGTACCCAGTTACCAGTCCCGACGACTGAGCTGCTGATTGATACTCCGGCAAACATCATTTCTTCAGCGGAGTTACTTACGCCGCTAGAATTTGGGTCCATTGAAGGTCGGTGTACAAGAGAATCCGATCGGGTGCACAAAGAACCTGCATTTAGCTCTTTTGCTACAAGATCTGGAGGCCTTGGTGAAACATCGAGCCTGATTCTCATCTGTTATCAAAGCCTGCTGAGTCTACGGGAAATCCCTCATTTAAGCATTATTTAAATCTGACCCCCCAGGTAAAAAAGAATGAGAGATGTGGTTGAGAAAGAGGTGTCTTCCGGTCCTGGGAAGACTTCGCATTACCGCCTACGAGCTAAGGAATTTCCTAAATTTAAGTAAAAGTCAAGTTCAACCTCAGCATATCTTGAGTTATCGTCTCATACTACAAGAGGTATTGTCAGCGTCGACTTAAATTCGGCCTATGGTTTGATCTTTGGTTATACTATAATGGAAGTACTTGCCGAGCTAAACCCTTTTCAGAGTTCGGTTCGGTTTTGGCTATGTGCAGCATTAGCATGGATCCTAGCATTAACTATTCAGCAAGACGTGATAAACTATAGCACGGTTACGGCAGTCAACCGAGGACTTTTTACCTTCTTAGGCTAGCTACTCCAGCACTTCTTACCTCGGCTATTGGTTCGTCTTTCAAAGTCCCACCCACTATTAGTTGACGAGCCGTCTTAGCGCCTAATATTCAATGACTCAATTCCTTTCAACCGGATTGATTGGCCTTAAGGACATTACACCCATGGTGGAAGTCTAGCCTAGAGGCATGAATACTCATATATAAGTCGGGTGCCCCGAACGCCCTGCCTTGAATATTGACCAAATTGTTTCCTTATAAAAGCTCCTACTCCCAATCTATACCAAAATGTATGCCACCGCTGGTACTCAGCTATACCAAATTCGGTCGGCATACATTTGTCCTACTTGTCAGCAAACTCCTCTTCTACCTCGATTCCATGGAGACCTAATGGTTGCCTGTGCCAGATGTCGAAACGTATTCAATCTATTATACCTTCCACAACCAGCAGCAACACCTTTGTATCCACAGGTATCTGGCATGCCCCAGCAAGGGATTATAGCAATGAATCAGGCTATTGTCGAAGAAAAATGATTGCACAACATCTACCAATAACTTCACAACAGCAAGAGACGTTCCAAGCTGAAATGCGTCAAGTAGCTGGCCTTCTGCACCAACAACAACAAGCTACACTGGCACGAGTGGAGTGCGTTGAGCGGTTGCAAGCAGAACCTCATGCAAATGTATCTGGTCACGTTTCGGCAATGAACTACAATCCCTTCCCCGGGACTGTGGGTCATCGGGAAGAACACCAAAGTATCAAGCAGGAAGCAGACCAGAATGAAGCTGATCAGCCACAAGAGAGAAGGCGGATATTACTTAACACGCGATCTGCCGGTGCCCATTCGGCTGAGATCAGGGAAGCAAGGGTGGAAAACCAGATAGCGCCAAACACTCAGCAGCCATCACGGTGAAGGTACCAGGAAGCGCCCTTGTGTGGACCCATGAAGAAGAAGAATTCCAACGCAAGCAATTCGAGCAGTTAATATGGTCTCTGCCATATATTGAAATCTATTTATGGCCTTTGAGAACCCAAGCCTCATGGCAGGATTGCGAATCTTGAACGAAAGACGGTAGAGCTTGTCAATGGTGGCCGACGTACTGGCCAGTAAAAGCTCGGGTATATCTTTATCGTCGGAAGAACCGAGTTCTTCTTCTGAGTCATTGCTCGAAACCTCATGACGCTCCGTGGGAGCATCTCTTGAGTGTGTAAGTTTTGCAAGATTCCCGAGAGTGTGGATCTCTGATACTATGGTGATGTTAGCCTATAAAATTGAAAAAGTGGACATACCCGTGGAGAGTTGAAGCCGCACATTGAGTGAGATGCCTTCGCAAGTTGCGTAGAAGATTGATGGTATATTCGAAAATGAATGGGGCGTCTCGGAATCGGTAATGAATAGAGCCATGGCCCAGCTGATAAAGCCCCAGGTTGTTTGCCCATAATTCAAAGCGCTGTGCTTGATTAACAGCGCCCGAGCATTGCAGGCATGTGAACATCGTCCTTATTTTCTGGGCCACGCTGGCTGGAGTCTCAATATCTAGGCTTTCTGACATATTGCAAGGCGTCCTGAAAGTGAGTGAGATAGATGAGGAAGATACAAGTACCGGTGGAAGGGAGTTGGGACAGAGGACATCCAAGTGCATGGCTGCCTGATTACACCTTAGATTAAGCTAAGCTCCTGTCGGCAGGCATGCATGCATGCATGCACTCCCCCGCTTTCACCAGTTCAACGACAAGAGCTGTCTGACTGACTGATACTCTCCCGGTTCACTTTCACTCTCATCTTTATATGTTGTTATCCCAAGTTTTTCAATCGTCATGTCAGGCGTCGAGGTCGTTGGGGTCGTGCTGGGTGCTATCCCACTCGTAATCTCCGCTTTGGATTACTACAAGGTCACCAAGCAGAGTTTTCGCTCGATCAGAAATAAGGACATTCTGTTAGATCAGTTAATTGAATCCTTGAAGGAGCAAAGATTCTTCTTCCAAACGGACATCTGCTTGGCGCTGAAGAAGACTAATCTGGAGGTGAAACAAATCATGGCCATGATCAATGATAGCGGGCTGAGCAGGTTCGACAATCCCGAAATAGCGGAAGCGCTTCAGGAATACCTAGGGGAGGGTGCGACCCTCTACATCAATGCTATCACTAGATGTGAGGCCATTCTCGGGGACATCGTGGCCAACACTAGCGGTCTGATCTCCTCCTCCCAGGTACCTCGACCTCCAACTAGTCCTACGTATGCACAAGTTGACCTTCTTTTTGAAGTGGAGCCAAGGGACCCTCTCCAAGCTCATCCAAGACCAACCAAGGAAAAATGGTAAATTCGAGTCTACCAAGAGACTGAAGTTCGGCGTCCGAATTGAAGAGCTGAAGCAGCAAATTCGCAGTCTGGAAGAGTCTACGAGATCGCTAAGCCGGCTGAGAGACGTTAGTGCCAAAAGGCAACAAATCACCAGCAAAGCCATGTCCAAAACTGTCACCAGGTTCACAACAGCTCTCAGTACAGTCCAAAGCTATGCCCAGGCTCTGTACTCCTATATCTTGTGGTTCTCTGTCTGGTTGCCATTCCGACCACGAGGCAAGGCTCTTTTTGCAAACAAGATCTTCAGCAATGGACACAAAGAAGCCTAAGAAGCCACCCATCAGGTTCACTATGTCATTTTGTCCGCTCCGCAGGACGCGCATCCCTTGACTTCGCCAGAGAAACGAGAAATAGAAGTCTTGGAGGATGAATTAGATACTTTTAACGAAAGGTGAGTGCAAAGTCCCTTGTATTGAATGGAGTTTGAAAGGAGAGACCAGCCTTATCTCGAACCAAAAGCTGGTCCGAGTTGATATCCCTCACTTGAAAGCAAATGATCCCAACGCGTCCACAATAACCAATCGAAGATCTATGCCAGTTTGTTCAGCGAGCCCACGAAAATGGGATGTCTGTTCAGCTCTACTTGTCGCGGAGTGGCAAATTCAGCTACTTGAACCCCCCATTCGGACCAGACTTATCAGACAGAAAAGCCAACGACGAGGCATTCAACGGCACCATCACCCTGAAGGAGGTATTTTCCCTGATGCAGAAACAAGGCTCAGCGGTGTCCAAGCTAGAGGTATACGAGAAAATGGCCCTTGCATTCAACATAACCTCCTCGATCCTGCAACTCCACTCGACCCCGTGGTTACAGGCCCCGCTGACTAGCTCCTCAATACGGTTCGTGTCCGACTCATCGATGTTCTTCCACCTTGCTCAACCATTTATTGTGAGCACATTCCCCGATCAGGGGCTTATCACATCTCCATGTACCGCAAAAGCCTCGATGCTGGAACTGGGAATAATCCTGCTTGAGATCTGGCACGTCAAAAGCTTGGAGCAATATGCCTTGGAGATAGGTCGGAAGATGGATAACACCTATGGGGCTCGTTACGAGATAGCCAAGGTATGGCTTGACTCGAGCGATGATATTATGCTCCCGTTCTTCCTGGAGTTGGTGACCCGGTGCGTCGAATGCACATTTGCTACAACATCAGCAGCTCTGAAATGGGTTGATCCTATGTTCAGGAAGTCGGTCTGTGAATACGTTCTGCGGCCCTTGTGGGAGAATTGCCCACGTAGCCTTCGATAGCTGTATACCGCTGAGGAGGTTTTAATCAAGTCCACGCATCTAACCCAAGACTTATCCGAACAAATCCCTGAAGGAGTAATACGATAACAAGAGCAGCAGAGCTACAGCATAGACACCCAGACAAAGAGAATCAACAGCCCTAATCCCTACCACCACCCATCAGCCTCCCCATCCAACCGCGCCTCTCCTTCCTCAGCAGCGTCTGCTCCGCCTGGCTCTGTCCAAGATTCATCTTGACCAGATACGCCTGCATAAACGCCATCTCGCGCGCCTCCAGCTCCCGCCTACTCATCATCCCGCGCCAACCATCCAGCCCGGTATCGGGGGCGACGAGGGCGACGGCTAACAAAACTCTCATATCAGAATCATTTTCGCCTCAATATTGCCTTACTCGTTAAAGTAGAAAGACTCACCTTGGGAAGACTTTTGGGGTCCGAGCCCTTGCCGGGCCAGCCATGCATCTGCCCCGCTGGTGGGCGTGTATGGCCTCACAAAGAAGGTTGGTGGCCGGCTTCCGATTTCACATACATCAGTTTCAAATTACCATCCTGTCATCTTCGCTTCACCCTTATCTCGATATACTCACTAGTGGCGGAACCACAGAACGGTGGTCACAATGAGCCAGGCCCGAAACCCAACAACACAGGCAAGGACAGAGGCCCCAATCTTGGCGGAGGGGGCGAGCAGCCGAGCGCCCCGACCGTGGCGGAGATGGCTGCGCCTGGGTGGGGGGGGGGTAGCGGCGGCGGTGAGGAATGAAGCGAGAGCATTAGATGCCAGTTTGGTGATGTTCGTGTGGTGCTGGAGGGAGACAGATTCAGAGATGATGTTTGCCTCACAGTGGATTTTGGGAACTCTCACTACAATCTTTATAGTGAGTCTTATCTGAGTTTCCGGGAAGGAGCAGAGTGAACGTTTTTTACCTCTAAAGGAAAGAGCGAGGAAGTAGATAGTGAACGGAAAGCACGTGAACTGAGTAAGAGGTGGAAAGAACAGCCAGATGGAATAGATCATGGTAATGGAGGGGACTGGGTCAGTCCAGACGTAAAGTCTGCGAGAATGATAAGAGAGTCTATGAATATAGCCCGCGGCTTGTGGGTTGACGATCTCTGATGCTTTCTTCGAGGGTAAGATCTGCTGCTCAAAGAAATGAAGGACAGAAGGAAAAGGGAACAAAGAATTTAAATATATAGGAAGAGATAGAAACTCGAATACTGTTTCCCAAACGCCAACAAACGGAGCAGTCTATCGTTCAATCATCCTTATTCTGACAACTTCCCAGACGAAAACCCTGCGCGCCGACAGACTCCTGCTGTATCGAGCCGGGATGCCAATAACCCCAGATAACCATGACGCTCACCATCGGCACGGCATCAAACACGAAAAGCGGCCATTCGTTCACCAAAAGGTACCCCTTCTGGCCCATCGCATACTCAAGGACCCGGAAGATCGAGCGGACCATTATCAGCCAGCTGACCGCGTACAGCGGATACAGGTGATGAGTGTACGGCACTTCACTCGTCGGCGCGCGCTTCATCCTCTTCTCGAAAACCATGCAAGTGACGATGAAAAACCCGAACACGAAGATCTGGATCACTAGTCCGCAGATCACGATCCCCTTCGCTATATTCTCCAATCCGTCCGTAGCCATTAACCCCGAGCCTTGGCCCTGGACCAGAAACGAGACAATGTCACCAGTGACGAAAGTCTTCGTTAGCCAGGTGATGCGGACTAAGGAGTACTTTTCAGCGCCCACACTGCGAATCAGGCGCGCGAGGACCATGTATACGCTTGCGGCAAGGAGCACGGGGCCGAGGAGGATAAAGACGCTTTGGAGGATGTAAAGGATGAGGTTGGCGGTTGCGTTGGTGCAGGCGGCGCGGAAGGCATAGCCGATTACTTCAACTGCGCGAGTTAGATATATGGTCAGTCAAGAGAGGGGCAGAAACGGGCCATGGAAAGACGTACAGACACCACCAATGATAAAGGGGATGCAGAACAGCGCGTGCGTTTTCCAGGCCATCCAGACATGGAAGAGTGTTGGGGCGAAGAAGAGAGTGAGGAAAATAATCGAGGCGGCCATGGAAGGGACATATTCCCAGAGGTAGTAGTAGCCACTGACGGGTTCGAGTTTCGCCATGGCGGCGGTGGTGCGGATGGCCTTTGCTGAAAAGCCCAGAAGTTGGCATACATTGCAGAGTGAGAATTTGTTTCTTCTATATAGTCCAGTTCAGCCCCTCCAGCTTCTGTAGACGTTATAGATGATGATGACGGGTCTTCCGCAAGAGGCAATGATAGAACGGGTGGCCCGTGCATACGCGGAGTTTCCTCGCTCTCATTGGCCTGCCAACAATTCCAATGTCTTGGACCCTGCGCCCCATCGCCATCATAATCGAAACAGGTCAGCCTGCTTACCTACCTATTTTTACATGCGGAACACTTTTGAACTGTTGAACTGTTAAAGACAAATGGTTGATTGCTTAATCTCCAATCTACCTGTCTGTCTCCACGTAGACTGCCAGCAAGACATATACTCGAGATGGCACGAAGAGCCCATAAGAAATCTCGAAACGGGTGTCTTGAGTGTAAGCGACGCCATGTCAAGGTATGCACCTCGGCCCACTGCAGGCTCCAATTGTCCCCTTCAGGTGATTGATCCCTTCCCCAGTGCGATGAGAGGCAGCCCACTTGCTCGAATTGCACTACCGCTGGGCTGGTATGCGATTACGGGAGTCGCTTGCTGAGTGCCACCCGCCGGTCACCCTTACCGGTAGCTAGAGCTCATCCAGCGCCGACCACTCCTGTTCCCGGTGGTATCCCCGGTGGTATCCCCGGTGGTATCCCCGGTGGTATCCCGCTGGAGAGCCCTGCAAATTATCAGCCCGTCAACATGCTCCATATCGAACTGTTCCATAACTTGTACACGCAAATACGCACCACTTTGGACCCAAATAGGTCTATAGCCTGGCTAGCGGATGAGGTAGACTACCTGATTACAACACCATATCTTGTGAACGAGTTGCTCGCATTCAGTGCACTGCACTTGAGTACAACACGGCCGAAGCGACGGGAATACTACCGCTACCACGCAGCCCAACTGCAAACCCAGGCATTATCTATCTTCAAAGAATCCTCTCCTCAGGTGGCACAAGAAACCTGTGTCCCTCTCTTTGTCTTTGCCGTCAGCTTGGGCATACACACCCTCTGTGACACGCTCATCTACCGTGAAGGTGACTTTGCTCACTTCCTCGACCGCTTCGTCCACTTCTTCCGCCTTTACTATGGCGTCCGCACCATAGTCCACGAGTCCTGGCACATGATCAAGGACACGCCTCTCGCGCCATCCTTCAGCATGGGCACGGACCTATACAAATTCGACGGTCGGCTCGGGCCCGGAAGCCAGTCCCTGCTTAACCTGGTCGACCGCGCCAAGCTCGGTACCGAACTCACAGAGATCTACAGGCAGGCGATTGAGTCGCTGCAGTCATGCCTAAATGTGATAGACGGCCGAAAGGGGTCGCATGTCGGGATCAATGCTGTGACGACGTGGCCGATCTTACTCAAGACAGAGTTCGGGGAGCTGATCGAGCAGAGACGGCCGGAGGCTCTGGTCATCCTTGCACATTATGCGTGCATGTTGCATCAGTGTAAGGATTGCTGGCTTTTTGGGGATTCGGGGGCGTTTGTTATTCAAGAGGTTACGGGATATTTGGGACCGGACTGGGAAGAGTGGATGGCGTGGCCGAATCAAATTCTGGGATCGTAATTCTCTGTAATCTATAGATATATGACTATGAAGACTGAACTGGAGAGAGATACCTGCCTTGTGCACCTTGATGTAACCGAGCGAATATTCCGGAAAATGCGGATCATATTGGTTGCAGTGTGAGAAGCTCCGTGAATTCCATAAGATATAGTACAACTGATCACCAAGTTGTGCAGACCCGTCCGGCCCAGGATGTAGTTATTGTCATCGTTAGGAACAATGTCCGGGATGCATTGGCTCCGGAGGTCAAAGCACACACCCAACCCACGGCCTAGGCATCATAATCTACCTTCTTTCGAGGTTTCATGACTCATGAAGGTTTTAAAGATTCAAGAACTAGTATAATTGCGAGCCATGTCCCGAACAGAGTGGAGAGGAAGAGGGGATAAATGTCCGCTAGAAAAAAGCCCAAGGAACTCAGACACAAAACCAGACTAGACATAGTGAGGGGAATCTGACGTGAGATTCATACTGTCTGGTAACTACACATGTACCATCATGAACCAAGGGCAATCCTTTCCCTTTTGGATGTAGCATCCCTCAATCAACCCAGTCTTAGTGGTTGACAGAGTCTCTTGTTTGGTTGTTCTATACCCTCGCAGTTAGATCTGTCGTTGTATGCACGCCAGTTGCCCGATTGTCACCTAAGTCTCATGGCATGAACAGTTCGGCCTTACTTCACATGCGAGCCAAACCCACATAAAATTGGGCAGTGTCATATGACGGACCATCGAACAAGATATGAGATTCAAAGAGTTGTGTTGGCTATGTACTGTACATCGACGATTCCGTGGCCTGACCCCAGGGCAATGTGACAGAACCCCACGATCGGTATATTACGGCAGTCTGTGACGGCCTTAGGTTTCCCATTGTTTAGTTTCATGTGTGCATGAGCTGCATCAGGAGTTCATCCAATGAAGAGCCGGTAAGAGGCACTAGAAACGCACCGCCCCCCTCGCGCGACGTGGTGAGATTTGCCGACGTCGATGCCTTCGAACTTCTCGTCGCCTTTACCCACAAGTGCTCGCTCAGTTGATAATGTTGTACGAGGAGTAGCTACCAGCCAAAATCCCCCATCGGAAATCGCTGTGCCGAAGTTGCCAAGTTTTCTTAGCCATTGTTTGCCCCTGGTCATCCGCATGGCTCTCCAACTCTCGCGGACAGGAAACCAACGCCAAGGAACCGAGGACCCCACGGAGTCCCTAACGAAGGCCTTGGCCAGTTTCAAGGAAGCTCTGACGGCGGAGCAGAGAAAGCAGTTCGAAGACAGCACGACAGTCCCCGATGCGGGGAGTGTATTGTTCTTCGTCGCGCAGCTCGATGCTGAGAACGCGAGCAAGACAAGGCGAAGCATCGCCCCACGACTATGTACTTTCCTGACTGCAACCCAGCAATTTGCGGGCGCTGTTGAAACATTCGTCAGCTCTCACCCGGAGACGGCGGCTCTCATCTGGGGGGGAATCAAAACCGCCATAACCGTCGCCAGCAACGTCGCCTCTTACTTCGACAAGGTCACCGACATGATCAAGGAAATCGGTCTCAAATGCCCGACTATTGAAGAGTTTGGCCAACTCTACCATGGACATGTCGGTCTTCAACGTTCGTTGTGCGAATATTATGCCGTTATCGTAGAGCTATGCAGCAAAGTTATTAAGGTGTCTCGCCGAACATGGCACAATCAAGTCTTCTCCTCAATCTTGAGTCCCTTCGAATCCGAATTCGGCCCATACTCGCAGCGTCTGGCTTTGTCCAGGGAGCAGGTAATGTCGCAGGTCTCTCTTGCCTCACAACAGGCTGCCCAGGAGGCCAAGCTGTTGTTGGAATATGAGAGCAAGGAAAACTCCTCGTACAGATCATCGGCCTTGAACTTTTTCAAGATATCAGTCCATCGACAAGAAGAGGCGAGGCAATGGCAAATTAACAAGACAAAGCGAGAAAAGGCGTCCATGAAAATCAAGATTCGACAAAACCTGTCCCCCATTGACCACATCCCACCTTGGAAACGGATCCTAAAGCAGCGAGTCCAGTCGACGGCCGAGTGGTTGGTACGCGAAGACGCATTCCTTGAATGGAATTCTAGTCCTGACACATCAATCCCTTGGTGCTCTGGAACGATGGGTACCGGAAAGACTGTTTTGATGTCTAATGTGGTCTCCTTTCTACATTCATCACGACGTGCGAATGACTCTGTTGCGCATTTCTTCTGCCAAGCGGATAATGAGCCATCTCTCTCGGCGAGGAATATCCTCGGCAGCATTTGTCGCCAGCTCCTCGATTCGTTGATTGAGAGAAGCAGTCACGAAGATCTGCTTTCCATAGAGAACGAGAGTGAGCGTCTGGACTCCAATGAAATCGTTGAATTCCTCCTCTCTAGATTGATCATGGGACGGACGTACTATATCATCGTCGATGGCCTAGACGATTGTGAGACGGTTCAAATTCGTCAAATGGCTCGCGCTTTGGAAATGATATTCCAGGGCAAGGTTGGGACAATGAAGATCATTTGTGCTGGTCGGCCGGACCTGGAAGGGGAATTGTTCAAGTGGGTCAGACCACAGTATCGCATTGTGGTTGACCAAGAGAAGCTCACCCTCGATCTGGATCGATTCATCGTTGCGACCCTGCGTGACTGCATGGATGAGGAGCTATTGGTTTTTCGAGATCAAAAAATCATCACAACGATAGCGGATGTTCTACGGGACGGCTCCAAAGGAATGTAAGTTTCAGAAGAATCAGATACCAAGGCTCTGGGCCGACAAAATTCACTGTGATGAAGACAAAAGAAAGGTCTGACTGGATCTCCCTTAGGTTTCTCTGGGCCGGTCTCTGTATTAGAGATCTGTGCGAAAAGAACTGCGATGAAGACATACTCGACGCCTTGAATCATCTTCCACGTGGTTTGGCCGAGCTTTTTGATTCCAAAATTCGTCAAGTTCAGCAGGGGAACGACTCTCACCAAGCAATGGACTTGCTTCAATACTGCGGCATCGTGAAGCGGCCATTGACCCTTGAAGAGTACCGAGAAGCTTTCAGCGTCTCCGTCGGCGATAAGTCGCTTAACACAAAACGATTACCCAATAACATGAATCGAATTGTCCGCGGATGCTTTGGTTTGACATTTGTTGATGACGAAGAATATACCATTCATTATATTCATCATAGCGTGAAGGAATATCTTTTCCAAAGGAAGGACAAGGAACCGGCAAGGTTCAATGCCAAAAGCATCACTGAGCACTTTGGCTTTCTGTGCATGATATATCTGAATTTCGCCAACTTCAGTCGCCAATTAGTGAAGGTCGAGAAAGAACTCGTTGACCCTCTCTTGCTGGGCACGTCTTCGATTCATCCTGACAGTTCCTATGTGAAAAAATTGTTCTGGGAGCTCCAGTCGTCCCGGAAAGGCCGTGCGCTGCGGCTGTTGCGTTGTTGCGATGTTGCGAAGTCCTCCGGAATCGTGTCGTCGTTTCTTTGAATTTCATCACACATCAAAGTCTGCGAGATTAGGAGGACTGCTCTAGAGTCACTTGAAGGCCCTAAGCACCATGGGTCCCGCTCAACAGATGCGATGCAGATTGGCGCATTTCTCGCTTATGTCAAGGATCATTGGTTGCTTCATTTGAATGACTTAGGGACAGATGATCAGAGGATGTGGGCGCTCTTTTGCAAGTGCATTGAAGATAGGTCCCTACCTTTTAGCCGGCCTTGGGACCTGGTAGACCAAATTAGCCTAAGTGGTGACGGTGGACATCCAAAAGCTGAGGAATTTGTCGAGGAGCTCTCTGTCTGCCTTGGACGTGGTGAACAGGAGCTGGCGTGGTCGCTGAAACACAAGCATTATGCCTTATTCCTCTACTTGACGAGGGTGGGAAACCGCACGACATTCCCAAAGGAAGTCCATACGCTCCCAGCATTCAATGACGGAACCAGTAGTCGATGGGTTGAAATCCTCATTGATGTTCCCGCTTTCAAAAGAGCCTGGGGTGTGGCTTTGTTCCATGTGGCCTTGGATGAGGGACTTCCTGAGACGGAGAAGCTGCAGGTTTGTCTTGCAGTGCTCCGCAGAATGGACCAAGTCGATGCGTCTGAAGCACGATTCGCTCTTGGAATGTCTTTGCGAAGGGCGCTTTTTGTCATGGAAGTACTAAATCTTCTTTTGTCGCTCGACAAAGCATTCTACCCATACTCTAGAGCCGCTAACGATATCCTGGATGATTCCAAAGCCGACGCCTATTGGAGGAATATCAGCAATTGGGAAAGAGAGCCTTTACTGATTGCATCCATCATGCACGCAAGAAAGTTTGTGCCAACAGATAATGATGCCCACCTTGCTCAGGTAGCAATCGACTGGCTCCTTGTCAAAGTCTTGATCAAGGATGGGGTTGATGGCAATGCTCAAGGACGATTTTTCTATAAAGGAGCCCTTCATTGGGCGAGTAAATGCAACCAAACGAATATTGTCCATTTACTGATTGAACATGCCAGTGACCCGAATATCCTCGATTACTTTGGCCAAACAGCATTGCATTATGCTGCGGAGCAAGGATATGAAGACACCGCTGCTTGCCTGTTGGAGGTTACAGATACTTCTATTATCGATATAAGGGGCAGAACCGCCCTGCGGTGCGCGAGAGATAATGGCCACGCCTCCACAGTGAAGATGCTGCTGCCATTTGCACGCCCTAGCGACGACTGTCTCGACGACACGGGAAAGACCTTGGAAGATTGGAAGCAATTGTTACATGATGCGGCTGATGACTCTTGAGGAGTATCTGTGGACCATGAACTTCACATGCATTCATGAGGCTTTCCCAATCTCGAGGCCACCCTTCATGTCCTAGCAATATCTTAGTTTATGGGTTACGACAAAGCTTGATGCTTTCTCAGACATGCATATACTAACTAACCCTTATCCGAATGGCTTCAAAAAGTCGAGATACTCCAGCTTCTGCTTATCTAATCCATTTCAACGACTTTTTTTATACTACCCTAGATAAACTCCACGTGAATGCCTTTGATTCATACTAAGAACCTAAAGAGCTAGGGAGTATTCTATGTGCAGCGTATACTCGTCCCGTCACGTGGTGGATAAGGCGAGTTCCACAGTCTTTGATTTGCAGTTTGCTCAGATAGATGCGACATGACTCGGGACTTCAAAAAGATCAATATGACCTGAGTGGATTTATCACTCTGTGAGCCGGAGAACCAGTTAGTAAGAAGGAAAGAACAATTTATGAAACCTAGCCCCTACCTGAACTTCTATCCTATACGTCAGAAGAACCTAACTCGTAGGAATCTATATACCCTTTACACCGAGAACAAAAACAGCCACTGCAAATTGAAACAAGCCCTCCAGAAACATCCAGCCCAGTCATTTCATCTACACTTAAAGGTCATTTGATTCGGTCTAACTATTCGCCCTGCAAGTCAAGAGAAAACCCTACATCTTTCTCAACCCCCCAAAATGGTGATCCGCCCCTTCGTTCTATGCTTTCTGTCCCCCTCCCCGAATCAAATCCGCCGCTCGCTCCGCCACCGCATATACCGTCGCCATGGGGTTCGCCATCGACAGCACCGGAAACACACTCGCGTCGACGACGCGCAGGTTCGCGGTCCCATACACCCGCAGCTCCGGGTCCACGACGCCGCCCTGGGCGCGGGGCGCCATGGCGGCCGTCCCGCATGAGTGGTGCGTGGCCACGGCGGACGCCCGCAGCACGTCTTCTATGAGGCTGTCGCCGAGGCTGGGTGACTCCCCGAGGAAGCTGCTTAGCGGGGTGCGGGTGGGGAGGGCGTGGAGGGTCTGGAAGTGGGCGGCCATGAGCGGGAGGTCGAGCGGATGGGAGAAAAAGTCGGGGTCAACGATGGGTTTGTCTTTCGGGTTGGCGGAGGCGAGGTGGACGGAGCCGCGGGAGAGCGGGTAGGAGGGAATCAGCCCGAGCAGAGCTACTGAGTCCGGGAGTGTGCTGAGGAAGAGGCAGGCAGTGGGTTCGGCGGGGTTGGTGAGGAGAGTCGCGAGTGATGGCGACGGGGGAGGAGGGTGGCGGGCGAGGAGGTCGGCTTCGGTGCCGGAGCGGACGAAGGCGAGGGCTTGGACGCCTGGGGTCGGGGTGACGGTTTCCCGCTGGATTGGGACGGGGAGGAGGGCCATCATGTGGTTCTGCAGGTTGGCGCCCACGGCTGGGTTGTCGACGCGGCAGGGGATGCCGTGCATCGCGAGCAACGGGGCGGCGCCGATCCCGGACAGCTCCAAGAGCTTAGGGGTCTGGAAGGCGCCCGCGGCGAGGATGACTTCTTTGGTGGCGGTGATTGGGGTAGGATTGTCGTGAATAAGAACCCCAGTGGCGGTGAGGGAGGCGGAGGAAGAGGTCGTCCTGTTTTCGAAGAGAATGCGCGCCACAGTGGTATTGGTGAGGATGCGCAGGTTAGGGCGCGAGGCGGCCGCGGTGGTGTACTGCGTGCTGGCGCTGCGGACGCCGTTGGCAGTGATAGTAGCGGCGTAGGGACGGACCCCTATGGTTGGGGTGGGGATCAGACTGTCACTGAGCTCGTAGCCCTGGTTTGCAAAAGTCTGGTTCCAGGCCTCAATGAGGGAGTGGTTCGCCGGTTCGGCCAGCGCGGGATATGTGACTTCGATGGGTCCCGGGCCAGAAGAAAGCTGTCCCGTAGGAGGAGCCTCTCGCCCTTCTTCCGCTGGGTTCGAGACGTGGAAGCTCCGGTACAAGTACGGGGCCAGCTTCTTCCATGACCAGCCAGTGTTGCCCAGCGCCTCCCAGGCATCGATGCCCGCTGGGGACGGCGGCACAAACGCCAGCCCATTGATAGAGGAGGTGCCGCCCAGCAGCCGCCCGGCAGCCTGCTCTTGCTCGCGGTGGTTCAATCCCACCTGCGGCACGGTCTTGAATTGCCAGTCCACATCGGAGCCAGGCAGGCTGGGCCATATATTCGGGTCCTGGATACGCTCCTCCGAGCTTAGGTCTGGCCCCGCCTCCAGCACAAGCACTTCGATGTTAGGGTCTTCGGACAGTCGGTGGGCCACCACCAGGCCGGCTGTGCCGCCGCCGATGATGATGTAGTCAGCACTGGTTTGAGTCATAATGGTGGTGGTGATGACTATGTTGGCAAGGTAGGTTGACGCAGCGAGATGTGAGAATGTGTGGGATTTGGGCCGCTTAAATAACACCCTGCAATGGGGGCGTAAAGTGTGATTGAGTCTCCTTCTGACGAGGAGGGCAAACGGAGGTGTTTTTAGCGCGGTAGATCCCGGCTTTGGGACTGAGAGACCATTGGATGGGTCTAAATCGCATCCATGGACTCTTCGGTGCCGTCAGCTTCTAGGGCACGCGGTTTAGTTTCCCCAATTGGCGCCATGGTCAGACCCCTGCAGCGGCACAGCCATACCCCCTCCTCTCCTGTCTCTAGCTTACGCCGTCCTTCCCATTTTCCACGGTTCATGTACGGTAATTCGTCTATTCCTTTCACTAGACTGACCCTCATCCCCTTGTCTTGTTCAGGTAGCATACAGTCTAATGCAGTCTACTAGAATAGGCCACAGCGTAAAGCGTACGACTCTCCCCCTCCCACCTCCCGATTTTATGTGCGACAAAGGCGTCCATCGGTCTGCTCTGTCCACACCTCACTGCCCACCGCTTTCAACGCATAGAATGTCTGGTTAGGGTCATACTTGTTCTTGATAGAATTGAGCTTGGCGTAATTGTCACGGTAAAAGGTCCACTGCCAATTAGGCTGGTTGAGGTCCGCCTCGTTCATGTACGCTCCACTGTCCGGAGTCAGGATCTCCAGCATGGGGATGAGGGTGTCGGTCATGAGTTTCTGGTTCTCAACGTCGTTGGTGTAGTTGTAGTAATCGAAGGCACTGTGTGAGTTAGTGAGTGGAACGGGAATTAGCGCTAGAGTGAAAGAAGGGGGAAAGAACTGACGTGCCCAGGACAATGTCGAGCTGTGCATCGCGCCACGCGGGAGAGACGGCGTTATCAGGAATGCCCGACCGGGAGACATTGAGGGAGATGCCCGAGACAACAGCCCCATAGCCCGTGATACTGCGGAAAGCATCGATCAGCGCACAGAGCTCGTTGTCCACCGTTGTCCGCGGGATCAGCCGCCCGCCTATTTGGTACTCAGTCACCGTCATGAACGGGCTCATCTGCGTGTAGCTGTCGTAGAAGCTGGCGTACGAGACAATGGTGTACGCTGGGAAGCAGAATTAGTTTAGAATGCAATACACATGCAAGATTAGGGGAACGGGGAACGTACTGTAGGTCATGTTGTTCCTCTCGAGCAGGTCGAGTGTGGGCTGCATCAGGGCCTGCAACTGCGCTTCGGTGCCGTTTGGTAGGGTAGATGGCATGACGGCGAACAAGGCGTCGGTGATTTCCCAGATTGCCACGCCGCCCAGATCTGTCAGCCGGGCCATACTCTGGATATAGGTCTCGGCTACTTGCCAGAAGACGTCCTGGGTCACGCCGGTGTTGGTGAAGGTCAGGTTGGCACTCACGGTCGGGTATTCCGTGTACAGTTTGCTGGTCATGGAGAGGGCCACCGCATAGGTACCGCCGCCTCCACCGCTCATCGCCCAGTAGAGGTCCGAGTTGTTCGTGGGGGTGGCGATCAGGTGTTCGCCGGTCGCAGTGATGACCTCCCATTCCAGCACCTGGTCCGCCGCCAGCCCGTGCATCGATACCAGCTGGCCGTGACCGCCACCCTGGGAGTAGCCGCCCGCGAAGCCCACGGACTGGCAGTTACCGCCCACCGCCGCGTATCCTTGCGCATGCGCCGCATCTAGGGCTTCCAGCACCTGCACACCGGCACCCACCTTGATGGCAGGTCCGGAGTAATCCTTCGACCGGTAGAAATGGATCACTTCGATATCCTTCAGATAATGAGTCCAGAGCCCCAGAGCTCCGGCGCCCGTGGACTTTCCCAGGTAATCGTGGCCAGTGTTGCGGATAACCATCCGGATGTTATGCGCTTGCGCAAAATTGATCGTCGCCTGGTAGTCCTGGGCGCTGCTGGCATTGACAGCATACTGGACTAGTGGAATGATGGTGCAATGGGTGTTGGGCAGGTAGGGGTCGCAGGAGAAGTTGGCGAACCACGGCGCCATCGGGGAGTAGCTCGTCTCATCGTGAGTGGCAGTCTGGTCCCACACTGCGAGCAGCTCCTCGCATGCCTTCGCGTTGTAGGGCAGGAAGGTGCTGTTGTGATGGCAGACGCTCGCCGCAGGAACCGTGGCGACGAGCTTTCCCCCAACCGTGGCATTGAAGCGATTCCACTCCTGCGTGGACGGCCAGCAGGTGTCGCCAGGGAAGCAGCGACACGACGAGTTGACCGACGCGGCCGCAAGGGGCAGTAATGAGGCGAGAAAAGAGGAGAGCTGACCGATCATCGTGAGAAATGCGGAGGCACTCGAAAGGTGAACCGTGAAGAGACGACTAGGCTTTCGATCCTGTCTTTATATGTTGCGCCCGACGGGCCTGAACTCTTTGGGTCAGTAGGCTGCTCCTCGGGATCGTTAGCTGAAGCTGGACTGCTTCCTGCAGGAGCTTCGGAGACGGACTCCCCAGAAGGAACACATGCTTGTTCGTTGCGCCTTCTATGCCCCGTGAGATTCATCTTGGTCAGCCCTGAACTGCACCTGAACGAGTTGACAATGGTGGACACAATTTCCTCGCTCTCTACTGTTGCTGTCGCCCATTGCCGTGCAGAGCACTGTCACTGCACTTGTTTATCGGGTTGTGAGAGGATTCATTCGATGGCAGCAGATTCCTTGTTAGAGTCCGAAGCCTCCTCTTTGGTGCTTCCGACGAGCCTCTAGCACGTCAGCCAGCCTTTTTCCCAGGACTAGTCGGATCCGGTAATCATCAGACCGAGGACTCGAAGGCTGAGCAGACCCCATTTGTATCGTTGCCATAGTGTCTCATGCGATTGGCCATGCAGGCAATTAAACCGGGAACACATTGCCGCAGGATATGTTATACATACCGTACCATACCGTACCATACAAGACTGCTACAGAACGCAATTTCACCTATGCGAGCCGAGCCTAGCGCGTGCAAAAGATCTCAAGCCAAGGCCGCACAGTGGTGGATCAATTATGGCCCATTTCTCTCTAGCAATCATGCGAGTGTCATTGAACTATTCCGGGTCCAGGCCTGTAATCTAGGTATGTACTGTACTTAGCGAGCTACATTATAGTTTAGTCCCAGCCAAGGTCAAACAAGAACAAGCCACCAGCACCATCACCGGGATATGCACATATTCGACCAAGCCCAAACGGCCCCGAAACCAGCCACATTCTACAAACATACACCGTGCGGATATAGATAACCAGGGCTGATACCTGGCAGCGTACGTCCGAGCAAAATAACTTATCTCCAGATAACCCACCACGAAGCCACCAATGGAAGGAGGTACAGCAGCACCAACCAGAAGCACCACAGTCGCCAGGCGACCGGGTCGGCGCGAAAGGTGCGCGGCTGTATTATCAGCAAGCCTACGGCGATGGCCACAGCGGTGGGGAGCAGGTACCCCCACCAAGGCAGGTGCCAGAACCACACACACGCTGGGCTCCACGCCAGAATCAACCCGGCCAGCATCCACCGCGCCGGAGACTGTCCGATCAGGATCGGGATGGTCAACCTCCCGCGGCTTAGGTCCCCCTCGACATCCTTCAAATCCTGGATTTGCATCGTCGTGAGGATCACCCCGCTGATCATCGTCACCCAGAGATAGCCGCGGCCCGAGATGTCGACTATATCTCCTCCTACCGCAACGCGAAGCGAGGCAGCATTGTACAGCCCGTATGCCACCGCGATGATGGGGTTGCGCACGATCTCATCTCCGCCCCGGAGGTCGTTGTAGAGCCAGGTCAGCACCAGAATCAGCGCCATCTCCTGCCAGATGTCCACGGTGTAGGTGTAGGCAAGGGCGAGCGGGATGGTCGCCATGAGTAGCCGGCGACTCTGCTCCTCGCTGATGCGGCCCATGGGGAGCGGGCGCCAAGGCTTGTTGATCTGATCCTCGCGCACCGCGTCGGACGTGCGCTGGTTGGCGACGTCGAAGATGAGCACGGCCACCCAGTTGAAGAGGATCACCAGGGGCAGCCGGAGGAGCAGGACCTGGGCGGTGGTGGGGAGGCAGCTCAAGGGATCACTCAGCGCTGGGCCTGCCAAAGCGCCGAAGATCCCGAATGCCGAGTTGGGGAGCACGAACGTGGGGAAGTCGCTCTCCGTGAAGAGCCAGATGATGCCTGGGAGATCGCGCCAAGGGAATCGAGCCGGTGGACACGTCACTTTCAGGCTGGCCTTTTCCATGGTTGCCTTTTTCTTACTTGGAGAAGACGGTTAAGAGAGAGATACTCTGATGGAACTGGGAACAGGAATGGGGACAGGCCGGCAATCGCTGGGGGTAGTGAAATACCGTGGGTTGAGACTGTTTTCGTATCTAAATCTACAGCCATTATATATCCCAAGAATGCGGTGCCAGGGCCTCAATTTTCCTCCATTTACATGTGACGAGATACCCACCCTACCACGCGTGTTCCTGTCTAGCTTGTCATCAATACCTGGCTGTAAGGGACGGCGTTCTCCGGAAACCCATCTGCAACACCATGCCGCAGACAACATCGGCCACGGTTGTGAAATTAATCCTTGCCTATCATGAGGGGGTGTGTGTTGGGCTTTGTCCATCGGTTGTTGATTTCGCGACCTTCGATGTAGACTTTGTTGAGCCTTGTCGGCGCTACCACTAGTAGAATACTTGTAGACGACTAGGTTGGCCGACAGTCAAGGGCTTCGCTCACTGCCCAGTGCGCCGCAATGGATGCATCAAATCACACTACTGCACCTGCAGGCTCGCATAGCGACGTTGCATTCCTTATGGCTGCATATTGAGCCTTGGCTAGGTCACCACCCTGGCCATCGCTGCCAACAACACATGCCGGAACGAAGAGGGCAGGACCTGTCAGACTGAGGCCAGCACAGGAGAACGAACTTGCTGGAGCATTCAAATAGAATTGAGGCTGAAAGCGAGGAGACAAAGGGTAGATGCACAGGCATATCTTTTCTGGCGCTGCCCTTGGTTCGTATTTATACCGAGTCCGATTTTTGGACTATGAATCAGACAATCTTCCAACGCACAATGGAGAATCTGGTAGCTTTGACTCTCGGGGCTCTTGCTGGAACTGGTATTCATCACAGTCTATTCATCAATGGCGAATGGCACATCCAAGCACCAGCGGTTCTGGTCAGTCATCTCGGCGCCTTCGGACTCATTATTTTGCTCTACAGTATAGTCGCATACTATGGCAGTCAGTATGCATACGAAGTCCCGTCTCTGTTTGCAGCGGGTTATTTGGTCGCGCTTTTCACTAGTATCACCATCTACCGGATTTTCTTTCACCGGCTGTCGCACTTCGACGGTCCCTTCTGGGCGCGAGTGTCGAAGCTCTGGCATGTGTGGAAGGTGCGCGACTCGAAGAACCATATCTTCCTGGCCGGGCTGCACGCTCAATACGGGGACTTTATCCGGACTGGTATGACTCGCTCCTCTCCTGCCCCGCCTAACTACTGAATGTGTCTGATAGCCTCTCTCCCAGGCCCCAGTGAGATCACGGTCGTCCACCCGGACGCTTTCATGGTCCTCGATGGGCCGCAAACCAAATGTGTCAAGGCCGAATGGTACGACCTGCTTCATCCAGGACGCGCCCTGGTGACCACCCGCGACAAGAAGATCCACGCCGCGCGCCGTCGGCAGTGGAATCGCGGCTTTTCATCTCGCGGTATGCATGTTCTCTCAAGCCAAGGCGCAGAAATCTAAACGGTACGCAGCCCTTGCCCAGTATGAGAAGAAAGTTCTCTTCTATCTCGGTCAAATGGACGAAATTATCGAGGGAAATGCCCGAACGGGGCAGGTCTGCGAGGTCACTGATCTGTTCTACTGGTTCGGGTTCGACGCGATGGGCGACTTTGTCTTCAACAAATCGTTCGACATGCTGCACAACCAGAAATGGCACCACATCGTGGTGATCCTGCAGAAAGCGCTGGACCTTCTGGGCCCGATGAGTCCGGTTCCCTGGCTCATTCAGATTGCGTTTCGATTACTGCCCAGCTTCTGGCTGGTCAAGTACTGGTTCACAATGGAGGCGTGGTGCGAGGAGCAGATGCGGGAGCGTATACAGGTAACTCCCAGCCATCTCTCTCTCTCTCTCTCTTTTCTCTCGTGAGCTCTGACGCTGACCATATAGATGAAACTCTCCGACGACCCGACCCGCGTCCCCGACGTGGCGCACTACCTAATCGAAGACCTCAAAGACCCCACCACTGCGACCGACGGCTGGACGTGGCTTGGGGGCGACAGCATCCTGGCCATCGTCGCCGGCAGTGAGCCCACGGCGGCGGTACTAATCGGCCTCTTCTTTGAACTGGCCCGCCACCCCCAGGACGCTGAGGCTATCAACGCCGAACTCCGCCAAAGCCGAGTCGATATCACCGACCCCGTTGCCCTCGCCAAATTCTGTCCCCATCTGGAAGCCTCCATCACTGAAGCCCTGCGACTCTTCCCCGCACTTCCAACGGCGGGCCTGCGCAAGACGTTGGATGAAGCGGTGGTGATCGCAGGGACGGTCATTCCCCCCCATACCACCGTCGTCGCCCCGCGGTTTTTGATCGCTCGGAGTAAGGGCTTCCTCCCCCCCTCTTTTCTCTCTGCCTTGCGTCGAAGGTGATGGAAAGTGCTAATATCTGCTAGGCGAGTATTGCTTCGAGCGCGCATCGGAGTTCATCCCTGATCGCTGGTACAGGAAGCCCCAAATGGTGAGGAATAAGGCTGGGTACAACCCGTTCGGCATCGGTAGGCTTCCTCCTCTTTTTCTCAATTTCTTCCTCATTACCCTTGTGCTATGTACACGCGTCAAACTCATCTCTGACCACTTTCCCCTGCAAAGGTCACAACAGCTGCCTCGGCAAAACGCTCGCAACGGATTATCTTCGCCTCGTCACCGCCCGGCTCGTGGGCAAGTACCATTTACGCTTCCCGGAGGGGGAGACAGGCGATGCGGTGTTGGCCCACTTGCGGGATCGCTTCGCCTCCAATCCGGGACGGTTGAGGTTGAGGCTGGATTTAAGGGAGGATGCAGTTTGCTAGTGACTAGAATTGGAAATGGAGGGGGTAAGGCCTAACATACTAGCGCCGGTGGCAATACTAGGGGCATTCTCTATGATTGCAGTCAGTATGGTGACGGGGTGGTCAGTTCTAAATCAAGAAGTTGCGAGGAGATGGGAAGCAAGACGGCTTTTGCACTTGTCAAGCTTGGTATTGTTGTTATTATTTTCAATGCGGCAGACCAAGTAGCTTTTTGCCTCCACGCCGGGTTCTTACATATAGAATATTTACAGCCGTTCACATCTTGTCACGTTGACATAATAACTTAAACTTTAAGCATGTTGTAGTTGAATAGAAATATAGGGTAGAGAGGATGGAAAAATGTACTGCCACCCCTATTCGTGGAATGCAATACGAATACCGATTCCTTCCCACCAAGTCAGTCCCCATTCAAAAGCAATGATTCACACCCTCCCACCGTGCATTTCCTGATTTGTACTCTAAATACACTAATCCCGAAGAAGAAAACAGTGCATGACGCTGCATCCCCGACCCCGGCATGTAAAGTACAGTACAAGCCTGAAACTTCCCTCACCCAGAACCGCCCCTTTTCAAAGCCTACACAGCAAGAAAAGCCAGCCCACCACGTCCAACCCCGCCACCTCATTTCACTGTAAAACCATGCGAAACCGTAATCTCCCCCCCACGCTTCACAATCAACTCCTCCCCAGACCCACCACTCCACACCTTCACGTGCCCGCCAGCCCCGCCCCCCTCCTTTAGCCCCAGGTACCCATCTTCGAGCTCCCAGCTGCCGCGCCGCTTGCCTACCGCACTGGGCTCGCTGCCGATGGTGTGCTGGGCCTCGCGAAGGCGGCGGTGGCCGCCGCCGGCGGGCGGTCTCCTGAGGTTGTGGTCTTCGGCAAAGCGGCCGATGAAGGTGCGAAGTAAGGGCTCAACGTAGCGACGGAACAGCGGGGCCAAGGTCGGCAGGGTGACGATGATGATGCTGAACCAGAGCTCCATGAAGCTGACGAGGCCGACCAGGTAGAGGCCGTGGACGAAGTCGGTCTGCGTGGCCGGGGTGAGGGTGATGGCCATGCGCCAGGCCATGACGGCGACAACTCTATTGTTTTGTCGAGAGGCGGGGGGTTAGCGGCTTCTTTGTGTGTTTGGGGGGGATTAGAGGGGTGCAGGGTATTTATAGATGTACACAACTCACAATAGACCCAACGCGAACATGATGCTGACGGTGAGCTTGTTCCGCACGGGCATCTGCAACTTCCACAGCAGCGGCATCGGCAGCAGGGCGATCGTGGTGTCGAGGACCATGTTGAACGCAATGGATAGAATCTCCTGCAGCATGATGGACTTGCAGTAGCCGCCGGCGACGGGCTTCCACCCGTACGAGACTGGGTAGCACTGCGAAAGGAATATGGAGAGGAAGGCGACGAAGTAGATGAAGACCACCGCCTGCATCACCCAGACTACGTACCGGAACTTTGGGGCGGGGAAGAGCGAGGTATAGAGGGAGAGGATAGAGAATTTGCAGCAAACCGTGCCCACTGTCCAGGTGACGTCCGTGCCAATGAGGAGCTGCGGTTCAGAGGGGGGTGGTTCAGATTCTTGGTGTTGGCGGTGTTGATGATGAGGATCTTCATGGTGGTGTGGTGCTTACCTGATATTGGACCCCTAGCTCGTAGCTCGTGAGGGTGTCGGTGTGTGCACCCAGCCCGTTGGCGATGGCCCACCAGCATAATGTTTCCATGCCGCAGGTGCTCAACTATAGAAAGGTTTGGTCGGATGAGCTTTGCTGAAGTCAAAGGGGCAGGCCTCTACTCACGTAGGCAATGAAGACGAGGTAGTCGTGAATCTGTAGCGAGGCCCGTTTGAGCCGGATGGCCCATAGCCTCAACCCCATCGTCACCGTGGTCACCACCGCGAAGACGATCATCCAGATCATTAATCGCGCGCCGTTTGGACTGATCGCCATGGCTGTGATATTTCCAGTTTGAAGAATTGCACTAAAGCTTCACTGGAAGGTCTGACCTGAGGCTGAGGGACATGAGAGATGGTTGTATTTAAACCAGGGATCGAGATGGGTGCCAGCAAGCGCTAGGAGGCAGAATAGAAGGGAAGGGAGACCAGGGTAACTACCACCCGTCAACACGATCTAGGTTCGACAAACATAGTGACTGTCAGGTGCTAAAGAGGCCCCCAAACTGATGACTGGGATCAATTGAGTTGACTGCAATTGCAGCTCGAGGGGTCCATACATGGACCGTGCAAAAGACCCACTGCCGTTGACCCCATCCGGCTAGGGAGAGGGGGCCCTTTGCGGAAAGACTTCAAGGTTAGGGCTTACAGGTACTTCAGCCCATATACAAGGCATCCTTGCTGATTCGCTAGCTGGTACGGTACAAATTTCACCACCTGTACTGGACATACAGACAGTACAGTACCTTTGTTGGCGAAAAGCGAAAGCCCCGCGGCTGCGCTATAAGACGCATTGGAATGTCAACGACAGACAGACATTCGTCTTCCCATCGCACACTTCTTCCTCTCATCACTCCTGCATTTCCATCAGTCACCAACGCTACCATCATGAGTCCCCCTCTGCCATCTCTGACCGCTACCTGGCGCAATGACACCTATGCCGCCATTTCCCCCTCCCGCCCCGAGCTGAGCGCCGCCGGCAAAACCGTCATTATTGCAGGGGCCGTGAGTATCACCACGCGCAGGAATAAGACTCAAATCCACTTGACCTTGACCTTGACCTGACAGCTTCTCAGGGCAGCGGAATTGGTCGTGCAACAGCTCTGGCCTTTGCTCAGGCCGGGGCGAGCCACATCGCTCTCCTCGGTCGGACCGAGGCAACGTTGCTCGAGACACAGCGGACTCTCTCGGCCACCTCCAAAAGCTCCGTTCATGTGGTCAGCGTCACGGATGAGGCGGCCCTACGCGAGGTGGCCTCCACCATCGGCACCTGGGATATATTGGTGCTCAGCGCGGGCCACATCGCTGACCCGGCGCCCATTGCCGACACCCCAGTGGATAACTGGTGGCAGTCGTTCGAAGTATGTGTGACATCTTTGAATGAGAATATGTTACTAACCTCTACCCGGACAGACTAACGTCAAGGGTACCATGCTTTCTAGCAAAGTCTTCATCCCCACGGCCAACCCTACCCACGCGGCCATCATCACCACCAGCGCCGCGGTGGTCCTGCCCCCGACCATGCTGGTGGGCTTGTCCGCCTACCATTGTTCCAAGCTCGCCGTAGTCAAGCTGACAGAGCACCTCGCGGCCGAGAACAAGAACATCTTCGTCGCCTCCCTGCACCCGGGGATGGTCGAAACTGAGATTTTCAGCAAGAGCGGTGCTAAGGCAGAGCAGTTGCCCATGGATACAGGTTCAGTAGTCCTAACTCATTTTTTCATTTTTGCATTCTTTTCTCGCGCAACGTTTTCACCCGTCGCATACTGACACAAGCAATCTCAGTCCAACTTCCGGCCCACTTCACCGTGTGGCTGACCAGCCCCGATGCCGCCTTCCTCAAGGGACGCCAGGTTTGGGCCAACTGGGATGTGGAGGAATTGAAGGCGAAGGCAGCCGAGATCCAGGCGGGACTGCAGCTGACTGCGACCATCGACGGGTGGCCGTTCCCGAACGTGTAGACAGGGGAAGAACGAATCCGCTGCGGTCGCATATCCTGTTCTATTCTGGTTGTATCTTTTTTTCAATTGTATGTGCAAACCATAAGCTAGATAGCCACCCCCGCCCCCGCCCCCACTTGTTCTCCCAACTCATTGGACTTTCATATATCCACCTGCTCCTAATTGACTATACCCTCTGATGCTGGCACCTATACCTTAAACCCGCCCGATTAATGTACTGTACCTACGGCAATTCTCTTGCGACCAAGCCACCGATACTACCACATGCAGAGTAACCAGAAGAAACTGCCCCGTTCTGAATATGAGATATTGATCTACATCTTAAGCCCCTCAGTGTCTGTCTTGCTCTAAGCCGAATCTGTCGCCAACACCTTTCCATCCTCGACAAACACCTCCTCCCACCCGGCCGTCATCCTTGCTCCGTCCTCGAACACCGCCGCCTCGCCGGCAAACAGCGGCTGGAACTCCGCGTCCGTCATGATCGCCTCCATCGCCGCCATGCTCGGCACGTATACGGACACGATGATATCGTAGTCGTCCAGCTCCCACCCGGGCTGGATCGCCCAGGGGATCTGTTCAAGGATGAGGTTTTTGCTGGCTCTCGGGGTGTGGTACTAATCATTTTCTACTTAGCCGTGTTTGCCGATGAGGGAATGAGTTTGTGTTATTATTGGTGTGTGTGTTGTTTGCTACGGGGTTTGGGAAGGGGAGAGGACTGAGATTGGGGTGGGAAGGTGCAGGACAAATTTTAGTATCATGCAATATATGCATGTTGTATAGGGTAAGGTGTCAGAGGAAGAGATTGAGGGCTCCTTGGGGAAAAAGTAAAAAAAAAAAAGAATCATACCTGCACGACCTTCAGAGCGCCATGCCGGGCTTGGATGACGGCCGACCGCGGCCCGTGAATATTGATGAGATAATCTTGAAATTCCTCGTCGGTGATGGAGGCCTTCTTCCGGCGGAAAGCACTAAGGTTGATTACCCTCTGCTTTTGGGGGGCCATGGCGTGGTATGGTATGAGTTGGGGAACGGGGGTTAGCAGATGAGGGGACCTTGGAGATTGATGCATTGGAAAGGGGGCAGTTCTCACCAGATTTGGGGGGAGACTTTTATACATTCAGAGCCTCAACACTTGAATCATTACTTCGTAAGCAGTAGGCGATCATCTGGTGAGTATGCCAGTGGGTGCATTAGGAGCGGAAAGAAGTGGTCCGATCTCACATTATTGAGGTGATAGTAAAGCTCTTGCCTACTATGTTAGCTCTAGTCAGCCGCAGAATAACCTAACACTGAGGGGATGTTCCAGACTAAACAGGAACTGACCTATGGAGAGGCTATGGAGTGGATATAGACAGGGGGTTTAGGAGCGAAAGACTTTGCCTCGATTTCGAGGTCAGAACCAACTCGATTGGTCTAAACAGCAACCACAAGACTAGTCGCTGTGACTACTCTCCTTCCAGTGAATGGTACTATACTGTACAGTACGTCCGCGCGCAGTACCGCCGTACAGTAAGTACACTGGCTAGTATACTAGCAGTCCCTTCGTGGCCGCGTGTCAATGACTTGCACTGGGCCCTGGGGTTCCACCTTGTCGACCAGAAACCTGAATGGTTCGACTAGTTAGTATTGAGACCACCACCCGGCGCCTCCGGCTGTATAGGCACCTTGGTGGAGGTCCAGATTGATAAGTGAACCAATCAACACTTCTGACTCGTCATGCACTTTTCCCTGCCCCTGACCTCGGACACGTAATCTCCTTCCAAGTTGAGCTTGTAGGCGGACGGAATCCGACGGAGAGTCAGGCTAAAGACCCTCCACCCGCCTGCAGGGATTTGCAGCCCCAGGAAGGCGGCCCGCCCGCCAACGGCCCGTAAGATCTGCTTCCGGCGAGGAGGTGACTTGTATGTACTGTACCCCCAGTAACACAACCTCAACTCCTCAACTTTCCCTCAACTTCCCCTATTGTTTATTTCTATCCTATGTCTATACCTATCTTGATTTTTTTCTGTTTCTTTTTCTTTTTTCTCCGATCACTTCGGAAAGAAAATACAAGTTTCGTCATGACTTCGTTTAGCGGGTTCGGCGCGAGCGATTGTCCAGTATCTCAACGACACATATGGCAAGGACCGCAAACACCCAACCAACCATCCGATGTCAAACAAATCCTGGATTACCCTCAGCTCATCGGTCGTCCGGTTTTGTCTGTCCACCGCCCCCTGCCTGTGCCCAATCGCCCCGTTGGACCGCCAGGCACGGATAAGCGGAACCACTATCGGTCTGTCCCCTGATGCTGGCTGGGATGGTCGATACCCACCTACTTCTCCTACTCAGGCTGCCACCTCTCCTCCAAGGTTGCCCTCTTCCTCCTTCTGCTGCTGCTGCTGTTGACCATACCTCCCGCGTCACGGCGACCAACTGCTCCACCTTCCGCTGCTACCGATCATGTGAAACCGAGCACGCACAGCAAGCCATGCGCGCGGTCTACGCTAGCGAGTCCAGTTTGCAGCACGCTTCCACTCGAGCCTGCACCCGGTAGCAGTGGAAAGGGTTGTAGACAGTTAACAATGACAGCACCGTTTGAATCCTCAAGAATCATGCTCGTCATCTCTTTGAGTATAGAAGATAGATTGTGAAAAGAACAATTACAAACAAACTAAAATAAACCAAGTGATATCGCAATCTGATTGACTTGATAGCAATGGTGTTGACGAAATTGGCAAGCTGTGTGGACAGCGGGCCTATTGAAGGGCCACGAGCGCGCAGATTGTATGGCCAAGTTTTCCAAACATGAGCCTACAGGAAAGGCATAAAAGCGATGTCAAAACGTCTGAAAAAAAAAAAAAAAAGAAAATTAATAGTACCATGGCAGATCCAGTAGCTTCTATCTCCGTGACTGCAAATACGTCGGATAGAACTGATACCAGGGCAGCAGACATCAGCATCCCAAAGCATCAAACAATGAAAAATCAGACAGTGACCCACGCAATCGATTGAAAAAGCATTCGCGACAGCAACTACGAGATTCCATGGTTAGACAAAGCCTGATTTGTTGTTCGATTGCTGACTGAAGTAATGCCAATACTCCTGAGGATCGAGGCTAGGTAGTAGCTAACGAGACTAATGCGCTAATACCATTCCACGGAGCGAAAAAGTCTAAGGTTGACTGAAATGAACAAGCAGTGGCGGTTACGCCTAGTAGAAAGCGTGTCAGCGTAGGCTGTACTTGTTAATTCTTCCTCGAAAGCAATAATCCTGCCGACCTCTTCGAATTTGAATTCAATAATGCCAACGTCTCATCATTCCGGGCTGGGTAACTAATAAGCATGGAGCGTACTTCATCGAACCTTTTCATGGCAACTAACCATCTTGGGGTTTCAGGAGTGATGTAAAGACTGTAGATAGTAACAGTTAGGATAGCGATCTGTAACAGCAAGGGAGACGCCATACCCAATTTGATATGTAAGTTTGTGTGCTAAAGCCCGTTCAGTAAGCTGTTACTAGTATATATAATATATGTACATTTATTCTGCTTGATGGCCTTGATTCCCCAATTCGAGTCTCGAAAAGCGCCTACCTCGCCAAGCAAAGTAACTATTTCTGGAGGAAGTCTATAGATCGTACTGTACTGTGGTTCTGGGAATGGAAGAAAGAAAGAGGAGGTATTATGTCTATAAAGCCCGATTACGATAAGCTAAACCTTTACTTCTGAGGTATACGGAATTCACAAACCGAGCCTAATGAGTCTCGCTGTCAATGCATTTAGGAAGTATACCATGAGGTTACAGACATGTACTTGAAAGCTTTCAACACAATTCCTATAGCCCCTCAGACTTCGCCCGAAGTTTGTTAGTAGAGACCAGAAGCTTTTTAAAGTTATAGTATAATCTGAGGATATCGTGGAGTTCTCGGATTTTTCAGTCCAGATCACTGCCCAGAGGTTTTGTGTCGACAAGGCTATGAAATTGAACGACCTCACCATGTTTGCAGCCACTAACGACGAGACCATACGTTCTTCTCAATCGGAGGTGTTCATATTAAATCATAAACAATCAAATTAGGGTAAAAACTGTATCTCATGAATGCAGATCTTTGTTGAGTTGCCTTCTTAAGTGTTTTTGGCTCTCGCGTGTTCAATATATCCGTACTTACCCTTTGTCTTAAGAGTATTGCCATTAAGCTTCTTAGACTTATTGAGCTCGGTCATTGCGTAAGAAGAGTCAGAAATCAGGCTAAGAAGAGGACCGGAAACCTCTCAGGTCACCCAATCAGACGAAACTAGCAACCCAAACATCCATAGCCCTAACTCCTTTCCGACCGCCCTGTATACCCTCCAAGCTCGCCTCACACGCATCCCGTAACGCAAGAACCACTGCCCGTTCTCTCTCATCGCTCACCTGCTCCTCGACTACCCTTTCGAAAGAGGAAGAAAGACAAGCAGAGACTTCCCATTGTCCGTCCAACAATCCCTCCGCAGGTTGCATACGGGTCTCCCTCTCCAGCTGCCACCCAGCAGTCAGAGCCAGTTCGGTAAGCTGCTTTGGCCCCAGCACCGTGCGGATGTTCGAGACACTACCCTTGGACTTACGACACTCCAGCGCCGCCTGGGTGAGCGCAGCTAATACGTGAGGCTGGGCTGAGGGGTGTGTCGCGACTAACGACCACTCCGCAAGCAGGAGGCGCTTGCTGTGCTGCTTGAGAGCACGGAAGGTCGAAAGAATGAGCGAGAGGGAGGCGAAGTACCATAGGCTGTGGGCGAGAACGGTTGCGTCGAAAGCCTTACTTTCGCCGGCGGGCGGCCAGGAGGCGGAAGAGGGCAAGGAAAGGGAGGAAAGGTAGTCCAGGGGGGCTTGTTGGATCCAAGTAATTCGCTCGCCCAGTGGACCTTGCGAGATGTGACTCTGTGCTTGGCCAAGAGTGTACGGAGCACCTACAAGAGTCATCATCAGTCGGCTGTTTTCCGCTCGCACCGACAGGACAGGCAGCAGGGTAAGGAAAGTGAGAGAGCTACTCACCATAGTCCAATTCCGCCGGATCGACCGCTACTACTCTTCCCTGCTCGCCCACAGCATGGGCAAGGACAGTCGTGCAGTCTCCCTGCCCGCATCCTAGTTCCAGCGCCTTGGAGTCAGTAGGGATGTTCCAGTGCTGCAGGAGCACCAGGCGGTGACATGTTTGGGAATGCTGGATGCTGAAGTGCGCGGGGTCGTGTAGGGAGAGACGGGCGATAGAGGCGGCGTCGAGTTGAATGGGCATGTTGTGCTCGATGGATGTGGGGCATAAGACAGATCACGGGTTTATACGTAGCTAGGTGATAAAAGCTGGAAAAAGCTGGAACTATAGCCTTTTGTTGTAGCTACTAAAAAGCTGTGGATGAGAAAGTCTTATAGTGTCAGACTAGGGCGCCTGGAAGTGAAAGGACTTATGATAGGGTGAGATTGACTCCTGAGCCATCAGCGCTAGCAATATGAATAGGCAGTTAGTACCTCGGGCGCAGATAAGCTACTGGTCCAACCACCCGTCTTTTAGATTGGCCATAAGTGGGCGGCCTCGGAATCGTCCTACACTGCTTACTATTGCTGACGAGAAATAGGATTACGTGACAGTCGCATCAATCAGGTAATCAGTTTTCCGTCTTCAAAGCGCAGTCTGTTGTACTTTTTTTCCTTGTTATGCAGAGTTCTAGATGAAAGACTCCAGCTTCCTCCCAACTCGCGCAGAGCAGCGCCCCTTTATCGGCTTCCGAGCCGTATTGACGAACGATCCACAGCCATTTCCTCTAAGATCTAGGCCAAACCTTGACAAGTAGATCCTCCCCCTCCTTCACCGACATGAGCCCCAGGACTGGCTTCCCTTCGTCCGCCGCCGGAACGTTCTTTGTTACCGCCTCGATATCAAACCTGTGCAGCAGAATCGAAACGAACAGCATGACGAACCGCTTCGCCACATGCCTCCCGGGACACATGGTCGACCCGCCACCAAACGGCCGCCAGTTGTCGCTGTAGGTCAGAGTCTGCCCGTGCTTGACCATGAAGCGTTTCAGGTGGAATTCAGTGACCGGGTACTCGACGCCGAAGATGGAGGCGTCGAAGTGCAGTGGCCGGTAGGGGATCATGAGGCGGTTGCCCTTGCGGAGGATCTTGGTGCCGATCACAGTGTCCGCCGAAAGGAATCGGACGGAGGCTGAGTAGGCGGAAAGGCGGATGGTTTCGTTCCACATTGCATTGAGGAGTGGGCAGTTGTCGTGAAGATGGGCGAGATTCGGGTCTTGGATTGAGGTTTTAGGTCCAGAGGGAGAGGCGGGAGCCGTTTCTTCGCGGATGAGGTCGATGTAATGCGGGCCGTACTGGAGGATATAGGTGAGGAGCCAGAAGGCAGCCTGACGGGTGTTCGTGTTGATCCTGTAGAAGGGTTAGTTAACAACTGTTGAACGTATAGCTGAGGAGGATCAATGAGAGTATTAGGAATGTCAGACCCCCAGTAGATGGTCACCATCATCATAGCAATGTCGTCATCTCCAATGCCCAATGCTCGCATCTCATCTTCCATAGCCTTAGTAAACCAAGCGTCTCCGTGTCGTTTCTCTTGTGGGAGCTGAATTTAGCACATCCTTGATCCTATCCCGGGCCGCTTTCATCTCTCCTGCGAGAAAGCCAGGGTATTGATACAAGATCTGCCAGCTGAGCTCGTCAAAGTGACAAAGGTTTGTGGCAGATCGGGGTCATTTTCCTCGAGCTGGGGACCAAAGTACGCTCGCTATCCAGCGCGGGCAAAGAAATCTGAACACCACTCTAATAAGGGCAGCGTCGTGTTAGTGCCTTCTTTCCCATCAGGGATAATAGCGTAGGGACACTGTCGCAGACCCTGCAACGTCATCCGAGGCTCGATCCACTTTAGGAAATGCGTTTCTAAAAAGTCGAGGTTCTGACCGGGATATAGTTGGTTGATGTGCATCTGACGAGCAAGCGTTCCCAGCGGTTTGCCGTGGGGATTCGAAAATCCTTCTTTGCCTTTGGGAAGAGGGGTGTACTAGGTATCCAATAAGGTAATTCCTTTGGGTCGGTTTGGAAAAGCATGGGAGAGATGGTGAATCTCCATATTCTCCATATGAGCAAAGGACACAGAAGTACTACTGCCACGGTAACAGTCTGAGGGCCTTCTGAGGCTCAGGACCAGCTTTCTGTGAGAAACCCAATGCCTGTGAAGAGTGCTTGAGAGAGCATTATGCGGTTTGGCGGGACGAATTGTCACTGTAGTGGACGGAGGATGAGAAGTAGCTTCGAACAAAGGATATAGTGTCAGAAGTAGTTCCGAACGATGTATATACTGCGGCTATAAGACGTTGCTACATCATCTCAGACATATGGAGTGATGGAAAGCAATGCGCAGTGGTATTATACTCAAGGATGCGTGTCGGTGCATCGTGCCCTTGCACGCTTGCACACCAGAAGAGTGAGGGAATCAGTGATCAATCACATCCCTCGTTTCACAGCATCTTGACAGATATTGACTGACTCAATCATGTTAAGACTAATGCCAGCGCGTTAAGGGAAAATTGCTATGAAGCGTACAAACATGACGCTTAAGATGATTACGATGTAGGCATTACTTGATTTTGCGCGGAGCAGGGACTGTAGCCTGAGGGATTTGCAGTATATAAGGGCCAGAACCGGAGCATCCCAAAGTATGGCCTATAGAAAAGACATTCAAACGGCAGTGACAACCATCATGATCGAGCTCATTCTCACTTTTGTTATGCTTGGACTTAGGCGGCTGCGCGGTCTATGGTACCTGATCCAAGGACCAGACCTCATTGACAAAGCTTACGTCTCGGTGAGTAAAACAGCTATCTGCCTTGCCTTCGGGGTATATGCTCTAACAGAAGAAGTCAAATGGAATGCCTTTTTTGATATCCACCCCTTCAAATGATCACTTGAAGATAACCTCAGACGATCATATCAGAGAAGTGCTCAACGCTCCGGCTCATTGCATATCCTTGCCCGCTGTAGCCAAAGAGGTACAGTGCCTAGTTTCGCTCGCGATGGCAATACTGATATAAAATAGATTATACAGCCGAGATTTACGATGCTGGGATTTGAGTGGCAAAATCAACGCGAAGTCGAGGGAACAGGTTTTGTCCGCGCATTGCGCAGCCGGCTTACTGCGCACCTGCCAGCCCTGCAGCCAGATTTGCAAAGTATTATCCAGGATGCCATAGAGGCTGAGCTCGCAACACCGCACGTTGATGGTAGAAGCAAGCACCAATCTATTGCGCGCAACTCAAATTGACAGTGATAGGGTTCGTGCATTGCAGATTGTTTGCCATGATCAAGCGGACCGTCACAAAAGTCAACAGTTTCACCTTCTTTGGCAAAGAACTTGGTTGGTCAAGACAGCTCACAGCCTCGAAAAAGAATCTTGAACGCTAGCTTGCTAACTGTCTTGATAGCCCAGAATCCCGAGTTTCTCGCAGCCGCGTTGGAGTTTCCGCAGGGTCATTATGACCGCTGAGATCTTGCGCGTTACACCGTCTTTTCTCAGGGAGTAAGAAAACACTCTTTTAACCATTTTCTGCTAACAAGGTCAAGGACCATCGCTCGTCTGGTGACTCGACAGCACCATGCGGTCCGAACTCTCATGCGTTATCTGGGGCCGGTCGTTGAGCAACGGTTAGCGGCAAGGGTCAAGGCACGAGACTCTGCCTCCACGGCTGTACCGGTTTGAATACAGACTGTTCTTGCAAGGCTGCTATAGCTGGGCTAACATGAACAATGACAGGTTGACTGTGTGCAATGGCTGATCGAGACTTCGCCCCGGAAACAGCAATGGACCACGAACCGGATGGTTGGGGAGATCATCGCAGTCTGGTTTGGCTCGGTTCATCAGCTCTCAATGGTGAGACAATCTGGCCAGGGGCATCGCGAGCTGTTGACAAGCTGGAAGGTCACAAGTCTAACCATAAACACGCATAGACCATTACGTACGCCATCGAAGATTTGTGTCTGCATGGCGAGTACGTTCAACCGCTTCGAGACGAAATCTCTGAAAACCTGGATGGCTCCTGCCATAGAATGTTAGTGGAGATGCCACTCCTAGACAGCTTTGTACGCGAATCGATCCGGTGTACAAACTCGGATGCAAGTAAGTTTGACATAGCCACCCATTGCCCCTCCCGGGTTGGATCTCCATGCGCCAAAACGTGCTGACTGCGCCAGTTACGCTGCGTCGAAAGCACTCAAGCCTTTTAGCTTCTCTGATGGACTTCAGGTGAAGCAAGGAGACTGGGTGTGTATGCCACAGCGAGCGATGATGCGCGATGGGGGGAGATACGAGAACCCTGATCGTTTTGACGGCTTCCGGTTTGCTAGAGCGAATGAACAATTGCTCAATGGCAAACATTGTGGAAAGGTACCGGAGACTGGGCCATTGCGAATGACAGATGTCAGTAAAGATTGGCCGATTTGGGGTCTAGGTAACACAACTTGGTGAGGGCAATCATAACCCGGCTACCTACCTATGAAGAGAAAAGCAACAGTGGAGCGGCTGACGTGCATAAATACCTAGTCCCGGACGCTTCTATGCTGCAAAAATCCTTAAATTGATCCTGGTGTACATTTTAGGTGGCTATGAATGTCGATTGGCAGATTCTGGAGGTCGACGATGGAGGTGGTGGCGGTCGAGTGTTGTTCCCTGCGAGGGAACAGTCGTCCTGTTCAAGAAGCGCCGATAGTAACCAGAAGGTAGAAGACTATCGTTATTTCTACAGATCAACGAAGGTGTTCACCATGTCATCGACCATCTCGTCTGAAATGGATCTCTGTGCGATCCCGGCAGCTTCTCCGCCGCCAGGTCACACGCCCAACTTAATTGATCCTCCATCTTTAGCCGGCACAACGGTTGTAGTAACTACAAGTCTAATCACCTGGGCCACTCTATTCATAGCGGCACGACTATACACTCGATTTGGGAATCTGAGTTCAGCGGACTGTGAGTTCTTGCTGACCTACAAGCAGCCTTGCGGGAAAGCTGATAAGCAAGTTCAGACTTTGCGGCCATTGCCCTCGTCCTGTCAGCTGGCTACAACGGCAGGGTCCTGGCTATGCTTCAATATGCTCGACATCAGTGGGACATACCGGCTTGCTGGTTTGATGCCACATACATGAAAGTGCGGCCTTGTCTCTCTATCTTATGCCACACAGCAAACTGATTACTGCCACTACTTCCCAGATCCTCTACGCACAAGGAGCTCTTATGGGCCCCGTTATTTTCTTCGCGAAAGCATCTATCCTTCTTCTATACCAGCAAATCTTCCCTCTAGAGAAGCCAATGAAGCTTGCGATTCGACTAGGACTTGTCGCGACATTCGTCATATACTGGCCTCACGTCGCCCTCGAGTCGTATTTTTGTGCACCACATGTCGGGGAAACATGGACTGATCTCCTCATCACCAGAAGACCGGAAAAGATGATATTCTGGGGCATCTTGCAAGGAACACTGGCCGTCATGGATCTTTGTATCTTAATTTTACCGCTCCCCAGGCTCTGGACGCTCCAGCTTTCTCGACCAAAACGGCTACAGATTATGACTTTGTTCTCTACAGCCATGTTGTACGTAGTCATGCAGGCCTCCATCCCCTCCGAAGAAGCGACGCTAACGAGCAGTAGAGGAGTCGTCGCCAGCGCTATGGCTTTGGCTTACCGCATTGGCCTCAAAACCAGTTCTGATTTAACCTTCATACAAAGCCAACTCTTTATCTGTATGTGAGTAGTCCGTCCTATCTCGCGTTTTGACTACGGTGTCTGATCGAATCTAGCAACGTGGAGAACAACATCGCTATCATAGTTAGCTGCGTACCATCTGTTGCCAAATTTATCAGGAGCGATGTGGTCGAGTCGTCCTTCTTTCGAAGTTTACGGTCGATGTTCCGCTCCAGCAGTCGTGGATATGGATCCGATGCCAACGATGGCGTAGAGATTTCGGGTGGAATTGGAAAACGGCCTCGATCTCATGTGGTGGAGGCAAACGACGAGTATCACGAGTTGCAGGGGCTGGTGTCTGAAGCTCGATAAGCATTAGAATCGTTAGAGAGTCAACCTTCTTTGCTTCAAGCAACTAACCGCCGCTGCCGTCATGTGTAACATATTACTGTGCAAGCAGCCAGACCAGCTTCGAGTACTCCTGATACCCCTTAGACCGTCCTTGACATTTCGTGTATCCCGCTTTGTCGGTCGCATGCTCTAATCCAGGTTTTCAAGTTTGTGTGTGCTGGGTCACTTGAGGGTAGGGGCATCTATTGCTGTAGCGAATGTGACAAAAAGAGCTCAACTATTGCTATTCAAAGAAATGCGGAAAGCCAACATGGGCTTTAATCGGCTTTTTTCTTCTCAATGCTCGATTATTGTCAACTACCGGGCGACTTCCACGTAGGACAATGACGGCAAATGATTACTTTCATCTATACACACTCCTTTACGATATTGTTCAAAGCATGGACACAAGTACGATCAACCCATCCCACCGATCTAATGATATATAAAGTATATACTATTCTTGGACGCAGGTTCGGACCTCAACTCGAAGATCGACACACTGCATACAGGTGCCCCGATAAAAGATCTGACCAATTCAAGAGTCCATCTCCGAAGAAGAAAAGACAAAACAGGGCAATTGACTGAGTGACTGTTCATATACTCAAAACCATGACTCCTTTGGTCTACTGGCTTCTTTTCCTCTATGTCTTCTGGGTGCTTATCTTTGTCCCGTGCTGTATCTACAAAGAGTCGATCAAGCGGATGTTTCGGCGAGCACTGGGGCAGCGTCCCCAGAATGATCCTCGCCCGCATCAGGACTAATTCGTCGAGCGGTTCGATTATGAACAAAACAAGGTCTTGGTCTTGGATGAGGGCGATCTTTGTTACTGAAATATGCAGGGTAGACAGCTAGAGGAATATTGGTAACAATGTTACTGATACTCCACCTTGCTTGGATCGTCTTCCCTTTGATGATGCTTTGAGGCTCATATGCCTTTTTCCCCCATGTCATGGGAAGCTTCTGATATAATCAAAAGATCCATCGATCGCCAATTCTTTCTTTTCTCCCACATGTAGAATTGCTAGATTTCTTATGTAGTGATAGGCCGATGCACAAGCTTTGACAAATAACACATAGGAACTATGACTAGGACTTTTGCAAAGAGAGGATATCGATTAGGTTACATATTCCATTGTTTCGCAGACTATTGCTCAGCATTGAAGATTTTGCCATGGAGGTATCTCGACGGCTGGCTGGTTAGCTATCTTGCGGCCGCCAGTGTGACCTTTCTTAACCAGGTCCTAGACCCGACAACTACGGTTGAATACGCTAAAGACACGCTCTCACTCATATAATGGGCGATCGACCGTTTAAGTTGCATGGAACGGTTAGAGCCAACGACCGGGCAAAAGCTCAGTGCGGATTTGATGCGAATGGCGAAGAATGCTGCTTCTGTCCACAGGGAAGAGGTGACGGATGAGGGTCTCATGATAGACTTTGCCAACCTAGAATATGTTACTCTCGGACCCGACCATGATCAGGCATGTATGAATTGACATCGTCTTGCTAGTATGCCGGCGAAGACTGGCCCTCAAACGAAATCCTGAAGACACCCTTCTTCCGCACCTAAGTACATGGCCGTTCTGATACAACCTCAGTAACCGCACAGAAGACGTAGACAGTGTGTACCTGTGATTCGATAAGTCGCGAACCTTTGCCAGCTTTTTTCACACAATGACAACCGGTTGTGTGCGAGTGGCCTCACTTATATATCCGAATTTCAACTCCGAGCTTCGCCCTTCGAAGTTAATAACGACAGAATCACTCATCCGAATGTCAACTATGTGTGATAATGTCGTTATAAAGCTTATCTTGATCATTGTGACAGTTGCATAAAGCCAAATTTATATGGTTCTCATCCTCGAATAAACACCGAGCGTTTCATGCAATGGCTCCAGCAACGATGAAAGTTCTGCGTCTGGTGAAGGTTGAGAAGCACCGCTAGACCGAGGGAATAAACCTAAACTGACATATTTGCAGTACGGCGCCCTATACGAGCTCAAGGAAGTGCCCATGCAATAGATCGGAGACAACGACCTTCTAGTCAAGGTTGGCGCAGCGGGATTCTGCCATAGCGACTATCAATTCTACGAGGGAGTCTACCGATCTCCTACCCCGATGACACCCTCCCACGAGGCCGTAAGAACAATCACCGTCATGGGCAGAAACATCTCTGCAGATTAGCATATCAGACAGCGTAATGGGATGCTCAACTTTCGGCACGCATGCCATGACTGTGTGAGTTGCCAGACCTTTCGGGACCCCTTGAAGCCGGACGAGCCCGTTACCTGGTTCCGTGAGAAAAAGGACATAGCGGGCGTCAATGCCGATGGGGCTTCGCGGAATACATCATTGCTGATCTGGCCACCTCTGTATCCCTGCCGGATGAGATCTCCTTTGAACAGTCTGCGCCGCTGATGTGTGCTGGGGTACGTACGTGTACTGAATTTGTCTACCTACCCGATCTTGAGCGGTGGCTGCGGGAGGCACTTACATGAGCCCATACACACATATTTAGGCTACGGTATGGACAGCGCTAGACAAGGCAGCCGTGAAGCCAGGCCTACCGATTCGGTTGATCTGAATCGGAGGGATGGGCATGCTAGCCCTGCAGTTTGCGGCCGGTCAAGGCCACCCAACCATCGCCATCAACAACCGCGAGGAAGCTCTCGACCTCGCGCGCCCCTGTCTTCGCATCCGGAGCCCAAAAGTGTGATTAACTTCACCTCGCCTGACGCTCAGAAGCAGGTTATTGAATCAGCCGGTGGTGGCGGCCTCGCCGGTGTCTTGGTCTGCACTGAGAGCATTTAGGCCACAGAATAAAGTCTAAAGCTGTTGTATACGCATGAACTCTGCGTCCCGCTCTGTCCCTGACTGCTGGATCCAAGTTCTCGGCTTCTGATATTGTGTTAAAGGAACTGATAATTCGGGGTAATCTTGTGGCGAATCAGCGCTTGGCATTGGACATGATGCGATTCGTGGCAGAGAAGGGGGTCAAATCGCACATCACCACTCTCAAGCTGGAGGAGGGCAAGGATCTACCGCAGAGGTATATGTTTCCGCATTTGAAGGGCAGATTGGTGGTTGTTATGTGAAATATGGGGAAAGGTCGTGATATGATCGGGGCTTAAATTGACATTAACACTACTGCCGTCTCTCCAACTTATATGTCCAGTTCCATCCGAGAATTCCCAGATCTTAATCTTGATGAAGACGTTGATATGAACTCCTGGGATTTCACCTCATATTTTTTTGCTCGTCATCTTCAACCCTTATCTAGGTTACACTTGGTGTGACTGGAACTTGATCGTCCCACGCGGGCGACAGAGAGATATCATCATGATAACAGCATACATACAATGCATTCTTGATGCATAATTACATACGACTGTGGATCCATTCGTCCTTCGCTAGCTCCTTCGCGGAGCTACGTCTGCTAGGCCCCATTGAAGCATTTTTCGCATGAAACGTAGGAAGGCCTCTCTCTCGACCTTGCCTTGAAGAGTGGTTTCACGTTCCTCCAGCGGAACCTGCTATGTCAATAAATCCGGAGCGAGAAAATCACCTGGATAGGACGAGTTAGTGAGCGTTGATGCTGGATTGAACAGATCCTACACATATCAATCTTGTGCTTACCTTCGTTGGAAAAGAATTTGGCTTTGAGCTCCCCTTGGGTGAGAAGGCTGCGAGGCGGAGGGCCGAGAAGATTTGATCATCTCGGCCAGGTGGGCTCGGCTCCGGTACCTCTCGGAGTCGGGGTCCTGGCCAGTAAACAGAGAACCGCCATCGTAAATATCCCAACCCTAGGGCTCAGACGCTATTAGTTACGAACCGTAGTCATGCTGTTTGTCTTACCATGCATCCGACATTCCAAATATCAGCACTGAACGTCCAGGGGGCTCCAAAGATTACCTCTGGCGCGCGATAGATCTTCGGTTGAACAAAGGCCGAGTGGCATTCACCGAGCATAGCGGATCCGAAATCACAAAGTACTGGACGATCTACTTGTTTGGGTACTTTGAGCTCCTGGGACATGTAGATCGTTCTGCCATCTGCGTTTGCCTCCTTCCTCGGCACGGACCGTTCAAGTTCACGGATCTCGAAGTCCGTAAAGACTGAATCATCTTCGATCCCGAACATGATATTATCAGCTTTGATATCTGATTGAGAGAGAGATAGTATGCAAGTTAATAAAGGTATTATAGAAGCACTATGGCTTACAAACCAATATGTGCGATGTTGCAGTCCGTGTGAAGGTAGTCCAATGCTAAGAAGAGGCGATGGAGAACGACTGCGATGACCGCCGAAGGTAGCCTCTCTACTGGGTTGCGACGAAGAAAGGCCAAGACGCTCTCCCACAGGGGAGGGTGCACAAGACATTGGTGCTTGTGTTGGGGTCCGTCAAGATAAAATGCATCCAGTAATGTTCGGATCGCATTGCGACCAGGATGGCGGTTGCCGTGTGCTCCATATGCCGGTACAAGTTAAGCTCGTTAACAACTTGCTGGCCCATGGACGACGCTTGGATGAAGATTTTGAGCATCACATCTCGACGGTCACTGTAACCAACACGTTTAGTCATGTTCAATTAGCGGTATTCGGAGATTTAGGCGGGATCTCACTGCATGTCCCGTGCAAGCCACGCAGTGGAGGTAGATCCAAACCCCGATTTCCCGATGACTTGATATCGCTCCTTGATTATCTCGCCCATTTGAGTCGGATAATATTGTGAGGTCGCATGATCTGGGAGGGTCTCCTCCTCAATCTTGTGCGGCCCCGGTATCCGAAGGTAGTTCGGGTTGGAGAAATTTAGCGGTTTCCATCTCCGCCCGAGCTGGGGTAAAGATCGCAAGAGCGACTGTAACAAAGTCCAAGGGAGAAAACCGGATTTATGGTGAGACAATGAGTGCATACAAAGGGATGTTGAAATGAGCCTAGATTTGGTGTAGAACTAAGAGTCCCATAAATGGTTTGGTTGCTAAAATAGCTTGCACGGGGCTTGGTGAATGAGAAGCATGTCAGGGCCCCAGGTCAGGTGACCGCGCCTCCAAAAATCAAACAGAAATGAAAACAGGAAGAAGTCAATATGAGAAGAAGATTAAGAAAGAATAAAAGTTGATTTGATATATTTCTAACAGGAGAGAGAGAAAACTTATAATCTCCTGACCGTGATGAGCTTCCAATCCCATGTGGCTTTCTCTTCGCATCCCTCTTGACTGGCCAGCGGTCGGGTTGCGGTCGGATTTTGTTGTATCACGCGCCAGACACATTCATGATATGGGATGAATATACCTCACAAGCAGTCCGAGTCAGATTAAGTTAGCCTTGGTCAACCATCCATGGATGCTTTTCATGGATACGCATCAGCGGCCAGGAATTGGAAAGGCTGTTGAGGCATATTGATATTTAGCCGTTATATGTCGGTCAGCCCTATTGCTTCTGTGCCACCAGCAAACCTATTCATTCTGTTTGGTCGAGTCAATTGCAGTCGCATCGAGTTCGAAAGTTCCAATAACATGGCGCTGTTACAGGTGGCTACTCGACATCTTCACCTATTGTGAAAAATCGTCAATGAATTTGCTCCCAGCCCCACTCCTTGGGGAGATGCGGTTTTCGTGGAAGGGCCAGTTCTACCATTATCAAGCCTTTAACCTCGGAGCCTGAAGATGAATGTGTCAAGGGTATCCAATCCAGCCGGGATTAAGTGTGGAAGCGCTTTATTTATCTGAAGTTTTAGAACTTGGCTTCTGCACCGAGTTCTCTTCCAAGCGAGACCTTCGCGGTCTTTCTGACAGCCGAAGCCCTAGAAAAGATCCTTCCGGATATGGCCATGGCTCCCAAGACTGTTCATGTTGCCGAATTCATCAGTCTTTATCGCGCTACTGCCGCCGCAATGCATATTGCTGTCAGCTATTGATGCGCTAGAAGCCCGGATAATTTGGTAGATTTGGGGAAACACTACGTAGGTGGAAGGGATTGATCAGCACGCTTCTGGCCCCTCGATGCAAATCACCCCACTAACGACATCCTCTACTCTTTCGTTTTAGCCCAGTGCCCCGCTTGGACCCCATGGATAGTCGCGATATTCGGTCCCCAACGCCAATCAATTCGACGTATAATGGGCAACATTTTGGGCAGCTTTGAGGGCTGGCTAAGCCTGCGATCGATTCGCACAATGCAGATATCCTGCATGTTCTCCGACAGTCCACTACCGTCACAGAGCCGGGTCAACAGGATGTTTTGCAGGGCGGAAGGCTCCAACGACAGATATCCGGAGGGGTTGGATCGGTCTTCTTGATCATGGTTAAGAAGCCCGACCACGTCATGCCCCCGCCCAGTCGGATGTTTGAGTTTCAGCACGCGACTAACCTGCGTGGCGTGGAGAGCTTGATGCAGTGGCGCGCTATGAGCGACACAGACAACGACAAACAGCTCCATCGGGGCAACTGTGGCGTCGAGCAGTTGGATAATCTCAAGTCAAACTTCCTCTAAAGCAAGAAATCAATGATGCAAGGTTCTCCTTACTATTCGTGCAAAAGGGAAGCCATTCAGATTTGTTAGGGAAAGGCACCTCGGTGTTTGATTGGAAATTGTCCGTGATGCACAGTAATGCACATTTCAGACGCTTTCCTTGCTTTTCTCGAGTTTATCGCGTTAAGTATGATTGAAACTTTGCTGTGACAATTCTCGGAAACACTGTCATGATGAAGACGATCCAAGTCACAAATAGAAGAAATAGGTTTCCAATTTCAGTCACCACTGTAGCGACAGAGAAAAATTATCTTTCTCTGACACAAGTATGAACCACATCTTGAATCACAGACCTTTACCCCAGAAATGGTAGAAATTTATTCACATCGGCATAGACGCCGCTGGGCTGCGCTCGGAGAGAAATAAAATCCTCTACATAGATATAACCGCGTGCAAAAACATAAAGGGCGCATGTGATCGTGACGGGAATCAGCACCGGAAGCGAGACGGCCATCTCCGGATCATGCTCTTCGGAGATATTCTGCAACCCGAGTAGACTGTCCCGCAGACTGGTCAGTGTCTCCGGGTCTGAGTCACTAGCATGATGGTACACCGGACGACTTGTTGGTATCTCTTCGGTCAACTGTTCGAGTCGTTTCGACCCAATCGCCCGTCGTTTGCTTCTGTACATCTCAATTAAGTAGTAGACACCACCGTAGATCGAAAAGGCGGCATTGTATACGCTGCTTATCCTCCACATAATCTTCTCAGTGTAGGTAGGAAAGTAGAAGTCCCAGGCCACGAGAAATAGTGCGCTAAAACCCAGTAGGATGATCAAGGCCAGTGGCGAGTACTTATAGTCCGGGCATAGCCATGTATCCGAGGGGAACCGATCCCACGGTCGAGCACGCACTGGCCGTGAAAAGATGGGGATATGGAGGATGTGGGCGAGTCGGGTGTAATATTTCCAATGAATATCAATCCCAAACCGATCATGCGTAATATAATCAAGCGGCGTCCGATACCAATGACCTGGTAGTAGTGGATGGGTCTGGATCATCGCGTTCTCGTTCGTTAGTACATAGTACATCATCTAATCGGACTTCCTCAACTTCTACTCACGCTCCGCTTCATGGCATCACGAATAGCCTGCACAGTGATGTCGTCCTTGGTCGAAATATACCGAGGCTTGCTGATGCATGGCTTGTAGCACCAGGTGACGGATGTTGCAAACATCACTAGCGTAAACGCAACAGTCGTCAACTCCAATGTTGTTACTGAGAAACCTAAACGGAATCTCTCGAAAGTAGAAATGAAAAACCAGAATGCCTGGAACACAGCTATAATGCTGGACGGTGTCAGCGACGCTATGGATATAGGCTTACGGGAGTTTCCTTACCGAGACAGTGTGTCGACAGAATTCCGCTCTTCAATCGCCATCTGTTCCATGTCGGGGATGTCTACATATCTATGTGAGATCAGGTAGTGTAGTTGCTGGGCGTCTATAGGAAACCCTTCAGGAAAGTCGGGACTCCTCAGATGTATACCCCCCATGTCAACAAAGAACGCATGTTTGTAAGTCCATTTGAAGTCTTTACTGAACCGCTCATCAGTTCGGAATAGCTAACAATATGATATCAGTAAGTTGAAGTGCGCGGACAACAACTCAGGGGCCAGTTGACGGATAATAGGGGACGAGAACTGTCAGTATCATACGTACCTTTACACTGCGCCTTGCACTCTCGAACTGCCCCCAAGCAATCCCAAAGAGAAAGTCCGGGCCCAAGAGGCTGATGCAAAAAAGGTTGAACTTGTCGATGAGTGGGTGCCACTTGCTGTCATTAGGAGAACCTACGTTGGGATACACAGACACCCAACAGCAGAGGAGGACGGTAGTACAACAAGACCATAATATGTCAATACTACCTCTGCCTTCAGGAGAAGCAACCCATCCATAATTTATCGTTTCTGTGGCGTTCCCCATTTAATGGTGATCAACTAAAATGAAGACAGTGCAGAAGGTGATAAAAGCTCAGCACAATTCGAGCAGCGTAGAGAAGGGCGAGAAGCCAAGCGAAGCGAGAAGGATCAGTGACCATCGGGGCTATAAATCAGGGAAGGGGGATTGCCCAACAAGTGAGAACTCCTGCCACCAAGTGGTCGTGCATTTTGAAGCGGGGATGTGCATCACACTAGGGCTGAGATTCAGAATTGGAGATAACGTACGCCATTAGACTGTCACAAATAGCCTGAGGCCTCGTCAGATACCCCTGCTAGTCTTTCCTATTTCTGGGAAGGAAGCGCCAACTGGACGATTGTCGGTTACAAGGAGAAATCAGGTAGCCGGGTAAATTGCAGGAAGGGGATGCCTGCGTTGGCGCTGGAATTGCCTGCTGGAATCGCAGGGGACAGCAACGATAGTGTGCTAGTACTTCAACAAAGCACAATAAGGCCCTATCATAGTACACTCCAGCTTGGAAGGTCACCGGATACTTCGGACGATCCTGTCACTCTCCTGGTTTTCAATGTTGTACTGAACTTTGGGCAAGCGCAAACCGTTTGCCGCTTACTACTCCGTACATTTACATCATATAATTCAGTGAACAGGCAGGTAGCCACAAGGTTAATGCCGACCACACTGCCAGTGTCATTTCAGGTCAACGGCAATACACTCAGATAGGTGGGGAACGACGCTAACTATTCTTGTTGTACCTTGTAAGGAAGATGGCGCAGTCTTTTGTTGTCATCGGAGGCTCGAATCATTTTCCGCCCAACTCAATGATTCCGTACAGTTATTTTCCGTTTCTCTGTTAAGGTATGCAGGTACTCAGAAGGCACACCAAGATATCACGTAGCCATCCATCTCATCACGGGATTTGTTATGGTTAGCCGCTCAACAGTTTGAGTGCGCGAATTAGTGGCTTCTCGTCATCGTCAGGGGTAAGGCTGTGCTTTTATTGTCAGTTGTATGATGCTGACTGAGATCACATACCACTATGCCTGAACTTCTCCGTAGCATTGAAACATTCTGAGCGAAGTTGATGGGGCAGTTCTTGCCGTGTGAGGTGATCCGGGCGGCGGATCTTGAGACACGTTGGTCCTAGCGGGATATCTTAAGTCCATCCCTACTGTAGAATGACAAGCCATAAACAATGCCTCTTATTCTGGTCGTACTCACAACGCTTGTGAGTTACAGATCAAGAATATGTTATAACTAATGATCTTGCGGCCTTTCAGGAACAGGCCCAAGGGAAATGTAATGTGGTGGTGTCCACTGCGGACGGCCGGACGGACGGCCGGACGGGACGAAGCCGCTGGGTGACATGACATACACATTGTCTGTGGGCCGTGGCAGTGGATCCGGCGGGCGGGTTGGACGCAGTTCACTGGGCACGGACGGAGGAGACTAACATAGAACTAATGCAAATGCTCCGGGCTAGTCCCAAATCTAGTCTACTACTAAGGACTTATCACACGGCGGCTAAATCGTGGTAGCCTGTTGGCTCTGGCCTTGCTTAGTGTGTAGCCTAGTAAAAGCAGTCCTTATCACACCTCGGTCAAACCAGCCACTCACCCTCACTTTTGCCGCCTTCCTCCGTTTGGGCTGTTGGTCGCACTAAAACTCCTATCTCGACTAGCCTCGCAGCATGATGAGCACACCTGTTCATTTTGTTCACTTTCTCTTCCCCCGCATCCCCCCCAATTTCCTCATCCTTTCTCCCTATTCCGCCGTGTCTCTCTCTATTGACTGATTACCTATCAATTAAACCCCTGCCTTCTGCCGCGCACAAACAATGGCGTCTGACTCCGAGCAAGAACCGCTAATTGACAAGAATCCACAACTTCAGTCCTATTACCATTCCCTCGAGTCCAGAATCGGATATCGAATCTTTCTTGGTGGCACCCGACACTTCGGCTTCTACGAACATGACACTTGGTGGCCATTTCCCATCTCACGCTCCTTGCGGGCCATGGAGGATAAGTTAGCGGGATTATTAGAACTTCCGCGCGGGGCCTCCGTCCTAGACGCGGGCTGCGGCGTCGGCCACGTCGCAATTCACCTAGCCACCGAGCATGGCTACAAAGTCCAAGGAATTGATATCATCGAGCATCACCTGTACAAAGCGCGCCGGAATATCACCCGAGCCGGTCTGTCGGAGCACCAGGTCACCGTGCGCAAAATGGATTATCACCACCTGCAAAGTCTGCGCCGCGAGAGTTTCGATGGCATCTACACCATGGAGACCTTTGTACATGCGACGGACCCCGAATCCGTGCTGGCCGGTTTTTTCCGGCTCCTCCGCCCCGGAGGCCGGCTAGCCCTCTTTGAATATGACCATGTTCTTAGCGTCGCGGACACCCAAGAGCAGGCGGCGATGGTTGAGGATATGCGCAAGATCAATGAGTTCGCCGCGATGCCGACCAACAGCCGGTCACACCCTGGGACATTCAAAGAGATGCTGGAGGATGCCGGGTTTGAGGATGTCGTGGTCCGGGACTATTCGGAGAATATCCGGCCGATGACGAGACTGTTTTTCCTAGTGGCGTATGTCCCGTATCTGATTGTGACAATGTTGGGCTTGCAACGGTACTTTATCAACACGGTCGCAGGGGTACAGTCGTACCGAGGCCGTGACCACTGGCACTACCTGGCCATCTCAGCCAGAAAGCCGGGAACGCCGATCGAGCCTGCGAAAGATCGTTGACTGTAATATATCATGTGTTCTTTCTAGTCATGTTCTGCGCTTTTCACCATGAGGCTCATGTATATCACCTAGTCGTTTCGAAAGCGTGTTGTACATCATAAGTCTGTTTCAGGAGACCTACAAGGCTTCGCTTTGGAGAGGTTGAGCCCGACAGCCTGGGGGTCTATCTCTGTCTCCCGTTTTGGTATATATATCCGGATGCTGCCAAATGGAGGAGCAGTGGTAGTTTTGCGGGGTATGGAGAGGCGGGTACGAGTTAGCGTACAACTATCCGGCCTACTTATGTGCTCTCGAATCTAAACACGAGCAGTGGCCAGGACAACAGCGTACACAATAGACAGATTTATACACCATGATTCATGGAATCACTAAGCAAAAACATACAACAGAAGGGATTCGCTGGTGGTCACCCACCCAACTACTAACCTCCCGGCGTGTGGCTTAAGTACGGCTGAGCGGACGGGAAGCCCTGTTTTCCACACCCTGTGGTCGTATGTGCTCAACCCTCTGATAATTTTGTCAATGATGATTGAAACGTTGCTTGAAAGACTACATCCTGCCTCTAACCTCAATCAAGCATCGCAATTCCCAAGTGAAGCATCTCTCTTCATGTTACCAATTCCCAAATATTGTAGCTATATTTTCCCAATTGCACAAGTTAATGGAGATATTTTGCAGGTCTGGCTATGATTCCGCTCTAGTTGAACTGAAAACAAGTTAGCGATTGACACGGGGAACATTAAGCCGGCCTGAACATAGCACCAAGGCGAGTATCGCCGTGTGAATTTGATCTTTTCGAATGGAGACATAAAATCGCTTCAAGACAACTATTTCTTCTTTTTCTCATTATTTTTCCTTTTGTCGTCGTCAACAATAAGGCGACCACGCTCATCCATGGGAAGCGCCCACTCCCCACTAAATCCATTCTCTGGGGTTGGCCCGAAGCCCTCATCTGGGGCGACGACCATTCGCGCCGGCGCTGATCCCCTGTGGCCTCGTCTTGCAGGGCCCCTTCAATCCCCTTCAAGCGCTAAAATGAGTAAAATTGACTCTGTCAGTAACAAGATATACTCCTAATGGTAGACCGGGGGACAGAAAGACACGCACGAGCTTGATGCATTGATGAGTGTGATATGTTGCTTGAGCATTCAGGACTGCGCCCATTGGATTCGAAAAGGCTGAGTTGGCTCCTGCGGCTGCGGTAGTGAAGCCCACGATGTCGGATCCGCCGTCGTGCGTCTCGTAAGGGTCTTGGGACATTCTGGTTACTGCACAGCAGAAAGAAAGATATATTGAATCTCGTCAGCCCAGTGTGAACATAAGGATGATCTGACTCTAGGGTCTAGAAAAAGGAGCGGGAAACTGGAACAAAGCTTACTTATATCGAGTTCCACCCTCTCTTACCCAGCCCCTTCGTCTAGCCTGGAAGACCATCCTAGCGTAGCTGAGTTCTAGTGAGCCTAAATGTGTAACCGAAGACGCGCTTAGCCTTGCTCTTGCTCTCTTAAAAGAACTTGTGAGCAGGGTTCCACCCCTAAGGAGTATGATGAACTACAGCTAAGGTTATTCTCCCTGTGTGTCACCAGGAAAAATCCCTGATTGGTGCAATAGGCCTATTGAATCGGCATCCTCTTCAGTCAAGATGGCTTAGCATTTTGACCTTAAAATGAGTAAATTCTCTGCATTGGAGAGAAAAGCATATTACTACTATCCGCTCGCGGACGTTCTGAAAGCAAGTCGTTGAGTGGCTACTCCACTTCGCAAAGTGTGCTTAACTGGGCGTGTGAAACGCCAGCAATTTTTCCAATTCAGTCGAGCCGAGCAAAAGTGGAAGATGAAAATACGCACCTGATGTCCATTTGATACCACCTAGATCAATCAATCTTTTCAAACGTTAGTAAGGAATTATCCGGCTATTTACTGCGTCTTCTTACTTATACTCCAAGGACTGAATCTAGTCATTATGGAAGAAAGAACGATATTTCGGACATGGTTAGACAAATCACAGAGTCTTCATGGAAAAGAACAGTCCCGCCTGTGAGCTGAGTGCAAGCTATATAGTAACATAGCCCGTGTGACTATGCTGTGAAGCATGAGATAGGCACAATCGCAGCAGTGAAAGAAGAAGTTGAACCTCACCCAAGACTGAATGTTCCAGGGCATGGAGAGCCACACGATGTTCACACCCAGCCCAACTTGACGTATATGCTCGGTGCATACACAATTCCCGTAACGTTTTCGGGGTCGCCCGCTGCAAAGAGCGCAGTTAGGAGGGCCTAAAGCCGTCCGCTGTCATCTTCAGGACCGTGCTTGAAGAGGGTCTCGATGCTGTCTGTGGTGGATCAATGGCTGACACTGGGCTCGCGCCTTCGTCGTCTGGCCACTCAGCCAGTAGTAGACGCCCAAAGAGATCGGGGTCAATTAGGAACCTGTCAAGCTCCTCTATGGACTGCTTTGGCTGCTGGCGTCTCGATACCCGCATCAACTGCGCCCTAGAGGTAGTGATTCGCAGAATAGGCGGAGGCCTCAATGCGAGCATCCCTAAACAAATTTGGAATAAACCTATTTTTATAGATATATATTTAGTAAATGGATTGTATATGGTAACGGTCCGGCCCGAGCCCCAGTACCACGGAATAGTCCTATTATTACGCCACACATGTATTGATTGAGATACGATGTTCGAGGAGGCTTAGCCAATACAATGTCTCGGCCATTGGACTGGCCGACTCCTCCCCCAGCACAGCCTTCAAGCTGGTTTTGGCCGGGCACGTATGTCACACGCACAGCCACGAAGGCTACTGCTTTTCTTGAAAGAGAAAGGGTATGTTGCCAATCCAGGGGACATGTTACCACCGATCGAAAGAGATCAAACGGCGTCTCGTGGGTGATCGCCGTCTGCCGAGGACTCTGCGCGTGACCCAGGGGTTATACCTACAACCCTCGTGCTTACCAGCATTTCCTTGGTGGTCGTCTTCCTGGTGACCTCATTGCGCTGGGGTGCGAAACCGTCGAATATAACTGGCATCATGGTGGTCTAGACGCAATCGCCGATTGGTGGCATTCGAGCCAAGCACTGCCTATACCCGAACTAACTCTGGCATGACACTCCCCTGAACTTTGTATATCTTAAAGCTCTCTCCTGCTGCGGTATGCACTGGCGCTATTACATCTAGATCACCTGAAACCTGCGTCTGCCCGTCCTCCCTCAGCCGATGACCGCAAGACCGCAGAATCTGATCCTCAGCGATAATCTTCCCGTCACTGATCTGCAAGCCGACAGCATCGCTACGCCCGTACTCTTGCTTTTTGGTTCTATGTTCCTGTTTGCATAAAACTCCCACTTCCCCACGCACGCCGAGCACCTTCTCTGGCAGATCACCGGCGCCTATAACCTCATCTTCACAGTGATTGGCGGGTTACACGCTGGCTGCTGTGACAAAATTCTCCTGCCCCGACACCGACAAGAATATCTGATGCATCACTCCCTCCCGCCGCTCGAGCCATCATCACCGGGCGTGGGCTGTGTGCCTCGGTGGAACCACCTCGCGAATCAAATGCGGAATATCGACCCGGTCCGTGACCCTAAGTCGGAGGTTCCGCTGCGCGCGCTTGTCCCAACGTCCGTACTCTGCGCCCTGTACTGCGTGGGGCGGGGATATATTTTAGTCGAAGAATTGATCGGGTTGCGGTGCTTGCCGGCCTCGGCATTCCAGACTGTCAGTTGGTCGGTTTATGTTCCCCACCTTTGGAGGAAGGGTTTATATACGAAAGAGTATATACCACAGAATATGTTTGGGATTATTGCAGCTATTGCTGAGAGAAAAAAGGACAGTAAGCACGTCCGGAGGTGTAGTCTAGTTTAGCCCTGATTTGTTGTTGCTCAGTAAAATGGATGTTACATGAAAAGCCGGCACTGGTGGTGGTGCATCTTATCATGAGTTGGACTGCAACTCCCTGCCGGCAGTACTCGGATGAAACCTGAAGAACCAGCCCACTAATCGGGATTGATGCTTAGGTATTGATTGACCCAGGGAAAGCAGTGGGTCGGGGTTCGTATGCACGGGCCAGAGTGATATCTTACTTGTGAACTTATTAGCCACAAGACTTTTCGGATGCAACTGCCAATGGCTGCATTAAATTCAAGCTCAAGGCAACTAATGATGGCGCCTTGCTGAGTGATTATACCTGAACGATTACCCCCTTCGACATCCACCCATGCCTGCCTTTTTTCCCCCTATCGAATTTTCCAAGATCGACCTGCGGAATTTTTTGCAAGTCATTATTCCCCACCTCGAGCTGTTCTGTTGTTTCTTCGCATACATGTTCCAATCTCTTGACAGATACACCAATGGCACACTGACAATCCCGCGCTCCGACGACAAGAGGCGCTCGTACTCTTTGTCCGCCATGCCGTGCGACTTGATGTCCGCTGCGATGATTGGGTGATAGGCAAGCAGATGCTCATTTGTCAACAAGACCCCTGAAGAGTATTTTGTCCCGGAATGGGAGAGCTCATCTGATTATCGCGGGTGAACTGTCCTGAAGAGGGTTGCCATATAGAGCACATTGGCGGGGAAGGTAATTTCAACACGAGTGCTAAATTGTGTGTGTCTCACAACAGCCCAACAGGAGACGTTCAGGCATTAACTAAGTGGGGCAATTATACTATGTACAAATTAAGACTAATGCCCGGCTCAGCCTCCAGACTATACACGTTGATTGGTGCCCTGGAGGTGTAATCTGCACTTACACACGCTAGTCCGCACGCGGCTCCAGGGCTAATGAAGGAAACACCAGATGAAGAACCCTCCCTGGCCCTTAACCGAGATTGCAATGTAGGATTACTCAATATCGTGGGGTTATTACCTGACCACCATGGAGATTCAGCTTTCGTGAAGAGCTTCAGCTTGTCTGGAATGGGAAACTGGTCGTATTGGACTGCAGCTGAGATGGGCCCTAGATGGACCTTGTCCGTAGGGTTGCGAGTATAAAATCATCACCCTCAGCCCAGATATTATGGAAATCAGGGTCTTAACAGTCGTTCTTTTACCCCAGTCATTCTTTTACCCCAGTCATTCTTTCAACATGGCCAAGCTCAGCTGGCTTCTGACCTCTAGTCTCTCTTTTGCATGTCTTACCACAGCACTTCCTGCTGGCTCTCTTTTGAAATCTCAATCATCTACTGATTTTAGTACTTTCGATGTCGAACAATGGGTCCCTTCGTTGGACTATGTTCCTAACAAACCGTATGCATTCACTTCAAAGCTATAAGAACTTCACTGACACGTATACGGCAGAGGAATTCCCTTTCTAATTCAAAATAAGACCGCGCGGCCTTGGGACCCGGTACCTCCCCCCTCGCTCGGTGGAAATATCACCCACCACCAGAAGCGAGCAAACTGCGGGGGTCCAACCCCAGACAGCCCCAGCAAGTTCTGGTACGAGACTATCGCCCACAACGGCGAGTCCTCCTTCCTCGACTCTTCCTACAAGGCCAACTATAAGGTCTTCCGGAACGTAGTCACCGATTATGGCGCCGATAATACCGGCGCCACTGATGCTTCTACCGCGATTCAAAATGCCATCAAAGGTACGTCTGCATGTTTTGTGCAGCAACAAAATCTCCCGCTAAAGAGTACATAAACAGCCGGAGCCTCCAACGGTCCTGATCGGAGCAGCGGCTCCATGGGTACAACCGGCCAGCCCGCCGTCGTTTACCTGCCGGCCGGCACGTACAGGCTAGACAATAGCCTCCAACTCTACGTCGGCACAGTGATAGTTGGAGACGCTCTGAACCCGCCAATTCTCAAGGCCAGCGCAAACTTCCCTAATGATCACATTATTTACGGGAAGGACCCCAAGCTGGGTGGGACGATTAACTTTTACATCGGATTCAAGAATGTTATCATTGACTCGACGAGTGTTTCAACCTCTACTTCGATTACCCTTCTGGATTGGACTGTCTCTCAGGCGACACAGCTGACCAACGTGGTGTTCAAGATGCCGAACAACTCAAAACACGTGGGTGTGACGAGTCAGTACGATTCAAATAGTAATATTATTCTTGTGCGTTTCACCCATCCAGCGTTATCCATCGACTAACCAAATACTGACCATGTGTAGAACGACCTGACCTTCTACGGCGGCGCCATTGCCATGCAGCTCAGCGGCCAGCAATGGATTCTGAAGGGGATCAACATCAACGGCGCAAACGTCGGCATCAAAGCCGGTGGGTTCGAGCTTGTGTGTCTAGACTGCACCCTCCAGAACGGCGCAACTGGTATTGATGCGAGCGGAATCTCCGGCTCCCTGACCGTCATTGACTCCAGCGGTAGCTACCTGGGGAACATGATCATCTCCTCCAATGCCGGCGGCAGCGCCAAGAATTCCATCATCCTCGACAAGGTGGACTGCACAAACAGCGGCAGCACTGTTTCCCTCAATGGCAAGGCCGTCCTGACAGGTTCCGTGACCAACACCTGGGTGCACGGAAACCTGTACTCTGGCGGCGCGACCTCACCGGCCTACGAACAGGGGCTGGACGTCACTACCGCCCGCACAAGGGTTCTCCTTGACTCCAACGGGAAATACTTCACCATGGCTCCGCCAACCTACTCTCAGTACTCTTCTAACCAGGTCATCAACATTAAGAGCGTCTCCGGACTTCCCGTGCTAGGTGATGGCGCGACCGACGATACCGCAAATATCAATGCCATCCTTGCCCAGTACGCCGGCTGCAAGATCATTTACTTCCCCGCGGGAACTTACATCGTCACCGACACTATCCTCGTCCCCTCCGGTTCTATCATCATCGGCGACGCCTTCGCCTCGGCAATCAGCGCCACTGGCTCCAACTTCTACAACCCCAACTCGCCCACAACCATGGTGAAAGTCGGCAACGCGGGCGACGTCGGAACGGCGCAGATCTCCGATATGCTCTTCACGGTCGCGGACGTGCTGCAGGGGTGCAAGCTGCTGGAGGTGAACATCGCGGGATCGTCGCCAGGAGCCGTGGGGCTGTGGAACACGCACTTCCGGATCGGCGGCGCAGCAGGCAGCAAAGTGCAGACCAACTGCTACGGGAACCCGGACATCTGCAAGGCTGCATGGGGCCTGCTCCATCTCACCAAGACATCCTCGGCCTACATCGAGAACATGTGGGGATGGACGGCTGACCACAACCTCGACGGCAACCTGGAGTCCACCACCGTGTCGACCGGCCGCGGCATGCTCATCGAGTCCACGGCAGGCACCTGGTTAGTGGGCACCGCCATGGAACACAACACCCTCTACCAATACAACTTTGAGTACGCGTCCAACGTCTTCAGCGCCTTCCAGCAGAGCGAGACGCCCTACTGGCAGGGCTGGGGGGCGCCCAGCTCCGGCATCGCGCCCGCGCCCTGGGCCGATAACCTCATCGCTAGTGACCCCTCGTTTAGTAACTGTGCTGCTGATGATGCCGGGTGCCGCATGGCGTTCTTCGAGCGCATTCGCGGTTCGAGTGACCTATTCCTGTACGGCGGGTGTGTGTGGGCGTTTTTCAACCATGGCGGAAGTTGTACGGGCGATTGTCAGGCCAATGCTGTGCGCATCCTCTCGAGCGAAGGGAGTGTGTATCTATACGGGACGAACGTGAAGGCGATTAGCAATGTTGTGGTGGAGAACACGGTTGTTGCGGCGAGTGAGAGTGCGAACTCCGGGGGTTGGGGTGGCGTTGTTGCCGCCTATCTGCATAATGCCAATGGGGCGACCTCTGGGGGTGGCAGCAGCAGTGGCAGCAGCAGTGGCAGTGGCAGTGGCAGCGGCAGTGGTAGTTCGAACGGGCTTGCGGTTACAGGTAACGGGCTCAATTGGTATAGCTCGTCCTTGACCGCCGGGGCAGCAGCCTACGAAGACCCGGAGTACTACTACTGCTTTGGCGGACCGGCGGCAAATTTCCCTCCCTTTGCCAACTGGATGGGCTTCACGGAGATGTTTGACTTGAACCAGCAGACCTCCATGGCCTTGGTCGAGTCGGGTCCGATCCAAGGCGATATCTGGAATGCTATCGTGGCGGTCTCGGCAGACGCAAAGGTCGATCCGAGGTTGATTCTGGCGGTGGTCATGCAGGAGGTACGTACCATCCCTACCCTAAAAACTTCTAAGCCATCATAACTAACCGACTATCTGCCATAATTAGTCCAGCGGCAACGTCTACGTCGGCTGCACCAACAACGGGGTGCAAAACTGCGGGCTGATGCAAGCCTACAGCGGCTCCGTCTCCTTCGACGCCAACGACCCCGAGGGCAGCATCCACCAGATGATCGTCGACGGCACGCAGGGCACAGCTGCGGGTGGCGGTCTCGTGCAGTGGTTCAACAACGATAATGTCGGCGTTGATGCGGGCGGGAACCCGTATAATGTGTTGCGTGGCTATAACTCGGGGAGCATCAACTTCAATGATCTGGATGATCCGCAGGATGCCACCGCGTCCTATGTCAGTGATATTGCGAACCGGTTGCAGGTGAGTTTCTCTTTTTCTTGGTTAGGAATGTGAAGCGCTTCGGCTAATGTTGCATGTAGGGGTGGAATGGAAATGATGGGCATGGATATAGGGCTGCTTGTGGGTGGTCATGATGGGAAGGCTGTCCTGTTTCGCGGTCGTCGTGTCGTCGATTAAAACGTGCATTCAGATGAAACTCACTGATGTTGTTACGGCTCCTTGCCTCATCCCCCGGGCCATCACTCCTGACCTCAATTCTGTAATTTCGGAATAGGAGGTTGGGAATAATATGATTGGTTTTTTCTCATTTTATTGAGCAGAACTTCTCAGTAAAATAGGGTTCGTAATTTAAGATATCTTAATATCTAGCTGTCTAATCTAATACATGAACCAGTAGGAAATATAGAGAGAATAGAGGTATTGCAACGGGCGTAAGCGCGGAGCCCTAGGCTAGGTCCTGAGATGCTATTCAATGAACCTGGGACAATGAGATTTTAATAACTGATAATATTACGAAAGAATCCTGTAAGAATTACTGTGAGAGGGGAATAGAAGAGAAGAAAGGTATTATCAAAAAAAGTAACTACCTTTTATACAAAGAAGATACTCCTTATCTTTTGCTATATATAATCCTTCTACAGAAAAGAATTTATATAAAGAAATTTGAAATCACTGTACTATGGTTATATATATATAAAAAAATATAAGAAGATTATATAATATATTTGATATTTTTTTATTATAGATTATCAAAACCAGTTACTAGTATATCCCTGGCTAGAATTAAGGAAAACTTTAACTTTCTAATAGCTTTTATATTATTATTTTCTTCTGGGTTTTGTAATCATTATGATTTTAAGACAAGCCGAGCGACTATTTTAGCTCGTCTCCCCATTGCGATTCTTCTTCTTCCCTCGTCTCCCACCTTTTCTCTCCTTACCGTCTCCCCCTTTCCTCCTGATACCCAAAATGTCATTCGCACCGCCGCCCGGATCCACCGCGGAGTTGCACAACAGACTCCAAAGCGAGCCGCACTGGGGCTACACCATCTACCGCACCACCTTCTCCGCCCAGGCGGACGCCGCATTTCCCACCATCCTCCGCTACCTCGACGCCTGCGTCAAGAAATCGCTCTTTTCCGAGTGCGCCTCCTACAGCGAGAATTCCCCCGGCGTAGATCACGCCATCTACCAGGGCATCTGGGCTAAATATCAGTCCATCGTCGTTGGAGATGCGGCGCGGTTTGCGGGGGCCTCAATGGAGTCAGTCCGGGATCACTTCGAGGCCGTTGTTGAAGGACAGGGCCGACGTGACTTCTTTAACTCGGATCGCATGTGCATTGTCATCGACGAGGAGTCCCTGCTCACGCTGCTGGATGCATCGGTAGAGGCCCTGGAGGCGGAGGGGCCCAACCACGTCCTCGAAACGACGCGGTTCGTGAAGGTGGTCGAGGCGTGGCCGACAGTGGACCAGTATGACAGTTTCCCCGGGTGGATGGAATGTTCGCCCCGGGCGATGTGGGATCTCTGGAAGATGATGGGCGATGGCGAGGAGGTGAGGAATTCGTGGGAGGATATGGATGACATGGACGGGGGGGTGTATTGTGGGCCGTGACGATAATAGGAATAAATCACGCAGTAGGTAAGTTAGTGTCCAACTGTCTGATGTTGGGAATACGCTAATCTCGTAGCGACAGAACCGAAAGTATGAGGCTCTAACCTCTAAACTATCTGCAGGATCCTCAACTAAATGCCTTCAATAATGGATAGGATATATTGTCATTATATTACCCGGAAGGAAAACGCGATGTTTCCGGAGGGGTGGAAGCAAGATCTGTAGCAATATGCATAGTAAAGGCACCAACTTCGGTACTAGCTAATCCATCAAAAATAGTGCTAATCTAAATCTTTCTGGAAAACAATAAATTCCGAGATTTCCAATCCCACGACTCCCCATCCAGGAATCCTCTCTATTCTGGGCATGTTCCTTGCCTAAGGTTAACTATTATATAACCAATTTTATCGCAGAATTTACTATTACAGGATTAACTATTCCAGCATACCCCCAAGACCCAGAACTCAGATGCACTCGAAAAGAGCTACCTTGAACTGTGGTCGGAGCTAGATCTATACCGGGAGCAGCTCCCCTTCTCTCTTACCGAGAACCGTAGGTGACCCACGCGCGGCTCCCAGAACTAAGTATCCCGATCTAGATCTTCTCCTGATGCAGTACTATACAGCCGAGCTCCACCTCTGCCAAGTAATACTGTTTGACCATAAACCGAGCATCCAGCACCCGCGTCACGATTCGCCCTTCCAGATTAAAATCCTGCGTATAGGGCTGACCGCAGCGCGTACATTACTGGACTTTTATATTGCCCTGCCCCTGCGTCAGGAGATGGCTTTTAATAATACAGGCTGGGTACAGCTCGGCTTTGCCGTGACGCTGGCCTGCAAGCTGGTAGTCACCGCGGCAGACCCCTCAATCCACCCCCATACAATGGATTTAACCCGCGCGCTTAACCTCTCTGCCATGCTAAGCCGGTGTGTTCTCCGTATCCAGGCACTGGTCACCTCCCAGATAGACGCCCGCGGCGATTGTGACGTGTTTTACAACTACGAGAAGCGACTCAAGCGGGCGCAGTGGTGGTTTGAAAGTCGGAGCCTGTCCCGATCCCAGCAGCAGCTGAATGAGTCTTTGCCGGTGGGCGCTGGCGAAGCCTCGTCAACGAGGAACACCGGCATCGCGGAGATCCCCGCTGAAGAGGAATTGAATGGTTATGCTGCGGTCCCGCGAGATGACTTTGACTTCCAGTGGCCCGGGTTGTCTCCGAGTGCTGCCTTTGATGATATGTTTGCCGATTGGATGACGCAGGGATCTACTGGATTTGGCTAAAGATAGAGGTTTTGCCAAAGTAGGAGTATGTACGTACAGACTAGATTTATACAAGAAGTTGAGTCACGCTTCTTTTTGGCTGGGAGGTAAGACCAAAGATCACTAGAGCCATGCCCGCCAGCGACAAGCCTGCTCCGCACCACCCGAGCCAGTTCCCGAATACATGCTCTGCAACGGCGACTTCATCCCCGCGCGGCGTCTGCCCTGCGCACCGTACAAAGAATGCTTCCCCTGATTCCGCGTCGTCAAACAGGGCCGAAGGAACGATGGCGATCGTAGTCTGCGCGCTACCACCACCACCAGCAACCGACCGTAGCCACACCGCCAGGGCACGACTGACCACCACGGAGCCCGATTCCGCGAAAGCCATGACATAGGCCGGGATGCCTGACCAGCGGTGAGCATGGGCCGTCAGAGCCAGTTTGATGATGAACGGATGCCCCGGGGGACTAGCCATCATTTCCGTGCCGACGCCGTAGGGCCAGCGCTGTGGCAACAGCACATGGCCCTGCTGCACGTTTCCAGCTGATAGCAGAGGCCCCAGCGAGCGACCACAGCCCAACTCCGGATCCAAGAAGACTCCCCCGTAGTGCCAGAGGAGTAAATAGCGGAGCGCGTCGACGCGCTGCATCGGCAGGAGGTGGTCCGTGTAGGTGGCGAGGTACCACGGGAAATGCCGGGCAATGAACTGGTGCGCGGTCTTGTCGGTCCAGATGTATTGCTGGTACACGGGGTTCTGGGCCTGACAGGAGGTCGTTGCGTTGCTCCATTCCGAGGGAATGTCTGAGGTGAGGTGCCGCCACATGCGATGGATTATTTGCGGGATGGGTGCGGTGGCGACAGCGCTGTTGTTGTTGGTGTTCTCTGTTCCATCGCTAATGGAGGGGGGAGCCCATTGGATTGGCTGCTCGATGTGGGCTACTGGGGTGGTTTCTGGAGCAAGATGCTCGTGAGTGATGAGATTGTCATGCAGCGATGTGCGGAAATGAAGGAAAGATGCCAGCCATGAGAGGAAGGTGATGAGCAGATAGAGCGTGACACAGGTTAGGAAGGGACCCTGACGGGCTCGAATAATTAGGGCTTCGAGTTGAGGTGACAAGAAAAGAGTTGGCAGAATAGACCGGCACTTCATGGCCTGCTGCTTCAGTATTTTACTTGGTAGCATCATGGAAGTTCTCCGGCCTCCGACAGGTATTGGAGAGGGACAGAAGTTCGATCTCTGAGCATGACGAAAGAGGGTACTGCACAGTAAAGAATCAGAGGTCTAGGAAAATAGGTGGCTTAGCTAGACTGCGTGTCCGTGTCCGTGTCTCTGTCCTTGTCCGTGTTCTAGTCCGTGCTCTAAACCGTGTGCTTATCCTTGTCCGTGTCCGTGTCGGTGTCCGGGGCCGCACCGAGCCAGCAAATCTATTGCAGCTAAATATCCTGGAAATCTTGGATGGCCAAGAGATACCCCTGGGATAGATCGTGGGCGTGCGTAATGGGTAATGGTATGGTCACAGGTTACTCAGCCACCACAATGCAGAGACCAAACACAGACATGAACACGGACAGACTCCGACCCACATTGGGCTACTATCGACTTCTATGGCTAAGTATCATTCACCAGGAGCCCTAATCTTCTCTCCATGCATTTTCAACCAGCGTTCCTCATTCTTCACCTCATTAGTCACATATCATGACTAACTCAACCGATCTTTCGGACTATTGCACTTTAGAAATCTGTCCCATCACAGAGGCGTATGTTTACCATATCCCATCATTGGCCGGTAATACTTTCTACTTGACTTTGTTTGCCATGCTACTAGCTGCTCAACTGGTTTTGACTGTGCGCTACCGGACTTGGGGCTACTTAGCTGGTCTTTTTGGGGGCCTCGTCCTGGAGATTATTAAGTATATCAGACATATACAATTACATTCCAACCCCTTCCGCTTCAACCCGTACTTGGAGTACGTTTGCTTTTTCACCCAGCCACTGCTTACTCACAGCTCTTCGTTCCGACTCTGACCACGATACCAGATACCTAATCTGTTTGACTATTGGACCAGCCTTTCTCAGTGCCTTTATCTATATCTACTTAGGCCGCATCGTGATTGTCTATGGCGAGGGAATCTCTTATCTCCGTTCCAAGACAGATACAATTGTCTTTATAGCCTGTGATCTAGTCTCGCTTATTCTGCAAGCAGCAGGCGGTGCTATTACCTCAGTGCAGATGCTGATCAGTTTGATTTTGCCCAGGATGGCATCAACATTATGATCGCCGGGCTGGCGAGCCAGGTAGCGTCCCTTATTCTCTTCATGGCCCTCTGTCTTAACTACGCATGGCGAGTATATAAGAGCCCCCATGCCCTGAACCCGGAGACGCGTATGCGTGATCTTCGCCATACCCTTCGCTGGAAAGCCTTCCTAGCCGGTAAGCACTTCCTTGACAAATTTGATTCTTGCGGAAAGCTTACTATATCTCTTTTCAGGTCTGGCCCTTGCCACCGTGACCATTTTCGTGCGATCAGTCTTCCGAGTTGCGGAGCTCAAAGGGGGGTTCCATAGTTCATTAGCCAACAACCAAGTGCTCTTCTTGACTCTCGAGGGGGCGATGGTTGCTATCGCGGTTATCGCGCTGACTGTGCTACATCCGGGCCTCTGCTTTTGACGGCCTCTGGGATCAGACTAAATGGTCTTTTCGTCGGTCCCGGGACAGTGAGATGCAATTGATCAAGGTCAACGCCGGCCATGAGGCGAAGGCTCAGCGGGTTGACTCGGGTATGAGCTGAGAGTCCGATTTGCGATTTATACTATCGTCTCCTTGCCCAACACGTATATTTATGGGTTCATTGTTAAGAAGGATCTTGTGTAATTTTCTTAGACCCGTAACCCGTACTGATACTTCCAAACTAGCTGGGGCTCGGTGTAGTTTTTTTCTTTTTTTTTTTTCTCGTCTTGTTGCGCATATGTAGAACGGGTGTGATCGAACCATGATATCCTCCCGGCCCTGAAATACTGGTACTCATACATCATAGTTTGATAGCGGGACTACAGGACAGACAAGATCCGAAGCGGCGGATTCCGCATAGATTCGTTCATATTTTCGTCTTGGCCCGCTCTATTCACAATCTACTAAGTACCTATCCGTACTCACCACCGGAACCAGAGCCACGTAGCCCTCCGGCCCCAACACCACCACGCGGCGGCCAAGACCGGCGTCGACAACTTTGCAAGTATGAACCCCACCGTGCGCCACCAGCGCCTCCGGCGACCCGCCAGGAATTGCTCGGTGTTATTGACATTGGGGAAAGGCACGTCGGGCACGGGGACTCCCAGGAACTCGCACAGTGGCCCGTTGGTCGGCCGGACCGCCCAGACTATCCCGGACGCGCTACAATTCCTCTTCTTCTATGACTGGCCCGGCGGTTCCAACATTCTGGAGCAATTGTGTCACTGAGGCCACCAGCTTCCGCGTCACTGCGAGGCCTCTTCCCAAATCCATGAGGACCGTGAAACTTCCGTCGTCGATTGCTGCGCGGACACACCGGTCCACAGCAACTTTCTGTAGTGGACGATCATAGAAACGGGCCTCCTGCTCTGGGTTTGGGGCATACCGCTCGGCGATCGCCTGCGCCTCCACTGGATGTGCGGAGTCCACCGAGTCCGCGTCCGTCACCATCCATTCTCCTCGCTGGTAAGCGGGAAAGGTGATCGTCACTCGCCCTTCTGGTGACGAACCGCCAGGAGAACCTTATTGATACTACCAACCACAAGGGAAGCCGGATAATTGGCCTCGTCGCGCATCACATCCCTCACACCTGTGCTGACAGGGTTTGTTCTGTCCCGCTGAGTGGCATCGAGCTGTGTGACTTCACCCTGCACCCCAGCCTCAAAATCGACCGCCCGTTGCCGGGAAGTTAAACCGGCTCATGACGCCTTGGACACTCCTCCCGGCCGGGCCTGCTTTGGCTTGGCTACCTTGGACGGTTACGTGGCCTTCCGGTTGGGCCGGGCAGCGGCCGCAGGAGTGCTGCCTTCTTCGGAATCTTCCATTTCTCTGTCCTATGCCTCTTGCATCCTATGCGGAGGATCAAAAAGGAGTCTCTCGCCTCCTGTCTTGCAATGGCCTCCCGTTGGACCTGCCCTGGATTGGGCAGAACGGCGGGATATCGCTCAGCATCCTGGGGCGAGACGGCAGTCGTTTGGGCCGTGATGCCTCCCGCTTCGTCGTCGCACCCATCGCTACCCCACAACTCATCAGCGATGGCAGCATCTCGAGTACCTGCCCGGTTGATCCCTCGACCTGTCGTCTGATTCTTCTTCAGTTTAAAAAACTTCTGCTTCTGTTTCATGTGGCTGCGGACCGATCCTCGGACACCGTTGAGAAGACCGGGGTGGATTCGTACCGTTCAAACCGCTTCCGAGCCGTCCCTCTTCCGTGCTCTGCGCGATGGGCTCAAGGGGCAAGGGGCGGAGGGAGGCTTCGTCTTCAGGCGCGCAACGCTTGTATTTGCATCGACGGGCGGGCGGTACACCTGCATCAAGCTGGCTTCCTGACACTCCTGCCGCGGTGAGTGAGACCCTCAGACTGCTTATTGATTTGTGTTGGGTTTCAAGGCTAAGAAAACTTGTACAAATGTGTTCCCTACAGATGAAGGATAGATAAGGGCGAGTATTTTTCCGAGTTGGCACAGTTGGCAAGACTTGGATGGCGGTTCTGTGAGTTGTTACTGGTGTTCGACGATTTTTTTTAGGTACGGCGAAACAGTTGGATAGAACAATGTGTTAGCTATATCGGTATCTAAGGTGGTATCGGTCAAGCACCGAGGGTCAAGTCGACGGCTGATGCTTCATAACCGAGTCTCTAATATAAGGCCTAGGTGGTATATACTGCTCTCAGTTTGATCTTGGATTAGTTTCAAAATCTAACCCTCCCTTACCATTTGATCTCGTACCTAGCAGAGAAATCAATCTTATATATAGTAATTCAGTCAACATTCCTTATTTTGATCATGTTCATTTTGAGTCGATGGGGTTTTTTCTAGAACGTAAGCCCGACACTGTCCATCTCATCCAACAGCGTTCCAGGGCCCGGCTCAAGACCCTTACTAACAAGAGGAAGCATACATATAACGAAAGTATGTCGATTGTCCTCCTTTTTTTTCACAAACACCTTCCTAGGGTTTTCAATTCTTCGCCGCTCAGAAACCGGTGCTCAGGACCAGGTCAGATTGATACTAAAATCTTATCTATCGATAGATCTTATTCAACAGTGCTGCAAGACATTGGTATTTAGCAGAGAATTTGCCTTTTACTCAAGAGAAAATCGGCAGTTTTCTGTCAGTATAAGCTCAACAAGCGGCAACTTCCTCCATTCTTACACACTCGGTTCTTTATTCTGCAATATCTTATTAGAGCTTTCCCGGAATCAACCTTCATATCGCCTGATTCACGTGGTATCCATCATTAAAAAAAAGGAGATCTTATCTGAATCATGATAGGGAAAAAACAAACACCACAATCTCCGACTATAAATACACCGCGTCACTATCCTACCCCATGAAAAATCCTTAAGTCATTCCAACAAACTTGAACCACTCCCCCAGAGAAGAACGTTTCAGATCGTCGCACCAGGTCCCCCCAAGACTGACTGCATAACCCCTATCGGTAAGCATGGAGCAGGAACGTCAACAACGAACCACGCGTAACCGTCTCCCGCCACGATGTCCCGGCCCCGCGAGCGAGGAGTTGTACGTTTGCGTGCATGACGGACCTTGTGGAGAGCGACCGCTATTCCTTCTGAACAACGAACTCCTCCTCGAGAACAACTGGGCCCTGGTGATGCAGATGGTTCGGAACCACTGGCGCGCAACTCGAGCGCTGGACCCGAGGGCTCACCCCCCCTACAGGCCCATGGGTGCGATTTGTTTCTATCGAAGCAGGGCTCGGTTCTTCTGGGAGACCCCTGCTCCCCAGCGACAGCTGCGCGTCTTTGGGCACAACGGGCGCATCGAATTTTCTTCGTATGATGGCAGTCGCCTTGCTGCCCTCCGCGCATTCAACATCTTTTTTCGAGGACTCGTTGAGTCGGAGATCCTCACCACGGGGATGCGCTAGATAGACAATGCGTGGCACTTTGCTTCTATGAGGGTCCGTTGTCTTGGATAATCTTCTCGTATGGGAGAGGAGGAATGAAGGAAACAAGATGGGAGAGTCCAGGCAGAAAGGATGAAAAAGAAGGATTAAGAAAATATAAAGAGGCCGGACGTTGCGCTCTGGTAACTAAAAACCAATTTTGCATAGAAGCTTGTACTGTAAGATGTTCATGTGAATAGCTTTTTGTTGTGTGTAGGCGTATTTAGATCCAAGAGTCAATAGAGAAATCTACCAGAAGTGATATACAGGTCGCTCGAAATTGATCCAGCAGAGAGTATCTTCACCTTTAGTGAACAAGGCAAGGGCGAGAAAAAGCTGGCTGAAGGGGCAGATGGCGTGCTGTTGCGTGTACAGTTGAGCTAGACAGAAACAGTTTGTAAAGGACGTGAAATGCCATAAAGCATATGATCTATGTCGGAATTATTATTTTTTTGGGCCAGTGCTAAGGAGTACCCTTTATGCTGCCACGGCAACTGAATCCTCGGGGGTGCCTTCCATACCCGCACACTAGGTCCACATTATTCCCCCAAGAAGTGAAGATCTGAGGCGGTAGCAACTGAGATCTAATCACTTTTACATGCCTCATATTATGAGCACCCACTCTCATACTGATTGACCTACCACTGCAGAAAGGTCAAACAGTTAGGTTAAGGTATATCGACAGGCAACCTTACTTGATGATATTGTAGATCATACGCTATATCTCTGTGTCTTTCGGTTTTGAAAAGAAACGACGAAGCAACAATACTGCTACGAAAGAGGTTGGGGAGAAGGGCAGGATATCTGTTTCGACAGGTTAGATGCACCAAGCCCCATTGTGCCGAAAAGTCCCACAAGGAGATTTCCATGTCGTCTCCCCGGAGGTTTTTGTTCTGTAGCTTCGCTCTCCTAAATGGAACAACGGGCATCACAAACAAGGGGAAATCTCCCTAAATTGCTTTACACGATATGAAAGAACCTCGAGGTTCGAATATCAGGGACCCTTAACTTCTTCCCTTATATAACCCTGGTAATTTCTCATGACTGTCTGAGTTCTCTGTTGTGAAGTTACAAGCAGGCCGCAACACTCTTGCTTTGCCTATGTTCAGCCAAGCCATCGCCACATGAAGCCGGTACTTTCTCTGTGATATCATCTTGTCTCAAGACCAATATCCAATATGTCTTCGTTCGATTCCCTGCAGGTGAATCTGGAAGACGACAGACCCAGGAACGAGCGCCACCTTCCGGATGATGCCAGTAAGCGGGAAGGATCAGACGTGGAGGAAGATATAGGTTTGGAAACCTGTCTGAACCTAGTGAGCAAACGCTACGTGAAGTGGATAAATAAGTTTCTGAACTACCCCCCACTTCGCTATATGAATCTGATGGCCCAAGTCTGGTGGTCCTTGGAGATGAACCCTACCAACAGGCTGGAGCCCGTATCCGGGTGGCCCTTGTCGCTGTGGTCCTTGCGATTCTGCAACACAGATCTGATGTCTGCATTCATGTGGAAACTAGCGCTCTTGATTTTGCTAAGTCACTGGGTGGTGTTTCTCAACGCCATGATTGGCAAGAACGACAAAGCGAAAAGAAACAGGTTTTTCGAACACGGTCACTGGTACTGGATAACGTATTACGGGTCAGGTGGAACAGGAATTTCACAGATGTTTTGGGCTATTCGAGCGATGATGTCCCTGACAATGATAATGACCCTGTCTCTGTTTGATCTCGCTCGGGGCCTGAAAAAGGTGTGGATTGCGTCCTGCAACTGCTATCAAACTGAGGCATCCCACGCCAAGACAGACTAGGTCTATCCTATCCGCTTTACACCTCACACTGATACTTCCTGGCTTCGATGCTTTTACGCGCGGTTGAGGTCGTTTGTCTGGTCGATCAGCGAGGAAAACGCAAAGTACCAGAATTACATGGGCAATAAATCTTCTGTGTGTTCCGAGAACGAAGATTCCGATCAAAGATTCTGTGTACTAATGCAGAGAATAGCGATCTAGTTGTTCAAAATTCAATTCACAACTTTATGAAAGATCTTTATCCTTTCATTCTAGTAAAAAAGAATTCCCTCCAGCCTTCCCATTTTCTAAACCATATGGAGGAGGAGGAACCCCCCTTTTGACGTTTCGCGAAAAGTGGAAGAACGAAAGAATGTGTCAAAAGCATCAACAAGACATCCAGCTCCACCAACAGTCATTAGCTTAGCACGACAGGGAGATCGATATTCAAGGCCGTTCCAGGTGGGATGATAAATGATTATAAGCATCCTAAGATCCTAGACCCTACGACTCGACCGCGTATCTCGCCTGTTAGTCAATTCAATCATCCATGGGTCAACCCGTCAAGCACCAGGATGCGCAAATCCTGCTTCTGGATCATTGCACGCGAAGCTGAGGAGTTAGCATAGAAATGTGTTTGCTTGATTGACATTCTTGCTTTTACTGCACAACGCCTTGGTAATTAATTGCTTTTTCTTTCCATATCCAGCTGTACTCTTAAATCATTGGGCCTTGCCATTGGACATACAGAGCATTTCTCTAATGAGAAGAGCAATCTTCATATTGCCTATTCTCTTGATTACGGTCACAAAATGCAGGAAACTCTATTTTATCCGGTCCTCTCACTAAACAGCGCCTGCCTCCTTTTTCTCCGCAAGTGAACCACATTATGTTTCATGAGATCCTCCGTAGCAAGTGAGTCGTCGAGGGTATTTCAACTATGTCACCGGTAAACTTCGAATTATCAATGAGCTTCATTCCCGATTTTCTGGCTTTGTTTGTATAACTTGAGGGCCCTAGTCCTCCATATATTAGGTTTCTCGAGTGATTGACCTGAAGAAGAAACTTCCTGGCTTGGCTCAGTTCCCGATACCTGAGTATTAAGTGAATAGGCATGACCCGCTAGCATCATTCCAGACAAAGTGCCTGCCACAAGCCCCCATCCTCATACTTCACCCAGCGCTTGCTCCTTCCTGCGGTACGGCAGTTATAAAATTTGGCTCGAGTCTTACTTGTCTTCCAAATATGTGATTTTGAACCTACTTAGAGCTGCTTCGATATGCAGACGTAGGATCTCCATGCTTAATCACGACGCCCACGTGCAGCACCACAGCACTACATGAAGAATAAATGGTAGATAGCATTAGCTTCTATCTCGGTCTGCTTAACAGGAGTAGGGATTCGAGTTGAGATAGACTAATATGAAGCGACTGAGCGTTCGACTGCCAACAGTGGATGCCAAAAGCTACAGTATCAACAGACGATAAAGACAATAGATCAGGAATTACTGACGGAAGTATACCTGTAGACAGGCTTCGGCACCAGTGAACCATTCACTACCTTCGTTCTTGAATCAGCAAATTTTTCATGACTCCGGGCGTGTTTTATTCACAAATTCCGGTATATTTTAGCACAAGAGTGGATCATGTAGCACACGCAGGGCAAGAGGGGATGATTGGGCATATACCGAGCTACTCCTGCACACCCTGAATCAAATTCTTGATTCCTTCCCCACGGCGTGTCTTTTCCCAAGCTTCTGAAGCCCGTTCGAACGGCACGGTGCTACTAACCAAGGGTGCCAGGTCAACCTTCTCGGAGTCCAGTAAATCGAGCGCAATTTCGTAGTCCCGGGGTGCATAGCGAAACGATGTTTTGAACACCGTCTCCTTTTCGAACATGTCCAGCAAAGGAAACGCCTGCAGTGGCTTTCCTAGCCCGATCTGCACGAAGACGCCGCCAGCCGCCAATGCGTAAATCCCAGCTTGAGCGGAAGCCTCGACCCCCGTACATTCCAGAACCACATTCACTCCATTTTCAAGGCTCATTTCCTTCTTGAATTGAGCTGCGACTGCTCTGGGTGTCGCCTCGGTGTCTGGTCTGAGAGCTGTGCACCCCAGGTACTCTCTTGCGAAGTCGAGCTTTGCCTCGTTAACATCCGTGATACCGACGCTCTTCACACTCGCCCCATAAGCGATCGCAACGGCCGCAGTCAATAGCCCAATGGTTCCAGCACCCTGGACCAACACCGTCTGGCCTGGCCGCACATCCGCCCGACGAACCCCATGCACCGCGACCGCCAGGGGTTCGACAAGTACAGCCTCCTCCAGGCTCAGTGAGGCCGGGATCTTGTAGACAAAGTCCGCTGGCATGCGGAACAGCCGGCACAGCGTCCCGTGCGTGTCTGGCGGATCCGCCGCGAACCTCATGCCGGGACACAGGTTGTAGCGTCCGGTCTTGCATTGCTGGCATCGTCGGCACGGGAACCCCGGTTCGATGGCAACACGATCTCCTATTTGCAGGTTTGTGACTGCTGCCCCCACCGAGTGTATGATCCCGGATGCCTCGTGGCCCATCACGAGAGGGGCTTCGTCAGATACCATCCTTGTTATGCCGCCGTGAGTCCAGAAGTGAACCTTTTGTTCTTTCGTGTCAGTTGTTGGTCAAAAGGAATGAGATACGCCAAGCAGATAATCGCTTACATCGCTACCACACACTCCCACATATGAGATCCGGATCAAAACATCGTGAGGGTCATCGATCTCGGGTACAGGCCGGTCCTCGAACCGGACCTTCCCAGGTCCGTATAGAACGCAAGACAAGTTCTGAGACTCGATGCGTTAGTAAACAATGGCGCAGCTTGAAAGTAAAAAGAAATGCTTGCGTACTTACTGTCTCTGTCATTCTTGTTGCAAGTGTTCTGTCTATTGTCAGGTTGGTTGTGCGGGAGAAGTAGAGATATTATCCCCGGAGTTGCCTCACGGCATGGTGTCGACCGAGACGAACCCCGCTTTTCGGTCATGTCATTGTTGCGCAGGGGCCTCCTTGACCCGGCAATCCCTAAATGTTGCAACTATATTGAAGATCTGTTATTATATGAGAGCAGAGTAATGCTGATTCTGAAGGTACCTGTGTGTTACATAAGTCTATACAAAACGGAAACTATCTGTCGTACTTTCCTTGTCCTGGCTACGATAACACTTCATGATTTTATGTTATCAAGTAAAGACAAGAATCACATGTGATGCAAGCAAGTGTTGAGGCTTTTTATTCTCTATTATCTCGTTGTTTACACACTGGAAGGATTATAATGGGCTCGCACTGATTCGCTCGATAGACCACTTTCCTCGGTCGACTTTGATCCGAACTTCAACGCATCACGACAAGCCAATCAACAAACGTGTCTACAACCCTAATAGCTCACAGAACAGCAGCTTTCCAGTTCTCAAGGATCTCGTATGACCTAATGCTGGGTGAAAGCTTCGCTTGTTCATGCTATACAACCACGGCCATCCGTCTCGATTTGCCGCAACACACAAAGATGTCCATCCGGCGGAGCTCTGGCGGGTGTCTACTTCCCTCAATAATTTGTCAATGCCCCCCCCTACCATATGGAACAAGTCTATCAGATTCTCGTGTGTCCCGCGCATCCACCTATATCAATGTCAATCGCCCCAGATGCAACAACAATAAGACTGGGCCAACCATGCTACTACCACCGCCAGCCCTCCTATTCTCTTACCAACCAAAGGATCATCGTAGCCCTAAACGGCTCTCGGACTCCGGCAAATCCACCATCGCTGTTGCCGTCACGCACCGCGTAAACGCCCTCTCCCCGACCCCGTTCGCCATCACCCTTACCATGGATGGCTTTTACTACCCTAAGCACCATCTAGACACCCTTCCAAATGCGGCCGAGGCGTACGCCCGCCGCGGCGCGCAGTGTACCTTCGACGCAGCGAGCGTCCTCCACCTCATCAAGGCACTCCACGCCAGCAAGACAGCCTGCGCCAGACGATCCGGGCGCTGCACTTCGACCACGCGCTCGGTGACCCTACCGCCGGCGCTATCGCCGTCTCGCCGGACGTCTCTTTCAACCTCGTCGAGAGATATGACTTGGCTGTACGGTACAATGTGCCGGCATGGGCGGCCATCTACGGATACGTCGGTGAGACGTGATTTGTGGATCTCGCGCCCGAGGTGGCGCTCTGGTGGATCGCGAAGAGACATCTACAGCGTGAGCTTGAGGGGTCTTGGGCAGAGGAAATTGATTTGCCGAATGGGGTGGAGATTTGTGACAGGCTGGTCGAGCCGGGTTTGGTGGTGGCTAATGATGATGAGGATTGTAGTGATGATGTCTTTCGGGGGATGGAGGTAGGGCTTGAAGCGGCGGGTGACAGAGTGTTTACGGGGTCGGCCTGATCAGGTCGGATATCCCCCACTGTACCTCGTAACGACGGGGGGCCTTGTACAGAGGCTCTGAGGCAATTACGTGTTGGGAATCTAAATTTAAATATATTGATGCAATTGAAAGGGTAAGCAGCAGCCCTAAACAGTATAACAACCCTTTATTTTCCGGGATGATGTCATGACTTTTACTCTACAGCGCAGCGAGCAACGCTCAACCTATACATACGCAAGTGACTTGTCTTCTCTATGCATTGATCAAACCTCTCAGTCTCCAAATGTATAGAAGTTTCAGTATCGCTTAAAGCACTCATCAAAAATAATATAAGCCCGCTGTCATCGTAGACGTGTTCGGATTTGAGTGTTCAGCTTTAGGTTCGGGCAGTGCATATACGGTGCGGGTGCTATGAATTCCCCGGACAAAGCCACGGCTTTAGCTATATAAGGTTTGCATTACTAAGTCGTGCATTGGGAACACGAGCAACTACTCGTAATTGACTCAGATGTCTTCGAGGTAGGTCGAACACGAGACCACGTTGTTTTCACGTTGTTTTGCTCATGGACCCATGGATCGGCCACGGTGGTAGTCTGTTGTGTGGTAAATTTAGTATATGCCAGTTCACGGATGTCTGCCAAGTCCGGGGCAATGATCTGAGCTTAGGTTCAAGTCATGGAAACCCGGGGTCTACCGAGGGCACTCGAGTACGAGGTGCTCACTGTTCGGAGCCCGGTTGAGCCGTTACTCTACCACGGCTTTTGTTGTTTAGTTCTAATTAAAGATTTGTTGCCTGAAGCCGGACTACACATTGAGCAGAGCCTCCGTCCAGTCTAGGCGCATCAGCTTGCCTCATCAAGTCTATATAAACCCCGACGTCCTCCTATCTTCATGCCATCGAATCTTCATCAGCATCCAACAGAGTTCCTCAACAATAGCATTCTCCCCCAAATACAATTATTGCAGGCAGGATTTCTTCAAGATCAAGATCAAGATCATTCACAATGCGTTTCCTCGCAGACTCGGCTGTTCTTCTCATTCTTGCCTCTTTTGTCTCCTGTGCACCTTTTCGTCCTCGCGCGCAGAACGAAGTTCAAATCACCTTTATCGGGGCAGCTGATGCCCAGTTCAGCCAAAGCTTCCCCACCGATGGATCCAGTGTCGCTATCAGTGAGCTCAACCCCCAAGTGCCCATCTAACGTAAATAGACATGAGAGCTGACGAGATTGTTCACTGGCAGGCAACCCCTTGAGCATCTCCCATATTGCGTCAAGCACTGCCGGCGTCACCTGTACCTTCATCGGCATCGACCGCAGCAACACCGTCGTCTCCGGCGCCGCGACTGTGGATGTCGGTCCTCCCCAGACACAAACGCAGGGCTCATGCGTCGCGTCGGGCTCCAGCCCACAGCCCCCGCCGACCCAAAACCCGCCGCCATCTGGGGGTCAGGGTCAGGTTGCCATCACCTTCCAGGGGGCGGCCAACGTACAGTTCAGTCAATCATTCCCGCTCGATGGCTCTTCTGTTGCAATCAGTACGTTATTTCCGCGCATCTTTCAAGAGGGGTTGTTTTCCATGCTAACAATCGTACGCTTTAGCCAATCCTCTTAGCATCTCCCACATCGTGTCTACCACCAGCAATGTCCGCTGCACTTTCAATGGCATTGACCGCAGCGTCACTGCAATTACTGGTGCTCAGACCGTTGATGTCGGACCTCCCCAGACACAGGTAAATGGAGCTTGCAGTGCTGCTTGAGCATCGGATTCTATCTCGTGGGAGATATACGGTCCTTTCCAGAAGAAATGTTAACGTGGCCTTGTGCATTTCCCATCTTTTCAACTTCATCATTCTCGGTTCGATCTTTGGTATATGGCCAACTTGCGGGCCCTAATCCCTGTTCATTTTCATTCTGCTATGTTTATAAGACGATCCTTGAGCATCCTTGTGGCGAAGATACATGAACATTGAATAGTACGCACGACCACTTGCTACTAATGTCAAATGACTTCACTTTCAGATCGTACAGAATGATGTGTAGTGGATTTTGCCCTTGAAATACTTGAGTAACGACTACTACGGTACATACTGCAGTAGAGTGTACTTACTTATACATGTAAGAACACCAAGAAAGCAATGCAATCTCGCCAATCAGAGAGAAGATAATACTTTGCATTGATTGGGTGGTAGAAAGACGTCCGTGCTTTCCGGCACCGTACTCCGACCCACTATTCCCAAACGGTTCCATTGGTGCATTCCCGGCAATTTACCAAACTATGACACTCTACAGTACATGAAGAAGGAAATGAAAGAAAAGAAAGATATGAGAGGTAGGAGTCAATCATGATTTAGGAAGCAGATGGGTGTTATTGAAATCACACAGCGTAAATTGCACAATACCCTTCGCATTCGAGCAAGCCATCTAAACTCCCGTACCCTTTCGCCCAATTGTCGAAACAACGCAATGTGGGATAGTTTGCGAAGCCAAACCAATAGAGATTGACATCTTTATGCTATCAGCGACAGCTACGTACCTTGTTTTATTTCGATCTTCAAGTCCTGAGATCCGTCCACGCCATAATCAGCACTCATGCGAGTCAGCGATTATGATTACCGCACCCCAAGGCCCAGCAAACGGGATATAACACCGCCGGTGTGATCGGCGATGCACAGGGAAACGCGCAGCCAGGGCGTATTGGTCAGCTTTGAAGATGCGGCTGCTAGTAATCCAATGTGTGAATCATTGGGGACCCGGTCAGATCGACGTGAAACTCAGTCAGGGCGGGGAAGAGAGAGGCAAGACACGGACCTCTCACAGGACCGGTGTTTTGAAGGTCAAGGTAGTCCAGAAATGCCACAGTGATAGCGAAGGCAGTCGCCCACAAGGCTGCATTTGGGAGAAGATATCTGGCGCGTGTATTTCCCATGATTAGTAACATTTCCCTATTGAAGGAAAGTCATCGAGTCAAGTTTCGCTTACTGACACGCTGAAAGAAGCATGATCCAGGACACCATTCTTTCCAGAAGGATCCTCAGGCTTCTGCGCCGGTTTTGGTAAAGGATCCGTCGGCCACGAAGTGATAAGCCCCCGCACAGATCGCCTGTCCTTTTGAATTGCTCAGTTTGGACGAGTTCATCTTTGGCGGAGGTGTGAATAATATACGACTTTCCCTGGGTCAAGAATCAATCAGGGCGCTTGTGTGCCAGGCCATATGGGAATTAGTTTATTGCACGGATTTGAGAGAAACAAAAGGGGAGAAGAGAGAAAGCGTTCGCGAGAGTGTGTTGTGAAGGTAGAGAGAGAGCGAGAGATTAAATAGTCAGGTGACTATATTCATACACTAGAAACAGGCCCAGTCTGTGTCTCACCAGTTTTTTCACCAGAGAAATTTTATACTGTAATAGCATTTCTGCTTGACTGGCGTCATAGTCTCGATCGCAGGGATAAGTTATAAGTCCAAAAAATTCCCGAATCACTCAAGGTTCTGGTTCACCAGGAGTATCAAGTTTAGTAGCTGGTTCAGGGGGAAAATCGTAGATCTTATCATAGGATTAAAGAATACATTAGCATTTACAAGAAAGTTAACTATAGCTACGATAAACTAGGGCAGAGCAGGTCCTCCAATCAAAATACTCCCGTTCAACTTCGCTTCAACGGTAGGAACATATTGATAATGTGTTGTTATAATAGGAATTTATATTTGGCATAGTTCTTCATGTTGCTTGAAAACCCTGTTTGCATGTCAAATATCGGGCGAGTCTCGCTGTGCATAGTCGAGGCTATGATGCAATTCATTCACTGTGTGGCCTGATCTTGAGCATGCAGGACATTTTGTTCGAATACTCCACTTACGGCACAGTATTATATTCTACTCCTCAGCGGCAAAGAATTTCTTCTGTGGTTGCAAACCAAGTAGGGCCAATGCTGCGCAAGCAGGATCTACAATTACGATCGAGCCAGTGAGGTTCCCCCCGTTGATATGGCCGACCACTCCTCGTGAAGCCACTGTGGCGGGTGCGAAGGGCACAGACTCTCGGGTAAATTGTCTGTTCTATCATCTGCCTGCCACTGACTAAAATCAAAAGCTCGAGTGTCCTCGGAGTACTCGGAAATAGCGTTAGTCTGTGCGGGAGGTATGACGCGGGTAGCATCGCGAGACGTCAAATCGTTTGCAATCTGGCTCCATAATCAAACGCCGGACAACGCTAAACCCTGGGAGTAAATAGTGTATAGGGCAGTCTCCACATGGAGGCGTGGCAACACCGGCCCACACACTTATTCGGATGCGAGCATATTGAGGGGTAATGATTTTACTGTATATAAAAGCCTGCCTTCAGAGATGGCACCGGAATTATCACCTTGTACATGGGCTATAGCCTGTTCCAAACTGTGAAAATTCACCTTCCGTGAGGAAGCAAGATGTTACCAGCTAAGACTGTCCTTGCGTTGGCAGTGCTCACTCCGCTTGCCTTTTACACCGTACGTCTAATCACCAACTTACTCGCCTCCGACAGAGACATTCCGGGCCCATTCTGGGCGCGAATCACAAAGCTCTGGTACTTGAGGCAGATGATTAAAGGAGATTTTCATGAAACAAACATTGAACTTCATCGCAAGAAAGGTGAGACCAGGCTGTGGTGACGACTTCGCAGATACTCTTACCTCGGTTGTTCCCTCTTGCTAATCCTCGCTGACATGTGAATCAGGATCTATAATTCGAGTTGCTCCCAATCACTATAGCTTGAACGATCCAGAGTGTCTCAAAACAGTCTACGGTCTTGGATCCAAATATATCAAATCAACGTGGTATGATGGATGGAATATGCGAGACGACACGACCCTCACCAGCCTGTTCACGGAAAGAGACCCCAAAAGACATGCGGCCAACCGTCGCAAGGTTGCAAATATGTATACCATGACCGCAATGACCGCCTACGAGCCTTTCGTCGATAGCTGTATTGACCTCCTACGGAAGCAACTGGATCGGGCAAGCTCGTCACTGTCAGTGTTCGATCTTGGTCACTGGAGCCAGTGCTATGCCTTTGATGTTATAGGTGAAATCACGGTCCGTACACCCAACCATGCCATGTGATGGTTAACTGCTAGTAGCTAATCTCTCGATTATGTTTCCAGTTTGGCGAGCGTTTTGGCTTTCTTGACCAGATGTTGGATGTCAACAACATCATCGCCACCCTTGACACCGGTCTCGGCGCTTCCTCATATATCGGCCTATACATATGGCTTCGGCCGTACTTCATCAAAGCGCTCCGGATCGCGGGATCTCTGACCAACGACGCGCTGTTAGTCTTCGTCACAAGACACATTAATACGGGTAATGCTGAGAAGATGCTCTCCGGATCAGATACAATTGAATCTCATTCACCAATGCTGCAGAAGTTTCTTCAAGCCAGAGCAGCTAATCCGGACCATTTCAGAGAGTGGGATGTCATGACCAATGTGCTTTCCAACATCGGCGCAGGCAGTGACACGACCGGCCTCAGTCTCAGCGCTGTCTTCTACTATGTTTACACAAACCCCGGGGTACTCCAGAAACTCCGGGAAGAATTGGAGGCTGCTGATCTTAGTGACCCGCCAACGTTCAAGGAAGCGCAGAGGCTGCCTTACTTCCAAGCTGTCATCAAAGAAGCTCTTCGGATGCATCCCGGGACTGGGTTTCCTATTTTCCGCGAAGTCCCTGAGGGCGGTGCGGTGATATCCGGTCATTATTTCCCACATAAGGTACGCTCAGCCCTCTTTATCCCCTTCAAGTACCCCCTTTTTCAATCTTTTGATGTACTAACGAAGCTTATACGTCTTCCCTAGGCAAATGTCGGCGTGAATTGCTGGGTGATTCATCGCGACAAGGAAGTCTACGGCGCCGACGCCGACGTCTTTCGTCCAGAACGGTGGCTCGAAGCGAGCGAAGATAGGAGGAAGCTCATGGAGCGCAGCTATATAGCATTTGGACTTGGATCGCGGACATGCATTGGGAAGAACATTTCTCTGCTGGAGATGAATAAACTGCTTCCGGTTGTCATTCGGAATTACGACGTGGAAATTCTTGACAAGGACCGGTCATTGCAGTCTTGTAACCGCTGGTTCGTGAAGCCAGTCAACTTCATGGTGCGTGTTCACAAAAGGGCAAGTGTCAGTGCAAAGGACAAGTGAAAAGAAAAGAGGTTTTGTTTGGTGGTAGAGGATATTTTGTGTATAAGCGAAGTGCAACGAGATCTACCGTTATGTAGCATATACTCGATAGCCCTTGATCTGATTTTGGATCGTCATGTCATTCGACTAAAGCTCCCAAGATCCAATTCCTCTGGGCAGGTTGAGAGACATTACTTTCGACAAAGATTGACGACATCTCGAGCCTATAGAATGAATTAGAGGAAGCACAACTCAGAAGGACTGAGGTTCCTAGGGGAGGTTGATTTAAGTCCGATCGGATAAACCCAGTAAGCGGCATTTGACTCCGGACATATGGGGCTAACAACAGAGCAAGGACTACCACGCAATCACATTCCAGTCTTCTCGGTCCTTACATGACACAGATCCAGCTTCACTGACCACCAGTGCGGTCGCCATTGGTTGATGTGACTCAGCGGCCCTTCCAGACTTTCGTCAGTTGTGGGGAAGTGCCTCTCAGCCCTGGAAGAGTAGATGCAGTTTCTTGTAGAAAGTCCCCGATCTTGCGTGGCCCCCCTTCGCCCATATTCAAGAGGGAGAGTGACTAAGAGTCCAACAAGTGTGATAGACCGCCAACTGTTATATCCTAACACTGGCTATTCGGAATTTGTAATTTGATGCCACGAACGCCAGAAGTTATGATTAATTTGGCTCTTAGCGATCATCGTAAAACGTGTCAAGTCATTGTGAGAAGAACTGTGCAGTAGAGATCGTTTGTCTGGAGGATTATCGTTGGGGTGAATGTTGTCAGGCAGTAACTGTGAAGGATATCCCCGAATTGCTCTACGACGTGCATTTAGGGATAAGTCACGTAGTAACAAGGCCTGGCATGTACTTCCAGGGCGAATCAATTTCTCTGCTTTATGATGACGTGCCATTTGTTCCGCAGTGCAACACATCTAAACATTGTACAGCCTTATGAAGCCGAGCATTGCCCCTTGAAGATCCCAGGCACAACGGGTACTACTTGACTAACTGGGGTGAGGAAGCGGACTGAGACAAAGGCCGAGTCTGAACTGAATGTGGCGCTGAGTGGCCAAGTAAGAAAGCTTTCTGTTGCTGCACCAACAAGAAGCAGTAACCCAGAAGAAGACTGCCGCTAGTATGAGGCGTGTCGAGAGGCCAGAGGATTGACTCTTGAGCAGGGTGTTTGCCGCCCACTCAAGGGGACATTGACGCCCCAAAATATCTCACCGGCGACCATTTTCTTCTTTAGGAGATATAACGTTTTGTACCCGCATAAGTAGGCATAGCTCCCAGGGTTTTTGGTAATGGATGTTATTAATGGATTGAAGTAGTTGCTCATAGTACAGCGATCACGGACATTCTCTGCACCAATAGACAGTCAGCATGCTATACGCGTGGTTGGAAAGCTTCATGGGACGCAAGGGGGTAGGGTCTCATTGTAGTTCCTAGCTCACCCGCATATGCTACCATACGCATTCCTTCCAACATGCCACATCTGATATACGTAAGCGGGGAAAACGAGTCTCCTTGCCGACGCAGCCAGTTGATTTACCGGCTTGATCCCACGTATCCCTTGCCGGGGTAGGGGTGGGGGAAATGATGTTCCTACACCTCAGAACCTTGGTCCACGATGGGCAATTGTCCCGCAAATATGAGGACTAAAGACGCCATCAGTCTGTTCTATAGGCTGGAGATGGCACCCTGCCCTGAGAAGCTTTTTTCAAGCCGAGAGTTAGAGGAATTGGGTTGAGTATGGGATAATAACCGCGACCAGACCGGCAGCTTTTCTTTTTATTTACTGGTTGTACCTTCTCGAATAAGCTTCTCGGAGAAAACGCAATCACCACCTTTCTCTCACGGTCAGACAGCATGTTTTGCCTCGATCACCGGCAGGATCCCACGGTTCAAAGCCTTCAGAGGCACATTGAGAGCGATGCCGAGCTGATGCACCTTTTCGCGAAGGCATTCAGTGAAATCCCGGATGAGTTCCTGGCGGGCTCGAACAACATAATTGGGCCCGCAAACGTGCGGGACTACAATTCATTGCTCGATGGCATTGACCGAGTCCTCGGGATAGTGCCCTCGTGGACATCAGCTGTCGAAAAGCAGTGCGTCATTGCCTGTCCCATGAACGAAGTGCTGGTGAGTGTTGCATGCCTCCGCAATTCCTATCATCCAGAGCCAGCTTGAGCGAAAGAGCTGACTGTCTCCCAAATCAAGATATGGTTCATGAACACGAGGACTGGTTCCCAGATTCTAAGCCGCAGGGATATCAATGCGCATTTTCAAGCCATTCTTCAAAAGTGGGGCCACTACCTCTCATCACCGGCCTCCGCAAAGGCTATCCACAAGGGTAACGGGGGCTGGGTGTCCGAAGGCGCCCTGTCGGAGTTGCTTGACGTAGTCGTCAACGCGCATAACACCTCGTTCCGTCCTGCCTCATTCGAAGAAGCATTTATCTGCGACCCAGCATTGCCGCACTACGGCTTCCGATCGTGGGATGACTTCTTCACCCGCCAGTTTCGCCCCGGTGCGCGGCCGGTGGCAGCTCCAGAGGACGAGCGCATCATCACCAACCCGTGCGAGTCGCAGCCCTTTGCCTTGGTTAGGAATGTCCCCGCACATGCACATTTCTCATTGAAGGGGACCGTGTATTCATTGCAGGACATGCTGGGTCGAGACGACGAGGCCCACGCCGCGCGATTCACAGGCGGCACCGTCTACCAAGCATGGCTATCGGCCTTCAGCTACCATCGCTGGCACGCGCCCGTCTCGGGAACTGTCGTCAAGGTGATCCAGCTAAAGGGAACATACTTCGCGGCTGACCCGTCCAAGGGGTTCGAGAACATCGACCCAGACACGGGCGCACCCTGCCCAGACCGCCAGGCGCCGGATCTCTCGCTGCAGCTGATCTCGTCCATTGCGACTCGTACCGCGGTGTTGATCCGCGCGGATAACCCAGCCCTTGGGGTTGTGGGATTCTTGGCCATCGGCATGGCGGATGTCTCGAGCTGTGTGGCCACTGTCGCGGTCGGAGACCGTGTAGTCAAGGGCCAGGAAATTGGCAGCTTCCATTACGGGGGAAGCACCTTTTGTTTGCTATTCGAGCCCGGAGTGAATCTGACTTTCTCGCCTCTGATCGGTGAATCTCTGGCCCAGGAGCCGGGATACGAGGGCCGGTGCATTGCGGTTAATAGCCAGCTGGCATCCCTATGAGTTTGGTCAAAATGGTAACCAGTGTTGATGAGGCAATCCGTGCTTGTATGGCCTAAAGTCGTCATGAATTACCTTAGTATTCTCAGTAATGAACAGGGATTGATCGATTTGGTGTCGGGAGCGAGCTCCTCAACCTACTTAATAAATGACGCCTGATAACAGATTGTAGGCCGTGTGTAGTCCAGATGGGCTAGAAAGGAGCCGGGTCCACGTGACTTGTATATGGCTTTCCCGAATAGTACTAGTGTATCAGAGATGCCGGACATCCGAGCCAAACTATACTCATTTGCGCTTGTTCTAGATCTTTGAACAATATCCTCTGTTTCAATGCCTTGCACGAGGTCTTGAAAAGCTAAGTCTAAACACTCTCTAACATTGTATAGATGTAGGGGTGTTGAGTTACCGAGCGAATGGCTTCGTCGCGGGGCAAGCGCATGAGTTTTGCCCTCGATATATATAAGTGATGGTGGGGTAATATCACAATGAAGCTCATGTCAAGCATGACAAGCTTCGAGTCCGATGGCAAGGCAGAGAGATTTATGCCTTCTTAGTTTGTATCATCTTGAATGATCCTAGAAAGTGCCCAGGTCAACCATGCTCTTGTCAAGGAAAAATTCCATACCCTCTTCTTGACCTGGTCATCGTATTGCCGCCATGCCTCAACAGTCTTGTAGGTGTAGAAAATCCGCTGTTCAAAGTAAGGCTTAGTTGCAGGCTTCCCAGGGACCAGAATATCCAAATTTGACTCACTTTGTGGTCTTCAGCCATGATGTAGACTGTAGTCTCCTAAGATGACACGTATCTGATTTGCTTTGCTTTCACTTTTGCTTGGGGGCATCCAAACGAATTCTGCAAATCGAACTAAGACTTTTTTATCTTATCCCATGCCCCGCATCCTGATTGTGTCTGACGAAGGTGTGATGTGGCCTCAGCCATAAGGATCAAGCACCATTCGGGCCTATTGCGAATCGAGCGTTGGGGCTAGTTTCCGTTATCTCCGATAAAGTCTCGAGTATGGCGGACGGTCTAACGCGGACTCGATTCTTGTACGTAGAAGTTAACCTCCTGCCTTGCGCTCCGTAATATAGTCAGTATCAAGAGAGAACGCAATAATTCGTAGATCGTCCAGCCCAACCCCGTGTCGCGACTCGGGAAACCGTGGACGGTCGTAGGCGCTACCCGCTGGGGACGGGAACGGGACGGCTATCATCCGCCGGAGATCTCGCTTGGCGAACGCCTAGATTAGATCCTAGAATGCCCCGCCACCCCCTTTGCACTCCTATTGTCGTTATAACAAGCTTTGTTCTGCGCATGAAATCAAGAAAAAATCTACCGTGAAGCGATTATTCCAGCCCACATGCATGAAAGCACTGCATAAGCCATCATTGACGACCTGGAGCCGAAGATAGGAAAAACTACGTCATCCGGAACAGCGGAAGGCCATGCGTCTATTTGAAGGCAGACATTTGAGGACACTGAAGCCCCCAAGTCTAACTGCTTGCATGATCAGCAGCTTGATAATGCCGTTGATATAGCTCTGCCTCCAGGAAATGTACAGATGAACAAAGACCTTGTCCAGTAGCGCTTATACCAAGTTGTAGTCTCTGCTACTATGTAGGCAAGCCAGACAGAAGGCTGGCTGACCAACACATGTCTCCGGAACTGAAGGGCTCGACTTTTGCTTTTTCTGCTGCCAATTTTCGTTCCTTACTGACGTCAAGCTGGAATGGTGGTCATTGCCCGGACAGAACACACCTTTGACAGAATTCTAAATGTGGTAAACATGATAATATACCAGACACTCGCAAGTAAAATCACGCAAATGATGGTTACCCAAGGTACGCCAACCGATCACGCATCCGCTACAGCAATACTCTCAGTAGGCAACTTGACAGAAATTGTCTCGGGCAATTTGGAACGGGCATATGGCTGGTGCTTGAAGTGAGTTTTTACCTGGCTCAGGAGCTGGAGCTCATGGTCTACATTACATGATACGTACACTTGATGCTCTCGAGTGAGCAGTCACAATGCACACAAAGGTCCCAGAATAGCGGTTTCCATTTTATTTCCCCAAATCGATGCTATTGGGACTGCAATCTTGATCATTTAACCTATTTCTCGCACTCCCAAGAACGAGCTGCTATCACTGGAAGCCTCAGACATAAGGCCCATGATACTCCGTCAAAATAGCCGGAAACTCTCGATCCAAAGCCTGCCAAACGGACTCAATCACAGCCGCATCAGCAACCGTGACAATGCTGTTAACTGCAACATCCAGCCCTAGTGCTCGAACTCGAAGCTCGCCCAACCAATCGTGCATCTGCTTGCAGTATTGCATCGCGCAAAGAGTTGCTTTCTACCGCCGTTTATCTCACATATCAGCTCTCTCTACAGAAGGTATGTATTAACTCATCGGGAGCGACTCACCTGTTCGGCAATCGTCATAACCAAGTGCGTAAAAACCGGTCCCAATGGCACAACCGTGCCAGTCACCCGGCTGGAGTCGAGAGGATTCAGATAACCCAAGGCGCTCGCCTGGCGGGTTGCCTCCGCGTTGGTATTGAAGATAGCCTGGCCCTGGGCCTGGATGACTGGGATCATGCTCTTGTCAAACTGGGTGGCTGCAATTGTTTTGTCGAAGGCAATACCCTGGACGGATAGCCTGAAGAGGGTGGCAATGAAAGCTTCGACGCCATCGTCTGGCTCGATAGACTCAAGTAAGGGGCCTGAAGTCGCTGTAGCAGGCGCAAGAGCCGCAGAGAAGCTTCTAGTGCTTGATTTGGCAGGGCCTTGCGCTTTCAGTGAGTCAAGAGACTTTGCGTCCGAGATGGGTTTCCCGAGCAGGCTCGGGACCAGAGCAAGCAGCGCGAAGAGGGTGAAAACAAATTGCATCGTTCGGGTAAAATATTGCACAGATGCTTCGATGAGTAGATACTGAATAAGAAGACAGGGCCGGGCGAGTTGAGGATATTTATCGAGATACAAGGTATCCGTGATAGCTTGATATAGTTTAGGATTACTGCGGCGCGATTTGGAACGGTACATTCACAGACTGGCTCAATGCTATGAATTACACGGGTAGACTTTGTTACTCAGTTGTACACCCTCCTTGATAACGGGCCGAACATTGGTCTAACAGATGTCGTTATCTGACCTGCTGGTGGATTAAAAGCGATCAACATCTCGGCGACCAAATCGAAAAGGATGGCATAGGGAATCTTGCCTTAGAACTGATGTCACTCAAGTATTGAATGATACTCGATCTCGATTTATGTCGCACCTGACCTGTTGTGTATTGACCAAAAACCGTGATAGTAGCACATGCGGTACGGTACAGTGCGACTTTGAGTCTGACACAGCCATTAGACTTTAGTACCTGATCTTTCCCGGCCCGTTCCTGGATACACCTTTGATACAAATACGGGAAGAATTTATATCTTAAGTCATCATTAGTTCTGTAGTACATGTTACTGGAGAAGAAGAGTTGAGAAGCTGTGGTCTTACAGGATTGAGCCCAGATCCATTGACTCGGTATTATATATCGTCGAGCGAGTAAAAAATCAGCCGAGTGTGTTTGTAGCATTTTGAGTATACACAGCACAGCCCGGATAAGTTTGCTATAATCTAAGTCTGAACATGGCGATTATCAAGCATTAAGTGGGCCTTTCACTGTGCCCTCGGAATCACATGTTTCACATCAGAACAAGAAAGCAAGACTCCTTTTACACGTTCCACAACGACTTTTGTACTCGAAGATCAACAGTCTCACTGCACGCTGCCGCCTGAATCCGACGATTGACAAGCCTGACTCTTCTTGACACGTGCCTTTCGCTTGAAGCCTCTACGCGACTATCCGTCTTAATCTGACGGAGCCAGATCAGCGAGAAATCCTCACGCGCGATATTAAATATACCATGTTCCTCTGCCATGGGCAAGGGTTCATCCATGTCGTAAGGTGACTATACACATAGTATGATTTGCAAAACCTACCGGTGTATGGTAAGCACCTATAGATGCCAGCCTTTTGAATCTTATGCTTTGTGTCAAATGTTAACCGAATGCAGCCAATGTATGCCAGATAAATATAGGTCCAGGCAAAGGTTAACATGCCCAGAGGCAGAGGCACGGCGCCGACTATTGCGAGCGTCAAACGGGACTCGGTTGTGGCAATCATGGGCACAGATAGCATCTTTCGTCCCTTCTCCATCTTTTTGCTCACTGTGAGATATACCTCGCAGCATTGCATCTGAATCCTAGTTTTAACAGGTCGGAGTACATGGTTAATTTGTGGTAAGCACAACGCGTGACCTTGATCTCATGCCGTGGTAGTTTGGGCTTACCATTTTCGGATCGCAGGCACCACTTTCGTGATATCATGCTTGCTAAGGATCTATTTCCTGATGCTGTGTCCCACTTGTTGCAAAGTCTACTGACTTTTGTACGTGTCTCATGGCGGCGGACGTTCGAGCCGCACGCAGCTCAGATCCTGCCAACAAAATGTCAATTGCTCTGGTTCAGCAATGGGGCCAATGAGGCACTAACTATGGGGGCTTCAGGCTGTAGCTTGGAAGATATACTCTCGGAGATTGAGTTCGACTTTGAGGGTTCCTTTCGGGGGCCAAGGTGCCTTGTTGAAGGGGCGCGGTCAAGATAGTATCAGTTGGTGTTAGAAGTGGAATGGAAAGGGATGTCCTCAATACTGCACTTCAAAAGTGTAGTATAGGAGCTACGTTGATTGTGAATGGATCGTAGCATTTGGTATTATCATTTTGGAGATTTTATTGGGGTACTGATCCGGCTAGGGTTGCTCTCAACAGACTGATCTGCTGGATGGAGATGTTCAACAAAAGTACTTCACAATGCCTCAGGTGAGGAAGGTGAGTGCTGGATCGAAAGTGTCCCTGTGTGTTTCAGAAGTGCAGCTCAGGGCTTAAGACAAACGATACTTCAAGAGGAGACTGGGACTTTCCGCCCCCAAGCTCTTTAACCTTGCCGGTTGTGGCCGAGTGGCTGTGATGGACCCCAAACCCAGGATTCCGCCCTTTCGGTCAGGAACTAGCACTAAACCTTCTTCAATTATACTGCTGAGACATCTGCAGACAATGGACCCTGAAGTCTGATAGCCTCAATGCTGCAGAAGAGGTTCCCGAAGTAGTTGATGCCGGCAGAGGCCCTGCTCATCCGATCAGCCCCCAAACAGTCAATACGAGCGCCCAGCCCTATGCTCGTATCCATGCTACACTCTTTGCAACATTCTATCGTGATTGTTCAGGGTCTACTCAGCTGCAATATGGGGGCTACAGGCTGCGCTCAAAATGTAGATATAAAAGCTGCTCCAAGTCGCTGCGAAGTGTATTCATCATCCAGCAGCTCATTCCAGTCCTTCATTCGTTCCATTCCAATATTCTTTCACTAGCCAAAGTCTTTCGCTTCTACTCATTTCTTCAACTTCCCTGAATATCATCATGCTTGACAAGCTCATGTTCCTGGCTGGAGCTCTGCTGACCCCGGCGGTCACTGCAGCAGCCCTGCCCGCCGTGACAGCCCCTGCTGCCTTTGCGCTACCCACCTACTCTGCCGTGTCTGTGTCTGCCTCCGCTGTGGCCGGAGCCGCGCTCAACACCCACACCGCGGTTCAGGGTGCTAACGGCCAGCCCACCTCCGTTCCCATCGTTGGCGGGTCAGACTGCTACTTCTGCCCGGACGGCAAGGAAGAACAGGGCTGGGCCCTCTTCGGCCTCGAATCCGCCGGGATCTACGAGGATATCCTTGCCCCTGAAGGCTTCGTTACCTCACTGCCAGTTATCACCGTCTCCGTCGCCGGAGACCCCAGCTATGACGACGACGAGCCCACGCGCACCACTGAGGACGACGCCTCCCTCGCCAGACGCTCCGTCCCGACCACCACCGCCTACGTCGACAGCAACAAGTTCAAGATCCTGAACAAATACGCCAAGCAGAGCCACTGGACCAACGGCCAGGGCTGGGCTCTTCTCGCAGGTGAGTCTCCGAAGTAAACAATACACAGCACTGTTTAAATTGCTAACCGAGCTACTCGCGCAGCCTGGCCCGCCAGTGGTGTCGTCCCCGTCTCCGAGCACTACCAACTCATTGCTGGCTATGTCTCAGTGGCAACCAAGTCACGCCAGGAGAAGGACAAGAAGGGCAAGGTGACGAAGGTGGTCGAGACTGTTACCCGTGACTATGCGGGCTACGTGTACGACATCCGCGCACAGCAGGTTGGCAACGTGCAGAAGATCGTTTTCATTGAGCGTGGTGACTCCCGCGAGACCTGGGACAACGGCGTTAAGGGCTTGTCCTTCTCCAGCAAGGGTGCCATTCGCGCCGGACTCACTCACGAGATCATTGCTGCTCGCGGAAAGACTCTGGCTGACACCATGGGCAACTATAACTACCTGACCAACAACTGCAACACGTTTGCCAACCGCTTGTACAATGATTTGAAGTAGGGGGCGACGTCGTGATTGGTGCTGGATGCTGGGAAGGGATGGTGAGGACCGGGGCCGGGGAGGAGGAGGAGGTTGTTGGCTGGCAAGAGAGAGCAGGGCGAGACTATGATAGAGAGGTTGTATCTATTCATAGTCACTGATGAGGCAATAGAATGGTTATGACTAGGCAGACGTGTTTGACATTGAGACTTCTCTCGTAAGGTGGAAGGTCAGCCTGAGTGTAACATAAGATAAACGGTAAGGCGGAAGCTGAAAGCACTGTACTTCGTGATTCGAGCTGTCAGCCTTGTTGTAACATATGTTAATCACAGTAACACTGCACGTTCCTGCACGTTCCTGCAGGGCCTCACCAAGGGGTGTTTTTTGTGGTGGCGGTGCAGAGTAAACTGAGTAGCATCGGGCTAGCTCAGCCTGGCCTCAGGCCGTGGGGGCCAGATCGGTGTTAGCCCTCCCCAAACTATTTCATCTCCCCGCCTCCTTCACGCTGTCAGCAACCTCTCTTTCTCCCTCTCCATTGCTTTGAACCATATATTCCCTCCTTTTTATCGTTCCCTCAATAAGAAATCTATCGAGTATGTTGGAAGCACTCAATAAACTTCTTCATAACCTCCAAGTCGGTCCCCACGAACGACAGGTCAAAGAATACCTTGACAAAGCCACCAAAGGCCAGTTTACTTAGACCAAGTCTTCACCACATTCAGTAATTAACTCCTGTTAGATTCCATTCAAAAGGATCTTCAGAATGCACTAAAGCACTTAAACCTTCATTCATCCTTGGATGCCTTCGACACTTCATCCATCGAGGACAAAAATCAACAACGATGTACTTAGACCCCACCTTACATTTGTCGGTTTCTTGCTAACGCTCTCAGACTGGACGAAGGCGAGCCTAGTAGCTCACATTGCCAGGAATCATCCTGATTTCAGCTTCTCCAGCGAAGGGATTGACTTGCTTTGGCGATGTTTGTACTACTATGCCTATCATCCGTTCCCACGGAACGAGACCACCGAGGAGAGGATAGACTGCAACGCATTCAACCGCACCCTGGCACTCCTCGTTCACGATGGTACCAAGCTTCTTGGTACGCAAGACAATGGAGCTTATCTGTGGCGCTCCCACGAGGATCCAAAGTTCATTCCTCAAGCCAACTTTGCCCGCGTCCTCCGGAGCATTGGCCGTCCCGATACCTCCTCCCCAACCTCCCCGGGGCGCCACGATTCACCATCCGTGCTAAGCGATGTCATGGACGTCCTCGCGACAACACAGCCATGCTCTATATCCCAGGCCCCCTCGGTTGACCAGCTAGACACCACCGCACGTAAGCTGTTAAGCCAGGAACCTCCTACTCCCACACGGTATCGTGTCAGTCGCCAGGAGGTCTTACTTCTCGCCACCCTAGTACTCCGATTGAGGACTTCGAAGGCCAAGTGGGACCAGACCCGGCAGTTTGGCTCTCTCGCCCCGTTTGAGCCCGCTGACGAAGTGCTGGCGACTGGTATCCTCCAAAGGATTATGCCAGAGGACAAGGAGCACGACGCGGATGAGCTCGCCAGCACTCTATTCGAACACTTGGTATGTCCATCCCTACTCTCTCCACAGATCCTGATCTAAATTCTTCGACATTGACCATATCCAGCCACATCTCCTGCTTCACTTCCACCAGCTGTGGGCCGTGCTCTTCCAGCCTTCACGGCCCAACACCAACAATGTCTCAGTAGCCGACGCGACAGAAAATTCCATCCCAGCGCGTGTCTTGTCGGCCCTGTCGCTCTTCCTTCCTATGGGGTCCAGCACGACCACCACGCCGCGATCCTCGTCCAACCCAAGACGCGTGAGGTTCGAGAAGATTGACTTGCCAGCTGATTCAGCTCCGACCTACACGGATCTAGTCAACGCATTGCAGACCGGCGACAACCCGCACATCATTCTAGCCACGAACGCAGACCGCTCCCAAGTTATTGGGGCCTTGATCCCCTCTCCACTCTGGAGCACAGGCGCAGACGGCCGCAAGCGGGACTGCAAGGTCGGAAACACCCATCTTCTCTTCCAGCTGGGTGAGGAGTTCCGGGTCCTGCGATGGATGAACAAGCCACACACACTGCTGAAGACTTTGATCGGAATGAATGGAGAGGAGCAATCGGATGCGCAGAAGGAACCTTGGACGGGACCATTTTATGTTGGGGATATGTCAAAATCCAGTGCTGCGAGACTCGAGTTTGATCCCGAGGAAAAAGTTGTATCCTTGCGCGGATCGACGGGAATTGCTGATGGGTCGTCTGATGCAGCGGGCTATCGGGATGTGCTCGGGTCCCCTAAGGGGCCAGCAGCGCGGAGGGACTGGGAGGTGGTGATCAACGCGAGTCGAGTCTACGTGTATTCGGTCTTGGCTTAGGAATCTCTGTACTGTGTTGCGGTTAGGAAGGTGATCTACGGTCAGATTGTGTTTATGCAGCTGTCTTTGAGTTCATTAGTGCGACCGATAGGATATTTTAGCTTAAAGTTAGTTTTCACTAGGTAGGGTTCCCGTGGAGGTCATTGGGTCTTTTTGGTTTAGTTCCAGGGTGATTGGGAAGAAATGTTTGACTCTTGGATATCTACGAAGGTCTCTGTGCTATCGTTGAGTTGCATTGTAGCCTGAGCTGCCTCCTAAAGAGATGGTAGAAGCCGGTTTGGAAAAGGGTTGTTGGGGGCCCTGCCCCGGGAATAAGGCTGTGAGGCAAGTTCGGAATGGCGGGAGTGGCCGGCGGCAGGATCAGGGTCTGGCTAGCCGTCCGGGCGGTGCATCAGCCCCCAGGCAGCACCATAAGCCAAGGGGCCATTTTACCCAATTCAGCCAGTTGGCCCCTTCTGTCTCAGGGTCTTCTGTCAGCTTTAAGGCTTCGCATCTCTTAGTGTCCTGTCACGGACGAGATGACCGATTAATTCCGGTGTAGTCTTCTGCAAGTCTCGAGCCTTGCCTCAGTTCGTCTGTCTATTGGGATCATGGCTATCTGCTCATTATAAGTCTACTACTCATCAGCTTCGGCACAGATTTACCACCACACTACCACCGAGGGGCATTTATTCCAGCATATTTTGGACAAATACCAGGCCCAGGAAGAGCCGCTCGATGAAGTTCCGCTCAACGGTTGGGCCCCTGTCGACGATTGGAGCCCCATTAATTTAACCAAACAAAGTAGCCCTGGAAGACTCACTATGTCTCACTCCTGGCCCCAATGGAACCTCAAGGGGCATTTGACCGAAGAATGATCATTCTTCAGATACAAGGTTACATCTTCATGCAATCACCAGTTGAGCGACATTGAGCATAAATAGCAGCATAGAGACGCTCGAACAATCTTTTTCGCATCCAGCTTCTAATGTAGAATCAACATCCGCTCCCTCCCTTTCTTCAACTCTATATTCTTTTCGAGTTCTGAAGGAGATACTACGGAATACGGGTGCCCTTCAGTCTTACTACTTCGTGTAAGCAGAAGATTTCGGGCCTGCCGCAACATTTCGTTGACTGGAACAATCTGCCTAACTCTGTGCGTACAGCTCAGTGAGGGGCTCGGTAGTAATCGTGTGCTTGATTTGCATTGCGCTCGTGGAGGTTGCGAAACCCGCGCAAGGGAGTTACCTCTCAGTCGGGGGTGGACAGCCCAGCTAGAATTTCTATTATACAGAGATATGAGTCTTGTGATTTGAGTTCGAATACGTGTTGTAGAGCTTGTGTAATGACACCTACAAGTAGCGCGAGATTTAAGAACCGAACCTATTAGTAATTGTGAGATATCAAAGCAGCTTCTTTGGTGTAAGAATCAATGCAGTGGACACGCTCGATGATTCCATTTCGCAATATACAAAGTCTAATTATATATGTATGTACTAAGCCGCAGCGGCGATTGCCCGCATGAACGCCGGGCTTTCGTGCCCTTGCACCACCTTCGAAATCGGGATGAGATGCGCCTCGGAGCCCTCGGGGCTCTCCTGGAGCCATCGGACATAAGATTGAGCCACCTTCAACCACAGAGCCCTCTCAGCGGCACTAGCCTCCAAGCCCTGCCACACCCATAACCGATCCCCAGCATCAAACAAAAAGATATCCCTCGCATCCAGATCCGCCTTGCCAATGTGACTTCCCTCCTTGACAAGGTCAAAGGACAACGCTCCAGAAGCATCACTGAGCCTGAATAACTTGCGCTGCGCAACATCGCCCTCGCCCCCAGCCTCCTCCGCAGCCCGCTTCCGCGACGACAACGGCCGCGGGGCACTAAACGAGAGCTGCTCGACCTCCTTCCCACCGAGCATATCCACAATGACCTTCGACCTAGCCTCAAGCTGCGACAGAACCTCGACATCGACGTGTTTCGCCTGCGTCAGATCATGCACCACCTGTGCGGCCTTGCCCTTCTCCATGGGACTGCAGCTCCGGCCCTGCCACACCCAGATCTTATCGCCGCGATCCAGCACGAAAACATCCTTATCATCCAAGCTCTGCCACGTCGGCTCCACCTCATGCACAATCAGAGACCCGGACCGTCCGGAACTGGGGTGCTTGAACACGCGCAAGAGCGTCGTAATTTCTTCCTTGGGAGCGTCCTCCTCCACATGCCTGAAACCCGACCGCACGCCGCCCGCCCGGATCGAGATCCGCGGGAACAGGCTCACGAACTCGGCAGACGGGTGCGCCTGCACCTCGCGATGCTGCGTCGCCGCGCCGTGGAGGTACTCGTCCAGCTCGACGGTCTTGTACGCTGCTGTGCCGGCCTCGTCTTGCGTCGTCTTGCTTCCCAGCCAGAAGAAGATATCATGCTGTAGGCTTGGTTCCTCCTCGTCGCTCTGCTGTTGTTGTTGTTGGGAAGGGGATTTGGAACTGTGTAGCACGATGTAGCTGTCGCCGTTGTAGAATTCGCCGTATCGCTCCTTCGGCCACGGGATGACTTCGAACTGCTCGATGCGCCATATGTGTAGTCCCGGAGCGGTGCCAATGGTGCCCGGGTCGCGCCAAGCGGGCTCCGTGGCGGCGGAGTTGTATTTGACTTGGTGGTCGAGAGCGGAGTTAATCAGCTCGACGTTGCTATCCTTGATGTCATATTCTTTGGGATGGACGAGGCCTTCGTGGGGGGACATTTTGCGTGAGAATTGGATCGGTGCTGTTGCTACTAGGTCGTGTGTATTTTGAGGGGAATGGGTTCTTGTGATTGTTGTTCTTTCTTGGAGGGGGTGGTTCAGTTATCGATAGCTGATAAGGCGGGAGGGGCACGTGATGTGGCGCGGTGCGGGTCGGGTTCGTCATTTCCGAGGGATATTTATAGAAGTAGTGGAATCATGGGGCTGGGATGATCGCCACACTTGCTCATTTTCGGTTGTTGTGCGACCGACAGATCGAGTGAGGCTAGAAAAAGCTAAATTATCTCTAGGAAAAGTGATGCACTAGTTGAGTCTACCATGGTCTCAACTCAGGGGTGGAAGTGGTGTACCGCGATAAGGTACAAATTCAGGTGCTAGGAGGTGCTCTTAGGGTTCTTCACTCGGGAACGGATCGGTATCCGAGAATACGATCACGAATACCCCTCTTGACTGAACATCTAGGATGATCATGTTTGAATGGACTGCCCAATTATCGGTCCCATATTCTGTAGGGACCAAAAGCAGATTTCGACCATTAGATGTGATCCACGGCCGCTTGAAGTCGAGGCGAGGATACTGGGGCCTTTCGGGGTTGCCAATATAAGGACAGATAGCATTTCGATCAAATACAGACCCGGGTCCCGCGATCTCTTTCACGCAGACACCACTTTCAATGTCCCAAATTCGAATCATGCCTTTTATAGCGCTTAATGATATGAGATACCTACCTTCGGCCGAAAACGCGATCGACTCGACGCACTCAAACAAGGGGTCGTGCGTGATCGTCAATCGATGGGCACCATTGCTAGCATCCCAAAGTTTGATACTGGAGTTCGTAGACGTGGATGCAACTAGCGAGCCATCAGAGGAAAAAACAGCCGCCGAGATCAGACCATTGTGGGCTTGCCACGTTAGGACGGGGTGGTTAGTGCCAATCCTCCATCGCTGAAGCCATCCAGTTAGAGACCCCGAGATCAGTTGTGTGCTATCGGACGAGAAAGCGACCACCGTAATTGGCTCCACTGCTTGCCAGGAAGCCATCGTACAAGTACCACCACAACTCAAAACCTCGAGGCTTTCAGCGGACTCGTCAGCTTTGACCTTGCCATATGCTGCTGCAATCTTCGTGCTATCTGGCGAGAAGGCCATTGTATGGATTTCACCTGCGATGGGCCTGACACAAATGCCGTCACCAATGTTGCAGATCTCCAGGCTTGCACGCATATAGGCTGACGCATATTGCATGCCATTGGGGGAAATGCACACATCCACAAGGCCACCCATGTCTCTATAACCTGTTCTGTCCGAGCGAATAGCGCTTCCATTGGTGTCCCACAGCTTCAACTGGGAGCCAGAGCCGGATAGGAAATATCGATCGTCGGGTGAAAATGCGACGTTGCATTGCCAGCCGCTATCGATTACCTGCAAGCGATTTCCAGTGTACACATCCCAGAGTTGAGTAGTTGTGCCAAAGCCCCCCGATAGAAGATGCATTCCATCAGAAGACAGGGCTATGGACCGGACGCGACCCTCATGAGGGATAGACCTTAGTAGAATGCCGTTCTCTGCGTCCCAGAACTTAAATGTACCACCTGCGGACCCCGACACGATGACAGTCCCACTGGGAGAGAAGGCGATTGCATTCACACGATCGGCATGTCCGAGCGTTTTTAAACATTGTTTTTCCTTCACATCCCATATTTTCAGGGTGTTGTCTTCGGACCCGGAGACAAGTTTCATCCCGTCAGGTGAAAAGGAAATGGAGACAACGGACTTGTCATGGCCCTCGAGTGTTTGGACAAAGGTTCCATCATTAGAGCGCCAAAGCGTCAGCGTACCATCTTCATATCCCACAGCGCAATATAGACCATCGTACGAAAAGGCGATAGATTGGAGCCCGGCGGCGTTGCAATCCAAGTCTGTCAAAATAGAGCCAGTTTCGACATCTAGGATGCTGACTACATACGCAGAACTCCTCACCAGGATACGCAGACCATCGGATGAGAAAGTGGCTGGACCAATCAACCAAATTTCAGGAATATCGCGTGTTTGAAGACATGCGCCACTGTTGGCATCCCAAATCTTGATACAGAATGGGCTGATAGCTAGTATCTGCCGCCCGTCTGGGGAGAATGTGAGTGCCAAAGCGCCACCCGAATCATTCATTGATTGTATACAGGCTCCCCATTCTGGTTCCATTACTGGCTTTCGTACGATCCAGTCTGGTTCTTTGTGTCTAAAAAGATCTCGAGTCAAGCTGTGCTCTGGACTGAACAGAAGTGCCGAGGAGTAAAGCTGCAGAGGATTGTGGCTTGTGATAGCTTGATTTTGCAAAAGGAACTGTCTAGAATCTTGGACAAGGCGAAGAAACTCAGCATGCTGGGAGTCCTATAGCAACATAGGTTAGCAAATAAAGAGGTATTCGATTCTACAAAATACCCACGAGAAGTCGGCTGATGAGTTTGTCCGTTGCAAGTATGGCATTGGGGGATAAAGCATTTGTCAAAGCCGTTGCTTCCAGCCAATGAAGGAAATGCTCCTTCCAAAATAGCTCAATTATTTCTAGGATCGATATGTCTAGACACGAGTCATTCGATGTAATCAAACACAGATGGTCAATCCAATGTAGGCAACTGTATTGAATAGATGCGAGAGGTTTGGAGGCGGGGACTCGAAGGCGGGCCTCGGCAATCCCAACCCCTGGATCTCTCAAAGCGTACACGTCTTGTTTCAGATGTCGGGACATGGCAAGAACTGATCTCGATAAAATAGTGTCATGTATTTGTTGGTGTCCATTGGGGAAGATGCCATCCGAAAGAACCGTCGATTTCAATGGTGCAAGAAGATAGTCTTTTGCAGACTGATGGATAAAGGAGACAAGTTGTTCGTGTCCCTGAACAGACAGCAGTCCGCACGTACTCACGATCATGCGAATATCGGCAAATTCAGACAAGTCAGCCAGCATTTCGAGCTCGGGGAATCTTAGCGGGCGCATAACATTGGCCATAATAAGAAGCACTTGTGTGCACTCCATGACGAGGTCATCATTTTCCTGCTTGAGAATCTCCCGCATCATTTGATCATATAGTTCATTGAGTCCTTCCGGCATTTTGCGGACAACCTCAATAATTTTGTCAGCTCGGCACCTTTGCACCTCGATATGCCGGAATACAAGGGCTGCCCAAAGAAATGTGCCATCTGCCTTTGCCCTCAAGATCTCCGTGGCGTCGAGTTTGATGCGATTCAGTTTCTCCAACCTGTGACTGAGGTCTGATCCCTGTTTATCTTCAAGAGTTGATTCGTAACCCTTAAACAGAGCGGTAATCTTGTATCGAATAAATGCATCAACGGCATGCGAGATGTTCTCTCTTGCGTTCTCTTCAAGGTTAATGTCGAGCTTTCTCTCTGCACTGTTCATATACTCCTCGATTTCAACTTTGTGTCGACTAGAAATGAGCCATTTGACTCGTGACAATGGTTTGGCCATAATGTCAACAATGAGCTTCAGCAGCTTCTTTCGACCATCTTTGCACTCGTCGAGAGCGTCCAGCATCAAATACCGATCTCCGACGAATGGCTCCTGGAGGATATCAATAAGGACATCAGAGAGGATGAAGAAGGCGCTCCTATCTGTAAAAGCCTTCGCTCCACGGCTATCCCACTGGCGCCGGAGGTGTGAGATGAGAGCTGGTTGTTGAATGATTAGTTGATGAATCAAACCTCTCAGCACTGCCTCGGAATTGTTGAGATTTGCATCACTTTCTTGACAGAGAAAGAAAGACTGGATATTGGAATCAAAACTCGAATTTGATAGCTCCTTAATGATACCAATCATGAGCATTGTCTTTCCCTTTCCCGGATTGCCACTTATCCAAAGTAGTTGAGACCTTTCTTGGTACCTCCATTGGCAAAAGCGTGGATCTTCCAAAATCCATGCAAAGGATTCGGCTAAGATGGAATCTTTGGAATATTCGATTCGTCTCATTTCCGCTGCTGGGTCCACAAGATACAGGTCTTGGAGGCATTCCTGATCCTTGGACTGACCAAATCTGTCGTTTATGCGCTGCAAGAGAAGATTGTGTTTCTCGTGGTAGTCCATTGACTTTTGACAGTTGTATGTTTGAGAGTTTTGGCGAACAATTGCTTCAGCTTCTTTGATCTCTGTCAAGCTTCCTTCCCAACCCTTGAGATTAAGTATGTCCTTGAGCGTGGTTAGAAATCGGTTCTCGTAAAACGAGCACACGCTCATCATTTGGTAGGAGAGCAAAGACTTGTAAAGCTCAACAATCTGGCTCTTCAGATCCAAGCGCACATCATCCAGCAAAATATCGGTTGTGCCTTTCTGAAGAAGAGACCTGGATAATGCCCAATACCAACTCATCTTTTTAGTCACGTAATCCAAGCCAGCGAGGTTGGCTTGCGAGCTTGTGCCTATATTCGCGAGAAGCTGTCCCTGAATTAATTCCAATTCTGATTCAATTAACGGCCGCACTCACCTTGATAGCCAATGTTATCCCCGTCCAGGCCAGAGCAGCCTGAGGACATGTGCTAAGCGCAAAGCTGATGAGCTCGCTGGTCGAAGTGATCACATCCATGACCTCACCGATATGGTGTTTAATTTGGGCCTCTCGCTCTGTCTTCTTTAGACCTTTGCCGACGAGCTCTTTCATCTGGTCTTGTCTCTTGCCTCGATCCCTTTCAATTAAATCTTGCTGTTCTTCGAGATTCGGAGACGACGAAGGGCTTTCGCTAAGCTCCCGGCTGAGAATCCTTTCGTATGTCTTGAACAAGGCGGGCTTTTCCTCACGGAGGGTGTCATACGCCTCGTCCCACAGCTGCTGTGGTTCAAACGGGGTGCGCCTGTCGACATTTGTTGCCGTACCGTGCGGGATGGCATTACCCCCGCTCAATCCTCTGCGCTGGTAGATGGGAGCTATCGAGGGTTCATGCTCTTCTTGGGGAGGGAACTTCTTTGGAACATCCGCAGACGTCTCCGGCCTCGCTTTGGGTGAAGTTGTGGGATCGCTATATGTGACGTGGTGTGCCTCACTGGACCCACCTTGATCGGAATCTTCTTCGCGCCTTATAGCCCGTCTCTCAGTTCGTCTGAGAATTTTCCCTAGAGCCTTCTTCATGATCTTTCTTGTACAGTACCAGACTTTGAAAACTTGGGGACGGGTTGACAGCGTGACCACAAGGGAAGAAATGAGGCTACCAACTTTCTCAACATTCTCTGGCACACGTGGTCTAGTGGGGTAACGAATTCCTACCAACTCCCATTGGATCGATAGCCATTCGGGGAGTGTGTTGGTCGTGCATTAGTTAGCGCTTGATATAAAATGCTGCAGGCTGCTTGGATCTGGGACTACCCAGTCAGTCAGCGCTAAGATGTTCAGCCGAGGGGTTGCATTCGCGCTAATGTATCGGAGGGCAAATCACTTTTCCCACAGTCGGACTGTCCTCACTTGAGCAAGCTCCGCCACGACCTGATCGAGCGGAATATGGCCTCGATGCTATGGGGCGGTTGGAAACGACGAGTAGCGGCAGGATTTGTGCCACCTGTCTCCTATCCCTAGCGAACATCTCCCGCACCCTGAGCCACCGAAGCTGTGGCCCTCGCTTGGCTGAAACTAGAGTTCACGCCAACAACTCACTGGCCTGGAATAAGCAACAGGATGTCATCTTGAGATGCTGCTCTCGCGCATAATCTATTTGCTAGACTTTGCTATTCTGGGAAGCAATGTAATCGCGGATACCCAAAAAGTCTTATCTTTAAGTAACAGTACTAACTTCAGAAGGAAACGGACTTTGAAGAAGGCGCAAATGGCAGGATAGTTCCGATTCATGAACCGGCTTCTAATCCCCTCTCCTAGCATGGTCACTACCAATGCCCTTCTCTCATGTCTTAGTGAAGGATTCCCAGTCTTCTCGCCGCAAATCCTAACGCTCCAAAACCCGCAGTAAGCCCTGTAAAGACAATCAAGCCCCCGAATCTCGTCCCATACCCGAAAGCCGCAGACTTCGCGATTAACGGCCATTGCGCGTTAATTAGAACTTCACTGATTGGTCCACACGCTATCGAGCCCACACCCCGGCCAGCATTTAATAAGCCGAATATGATACCAGTAGAAGCAGTCTCGTCGACTTCTTTGACAGCCCGCACTATCCCGGGCCAGGTTGCACTGGCACTGCCCGCGAAGACCCCGTAGACAATGGCGAACAGGCATAGAGGCGGTAGCGAGACTGACAGGCCCCAGATCGCGAATACAGCGAGAACGGTCCCAACGGTAGCGAGGAGGATGACGTTTGTCACGTGCCACTTGTCGATCAAGAAGCCTACGAGAATGAACCCAATTGTGATGCCCGCGTTCATGAGGGTCACGGGTGCAGTGGTGCCGAATCCCGATTCCCCAACCACGAGGCGTGAGTATGTTGGCAAGTAAAGAGAGGGAGCAAAATATCCCAGACTCTGGAGAGTGCTTCCCAGCTGAAAAATTAGAAATGGGCGCGACCACAGGAATTCGAAGCTGATCTTTTGCCGTCGGGGCATTGGGGCGGCGGCAATTGGCGTTCTCGGCTTCACGAATGGCAGGAAGGGGCATACGAGCAGAACCATGGCCACAGCCCAGGCGCATATAGTGGTCCGGTAAGAATATTTTGAGAGTGCGGCGCTGACAACAAAGGGGAATATAATTCCTGCAAGACCGCTTCCGGCCTGATATTCTATGAGCCTTTTCCGCTTGGCATGTTCAATGTGGGAAGGTCGGACTTACCCAGCATAGACCTTATGCCAAGCCCTTTCGGCGCACGAACCACTCGTCAATATATATGAGAACGGGATAATAGAGCATGCAAGCACCAACGGGGTAGATAATCCCTTGGGTCACCAACAGCTGCCACACCGTGGTGGCAAATGCGGATGACAGGATTCCAACAGTTGCAATCACGAGACCGGCGATACTACTTTTCCGACCTAGATATGGCCAGCGCTGCAGGAAAAAAAGGCTGAAAGGCGAGGCAAGGTAAAGGATACCCTAGCAGCGTTTAGGATAGCCTTTAATGACTTGTGCACTTAGGGCTACTCACCATCGAGCACGATCCTACCAGGGACACACGGGATGCATCCTGGGCAAATGGTTCGGTGGTGGTGTAGTAGTCCTGAAATACACCAAATGAAAAAGGGAATCCTTTTGCAGTTAGGGCTTTGTGATGACCATCTAAGCTAACTTTCAGCAAACACAGATCTTTAACTCACCCCAGACCATCATCTCTAAGAGGAAAGCTCCCACCAGACATAGCCATGCATCCTTACCCCCGTCCACTGGGGGCAAGGAGAATTCTCGCAGTGCAGTGGCTGCGTCGTCGTTTGACTGGTCTTGTAAATCGTCTCCAATTTGAGCTGGATGGAGCTCGTAGTTGAATACTGTTTGACCCATTGTTATACGTCTGGGTTGTTCGGGGGGTGCGAAGGCCTTGAGTTGAGCATAAGTTCGTCACAAGCTGGGAGGTCGGATTTAGGTTAACTTGTACTTACTATTCCCCATTCCAGCCCAACTCTCCAACGAGCCAATTTGAGATGCTGCCCGATAAGTCAGGCATGCATGAGTGGCAATGGAATCGCCATAGGCTGAGCGCGGGCGGGAAACATTACCCGATCCAGCAAGTCATGCGACGGGGAAACGGGTGGTCAGATCTTCAAAGGCACAAAACGCATGCTAAGCCTTTGTAGGCTGCGGGGTCATAAGCAAATAACATTCAATCACAGTCGGGTGCAGGTGGATAGGCGGGGCAGGGGATGTAAGTAGGTGGCCGTGCGGTATAGTATCTCCACACTGGAGGGTGACCGAGTGGTTGCAGAACACTCACAACCATAGCAACATTCCAGATATCAACGTCATACTCCCAGCCTGCTCGCAAAATGACCCCAGGAGCCCTGTAAAGATTTGGCATGATATCTTCATCAAGACGTTTGTTACTAAGACGAGGTTCGCCGAAATCGCTCGGAAGCGGTAGTCCGTCTCCAGGAGGGAAGCGGGAAGACATGTAGATTGTACGATCTGTGACCACCTTTCGCGCTGATGGCGTCTTTATCTCTGCTTCCTCAAAATCGGCGAGCGCTTCTGGCTTTGGTGTTGGAAGAAGCAGATATTTGAGCTGAAGATCTATAAAACTCAGCTCCTCGTGTCGTGGAAGAAGAAAGCAGACCATACCTGTATGGATTTCGCCACCTACAGAATGTAAGAAGTCCAACACAACCAGTAACTGTCGGATACAATTTTTCAGATCCTTAAGAATTACTGCCTTTCCAAGGGTCCATTCTAGCAGCTCATTCGCGCTTATTCCCAGCGGTTCATGGTCGAGACAGATATGCAGACCATGGGGACCCGGGATCACAAAATGATCGTATAACTTCTGAATATTTCTTTCACCGGGTTAGTGCACGCCTTATATGCATCACACAGATGCTTTATACACCCTCTCGTAGAGTTCCAAGATTCTCTAGGAGGGTGCTGCGCATGCATATTATCTGTGACCAGACTCTTTTTTGAATTTGACGGTACATCTTGGGGCTCGGTGTAGGGGCCCCACATAGCGGCTACGCTTTCACTTTCCTCTTCTGTCGTCAAATCCGGCAGTCATCCCGACCGATATCTCGGGACTACCAGGACTTCACAGCCAGATGAGAGTCAGCCATGATTTGACCTGCTCCGGGTGGCTTACCTGTCCCGAAATATGACATAAGGGCGGAACGCAAGGGCGTGTGCTATGTGAGAACGTTCGCAAAATGGCTCTCCATGGCTTACGCGACAGCATCATTGGACAGTTTCTTCGCCGCTTGGTGCACCCATCATGGTCGCTGTTTCAGGACGAGCTCGAACCTATAACAAAAATGCCATTGCAGCGGGAGACTGTGCGCAATTCTTACAAGGCTCCGAGTCAGTTGGTCAAGAAGACAAGCCATTACGCCATACGGGACGATCAAACTCCATCCGCAGAACATCCTTTCAACCAGACCATTTTCCGCTAGCACGGCTCACGGCGGAGGACTGCAAGAAAAAGGAGCAAGGCAATCAGGTCATGCTCATTTGGTGCTCGGATTCCGACCCTGATAACCCTTATAACTGACATAACAGCAAGAAGCTCTGGGTTGCAGCGGTTATTGGGCTTTATACCCTGGTCTCGTAAATGTCTGCCCCGATCTACACCCCAAGCACCGAGTACGTGGCTCGGGAATACGATATTAGTCACGCACAATCTTCGTTGGGTCTTGTGCTTTATGTGTGACTGTCTAAAAACAATTTAGGCCGCCGGAGGCCTCAGATGCACGACTAATATCGTACTAGTGTAGGATATGGCTTTGGGGCCCTCTTGTTTAGTCCCTTGTGCCATATGCTGTTTCATAAGTAATATTCTGCATTATATGCATTCCGACTGCACTCACGCACAGCAAAGCGGGCTTTTTTCTTGCGATTTCTTCAAGGGTTTTTTGCCAGTGCATCACTAACTACAGGCGGGGCTTCACTCGGAGATGTCTATGGTGCTACGAGCTTTCCGTGTGCCATGTCGATCTGGGCGGCATGTGCCTATTCAGCACCGACAATAGGTCCCACCATTCCAGGGTTCGTTATCCCTGTTCTCGGATGGCGCTTTTCCATGTGGGAGATCCTTATCGCGGCTGCTCCAGTCTTCATTCTGGTTTTTACACTCCCTGAAACAAGCGCCACGACAATCCTCTACCGACGCGCGCGGCGGCTGCGGCAGCGAGACTGCATAACTCTGTATGTCACGGCCGGGGAAATGGCCCAGCAAGGAGTCCGTTTTCCTCAAGTGGTTCAAAATTCGCTTCTGATCCCCTTTCGAATCACTCTATCGGACCCGGCTATGTTGTTTGTTAATATCTATATCATGTTGATCTACAGTATCTACTACTCATTCTTTGAGGTGTGCCCCATCGTATATGGTCAGATATATGGCTTCAATGCCGGAGAGAAAGGGTGTGTTTTTATTGGTAATACTATAGGCACCGCCATGGCGATGCTGATCTTGTTTCTTTACCACCAGTCTGACCCACCAACGCAATAAGAAGCCGAAGGCAAACTCGAGAAGGTTCTCATCTCAGCTCTGTATGCCAGTTTTGGGCCTCCCGTCAGTCTGTCTCTTTTTGGGTGGACCGCTCATCCCAGTGTACATTGGACTATCCCCACCATTGGGATGCTGATTTACCCGGCTACCGTGTGTATCCTGATGCAGTGTCTCTTCTTGTATATTTCATCGTGTTATCCGCACTACCGAGCAAGTCTGTTCGCCGCCTCCGACTTCAAGCGCAGCTGCTTTGAGGCTGCGGCCATTCTCTTCTCCAGGCCAATGTATGAAAATGCGGGCGTCGGACCAGGGTGCAGTATCTTGACTGGTCTGATTGTCGTATGTGTGATCGGGATATTCTTTGCTCTTTATTTACGGAAGGGCCCTGCGACAACGCTCGCGATTCACCGGATAGAGCCATTGACAATCAGTGGGGTGACTCTTGTTGTCGCGATCGTGCTTTGACTACTATGCTATATCTATTATCGCAATTGAGCTTCTCTTGGCAGCCAAAAACCTTTGTTCCGTGTCAGCGTAGTCATATTGTTTCGGGCCCAGCCTCGACGAAAAATTCCAGGTATTACCTTAATAGTATCTAGAATTACTGCTTGACAAATTGGGTTCCCATTCAGTGCTTAAAGGCTCGAACTGGGTGATGTTGCTGTCTTTCATCTCCTTCACTCTGGCTCAGATTCCAGCGTGTTTTAGACCCTGAAGTCTCTACCCGACTGCTTCTACTATCTCACCTACAAGCTTTCAGATCATCAAGATGCCAATTAAAACCCAAATCACAAGAAACTCTCCCCCGTCCACTTAAAACTTTAGACTAAGTAGTATTTTGCGGGGTACATTGTCATTCAATTGAGTAATATACAAAGCATGATTCAAATTGCCTTGATAGTTACACGCATGCCTATTTCGGCCAGCGAGTGCATTAAAACTGAAGAACAGAAATGTAGGCTGATGTTCCTTGTTCATCAAACGACTTGAAAGCACATTACCACTATCTAAAGCCAGATATGGCCCATCTCGTTACAATGCATAGACAATCTTATAAGCGGAAATCTTTCCATCCCGATACTCTTGGAATCCCTGTGGTACGGCATCCAATCCATGTAGAATCCTGGGAGTGCTCGGCTTGAGAGCCCCTTCCTCCAACCATGAAGAAAGTTTCGCAAACAGTTCCGCCGCGAGTGCATGATCATCTTTGGAAGCCTACGTAAACACCACAATCATGTCAGTATCTGCCTAAAACCTTGCGGCAAAGAGTCTCGCGCTTTGGAATGCCAACTCACCGGCCATTTGAACTCGCCATAAGTATGGTCTTTGATAAATGAGGTCCACACCAACACATCCGTAACCCGAGTGCCTGAGGTCACGTCCTCGGTATTCGTTTTGCCCGGGCGCACTGTGCACAAGGTGCCATTTCCATTGTAGAACGTCCGAGAAGATGTCGGTGAGGATGTTGCATTGCCGATCGTGTCAAAGGCGTACGACAGCGTGGAAGCCACCGCCTGTATCTTCTCGATGACCTTATCGTCCTTGTAGTCGAAGACGTGCTGGGCGCCGTAAGAGCGCACCAGATCTGCGTGTCTCGGGCTACAGGTCGTGGTGACTTGCAGTCCGTACATTGTTGCCAGTTGAATGGCGTAGAGACCGACGCTTGCTGTGAGGAGCTGGTAAGTTGTGGGTTTGGAAAGGGATGAAAGCGACCAGGGCTCCCGCAGTAAAATGACTCGAGGCTGTGAACTACAATAAGAGCAGGAGCACGGTGTACGTACAGCTGCCACCCCAAATTAGCACGTCGGTGCTCTTCTGGTGTTCATGGTCAATGGCCAGACAGTCCTTCGAGAAAAGAGCCAGCCATGCGGTCGCAGCCGCCAGAGGCACAGTGCTCGCCTGCTCGCGGGAGATATTCTGCCCCGACACCGGGTACGAGATTCTCCCATCGGCTAGAGTATATTCACTGTAGGCGCCTAAACCCTTGATCTCGCCTGGTTTTCGTCGGTCGAGCAGATGTCACAACATGTCAGCTTTTGTAATGTCCCAAAGATAGCTCAGTGGCTGTACTTACCGCCCCAGATTAGGCCGGCGATGATATCTCCCTTATTGTATCGTTGGACGAATCTGCCAACTTCAGTGACTTCGCCGACGAAATCGCAACCCAGCACGGCACCCTCGCCAAATGCTTTGTTATCCAACGACTGAACTGTATCTCATTTTGCTTATGTCAATGTAGATTTCTTTGCAAATCATTGAATCATCATGGTCCCAAAGTACGGGGTCGAAGCGGGGCAGGAATAGGAAGCGAAAAAGTGATGCCGACAAACGTACCATCAGTTGGGTTCTGTGCAGCGTGGGTAATCTTCACAAGGACTTGTCCCTCGCTTGGATGGGAAATTTGGATTGGTTCCTTCGACAGGTGTAGTCCTTGTGCATTATCCTGGCGAAGCACTTGCGCTGTCATTTGTTGGTTTGCGCTCATTTTGGTGTGTTCGGTCTGGGTTCGATTTGGGTTGAGCTTGGGTAGATTTGGCCTCGTCCTCTTTTGGTCAATGAACCTTAGTCGGAAGTAAGACCAAGAACAAGTTTATGCTGCTTTTAATTGTGGTGATGGGAGTGTTGGATGTTCGAGAGTAATATATCATGGATATCAGGAACGGCTGTAGCTTCTGGTCAATATGACCTTGTCCAGAAGGCGACAGGATAAGATTAGGCAAGTCGAAGCGCCTTCTGGAATTTCCCCACGCGCTGTAATTCCCACTGTGCTACATACGCGGACATCGGCTAGTGAGTCATCTTCCTGTGGATATATCTATGCAAAACTCGATATTGATTTATGGCTGCCTCTTGGTTTGTGGCACTACGTACTACCATGCTGGTTCAATTCTTCTCTCACAAATGGGATATGTGTCAGCACCTTCCTCTCCAGACGACGCACGTCAAGCCCAACAGTGTACTGTTGACGCCCTCTGGCATGCACGAGAGTTACTAGACATCTCAGCCTGCAATCCATCGTAGCGAGTACTTCCAATTTCCGTAAATCTTTTGGCTTTCTATATATGTCTTCACGCTTGAGCATCGAGACCCAAATGATGTGCATCTTCTATGGTTTTCATAAGCCAAATTTGAGCATTACTCACTCAAAAAAACCAATGTATAGTGCAAACCGGGTGAACCACTTGCAGCCCTTGTATATCGCAGGGACAGTCTTTGCTGGGTACCGCACGACCTCTCCTTCCAAGCAACCTCGGTCGTCATCTCGCCGCATGGCGAGTCCTGATCCGCTGAGCCTTCCTGGAGCCCTACCACCCAGTCTTGATAAGAGACAACGTTCCCCGAGGAGTACGCCGCTGAAAAGATTCAGTTGCTCAGGCATTTGGCTAGGATCGAAGCCGAAACCGGCGGGAAGACCTCCCACCGTGCTGCGGATCTGAGGATGCTTTGGGGGATGGCGTGAAAAACACCACGATTGAGATCCTGTGCGGGTGTTTATATGTTCTCTCCAATTACAAATTAATGCACATATGATGGAAACTTCTACTCCACGTGGCGGATGGACTACTTTCTCGGATCGTCTACCAGATGTTGTAAAGTGAAATGGTGTGGGAGACAGAAACGGAGCATTCGAAGTCAAGATGAACAAAAAAGAAAAGGGCGCCGACTCTTTTTTCGCGCTGCACATGTTCAGGACTTGAGCTGAATGTGAATCACTGCATTGGAATGAACACATAGCGGCGCGTACAATGGTGTCCTCTAATCTGAGAGTCTAGCAGTCCTGAATGCAGATAACGACATGTGGTCCCGTGTAGTAACATTCTCAATGAGTGAATTGTGTAGGACGTGGTGCTTGCAATAAGGAGTCCTTAGAGCCGTCGTCCCGATGCAAATGAGAAATAGCAGGGCCGATCTGCGGGGGTGGGCTTAGGACATGGTTTTGTTTAGCGGGTTGGCGATGTGGTGGATGACTGGGGTGGCGGTTTAGTCCGAGGAATGAACATCCGGTGCCCGGTGGTGGGATAATCCGGCGATGGTGTTAAGTGGGCGGAAGTGGCCAATCAACTGGTACACTAGGAAGATGAAGAGATTGAGCGAGGTGAAACGGTAGTCTAGACTGGTGCTGCTGCTAGGACTCTGAAGCTCCAGTATATCACGAGGATAAACACGTGAAATACGAAGGAGGTGTGGATTATATTATGGCGGAGAGGGCTCCGTAGACTATTTTGAGGTGGTGGAGAGGTATCAAGGCTGGTATTGATGCTGAGGATGAGTTGGGTGAGAGGACAACAGGGAAACAATGGCAGATATGACAAGATATACTGAATTTACTGGGTGGGTTGGCGGCTTTCGGGAACGGCAAGGCAAAAAGACCATGGTTGCGAGTCAAGTAGGGTTCTGGGGTTTGCCAAGAGATTTATATCTCCCACCAAATGTACACAATTGGAATATCCATGATGCTGTTGCTTTTTACCTCGTATCATTCATTATTGGACAGTTTTTCTCGACTGCTTTTGTGTACATGTGTGGTGTTGGCACAATTGAAACCTAAGGTCAGACCATTATCTTTATATCATTGCTGGGCAAACATTACGGCTAGCAGTGTGCCTGGCAGAGAACTCCTTCTTGTGTTGCTTCGCTGAACCTTGACATGATAGCCTCTGAAGCGTACCGGTCATTGCACGACAATAAACTGCTCGTTAGTATCTAATACCACATTCAAGCTCTACAACATTTATTAAAAGAGAATATTGGGGAAGGTGGCAGGTGACGCTGAGCGGGAGCCGCGACACTCGCGGCGTCGGAAGCCGGTCATGGCGTCAAAAGTCAGCTCGGTTTTCAACAATTGGGGCTGTGGTTTAGTGGTATAATATTCCCTTAGCATGGGAGAGGTCCGGGGTTCGATTCCCCGCAGCTCCATCTTTTTGCATTTTTCTTCAACGCGCATAGATTGATTGCCGTTCTTCGGGAGAGATGGTGGGTCCGCAAGCCCTAATCCGGTCATAGAGACGGGAATGATTTGCCATGAATTGGTATGTTTTGTTGCACATACGACGAGAGACTTAGCTGGTATTAATCTCGACCGTACTGTAATCTTATTGCGTGCTTTGAATGCTTGAGCGAAGGGCCACGTCATAAGTCCAGCCAAACATAGAGCAAGGGCCGGATCATAGATCGGAGTAAGTTAGTGAGTGCAACTTAAATGGAAACCTCTGTGGAACAAAGAACTATATCTTGTCATAAGGAAGCCCGGAGGCGAACCGCTGGGTGGTTAAGCCGACATCGTAAACAGGCTTAATCGGTCAGTTCAACCACCAGGTTGGTGTGGCGGGTGCCGGACCAGCCAGGAACATGGTCGGCCTCCAGTCCCATGTGTGAGTATCGCGCCAGTCAATATTGATTACCCAAAATCATTTTCCGCGCGTATCCCTCATCCTCAACTATAATGACGCATGGAACAGCTTTACATTTTGCCTCTTCACCGGAAATTTTCGCGTCATTGGATGACAGCAGCCGACCGGGTCTGCATTCCTGACCGATGCTGCCGAGTCGGTTGGATTTGCAAAGTAGTTTCTATGCTGGAGGATCATAGTCCTGAGATTAAGAAACATATCATAATATTTACCGTATAAGATATGATATAGGACGATTCACCTTGGGGGAAGAGCGGGGGGAGGTTGGCCTGTAACTGGCGACCCACGCGTCCTCGCCGGCGGTGGGCATATACGCCATCTACACATTCCACACACATCAGCAACACGTGGACTTTTAGCTTTAAATCTATTTATTAATCAGAGGTGAATACTCTACCCGATTGAGCGTTTCTCCTGCGACTGATTTGCCATTCAGTCCCTATTGTAAGTCAAAGCCACCATTATCTAATGTGAGAGAGGCAGGAATGACAGTAATGCACGCAAGGTCAATGACCGAAACTGTCCTTAATATTTACTATGGTTTGCATCCCCCAGCATTACAACGTCCTCACATAGTACTATCTTCGGTGAAAGGGCTTTGAGCAAGAGGAAACAGGCTTCACTCATAGCCACACACAAACCTGGGGGAGTCAGCAACGAAATTATCCCAGGGATACCTGAACTCCGCAACGGGGTCGCCGTCACAGTCGCCGCCTCTGCTCGAGGTGTTAGAGATACGAAGAAGGAATAGTCTTTTCGGTAGCAGGGATAATTCTCATACTGATAGAAGTAACAAACGATGTTTTGGTCTTCAGGAACTCAAAGATATCGTACTTCCCTGCGGTGAAGAGACACGGAATCATATTAGTATTGGCAGTTCAAGATAGCATACCAGTGGGAACCGGGCCAGGGGACTGAATTGTCCGCTTACTCAAGTGGGGCATTACAACCACCGTCGACAGGGATTTCTGCGGAATCTCCCGTGAAGTCAAATTCGCTGTAGGCGATAACCTAGTTGAGGCCATGGTCAACAAGTCGAGGACACGTAACCCACCGTACCACACCGTGCGGAGTCGCGCGATAGGGTAGATCTTGCCCCATGCGCGGCCGGATACTGGCGCCGTTTGGCGTCGCTCAGCTTGCCGCCGACTACGCTGACAACTCCAGCACCCATACTCTGGGCGGAGGAACAGCCCGGAGTCTTAATCATGCGAAACACGATGATCAGCGGAAGGAAATTGGACACTGCACTGACGATCATGACAATGGTCAAGAGAACGAAATCAGACAGCAGCACTGGCCGCCGGCCGTCGTGCTGGCTGAGTGTGCTTCACCACAGTGGCGCCACGGCCAGCCCTAAGAGGAATACCGTTGTAGTCAAAGCGACTTCCGTCTCCGTGGTTTGGAAATGGTCCACAAGATTGGTGAACGAAGGGAATAGGATGATCAATGCAAACGGTGCAGCGGAGGTAGATATTGTAATGACAGCCAGAATGAGATGCTTCTGCAAAGGCAAATATGATTTTGGATTTCCATTACCTCGCGCGATGGCTCCATATCTCAGATGTCTTGGTGGCTTTGGCTGACGACATCGCGCTTAAGAAACTTAAAAGGTCTAGAGGCCTGAGAAATATCGTTCAATTGAGTTTGCTTCGCTCTGCTAACGGCCAACGTAATTCTGGCGGAGACTTGTCTTTTATGTAGTTGCAATATAAGGGTCTCGAACTATAGGGTTTTCGGAACTTAGAGATTCCGAGAAGAGATAAAAGATAAGATTCCATTCTTTTCCCCGCTCCTCGGAGCCAATGAGTTTCTCAGCTCGGAAATGCCATGAGGCCAAAGCGGGGATTGTCGTGGCCCCAATTCTCTTAAGGTCTTCCCATCCATGAGATTTTTTTGCAACCTCCAATTCCCGACCGCAAATTCTCTGAAAATATGAATGAGAGCTGGATGGCCCTGACAGTGCGTGGCTCTGAACGTACCTGAAATATGTCAAATTGCTCGGCCCGGAATTCAGGCAGTATTAACGTGGCGAAGAGTCGTGGGTTGAGATAGGCATGATTTGTGCCGGGGTGTTTAATTGAAGCTGTTCTTTCACATGGAAGCTTCTAGGTCGCCCCTCCTGTCAAAAGTGCGTACTGAATCCACGTGTTATTCACTGTTATCTCGATAAGTATATCTTGGATTTTGGGTTCTAGCTTACTGCATGTTGAGTTGACTACTGATTCTAAGTTGCACACTGTCTCCGCCTCTGGATATAGCAGCCAAGAGTGTTCTTTGGAGCCTTGCTCATGAGCGGCGACTATGCATTGTGCGCGGGGATAATCCAAACGAAGTTATCGAAGAGTATGGTGCTTATGGCTCTTTATTAGACAGTTTACCCCTGCCCCTCTTTATCCTCCGTCAGTCGTTCGATATAATCCACTTTCCGGCTTGGCAACGGGGCATTGAGGGAGAGGTGAACCCGATGAACACGGCTATTACTCGAAGCTGACGCTTCTTTAGACTATCAAAAGCCACTTGTCCGTCTATTCATGAGGGTAGTTGATTTCACGGACTGTCGCTCAGTGTTCATCGGCTGCTTACTGGGGTGGCTGGGCAATTTCCTTGTTTGCTCAGTTCCGTCCCCTCAATCCCGACCTAGGGCACGCAAAGTCACCAATCACCTGGAAATTAAGCAGGGGTAGTTACCATCATATGGGCCCATTGCCGAGCGGACAACGGGGCCGGGTCCATTTGGTGTCTTGTATATCGGTTTCTCCACGGGGAAGACCACCAAAAACATGGCGATCATATCTGCATTGGGACGCGGGGTATAAATTTCCCCGAAATCGGCCTGGTAGTAAACAATGTTGTTCGCGGAGAAACTCCTCCCTGCGGGACTTAAATACCGCGTTTGCACTCCTCTCCTCACGAAATGAAGTCTTCGCACTCTCAAGGAAAAAGGGAAAAAAAGAAAAGGTTGGGGAGAATGTTCGGCTCTCGGTCCCCCGCTGCTGCTGTAGCGACGTTCTTGGCGCTCTGCAGCTGCAGTCATGCCCAGAATGCCATCGTCGTCGACGGCACTTCCTTTGCACTAAACGGCGACAATGTGTCCTACCGCTTCCACGCCAACACCACCACCGGCGACCTGATCACCGATCACTTTGGCGGACCCGTCACCGGTGCAATCCCTTCGCCCGTGGAGCCTGCCGTCAATGGCTGGGTCGGCATGCCAGGCCGCATCCGTCGAGAGTTCCCTGACCAAGGCCGCGGTGATTTCCGCGTTCCAGCCGTGCGGATTCGTCAGACGGCGGGTTACACGGTCAGTGATCTGCAGTACCAATCGCATGAGGTGGTGGAAGGCAAAGGTCCCTTGGCCGGGGGTGCGTTGCCGGCGACATTTGGGAGCGCGGAGGATGTGACGACCTTGGTCGTTCATCTCTACGACAATTACAGCTCTGTAGCCGCTGATCTGTCGTATTCGATCTTCCCCAAATACGATGCGGTCGTGCGAAGTGTGAATGTGACGAATCAGGGGCAGGGAAACATCACGATCGAGAGTCTGGCGAGTTGGAGTGTGGACTTTGCTTATGAGGAGCTGGATATGATCAGTCTTCGCGGTGACTGGGCAAGAGAAGCAACTCGGCAAAGGAGCAGAATTAATTACGGTGTTCAAGGGTGAGTGACTTATCAATGCTAATGCATGGAGGTACATTAGCCCAACTGACTTGCATGAATTATTGATGCAGGTTTGGAAGCAATACTGGGTATTCCTCTCACCTCCACAATCCCTTCGTGGCAATTGTGGATCCGGCCACCACCGAGTCCCAGGGCGAGGCTTGGGGCTTCAATCTCATCTACACAGGCTCCTTCTCTGCCGAGGTGGAAAAGGGCTCTCAAGGACTGACCCGGGTGCTTTTGGGACTCAACCCCGACAAGCTGTCGGTGAACCTCGGACCCGGCGGGACATTGACTTCGCCAGAGGCTGTATCAGTCTATTCATCCGAGGGGATCGGTGGCATGTCGCGCAAATTTCACCGGCTCTATCGTAACCACCTGATCAAGAGCAAATTCGCGACCTCAGACCGTCCCGTCCTCCTCAACAGCTGGGAAGGCCTGTACTTTAACTACAATTCCAGCAGCATCTACACCCTTGCCGAGGAGTCCGCTGCCCTGGGAGTTCGTCTCTTTGTCATGGATGACGGCTGGTTTGGAAACAAGTACCCACGCGACTCTGATGATGCAGGACTGGGCGACTGGACCCCCAACCCTGCTAAATTCCCCGACGGCCTCAACCCCGTAGTCAACGAGATCACAAACCTCACAGCCAACTCGACAACAGATGCGTCCAAGCTCCGCTTTGGCATCTGGGTCGAGCCAGAGATGGTGAACCCCGAATCCGTCCTCTATCACGAGCACCCAGACTGGGTCCTCCATGCGGGCGACTACCCACGCACCGAGCGGCGCAATCAGCTAGTGCTCAACCTCGCTCTTCCCGAAGTTCAAGACTTCATCATCGACTTCATGACCAACCTCTTGTCCAATGCCAGCATCAGCTACATCAAATGGGACAACAACCGCGGGCAGCACGAGACCCCCTCACCGGCCAACGACCACGCCTACATGCTGGGTCTGTACCGCGTCTTCGAGACGCTGACCACGCGCTTCCCCGACGTGCTATGGGAAGGCTGCGCCAGCGGTGGCGGCCGCTTCGATGCCGGCGTCCTGCAGTACTTCCCGCAGATCTGGACCTCCGACGACACCGACGGCTACGAGCGCGTCGGCATCCAATTCGGCACCTCGCTGGCATACCCCCCAAGCGCCATGGGCGCACATCTGTCCGCCGTCCCCAATGCGCAGACCGGCCGCACGACCCCCACGACCTTCCGCGCGCACGTAGCCATGATGGGCGGGTCGTTCGGCTTGGAACTCAACCCCGCCGATATGGATGATGTCTCGCAAGAGGAAATTCAAGAGCTTCTCGCTCTCGCGGAGAAGGTGAATCCGCTAGTCCTCGCCGGAGATCTGTACCGTCTGCGTCTGCCAGAGGACTCGCGCTGGCCTGCCGCCTTGTTTGTGGCCGAGGATGGTAGCCAAGCGGTCCTGTTCTATTTCCAGCTGGCGCCGTATGTGAATCATGCGGCGCCGTGGGTGAGGCTTCAGGGACTGGATAGTGGGGCGAGGTATAGGGTTGACGGTGCGGATGAGGTGTACTCTGGGGCTACGTTGATGAATCTGGGCCTACAGTATACGTTTGACACGGAATATGGGAGCAAGGTGGTGTTTTTGGAGCGGGTGTGAGCATTTCGTGGACAGCGTCAATGGCAGTCGCAGGACCTATGTAATTCTACTGCGGTAGTATTAGCGACATAATCTGCAGTACTTTGGTTGCAGAAATCTTATCTTCCTCTTTCCTTAGTTCAGCCTGGCGTTCACCATATAACTGGCTTTGTTAGCATGTGGTATATCTAGTATTTTAAGCGCATATCACCTGCAAACTCTTTGTACTGTACGTCTATCTGCCGCATTGCATAGAAGGCTTTTTCGGTTTGTACTCTTTGTAATTCTTGACTTTTGACTAGAACAATGGTTATATCTCTTGGAGTGCAGGGCCTCAAATATGATCATTGCGTGTAGGTCTAGCTGCTTTCAAATAACATTCATTCATTGGCTCTTGACAAAGTATGAAAGAGAAATCTCGAAAGTCTCGGTACATACCGCTATCCATAGTAGTAGGTTTGGCCCGGCGAAGAGGCTTAAATACAAGCGGCACGCACAGTTTCCAGCCGTTTTCTTCTACTTTCAAAATTGAATAATATTGCATTTCGATTGAGAGGCATCTCCAGATCTCCAGTCCTTCAGCCTACTTGCTAAGATCAGACAAGTTGCACTCAAACAAGCCCACCAAAATGCCCGGAATACTCCTATCCGAAAACCATGTCGGTCTCGCGCTCCCCTTCGAACAAGAAGGCTACACCTACGAATGCACCCTGTTCCGGGTAGACGAGACGACCATTGCCCCAGCGGCCTTCGTCGACTACCGGGTGGACCCCACAGGACACCCAGACTTCACCACCATCCTCACGCACGAGGACTGGGAGATCGACGAGTACCACCTGGCGTTTGCCGTAGCCCGCAGCCAGCTCCAAAAGGGGACGCACTTCGACGTGGACCGGCCGTGCTTCGCGGTCCTCGTCTACGAGGGGCGCCGGGACAAGACTCGCCTCTACCGGTGCACGTACCGCCGGGCGACTGAAACCACCACCACCGGCACCACCGATGGGGCCGGGGACTCCGAGATTATGGTCGCCTCCTGCGAGGAGGTCGAGGTGCCGGACCCCTGCGACTTGCACCGTCAGGTTACTTCGCGGTTGGCTGCCAGGGCCAATGCCGCTGAAAACGACGAAGACATCCGGTCGATGGTTGCTAGGCAGGCTCCGATTACCAACGTGGTGGAATGGTCCGAGCACTTGGATATTAGGCAGACGGTGGAGGAGCGCATTCGGGATGATATGCAGGAACGCAGCTTGAACTGGGAGTAGTTCGTGGATTGGGCGGCTGGAAAAAATTTCCCGATGTCGAAGATGGCATTTGCATGGTGGAACATCTCCGAGAGTCGGTATAGGCTGTTTCGATTGTTCAGTTTGCAGACGTAAGTGCGGTTCTGAGGCATCTGCAGGACCTTTCATCTTAGACTGTTTAGGTGTTTTGAAGGTATTCTTCATATGAATTTATCTAAATTCATATAACTTTGCTTTGATTCGTCCGGCTTAAACGTATTTTGCCTGGATGGGGTGTATCGATTAGGACAACTGACTTGGCTCCTCGCTCCTCTTAGCATGTTCGTATCTGAGGGCATAGAAGTCGAGCTCAATTCATTATAAGCACCCCATATTGATTAAAAACGGTAATTGAGAATCTACTGCCAGCAATTTATTGCCGGAGCTTGTATCGCACTTCTCCTCTTTATCTTGTAGAACGAATACGGTCTTATCAACTTACATGATGAGCTCGGTCCTAGCAAGAATAACCGACGAAAAAGAACAAAGGGACAAACACAGGAGGATAGCACGTCGATCGATGTGCCGAGGAAAAGAAGAACAGAGATCCCATTGCATCTTGTAATCGGTGAACCCAACTCCTTTTGTTGCCTGTAACCCTAGAAGATGAAGCTGCAGTCTGGTCACTTAATTTCTATTGGTCAGGATTATTACAACCCGGCGTCCGGCCTCGGAGCCCTAAATATGCTACACCAATGTTTCCAGAGAGACACCTGATCGGGAAAAAAATCATCAGTAAGGTCCTCAGCCTGGCATTGTCGACTGCCTGCAGAGATCTCGCTATTTAGGGTATGTTCACTCTTGTCCTCGGTGGTTGAATTTGTTCCCAGAGCCTACGAGGCAGGGCATTCACGATGCTCGATAAGATAGTCATTTATCATCTCAGAACCACATGACTCACCTGCCTCTCATGTGCACGATACCGTCAACAGGGCACCTTGGTTATAGTTCTTGGAAGACTATTAAAATCCCAGCAATGCTGTTCAGTCCAGGACATGATATCCAGAGTCATGAACAATTGCAAGCCGAGAAGGCTGCTATAACTATCCGCCCCTGGTTCCCTTCGAGAGAACCTTCACCGTAGTCAAATTGCGGGCCAGCCGAAAATAGAAAGAAAATGCACCATATTGTCCACAAATGCAGAGGTTCAAATGCGGTCAATAAAGGTTACTCACCAATTTATCTTTGACAGGGTACATCCCAGCCGAAATGGGGTCGTCTTCAGTTTCATAGAAAACGGCGATGAACTTGTCAGTCACACAAACCAGGTCATCCATTTACTAGCCGAAGCCAATCAAACAATCCTGGCCAGCTCACAGCATAACAACACGTGAAGCAATCAGCGACTAGAAAAAGGCATTCACAGCTGTTCACCCCGCTATCAGGGCTATGAACGAGATAACGTTGCTTTTGTTGAAATTTCTGCCCCGCCTGTGTCACGCAGGGGAGCTGTGTCAGATCCGAAGCAGGAGCAGCGCCAGCCTGACTATCTCACTATCCTTCCTTTGATCTCGTATCCTCAACATGGGAGGTAAAGTAATTCAGAGCCTTATATCTCAATTACTGTCTTGAGTCTAGAATGACGAACGCATCCGCAGCACAGAGCGATATCGAACTATACTCTTTACCTGATAATGGCCGTGCGCATCCAGGAGTCAGCAGGGAAACCTTGCCTAATCGAGATGCCCTGGAACATGCGCGTGTAGGCAAGAAAGAGGTTCTGAAGGTGAGGAATTCTCATTTCCGGCAGAGAGTAGTATGTTTTGACTAGTCTAACCCCAATGCCAGCGGCGATTCCGCCTAGCGAGGACAATAGGTTTCGCTAGTAGTATCATGATAACATGGAAGGCGATGACGATGTCTGTTCCCTCCCGAACTGATGACTGCACACTGCTTCGGATTCTGACACAGAAAAGACAATTCCAAGTGGGATTTCAGAAGTATGTTGACCGAGTTGATCAGCGCACCAAGCCAGCCCATCATTGACTCCATGTCTCAACGGAGGCCCTGCTGCCATGACATACGGGTATCTCGCGGTGTGGATTGCCTTCTTCAGCATCTTCATCACAATGGGAGAGCTTGCAAGTATGATACCTTCGGTGAGTATAACTTCCCATTAGTCCGTGCGCACACTTTGCCGATTGACAGAAGCCTCGCTGATTCGAGCGTATATCAAGGCAGGCGGACAATACCACTGGACCAGTATACTTGCGCCATCCTCATCGAGGCGATTCCTCAGTTTTATCACTGGTAACCTCAACCATTTGAAGCTTACACGTTCACACTGACTACTAACGACCCTCAAAAAAACACAAAGGCTCGATCAGCGTGATCGCCTGGACCGTGACGGCGACGTCCAACTACATCGTCGCCGCGAACCTCGTGCAGAGCACCGTGGTCCTCGGCCTGCCGAACTACGACGCCAAAGCATGGCAGGCGACGTTGATGACATGCGGCATCCTGCTCCTCGCCCTCTTCGTGGTGATCTATCTCAGCATGATCTTCCCTGTGATCAAGGTGTTTCTTTTGATCGCGCACATTTTCGGGTTCTTCGCCGTCTTGATTGCGTTGGTGTACCTTGGGCCTTCGGCGGGCTTGCGGTCTGGTTTTACCCAGACACTGGACTATGGAGGCTGGCATAACATTGGTTTGGCGACGTTCGTAGGATTGCAAGGGACAGTGGTTGCGTTCATGGGTGAGTATTCTGCCTAGTTCCGAACAGCCTATGATCATAAGTACAGACAAGTCTGACTCATGATGGAAATCTAGGTATGGACGGTGCGATTCACGTATGTCAAACCTTGTCCCTTGCCCATCATCGATTCGCCCATGTAACTCACACCACATGCATCCGCAAAAGATGGCCGAAGAGGTCGAAAACAGCAGCCTGGTAGTCCCGCAATCGATGCTCCTGGCCATCCTGCTGAACGGCAGTTTGGGTTTTGCGATGCTAATCGCCATCCTCAGCAAATCCGGCGACCTGCATAAGCTCCTGACCACCGACACCAAATTCCTGTTCATGTTCATCCTGGAAAACTCACTACAAAGCAAGAGCGCCGCCATCATTCTGTCCAGCATGTTCTGCATCCTGAGCTCCTGCGCGGCATTCGCGCTCATCGCCGCGGGAAGCCGCATGCTGTGGTCGTTTTGTCGCGAGCGGGCGTTCCCTGGTTGGCGATGGTTGAGGCAGGTATGCGCCTGCGGAGTATCATGTAGTGATAGAACAGTGCCCCTACTAATGTGGAGAGCTATAGGTCGACCGCCGCACCTCGGTCCCCAACCACAGCACCTTCATCATCGTCCTCGCCGCATGCCTGATCGGCCTCGTCGACATCGGCGCGCCTTTCGTCCTCACGATAACCCTCTCCCTCGTCCTGCAGGGCTGCTTCTTCTCCTACCTCATCCCTCTCTCCCTGCTCCTGTACCGCCGAGTGAAGGGCCAGATCGCCGAGTCGGAGGAGGACGGCGGTGACAGTAAGCCGTTTACCTGGGGCCCGTTCCGCCTGAAAGGCTGGGTCGAAGCGGTCAACAACGCGCTGGCGATTGTGTTCATCGTGGTGATGTTGTTCTTTGGGTCCTGGCCCTTGATAATCATCCGGCCCCGGATAAGGTCAACTATAGTCTGGCTATCACGGGCGGGATGATTCTGCTGGCAGTGGTGTATTATTTCGCGTAGGCGAGGAGGTTCTACTAGGGACCGGTGGTCGAGGTTCAGCCGTTGAATCAGTGGCGGGTGCAATTCTAGCAAGATCGTCGTCATCAATAACATTCTCGTGGGAACCTCGGTGACAGCAGTTTCGCGTGATAGTGGTGCCTTAGGCAGGAAATCTTGAACCAAGCCCCGCCCATGTATCTTGATTATCTTGATCTTGGATTCCGTTAGGAGCTTTTATCAAATCCAACTTAACCCAGTTTCACACCCGCCAGCCAGGTCATACCACCCATATCATTACTCCTTCAAGCTTCCTCGCCCAACCCGATTGAAAGGTAGGCCTAGTAACCTCCAAGCGTCATCAGTGCGCAAACACAGGCACTTCCAAGTCCGGCAAGACAACGATAAACCAGAAAATACACAACAATGTACAACAACAACCTGCCAGAAGAGGTGGAAACCTACCTTCAAGAGATAGTCCAGCGTCTCACAGAGTACCTAAAAGATCAGCTAATCGGAGTATATCTCTTCGGTTCCGCAAGTTACGACGCCTACGAGCCCGGTCTCAGCGACCTCGACGTGCAAGCTATCGTGAGAGATCCACTCAACACCGTCGACAAGCAGGCAATCATATACCAATTGAGCCAGAGCGCCTTACCTTGCCCGGCGACCAAACTCGAACTTGTGGTATACGCGCACGGCGCGGTGTATCCAGCCACCCGTCACCCTGTTTTCGAACTGAACCTGAACACCGGACCTCACCGACCCGATCATATCAGCTTGGATCCCGCGAACGAGTCAAGCCACTGGTTCTTGATCGATATCGCGATGGGCCGTGAACTGGGTCGCAGCCTGCACGGCCCGGATCCGACTGACGCTTTCGGCGCGATCCCCCGGCGCTGGATTCTCGAAGCGATCGCGACTTCGCTCGATTGGCACCGCGCAAATGAACTCAACTCGGCTAATAGCGTTCTGAATGCTTGCCGGGGCTGGAGGTTCATTGTCTCGGGCAAGTTCTCGTCGAAATTGGACGGGGCTAAATGGGCGTTGCAGCAACAGGGCTGTCCGGATGTTGTCAACCTCGCTATTGCAGCGCGCAAATCTGGAGATGAACTCCCTGCGGCCCAGGTGATGATGCTTTACGATATCGTTATGGCGGCCAACCGTGCCGAACTCGCGACAGATTTGGAGTGAGCATTACAATAGCTATCGCAGCATGTGAGTCATCTAAGTCACGGTGCCGGGGTGACAATGGGATTATTCATTTCTACAGTCTCAAGGGGGTTCGAGCAAGTTCCGGGGCGCGCGAACAGTCAGTTAGCGAAATGTGTGGAGCTTTATATTCTCAAACGTCATGTACTGTAACATAATTGTGACATTAGTTGCAAATCGTAATATCATCCACTGGCTTTTTGACCAGTTTGATGACTGAAGTAAAAAAGATCCAAATCCGATCGGACTTCAAAACATCAAAAGCCGTTAAGACGACCGGTGAGCCCGGAAGAGCACCCCAGTTTCTTAAAAAGCCTTGCCGGCCGACCTTGCGAAGGTCATACTGGATTACCATTGGGCTGTTTTAGGTGGGCCAGCTGACTACGATGTCGCCCAGGCGAATCGTTTTGCTCGTCGTCGTCGTGAAACTTGGTCATACGGGGAGTACTGCACCTTTCAGGCACTTCATCGTGCCCAGGGCACTCATAGAATCATAGTGAATTTCGTCATAACATACATCATTACATAAAAGACCCCTGCAACTTAGTTTCCTGTGCAAGCAGCAAAAACAGACTACAAGCTGACATGCTCCACAAAGCGCCCTCTACCAGCATCGCTCTCTGTCCTTATACTGGTGACCTCGCTCCGCTCCTGGGAATGCACATGGTCGACCACAACAAAAGCTGTCTCGCTCTTCTGTGAGTAGCTATCGCCGTAGTCCCGCCAGGGCTTATCGCCTCCGGCATGTGCACTAGTCTGCCTTGATCGTAAGGCCATCAGCAAGGGATTTCCTGGGGAATGATAGGCGGATTGGCCGTATAGGTGCTGATTCTGCGATGTGACGAAGAGTTGCCGGAAGGAGGCGACACAGGAGATCATAATTGCTGACACACACAAGCGGTAAGCTATGGGCTTGAAATTACGGATTGATTGCAGCGGGTACCGTAGGCACTCACCTGTGCCCATTTCAATGAAACTCCACATCCAGAGCCAGGTCATATCCATGTTGTGATCGAGGGCGTGGTTAGTGACGACACGAATGATGGCCACGGCTACGATGATGATTGTCGTGGCGAAGATACCCAAGAGGATCAGTTTCTTGGTGAATGAGACTCGGACGTTCCATACGATAAGGGTGGGAATTGAGAGGACTATGTCTTCATGTTAGAAATGAGGATTGTGGCATAAAACAAATGGTAAATGCCTGCTCACTGAGTAGATCTGTGATGACGTCTCCGGCACAGTTAGCCCAGAAGGTCCCATTCTGCCAGCGGATGTGATACGGCTTGTTGCATTGTTCTGCAGCCTGACGTCAGCGAGTCCGTCCAAAATAGGTTGAGATTATAGTCCTTACCAAAGATAAATTCAATCCCTCCGAGACTACATTGGTAGTCAATGTCCCCAACGGAAATGACCCAGACGACCAATGTAATAATCAAAACGACCCACCACCACTTGCGATGAGTATCAATCTTGGATCCTAGCTTATAAAAGAAGGCCATAAAAGAAAGCTTCACACACCATAAGGTGGTGTAGAAGAGGAACATGAAGGGAGCCTCGAATCGCATCAATGCGTCCAACTGCGGTATCACATCGGGCGTGAAGGTTGCTTTGCCAGCGCTAAGCGCATATAGCTCGTACAGTACCGGCGCTTTGATGCGCCAAACAATGCCCGTAATGACGGAGAGGATCCATGCGAGCAGCACAAATAGGTCGTCAACAAATAGTCGTCGGAAGGTCTTCAGTCGGATAACAACGCGAGCCACAACGAAGACCGTCGAGGATGCGGTGAATGTCCATAGAACGCCCTAGACGATGCAGTTAGAATATGTATAGATGACACAGATGCAGCAGTACGGACCAGAAAGACGGGTCTAGATACTTTGGCATCCAGAGACCCGGTGAGCACTATTGTCGTCGACATGATGAAGGTGACGGGGTCTTGTTGGTCTGGCACGACATGCACACACAAGTATGACTTCGTAGATCAGAAGTAGGAAAACATGGCCAACTTAATACCCAGGGTAGTAAAGACACATACCACTACAATCCACCGTAATTCCTCTTCTGGTAGGAGTCTTATACCCAGTTCCCGCCTTCATATTTTGGGGGCGATGCAGCTTGTGCAGCGTCATCACGCAAAGGAGGCAGTGCTCACCACCGAACAGTGCGGTTCATATCTCAAGGTACAATCCGAAACCAAGTTTCAGAGGTGAGCAATGTCTCGGGGGCCAAGGCCAAGGCTCAAAGTAGCCTTTTTGATGGTCAGGAACTGCATGAGGTCGTTTGATCGACGGGTCGTTGGCTGCAAGACCGGGTGCATTTGGAATCGGCGGCATGTCAGCGAGAGAACCTAGTCAGGTGTCAGGTGAGGGCGGGAAGGCCCAAGGCTTAGGCGGCTTAGTTGGGTTTAGCACCACCCAGGATTAGCCTTAGCCTTATCTACCCGCTCTATAGAACGGCATTGTTCTAATTCAGCCTGAGTCCACATATTTCACCCGTTGAGTTTGGTTCCTATAAGCAGAGGATGTGTCTTTGTAACCAGCAGCAAGTGACGACATACAGATCCTGATCACTCTGTATGGTCGCTATGGAGCTCACCAGCAAAAGGCGAAATGTTGCACTTCGCGCAGAATACAAAGAGACAAACTCCCGGACAGGGCTATAGTCGAACAATGAACCTGTAAATAGTATAAAGAAGCCCTCAGTGTGAGCCTATCATCATCTACTCTTTATGCGTCTGATCTATTACAAATAATGCCGCCCATATTAGCATCAAGATCCGACTTCTTTGTCTATGAAAAGCTCTTCTCCCTCTCCCTCTGATTCTCCACGCTTACATAGCCCGACAACCTCCCAGATGCAATCTCAAAAGACAAATGCAGACTTCAGACCACGAGCACAGTCTCTCTTCTGCCAGCCCTTACGGGCCTGGAGGTACAGAAGCACCACTCAGCCCTGTGTCTCAGTTGTCCCATATAGATATCCTACAGCTACTATCGATTGAAACAGCATCACCTGATTCTGACATCTTTGCACAATCCACCGGGCTGGAGCTTTCAAGTAGCGCATCCCAGCATTCTGCTTCAGAGATAGTACAAGAGCCAGCACAAGAAACACCAGAAGAGCCAGCACAAGAGCAAGTGACACCGTCAGCACCAACGACACCCGCACCACCTCAATCTCCACAAAACCCACCCCCAGACACAACCTACGACCTAGACAGCTGGAGCAGCCCCATAGACTTCACCTACTACGGCAGCACAGTCGCAAATGCCCCAGACAAGCACCACTGGCACGTGACGCGCACCGCCACCATCCTCACACACACCTACACCTGCCCCGTCCAAGCCCTAGACTGGGACAAAGTCATCGCCAACCTCCTCCAATGGTGCAGCCTCGGGCAACAGCAGCAGCAGCAGCAGCAAAACGAGGACACACGCCTCTCGCCCTCCTCCTCTACCACAGACTACACCCGTCACTACCGTGAACCCCGCCACCCACCACGCCCAGCATCCCCCGTCCCCATCCACGGAATAATCAAATGCGCTCCCTTCGTCCAGATCTTCACCGAGCTCTCCCCGACGCGTTTCCCAACCCTCGCCCCCCGCCACGCGGGCCGGTTCGCCCGCTTCCAGCACAAAGGCCAGTACATGTTCCGTCTCACCGACGATATCGACGCGATACCGTCGCTTTATCACGAGGTGATCATGTCCAAGGAACCTGAGTATGAACCCCAAAGCCCCGAAGCAGTGTTCGATCCACAGTAGGGACACAAGAGGTTGAAGTGGTATTTTAATCGCCATGTGATCTGGGAGACGACGGGGCCGATGAAGGTGTAGGCACCCAGGTTTCTGTGGGTTTCGCTAGTTCGCACTGCAGGTTAATTGTGAGGTGTGGTTTGGTTTTTCTCTGTGGTTGGTTGGGTTCTGGATGCGTGTCTTTGGTTGTTATCTGGGTTAGCTGTTGTTGTTTGTTGTATCATGTTCTTGTATTTGGCGATGAAGTGTAGAGAGATTGTTTTGCATCGCGTTGGTAGTTCTATATAGGCAAATTTAAGCAAGGTCCTGCTCGTTTATTATTGCTTTTTGGCTATGATGTTTAGCCCGAACTAGCCAATCACGGTATTGCTTGCATGCATCATCGCTGTGTTTGTGAACGGACGGGATGCGATGTACAGCCCCTCTGCATGTATGTGCTATATGTAAGTCAGACTGCCAATGCGACCTTAGGGTCCGTCGAAGGATATTGGCACGAGGGTATTGGTGGATAAAGTAACAGGACACAAGTACAGGGGATCTAATACGCACTAATAGTCAGCCAATGGTGCTTATCCCGCTCTCGGATAAGCAACAAAGCCTGAGTTCCCTAGTAGTAACAAGTAGATTAAGCAAAGCGTGTTCCTGCCAAGGCAGGGATCGTCGGCAAAGAATGCCCCATGCTCCAAGTATGTTGGCTGATGTCCTCCCAGCCAACATGATCGCACATAAGCACATGAGCTGACAGAGAAGTGTAAGAGTCTTTGCGAAGTAGAGAGTATGTCTATGACTTGATTGTAGTCTGGACTAATGTATGTACTGTACATGCAGTGGGGCGGCAGCCCCCGAATTTGAAACAAGGTACCGGCTTGGACGATCATCGCTATGCTAAAAATAAAAATAGAAACAAAGGCTGGGCCGCCGTCAAGTCATCCGGGGTTGAAACTTGGGGTTGGTTCGAATTCTCTCCCCATATTTCAGCAGGAACAAAGAAGTGGGGGCAAATGCAACGGCAATGAAGGCCAGCAGACTGTTGCCCCAGCCCAGGCCGAGCTTGTCATACAGAGGTCCTCCGCCCAGCGGAATGGTCGACCCAAAGATCGACCGCAACGCAAGCTCTGCGGAGACGGCGCTGGCGGCATAGAGCGTATAGGAGTCGATAAGGTACACCTGTGTCACCAAGTGGACGTAATAGATTCCAGCGCCCACGAAGAAGGTCCCTACGATGGGGATCATATAGTGCAGTCGGTATTCGGCAGTCCAGCCATACCAGAATAGCCCGATCGGAACCAGACAGCAGCCCAGCACGAGTGGTGGAAGGCGGTCCTCAGGCTTCATCTTGCCGTGAAGCTTTTCCTGTCTTCTGAGATAGCGATCCGAATAATATCCGACCGTAACCTGTCCGAAGCAAAAGCCCAGCCCCAGCCCCAAATATGCGAGCCCGGCCTCGCCAGGGCCAAACCCATAAACGTCCTCAAACACCTTCGTGAACGTCGTGAACAGAATGTACATGTAGCTATATGTGACAGAGCTGTACAATGTCACAATCAGCACGATAGGCGACAGCACGAGGAATTTAATCGGTCGGGAGAGTGAGACCCAGATAAGCTGGCCAGCTGTCTTATCAGTGTCGTATTTGGTCTTGTAAGAATGGCCAGTCTCTTTGTGCAGCTTCATTGCTTTCCGCTGCAAGATCGTAGGGGCGTATGTCTCACGTAGTAGAAATAAAGAGGCAACTGCGATGACAGCACCCTGTTCTTGTTAGATGCAAGTCCACAAAACTGAGAGATTCATAAAATCAACTCACCAAGATAACTTCTAACCAGATCGTCCACCTCCACCCTATATTCTGAACCATGTAGCCACCATAGATAGGCCCAGTCACCATTCCCTACGAATAATTAGCTTTGGTCATAATACTTGTACATGCTTGGTTGGTCACATACCATAAGTGGTCCGACGGTCCATATTGTCATAGCTGTTCCGCGCTTCTCCATTGGCATCATGTCGGCGACGAACCCTCCACCAACTGTCACGGGTACGGAACTGGCGACACCCATGATCAAGCGTGAGATTAAAAGCATAGGCATATTGACACTAGCCGCACAGACCGCAGCGGCCACCGTAAAGAGTATATTCGCTGTGTGTGTCATGGGCAACCTTCCTGTCATCTCAGTGATGGGCGTGAGGACAATGGGGCCGATGGCAGCTCCCATCACATAGATTGTGGTCATGAGGGATGTGATAGCCGAGCTGGTGACGTGAAATTCCTTCAAGACTTCTGGAACACCCGGTGAGAATACTGTGGAGACCATTGAGCTAATATGCATTAGTCGCTTCCCCCATACACCTCAGGACAGGAAGGAGACATACACGTTGAAGCTGCTCGCGGAGATGAGTCCTATGATGACCCATTTCCTCCAACTTGCCCAATTCATGGGATTCTGAGGGTCGTCGGGCCCATCCCAGTGCACAAAGTCTTTACCGTCTTCTGAAGAGCTTTCACTGCTGTCAACCGAGTAAATTGCCTCGGCTTTGACGTGGATGGTCTGCTTCTCCCCGAAAACGGTGTCTGCACTTTCGAGACTAGATTCCAGTTTCAGAGCGTGGGAGTACTCGAGGGCACTAGGAGGGTCTCCTGGCATGATGACCTTGACCACAAAACGTCGGAAGAGAGTATGCGAGGAGAGATGAATGCTGAACTGACCCGGCCATGGCTAGATGAAGACGTTCAAAGGTAATAAATAATTTGATAGAACAGTGAGAGAGCAGAATGGACAAGACTGGGTGAAGCAGATCGGTGGATAATCTTCTCATTCGGAGCAGGCAACGCGCGTCCACGCAGCGGATCTTCCTGGTATGTGGCCCTTGCTGTGCAGGTTGACTGGTTTTCCGGGGCTCCCTGCGGTTGTCTCTGACCTGTCCAGTCGCGGTACCTGCCCTAGCTCGTCCACTGGATCTTGACACGGTGGTGGATACATATGAAAAAGATACTAGTGTCAATTCATCAGGGGCGGACAACCTCGCTGTATGACGATGATCGTAGGCCCCTTGCATGATTGCTCGTTCCATGCGTGCTATCGGGCAGTTAGCTCACTCATTAGCTTCGGCCTTCCGCTCCACCCAGAGCGAACCCCTGGGTAGCACACAGCGTTTTCTCCACCGATCTGCAGGGCTCTGGTTAAGCCATCAGGTCCTTTTTTTTGTTACGGGGAAACTGAATGTTAGGGACTGTAATCATGGCAGCACTATAGATGCGACTTGCGATTAGTCCCGAGATCTGTTTGGATGTTGACGTGGCCACCCGCCATATCCGACCACGGGAATGAAAGAGAACAACGATTCAGGAGTAATCATAATCAGGCATCCATAGCTGATGTGTATGGGAAAGAACCAAGTTAGGCACGTTTATTTGTCCGACCTAGCACAAGGCTTTTGTGCGCGGAACTTTAGTCAATGAGTTGATGAGCTATAACAGTATGGCCCTGCATTCGTTAAGCAGCAGTTCTATCTTTGCAAAAGCATCGGTATACTATAAGATGTAGTAGCCAGCCTTATGTGAGCCTGAAACAGTTATCGCAGCAATTGACGCCATCATTCCATCTCAAAAGGAGCACATGGTGTGGTGGTGTGGTGTGCAGGTGCGAGATGCAGATCAGGGAATCTGGAGTGGAGTCCGAATCAGACATGCTTGGTTGTACCGCACGGGTCAGCACCCAAAGGGGCCAAGCGAACAACCGAGCACTATTGGACGGCGCCCGGGAGATCCTCCCGGGGCAAAGAACCGACTGTCACTGACGGTCGCACAGGAACTTAGCCATAGTCGATCGACGATGCATGTGGTGGAATGTGTCTTTCTCTGACGAGGCTTTGACCCTAGTCACCCAAGACCTCACCGCATTGTCAAATTTCGTGAACACGGCAGGTATAACGGTTGGGGTGATCCTCGAGATCCACAGGTCCGCCAATATATGGTCCCGATCTGCAGTCGAATCTGCAACTAAAAGGAGCTTCACCCCCGAGAGGTTGAGCTTAACGGGCGATGTCGGGTAGCCGGAGCCAGCGACACAGTTCTGGACCGAGGAGGAGGCAGAGTAAGGCAAGGTTCTCGAAGGTCTGGCTGCATGGGAGTCTCCACCGAGGCAATGGTCTCGCTCCCTGGAATTGCTCAGTGGCGGACGCGTGGCGGCTAACGGGTTGGCGGAAGCAAGAAGCTTAATTCGAAGCTCCGATGTCTCAATTTTGGGCGCCCTGTTATTGTCTAGCTCAGTCCTTCGATGTTTGAGAGAGTTGCAAAAATTGCTCATACATACAGTAGTAGTTTGAGGCGGAGATACTTCGGTGTGGTGGACTGTTGAAGAGGTCGGTGGTTTCAATTTGCCTCTTTGGAGGGGCGAGACCGGTGTTGCCAGATTCATCAAACTTGATGACAAGTAGAATCCAAGAGACGCAGAGATCTTTCATGATCGAATCTACTAATTGGTTGTCAGTGAGTCTGTTGGCTGGACTGACGGCGGGGAAGTGGCGCCGGAGCCAGAACCAGAACCCGTGACTTTGCTTCCTTTATGACCTCTCGTTTGATTTCTTAAGTTGATTCTTCCACCTTATTATGGCGTGTGTACAGTCCCTTCGTCCTTTCCTTTCAGAGGTAATGCCCGAGATCAAAGCATCTTTGGTCTCCCAGTACATCGGCGCACCGTAGCTGAGACAATGGTTTCGCTTCATCATCACTATCCTTGCTTGCGCAGGGGCTGCTGCCCTGACGGAGCCGGTCTATGGCATCATAACGGAATTGCAATCCGTCGATCTCCTCCGACATTTTTATTATCTCGGTGCCAAGCGAACCCATGATTCGCACACAGATCAAATCCGATCACCGTCAGTTGAGTCTTCATTGTGACGGCTTGCAGGTAGCCCTCCCACGGTAAACAGGCTACAATATCCAGGCTCATCGCCCAGAATGACATTCATCTGACCACGAGAGACTTACATTAAATAGTTCAGAGGCCGTTCATGCAGTATAGACTGGCCGAAGGAAGTCTAAGCGGGGCGCGAATAGATACACACAGCCTTTTCTCCCACAATCGTTCTATCACCAGATAAAAAACCAAGCTGGGCGTTGGTTGGTCAACCATACAGCTCTATACAAAGGAGTGAATAGCCCTTCACCAGGACAAAGCAATTCACACACAATTCTTCACTCACTTTGGCTAAATCGAAAATGTAAAGAGCATTATTGAGTGAATGTAAGCCGGCCGGCTACATCATGGTCCAATTGTTCCCTCCCCATGGCTTTATCCTCTCCTTACCACAAATCACTTCTTTGCATCCACAGTCAATTCAACTAACTAACCGCTTTATCTCTCCAACTCACATCATCGTGACCAGAATTGTTCACCTGGCCATGCAGAGATTTCCCCAGAACTACAGAACAAAGGTTGTTCCCAGTGGCCGAGAGGTTGTCAAAGCCGCATGTTGAAAACCGAGCGCTCGAAGCTGTTTCTTTGCCAGGATACCAGATCAGTCCATTGCGCCTTTGACTATTACCCGAATCTGGCGCTACGAGGCTCATTCAACCCCATTCTTTGGCATCTTGTCCAGTATACAGAGTGGACGTATAAAGGCGGCCTTTCCCCGAGCCTTATACTGTTCATCTCCCACGGAAATACAGCGCAGCAACTGAAAGACTCATCATGTCGACCCCGTGGCCGACACCTCTCCCCACTCCACCGCCTACACCACGACCGACTCCTCCTCCTACTCCACCACTCACTCCACCTTCGACACCTCCTGCATCGCCCCGTCTGTCCCAGGCGTCGCTTTGACGGACTCCACAGCAAGCTTTAGTGTCTACAGTGCATCTCGCGGGCGAGAGCTGATGTTGTAGGCTCAGCGACGTGCGCACCAGCTTGCAGTCGTACAAAGTACCATTTTGCTTTTCAACGTGACGTTTAGCAAGGTACAGCGAGCGGGTTTTGTTTCCTTCTTCTCTTATGTCAGTCTCAAAGGTCCTTTTCGTCTTGCTTGCCGGCCTTGCCCGGTGAGGAGATAGTCGTTCGCTGTGACTCGTCAGATTGTCATTTGAGGCTGTGGTTGTTCTTTGCGGTGTTGATCTTTTGTTCATTTTACTGCGGTATTGTACTTTGATGGCAAGACAGGAAGGCTTGATTTGCGGATGCCAACCAGTTCAGAATCAGATGGCTGGCAGGTACCCAGAGACAAAGCCTACAAAGATTGAATAATCCATTCCTCCAAACCACTTTTCTCATACGTAGGCGTATCAAAATGCACACTCTATCCATATATACAAACCCAGGCCCCCACAAGCCAACAAACGCACCCATGGAACCCCTAATTATCGAAAGGCAACCCAGACTCCTTTCGAATCGCCCCATAAACAGCCGCGATGTCGCCCTTCTCCCCCTTCTCAGCCTTAACCTGCTGCAAATACCCATCCGTAACCCCAACACTTTTCAGCTGCATCCCAGCAGACGAAGCCAAGCTCGCCGCATGGCGCAGGTCCTTACGCGCCAGGTCAACGGCAAACAACGGCTCCGCGCGCTTATGATAGTCGCCCGTGCACATCCGGTCCGCGTAAAGCGCAAACGGACCGGGGAACATACGGTGGATGAACTCGCGGTAGACCTCAGCCCCGAGACCAGACTTCTCAGCCGCGACCAGCCCCTCCGCGAGATTCTCGACCGTGTTGAGGATGAACGTGTTACCGAGGACCTTCAGCGTGGAGGCGCGTCCGACGTCCTCGCCGGCCATCGCCACCACGGCCTTGGCGACCACCCCGTCCAGGAACGGGAGGATGCGCTCAATAACGGACTCCGGGCCCGCGGGTACAACCACCAGCTGTCCTGCGTCCGCGGCGGCGGGAGCCCCGAATACCGGGCACGCGATGAAGGACGCCCCCCGGGCTGAGAGGGTAGTGGAGGTGCGTCGTGAGGTGTCTGGGTGCACGGTGGAGCAGTCGACGAAGATCTTGTCGGTGAGGTCGAGGTTGGTTTCTGGAGAGGTCAGGGTGGAGATAATCGCGTCGATGGCCGGGTCGTCGCCGATGCAGATGAAGATTATGCTGGCGGATTGCACGGCGGACGCGAGCGAGTCGGTGGCCGTCGCTTTGTTGGCCGGCAGTGTGTTGGCGAAGGCCTGCGCGCGCGCCGCGGTGCGGTTGTATAGCGTCACTGGGCTGGTTTGTGGGCCTTTGTGCACGATGTTGCGACTCATGCCCTGAGGGGGATTTGCTGTGTTAGTGAGTGTTTGTTTGTGGGGGGTGAGGGTGAGGGGTAAGTTGTCAGGAGGAATCGGGGACTCACGCGGCCGATGTTGCCCAGGCCGATCCAGGTGATGCGTTCGTTTGCCATTGTGGTTGAGTAGAGTAGGGGATTGATTGTATAAAAAGGTAGATGTGAAAGGTGCAGCTGGAAAATGCGATGATCTGAGGCAAGTGTAGCCAGTCAAGGTGGGATGGAGGGGCGGCTTAAATGCGGGGAAGAACCGGGCATTTCGGATGGCCTGTTTTTGGGTGCCCGCATTCTGTCCATCCGAAGAATTAAATCCTTACCCGACCTCAACTCCTGCCTGCCTCCGGTTTTCCCCTTCTACGCCACGTCTAGACCCAGCATCGTGACTCTAAATTGGCATCGCTCAACTCCACAAGCTCACTAAACAAGCATTCGGTCTCTCGCGCTCGCGCTCGCAGCAAGCTAAGGCCGAGGAGCCGCCGGTGAGACGAAAATGTCCAAGTCTACTGACAGAGTCAAGATGGAATGAGTCAACACTGACTAGATTGAAAACTCGACAACAAGCGGGCAATAAGCTGCACACTTTGGTCCATACAGGACGAGAACACCAGCATAGACATCATGATCTCTACCACGATCTCCAAGGCTAGCCAGACACCCATATGACTCGGTTAGGCCCCTTGCTCTCCAGCGGAAGACAAACTCTAGAAGCCCGCGACGCGAGGCATCCTCCTGTAGCCAATGGTCTCCAGAATCTTCTCATGCGCCACAACACGCCCATTCTTACGAAGCAACTTCAATGAAACCTTCTCCGCTCTCTGGCGCATTGCGTCTCCCTCAGCCGTTGTAAGCACGCATAACATCGCTTTCACCAGCTCCGCGCCAGTAACTCTAGGAGTTGTCTTGCGGCTTCCCCAAACACCAACCCCAAGGTATTCCACGCGCTGTGCATAATCAAACACATCAAGTTGAAGCGGGAGCACGATCTGGGGAATAGCAGCCCTATCGCCTAAGTCAGCATTCCACCTCGAGGAAGTGCCCAGGCACTGATCAAAGAGCCACTCACCTAATCGCTTCATGATATGCATTCGCCCCGCCATGATGAACCACGCACACCACGTTCCCACTCATCAGCATCGCAAGCGGCTCGACAGGGAACCAGTCATACACGCGCAGGCGATTCCGCGGCAAGACAGTGCTTTTCAGCTTGCGAACTTCATGATCAACTTCCACGTCGGGATCATCGAGACGCAGCTTCCAGAGAACCTGGAGTTCCGGCCTGCAGTTCAACAGCGTCACAATCGCGGTTGCGAACTCGATCTGCTCTCTGCGCTGGTATGACGTCCTTAGGCCCATGTTGATGAGCACGGTCGGGCGCTGGCGCAGCCACAGCGAGAATTCGGGGTAGTCCTCGCCGACGGGCCTGAAGGGGCGCGTGATCGGTCCGCAGAGGACTACGTTCGAGGGCGCGGAGATCTGGAAGTCGCAGCATCGGTGCGAGGGCAGAAGAATTAGCGCCCTGTCGTCGATTCGGAAGCTCATGCCTGGAACAGGCCCCGTCAGCCTCTGCTCCGGGCGACGCGCGCGCACTTTTTTCTTGGTATGGTCTGAGCATCTAGCTCCCACTCGCAGCGCAAACCCCAGCGCGATATTCTTGATAGCCTGCAGGCGAGAAAGGGGGTAGTCGTAGCCTGAACCGACGCTGCAGTGCACACCGTCAGCAAGATCATCCTCGAACAAAAACAAACCAAGCTCGAGCACATGAAACTAGAACTCACACAGGAAACCTAGACAACTCCTTTATCCCGGCTGCCCCAAGATAATCCTTCACCGTCCCCGACCCCAGCATCACATAGCTCCACCCCAGTTTCCGGCAGACATCCACCCCCGGCGCCAGGGTCGGATCCACCACAACCACCACGGGTTTCAGTTCCAGCACTAATTTCGTGATACGGCTGTACATGGAGACGTACTCGGCCGCCGTCCAGGGGAGACTGGCTGGCGCAGTCACTCGATGGTAGGCTCTCAACGCAGATACGAAACCAAGCGCGGGCGCGTCGAAGGCGTTGCGCGGGAGGAGCCCCTCGCGGTCCTGGGCGTCTCGTTTGCAGAATGCAGGCAGTGTGTGGAAGATCACCTCGCGGCCGGTGATCGGGGTGCGGGCGCCGGTGTCGTGGTTGAGGTGGTCGACGTAGATTGCGAGGCTCGCGAAGGAGGCGATGTGGACGCGGAGTTGCGGAGTGTGCACGAGGAACTCGTAGGCTACTCCCAGGGTGATGTTCCCTTGGCTCAGTTCGCTGTTGGTGAGGAAGAGGATGTTACCGGGTGGCATTTTGGCTGGGGAGATACCGAGGGTAGGTTTGGGGAAGCTTGATGGTTGATACACTTGGTGGGATATAGAGGTTCGAAGGAGCGTGGGTGTTAGGAGGGTTGGGACTCAAGGAACATGGTGGAAGAAGGTAAGAGGATAGCAGGAGCAGCGAATCACTGATATTTATAGGGCATGGCTAACGTTGTGTTCGTGATGCCCATATTGTGGATTGGAGATATCATCCCACTCATTCACTAACCTTTCGCCCAACGTCATCACAGTTGTTTCAGACAGTACCCAAATCTCAACAAATGGATGCTCAGCACAGAATAATTATTCCTAGGAACATACGATTGTTGGAGTCAAAGAAGTAAGTATGGGGAAGATGCTGGTAAGTCTTAAAAAAATATCATTATGATAGTGTATATGCTTTTATCTAAGGTATCAACAAGTGGCGATGAGACGCCTATGTGCTAAAAAGTCAAATGTGTCGAGAGAATGCGACGCTTGCTATATGCAAGTAGTATAAATGCAACGCGCTAGAAGCGCTTGCTTGGTACCAGAGCGGCTTGGCTTCTGGTTTGCCTCAGGTGATCGGTTGGCTGCTGGCTTGAGGAAGCTGATAGAGGTGTATATCATAAATCCCGTCTTGTCCGAGACTTTCCTCCTCGAAGGGCATATCAGGCCTCGGAGCCCTGATATCGAACTCCCGTTGAGAGACAGATCATAAAGTATATGTCTCTGCTGACCCTGATATCCATGAAATTAGGACCACGACTGCCACGGTCAACCGACTCAGGGAGGATATTCTCCCACCCTTATGTCAATCAATTCCTCCTTGGACGACCACTCATCGTCGAATTGCAAGTATTGACTCGATCGATATCATACGGGTTCTCCTCGTACGTGACCGTCCGCGCCAGCGACTGCGTCGACTTGCGCGACGTCCGCGAGGCGCGCGATGCCCGCCGCTGGATGGCCGTCCTCGACGGAATCGTCGACAGACTGTCGCTGTCGCTGTCACTGCCACTATCGCCAACCACACTAGTGTCCTCCTCACTAGCCATAGCTACTGGCTCGGCTTTCTCGAGGTCCCCGATTTTCTCCAGCGGACGGGGAGCAGCGGCTTGAGCCTGTTGTTGCTGTTGCGCGGCAGCCAGTTTCTGCATGAAGGCCTCAGCCTGCGCAGCGTACGGACAATGCTTGCGGATGCGCGCGCCGTACAGATAGAAGATGATCGGGAAGGGGATGCAGGCGACGGCCAGGAAAGCGGGGATGGACGAGGCCCAGTGGATACCGAGGTTCTCGTACATGTACGTGGTGAACAGGGGGAAGGCGAAGCCGAACAGCGAGCGGAGGGCGGAGTTGGCGGCGAGCACGGAAGCGGCGAAGATCGTGTACGCGTCGATCAGGTAATTGAACACGCTGAGGAACACCAGCACCAGACCGAACCCGAACGGCGCGCCGGCGGCCACCGAGGCCATCCAGTGGACGGACGGGGAGTTGCTCCACGCGAACCAGAACAGACCGATCGGAAGTGCGACGCCGCCGACGATACTGGGCGGGAGCCGAATCTCCGGCGCCAGGCGCGCCTTGGCCTCCTTGCACTTGCGAGCGTATTTCATGTTATCCGGGAAGGTGTAGGCGACGCCGATTACCATGCCGACCAGAATCCCTAGGAAGGCCAGACCGCCGATCCCTTCGCTCCAGCCCCGCGCTTCCTGGAAGACGATCGGGTAGGCTGCGAAGAGCATGTACAGGGTGCCGTAGATGATGGCCATGTAGATGCAGAAGAGCAGCACGATGGGTTCCTTGAATAGCAGGATCCAGGGCCGCGAGAGCGCCGTCTTGAGGGTTTGGGAGAGGGACACGCGGCCGCGCTCGATGTCCAGCTTGCTGCGGTATACCTTGCCGGTCAGTTGCGAGAGCTTCTCGGCGCGCTGGCGCAGGAGTACCGGGGCGTAGGTCTCCGGCAGCAGGAAGATGAGCGACAGCCAGACCACGCCGGAGAAGATGGCCATGAAGCCTTCGACCCAGCGCCAGCCGGCGCCGGCACCCAGGAAGCCGCCGATCACGGGCCCGATTGTCGGGCCGCAGAGAGGTGCGGCCGCGAACAGGCTGATGGCGATCCCGCGCTTGGAGGCCGGGAACATATCGGCGATGGTCCCGCCCGCGTTGCCGAAAGGCGAGGAGCCGAAGAACCCGGCAAAGAACCGGAGGATGACCAGCGTCTGGATGTTCTGGGCTCCTGCCGCACCAGCGTTGAAGGCTGTGAGGATGGCGAAGGTTATCGTGAAGACATTGCGGCGGCCGAATACCTCGCTCATGGGCGCCCACAGCAATGGCCCGAATGCGAAGCCGAGGACGAACAGGGAAATGCCTAGGATGGCGATCTCTTCCTCGCACTGGAACTCCAGCACGACCGAGCCCATACCTCCTGAGTAGACGGAGGAAACGAGGGCCACGGTCAGCGTGACGAAGGACACTTGCACGGTGTACAGCCACTTCGTCAGGTCCTTGAAATTCATGGGATTGCGTGGATCATTGGGGATCCAAATCACCGCGTAGGGCGACTCCTCCGTGCCGTCGCCATCATAGGTGTAATCAACAATCTCGGGCGTGACGACCTTCTGGTCGAAGACTAGTCGCCAATACGGGATTTTCGAGGCCGTGGCCATGTTGAAGTGGCGAGAAGAGCGGAAGGGATGGCGCGGAGTCTTCTCTAAGAATGCAGGCGAATATTGCGGAACCTTGCCAGCATCGTCCCAACTCGTAGGCCTAGAGTTTAGAGAAGCAAAAGAGAAACAAAGCTTAAAGAGAATAAGAAGTCTGATTAAATGGAGAATGCACGCGATATTTGAGGGTGGAGCCTGCCACATCGATTTCAAATTCATGCTGTTTCGGCACCGCTTATCCGGTTAGCAGACAGGCACCGGCCAATCAGCGACAGAGGGGCCGCAGAAGTGCCGAGGTTCGATGACCAGACGCGGCCTAGTGCTTATCGCTTATCTCCAGGCGGCTTTTTTCTGCCGGTCGGGATTCTTTCCTCATTTGCCGGGCTGAGAGTCTTTGTCTACGATAGAAGCGAGGGGGTGGCATATATTGCATATGGCTACTTCTTATTGATGGACTGGCTTCATGCATTAACTAACCATATTGAAGCATATCACCTGCTGTGCAATATCATGGACTATACACTCCGCGTAAAGATCACCGCCTTCGGATAGTTCTTCTGTTCCTCCTGGGACTTCTCGACGGTCATCAACAGACAAGTGGTGCGAATATGCAATTCTAGACCGGTTAGCCAGCCCATCCGAAACAAACACCAGAACGAGGTGACCTACCTTCAATGCTCAATTCGTATGCCGTCGACCCCTCCTCATCACGGTGGACCAGCAACGGCATCTGCTGGTTGAGATATCTCCTCTCCCGAACCCGCGCCTTGATGCCGACATTGCGACCTGGATCAACCCAGAGCATCTGCGCCTCGTCGCGATCTGCGGCCAGTCCCTTGCCCGGAGTATCACCACCAGGGGCAGTACGGTCCCATCCTTCTCGCTCCTTAAGCCAATCCCGAAACACTCTTATGACCCCATCTTCGACGGTATGCGCACTCAGCAAGAGGTCACTACCCGGCATGACTTTGACCACATTGACCACCACACACAGCTGGAAGAAATCCTCGAATTCTTCCAGGTTGATCAGCCGCGCCACCGTCCGGTCCTCGTGGTGGGTCTCCGGCTCTTCGTCTATCAAATAGCGAGCGTCAGTCATCATCACCAGTAATCCGTTGTCCATGAGATACCTACCTGTGCTATGCGATTCCCATCGCGCGGCCACCGACCTATCTTCTGGTACCCGCTCCGGCCGGAACCGTGAGTACACTGAGCCGAGTCGGCCGAGGCGCTCCGCGGTGTCGACGTTCTCGTACAGGGACCCCTTCCCGTCGAACTGGCTGCTCAGGCCATCTGTGCCGATGTAGGTGCAGAAAACGTGCGGTTCAATGAGTTTCGAGCTCGGGTGGAAGCATTCGAGGATGAGCTTATATTCGGGCAGGGAGGCGGCTATGCGGAGCCGGTAGTGCAGGATTCTTAGGATGAGGGCGTGGAAGCGGTGGGAGACTGCCGTCCACGGGAGGAGGGAGCGGGTCGAGAACCTCGAGAGGATTTGTACTAGCACCTAGACGGATAGATTGATGGTTGCTGATTAGCGAGGGTAAGATGGGGGCTGCTAAGGAGTCGGTTGCTCGTACTTCGTTTGGGAGAGAGAAGAGGGTTAGCTTGGAGGCGTCGTTGTGGCTGGCCATAGTAATGACATCGCTCTTGCTGTCGTAGATATGTAGGGGTGTGTATGTTTCTGCAGTCCATCAACTGCACGACTGCACCGACTGCATCAACCGATGTCGACAACCGATGTCGACAACCTAAGACGGGACCATGTGATGTGAAATGACTGACCAGTTGACGTGGATGACGTCAGGAAGTCGGGCCGAACAACGCAAGTTCTCAACTCCACCCGGTCGGCTAACCGCGGGGAAGCTGTGGCCGAAGAGATTCAACCATCGAACTCGCAGACCAATTTTCTGGAGGTAATCCGGTCAAGAACACTATATGCAGTCTCGGAAAAATATCGCGAAGTCTGTCCCTCACTGCGACCGCGTTTGTCAGGGTCCCTGGGGTGTCTTCTCGTAGCCAGGGTCCATCGCCTAATTACCCGAGTGGCTTTTACCCCGTGGTAGGCATAATTTCCGGAGCCCCGCGACTGAAGGCCCCGCCAGCCCAGCTTTTTCTTCTCTCGCGGTCCGCGGCCTTCTCCTACCTTTTCCTCTCTCTCTTTTCTCCTTCTTCTCTTTTATCTTACCTAGATTCTCTCTTTGTCTGCATCCTATCCAGCGCAAATCATTCGCGACAATGGTTGAAAAAGTTCTCGACGACATCTCCCACCGCAGATACAACCCTCTGCGCGGGTCTTCCATCTTGGTCTCCCCTCACCGGACCAAGCGTCCTTGGCAGTAAGTGTAACATCTTCGAGGGGGCTCCGCTATTCAAACTCTATCGGACATGCACCAAGATCAATCAGCTAATATGCACTTGTGATGCAGGGGTCAGCAGGAGAGCCCCTCCAAGACCACGTTGCCTTCCTATGATCCCGCTTGCTATCTCTGCCCGGGCAACAAGCGCGCCCAGGGTGACTCCAACCCCAAGTATGAGAAGACGTTCGTGTTCGTGAACGATTACAGTGCGGTCAAGGAGGAGCAAGCCGCGTATACTCCGGAGAACACCGAAGGTATAGTTTTAAAGAGGTTTTCCTGCGATCGCAGCTACTCACACCTTTCCGCACAGAATCAGAATCATTTTTCCTCAGGGCAGAGCCCGTGACGGGCAAATGCTACGTGTTGACCTTCTCAGCGGCGCACAACCTGACGCTGGCGGACCTGACCCCCGCGGAGATCGTGCCGGTGATCGACGCCTGGACGCAGCTGTACACGGCGCACCTGTCGCCCAAGTCCCCACTGGCGGCGGTGGCACCAGCGACGACGCTGCCACCGGATGCGCCGACGGCCAGCGCGACGGCGCCGAAGGAGCAGTACCGGTACATGCAGATCTTCGAGAACAAGGGGGCGGCGATGGGGTGCTCGAACCCGCACCCGCACGGGCAGGTGTGGACGACTAGCTCGCTGCCGGAGGAGCCCGCGCTGGAGCTGGAGCAGCTGCAGAAGTACCGGCGCGAGCACGGCGGCAGCCACATGCTGGAGGCGTACGCGGCGCTGGAGAGCCGCAAGCAGGAGCGCGTCGTCTTCGAGAACGACAGCTTCCTCGTCGTCTGCCCCTGGTGGGCCGTCTGGCCTTTCGAGACCATGGTCGTCAGCAAGAAGCACAAGCGCGCCCTCGTCGACCTGAATGACACCGAGAAGGCTCACCTCGCTGAGGCCATCGCCGAGGTCACCCGCCGCTACGATAACCTGTTCGAGACCCATTTCCCTTACAGCATGGGCATCCACCAGGCGCCCCTCGACGGCACCGACGAGGAGATCGAGGCCTCGTACCTGCATCTACACTTCTATCCCCCGCTGCTGCGCAGTGCGACCGTGCGCAAGTTCTTGGTCGGGTAAGTGGTCATCACAACCTAAACTCGGACTAGCTGACTGACATTATTCAGATATGAGATGCTGGGTGAGCCGCAGCGCGACATCACCCCGGAACAAGCGGCTGCCAGACTCCGTGGCTGCGGAGGGGAACTGTATCGGAAGAAGATGGATGCGTAGGCTATAAATAGAGGTTCTTGAGGGTGTAATTATGCATATATCGTTCGACAATATCTGTACATTCTGACTTAACCTGTTTCAATTGTCATGGTCGCGGTTTTAATCGTGGCAACAAGGTAATCGAACTTCCGTTTATGCAAGGAGGCCTAGGCGTTCTTGACCCGAAGATATATATATGTGGAGCCGCCAGATTGGCAGCCAGGGTCCCCAACCTGATGTCATCAACAATTCTACAATGCTATCGACAGGCCACTAGTACCGCCAAATCCAAGATCTAAGAGTTAAAGCCATTATCATTAGTGCTAGAGAATTAACATTACTGAACATGCGCTCGAACCACATTCTGTACTCCTACAGCACACCACACCGCCCGCTCCTGAAACGCTTGAACGAACCCACAACCACGAAACGAACAAGATATACCCACGCACCAAACAATACTCAGCCATTCGCCAGGTATTATAGCCAGATCTTAAACCCCTACAGAGCCAAGTACCCATCGCGCTGCAAGAACATCCAAGTCAAGGTAGACGACGCAACAATCAGCGGGCTAACAAACCGACCCTTCAGTCTGGCGCTACCGTGCACCAGCTCACCGACGAAATGCACCAGCGCAATGCCGAACGTCCACAGGGCCAGATCGTACACGGCGGGGTTATTGATGTTGTAGGCGGCGTAGAAGCGGATCACGGCCGAGAGAAAGGTCCAGGTGCCGAAGGTGCGCGAGGACAGCGCGTTGGCGTGCGAGTAGCCTTCGGCCGTCTTGCCGTTGTAGAGCTCCGCTGCGTAGGCGGGGGAGCGGTACGCTTGGATGCTGTTTGCGGCGGAGACGACGGAGACCTATTGTTTTTTTTGGGTCGGTTGGTTAGTTTGGAGAGGAGAGTTCGGGGTTGAGGATTGCTGGGGAAGACGGACTAGGACGAGCCATTGAGGGAGGAAACCCTCGAAGGGGGGGAGGTAGAGCATTGTTGAGAGTTGCTGGTGGTTCAGACAGCCTAGGTTGTTGTGAGAATTCTTGAACCGAGGTCAAGAGGGACTGATAATTGAGCTGGAGGTGATGGTGGAATTGCAGCTGAAAGGTGTTTTTGGTGGTGCAGAAGGATGCACTCACTGTTTAGTGTTCCCGGCTAGGCAATCCCCCAACAAACTTGCGGTGGTGGTGGTGCACAATCGCTGCCTGAGGTTGCACTAGAATGGTATTCTCCGGGGTGAGGCGCGGGCCGCTCAAGAGCTGGCCATCTCCGCCAATCAGAGCCCACCATCTACGCACCGCATCATGGATATTCCCCAACCAGTCCGAGTGCCGAATGCAAAAGCAGCCCAGCTCCGGTTTTTCCTTCTCCGCGTCAATCCTCCGCGTCTTTTCCCTTCCCCCCTCCTTTTTTCCTCTTCTCTCTCCGCAGTCTGGTTTTAAGGACCGAGCTGAGCTGAGCTGAGCTGCATCGTGACCATGGACTTCCTTTCCAAGCATCTCGACTGCCTGTCTAATTGGCACCGTCACCTGCAGCCTGGATGGCAGACTGTCGGCGCCTCCGTCCTCCTGGCTGCTGGTGGCTTGTTCGTCGTCTCTCGCGCCTTGCTCTTCGTCAGGGTGCTCTTGAGCTTGTTTGTGCTTCCTGGTAAGCCGGTATGTTACTTCCTGATCTCTACGAGTTTTATTGCGTGATGATCACCGCAGCAAGACAAACTGATGAATGATCCTGTGGACAGCTCCGCTCTTTCGGCCCCAAGGGTAGCTGGGCCGTGGTGACGGGTGCCTCGGATGGCCTGGGCAAGGAATTCGCCATCCAACTGGCCCGCGCCGACTTCAACATCGTGCTTGTCTCCCGCACCGCATCCAAGCTCGATGCGCTCCGCGACGAGCTCAAATCGAAGTACCCCACCGTGCAGACCCGGACCCTAGCGATGGACTTCGCCCGCAACCAGGATAACGACTACGAGAAGCTGAAGGAGCTCGTGGCTGAGCTGGATGTGGCGGTGCTGGTCAACAACGTGGGCAAGAGCCACAACATCCCCACGCCGTTCGCGCTGACGCCGGAGGACGAGCTCGCGGACATCGTGACCATCAACTGCCTGGGCACCCTGCGCGCGACGCAGCTAATCGTGCCCGGCATGATCCAGCGCAAGCGTGGCCTGATCCTGACCATGGGCTCTTTCGGCGGACTCCTCCCGACCCCGCTCCTGGCCACCTACTCCGGCAGCAAGGCCTTCCTGCAGCAGTGGTCGACCTCGCTCGGCGCGGAGCTGGAGCAGCACGGCATCACCGTCGAGCTGGTCCAGGCGTACCTGATCACTTCCGCGATGTCCAAGATCCGCCGCACCAGCGCCACGATCCCCGACCCGCGCACGTTCGTCAAATCGGTGCTCTCCAAGATCGGCCGCAATGGAGGTTCCCCGACCTACGCGTACAGCTCCTCGCCTTACTGGAGCCACGGCTTGATGGCTTACTTTCTGACGTGTGTCACCGGCACCATGGGCAAGTTCGTGGTCGGCAAGAACATGGGCATGCATGAGGCTATTCGCAAGCGCGCGCTGCGCAAGGCTGAGCGGGAGAAGGGGAAGAAGAGCACTTAAGAGCGGGTGGTGGAGGTTCCCCCTTCTATTCTTAGAGTCTAATCCGCTCGACCACGTGGGAGTGTGACTCAAGGAGGGAGGGGGCGGACGTTCGCGGCCGGTGATAGTCTACGCGGGGGATGAGCAGGGCTGCAGGGGGGAGAGAGGTGGAGTTGGTCCGAATTCCGCAGCAGTGGTGCAAAGGGTGCAAGACCGAAAGTCTCGGTGTGAGAATCTGTCGTCCCGAAGCCCCGGATGGATCTGGAGATATGTTCCCTGTCGGTCTCGGGTTGCCGAAGGGCCCCTTTTTTATCTTAACTTTTATCTTTTCGATCCCAGGAAGAGGGGACCGGCTGGACCTCGCCATCGAACCCTACACGTGGTGATCCTGGGCCAATCAGGTGCTGACCAGGGAGGAACCTCGCAGATCATGTCGGACAGATAGGGAAAATCCGATCACTTATCTTACCTCGTTCAATGTTATTTAAATCATTCCGGCGAGTGGCTACGCCTCCCTTAGCTTCCGCCGTCAATTCCACCGCGTTTGACTTGCATGCATATCAACGATAGAGGGCTTCCATTGCGTGGTCGGTCCCAAAGTTGGGAACACCTCCTCCGGGAGGTTAATGCAGCGCGGCTGCACGCCTGCAACTCTAGATAAAGGGCCCGGTGGGCCTGACAGGGATTTCAGTCGGGAAGGAATCTGAAGAAGTAGGATGGCGTCAGACAAGCATGATACGTACTGTATATCGACGATACACTCGTCGCAAGACTCTTCTATTCTCTTCTCTTCTATACCATGAGTTAAACTTTTGGCAGAGTTTCATCATTTTGTCCTTGATGAAGACGACCCTGGGCCCTGGAACCCTGGTTTTGGTACCAGATGACGCGCTGAGTGTTAGTCGTGCGACGTTGATGCGGAACCTCACCGCCTGGTCTATACACATCCACCACCGACCACCGGGCCTATGATCTCATCGCTGCGGCTCAGTCTAGACGTGAGTCGAGCCGAGTCTAGTCTAGTCCGCTTTAGATAGACTCAGTCGATAGTGGCGTGCGCATCGGCGCCGAGATTGCGTCCGTAAACTTTGTCTTATATGTCCTTGCAGAATGGAAGAAGCACAATGTATGCTCTCTAGGCCCCCGATGAATCTTTCTATCCAGTAGACGGGATATGAGCGCTACGCATCCCACCGCTGCAGCCAGTCCAGGGAATAGAACGAGCAACCTGTCCTCTAGGGTCAGGATGAGCCTCAGCAACGAGCCGAGAGAGAGATTGCATTGCAAGCCGTGGGTCCCACGTTCCAAACACGTTTGGGTTTTTCTTAGACAATCGCTTAGACTGCCGGAGATTGAGGATCTGGTTTGGTTCAACTTGGCTTGGTTGGCGGGCGGAGCAGAAAAATTTTGTTTTTGCTGTTGCGTTGCGTGGCGGGTTTGAGTTTTGGAGTGGGTTTTTGCGTCCTTTTGATGGATCGGATCCCGTCAGGAACCGGAAGTTTCTATTGAACTTTAGGGCGTGGTTCCTGATCGATGAGGCCTGAGGTGTTTACTATCTATGTCTACTGTGATTGCCACCTGGGTTTGAGTGCCCGGTTTACTGGGTTGGGTTTTGTTGCTGACGGGTGTGCTGCTCATGCTATGATTATTGTCTACTACTTCCATTGACGGCAGCCTGTTTACCCAGATGATTGTCTGATGCAGACTGAGGCGAAAACAGGCTTGGCTTGACTAGACGGTGACGGTATTATTAGTGCTATCATTCTTGGCCGGATGCAGGGTGTTAGTTGTTCTCGGGTGAAACATCAGGCTAGCCAGACCGGATTAGACCGCATTCGGACCGGGACGAGTGAGAGAAGTGGGCACATTCTTGCAGTGTTGGCCCGTTGAGCCCAGCCGCCGCCCGTCATTTTTTCGCTGGACCGTCTCGCTGGATCCACTCTGCTCCCGGCTACGATCGGAACGGTGCTGTGGGATGGTGTGTGTTGCCGGTTGCGTGGTGTTTTTGTTGCTGGTGGTGTGAGGAGGAGCAGTGTGTGCGGTGATGTTTGGTATGTTGGCGAGGTTAATGGTTAGGGAAGTTCTGTTAGCATGCTGGTTATTGCTGCTGTATACTTCCCTCAGAGGAGACCGATACTGCATCAGTTGGATCTCTGCCTACGATACACCATCGGACATATCGGACCAACTGATCGGAGATGAAAAAATCTGCATCTCGCACGGGCAAAGCCGAGAGAGGTGAAGCCCCGTTGAGTGGTGGTGCCCGTCCGGCATGCCGAGTAAATTGTCTGACTGGCCGCCTGGCACGACCATCGCGAAGCAGAGACTTTTACCGAGCCGCCGAAACAGTCAAGCCATGCAGACCGGCCAAATTCCGAGGGCGATGATAGGGCCAGCGACAACACCACCTTGCGACTCAGCCTAGCCGGGGTGGAGCAGCCAGCTTTCGCCGCGCGCTCCACCCACCGGTGAGCTTCAAACGGGAAGGATTCGGTGGTCTGCCTTGGCTAGCCTGCTCTAGCGGCCTCGTCTAGCCTGCTGGCCTTGCTGCGTCGGCACACCGAGACCACGTCGCGATGCCGATGCCGAGTGGTTTAATCTGCTCGGGTGGCCGATCAGCTCGGCCTGAACCAGTCGTCGTGCACGATGCGGGAACGTGAGACGTGTGCCAGACAACCTGTCCCGGTGTAGGTTGTGAACACTTGGGATACTTATTTGATGCTGATTCTCTGCTCGTGTGCGTCAAATGTGCTTAGAATTATTTTTCTTGGTCTGAATGTCTAGTGTTGGGATATCAGGCCAGACGGCCATGCCGAGTTGATGATGACGGTGGTGGTGGTGGTGGTGGTGGTGGTGTTACCTGTTCCTGATTGTGTTCCTACTGGGTGCGGCATTGGTTCGGGATCGGCACGGCATTTACTCTTCCCATGAACAAAAAAAAAAAAATCTCTGCTTGCAGGGCAAAAAAAAACAAGCCTCCACTTAGTGCCCGAGGATCTCCCTCCATTGGACCGCATACGGCAACTTTACTACGACGCAGCGCTGGTTCCTCAAAGGAGAGAAAAGCAATGAGAAAACTTTTTAATTCGTGCCAATTCTTCTGACACAGAGATTGGTCGTCAAGAAGTCTTTGTTCAGGAACACAATGGTCTCGTCTCGTCTCTACCAGTCTGATCACTGGAGAGGGTTTAATCAAGGGAGGGAAACCGAAGGAAAAAAAAAAAAAACCACCGGTGGATCATGCGCCCGCCCGTCTACCACAACATCCAGACAACGAAACTGTAACACAATCTCCAAGCTGCACGGCATGCACGGCAAGTAGAGTGTGTGCATGTCTGTGGCAAACCAAATGGTGGTAGACGACTGTCAGCTGCTTCGGTAGTCAACCAGGTGAAGAATGACCGATTGGCAGCCAGTCCATGGAAAATCCGGGCGCATCACGGGCCTTAACCTTGTACACCATCGAATAGATTGCAAGCGGGTATCATGATGACGGCAAGGACGAGGCCGAAAGGGGAGTCAATTCCGCAGGAAGCAGTGGGAGCACACATCCATCCATGATCAATAGTGTTGTGTATAGTATGAAGAGTAGTAAGCAGTGGGTGTGTCAAGAATGACCGAATTGGGGAGAAACTCGTGAGTCCATGGCCGGATCGGGTAGTTTCCAGAAGCCGATTGAAGGGTTCTTCCATTCCTTCCATACACTTCATCCACATCTCTCCATACCAGTCACCATCACCCCAAATTCCTCTCCTCATTATTCCCTCCTCACTCCTCTCTCTCTCCGCCGTCTGCGGCCTTTAGTGCGGGTTTAGTCAGGCACTTCTCAATTAATCAGTTAGTCTCTCCCAAATCTCCCCACTGCAAGACACCTGCATCCAATAATGAGCCCGGAATCTTTGCCCCCCCTGGCTTCCGAATTCTCCCACCTCCTCGTTCGTTTCTTTCCTCCACCACCCCCGGTTCGTGCCGGTTTTGTTTTCGGGGAAAAATCGCAGAAACGCGGAAGAAAATAACAAACTGAGACGCTGAGATCTGGGCCCCCGTTTTTTCCTTGCCCATGCCCATGGTCTTACCCCCACAAGAATGGGCCATGGGGTGCTGCCCTCTCACTCTCCTCCAATCCCTCCAATCCCTGGTCTGGAGGCAAGTTGCCGACGGATGTAGTAATTCAAAAAATTCTTTTCCCTTTCCTTTTTCGGTTCTGTTTTGTGATGATGCCGCCGTCATCTTTACCCATCCTTACCGAGTCCGTTCGGCTTGTCCTCGCCGTCTCTCCGTATATAATTCCTCCACCTCCCCCAGCTTCTCGCTCTTGATATCTTCCCTTCTCCCATCAGTCTTGTGCCTTACACTTCCAACCATTTCCTCCCAATATTGTCAACAGGGATTCAACTGCTATCGTGTTTGTGAAACCCACCGACAACATGGGTGTCCACAACATCATGTCACGCTTTAAGCCTTCGACTGAGCACTCGGAGGCTTCCACTCCTGCTCGCTCCGATTCTCTCGCTGAGAAGGATCACGGTATCGTCGATGACTCGCCCGTCAAGTATCTCACCTGGCGTTCGTTCATCCTCGGTCTCTGTGTCTCCATGGGTGGTTTCATCTTCGGTTACTCGACCGGTATGCATGGAGATCTTTTCCTCCCGTAACACCACTCCGTCCGCTAATGCCCCGCCTCCCCACAGGTCAAATCTCCGGTTTCGAGACCATGCAAGATTTCTTGATGCGCTTCGGTGAGAAGCAGGCTGATGGCTCCTATGGCTTCAGCAACGTTCGCTCCGGTTTGATCGTCGGTCTGGTATGCTTTCCTTCTGCGCTCGGCTACGAGATCGCCCCAAACTAACGGGTCTATCAGCTGTCTATCGGTACTATGATTGGTGCCCTGACTGCCGCTCCCATTGCCGACCGTTTCGGCCGCAAGCTCTCCATCTCTTTCTGGTCTCTCATCCACATTGTTGGTATCATCATCCAGATCGCTACCAGCACCAACTGGGTCCAGGTCGCCATGGGCCGTTGGGTTGCCGGTCTCGGTGTCGGTGCTCTGTCCAGTGTCGTCCCCATGTACCAGTCGGAGTCTGCCCCCGTGCAGGTTCGTGGTGCCATGGTTAGTGCCTTCCAGCTGTTCGTCGCCTTCGGTATCTTCATCTCCTACATCGTCAACTTCGGTACGGAGAGAATCCACTCCACTGCCTCCTGGCGTATCACCATGGGTATCGGTTTCGCCTGGCCCTTGATCCTGGGTATCGGTACTCTGTTCCTGCCCGAGTCCCCCCGTTACGCCTACCGCCAGGGCCGCGTCGACGAGGCCCGTGAGGTTATGTGCAAGCTCTACGGTGTTGGTCCCAACCACACCGTTATCCTCCGCGAGATGAGGGAGATGAAGGACAAGCTCGATGAGGAGAAGAACGCCGGCACTGCCAAGTGGCACGAGCTCTTCACCGGCCCTCGCATGTTCTACCGTACCATGCTGGGTATTGCTCTCCAGTCTCTTCAACAGCTGACCGGTGCCAACTTCATCTTCTACTACGGAAACACCATCTTCCAGTCCACCGGTATCTCCAACAACTACATCACCCAGATCATTCTCGGTGCGGTCAACTTCTTCATGACCCTGCCCGGTCTCTACATTGTCGAGCACTACGGTCGCCGCAAGAGTTTGATGTACGGTGCCGCCTGGATGTTCATCTGCTTCATGATCTGGGCCTCGGTCGGTAACTTCGCTCTGGACCTCGACAACCCGCAGTCCACCCCCGCTGCCGGTAAGGCTATGATCGTCTTCACCTGCTTCTTCATCGTCGGTTTCGCGACCACCTGGGGCCCCATCGTCTGGGCCATCTGTGGTGAGATGTACCCTGCCCGCTACCGTGCTGCCTGCATTGGTATCGCCACTGCTGCCAACTGGACCTGGAACTTCCTCATCTCCTTCTTCACCCCCTTCATCAACTCCGCCATCCACTTCGCCTACGGCTACGTGTTCGCAGGCTGCTGCTTCGCCGCTATCTTCGTGGTCTTCTTCTTCGTCATCGAGAGCAAGGGCCGCAGTCTCGAGGAGGTCGACAGCATGTACGTGCTGCACGTCCTCCCCTGGAAGAGTGAGAGCTGGGTCCCCCCCGAGGGCATCATCGATGACATGCGCCACCCTCCCTCCTCCCCCAAGGCCGAGGGCCAGGCTGAGCACAGCGAGCCCGCCATGGAGCTCCGCGAGTAAACGCGGGCCCGGTAATTTTGTCTTACGATTCTGCGCGCCTGTATATTGACCATCTCTTCTACATCTGTTTTAATGGCTCGCACTTAATGGCTTGCATTTTCTTCTTTGCTTCACACATCGAATGGGCATGAATGCATTGAGGCATGGTTGTACGACCTGCTCTCTGGACTGGGATCTGACGTTCGGCGTTTGGTGATACCTCAGAGCACGACTTTATTGATTGATTTTAAAATGAAATATTTGAAACAGTATTGGTATTTTGTCACGTAGGCTCAATTGTAGTTTGTAGTTTCCGTCATTGGTTGGTAGAGTCAAGCTTGTCATATCCCACATCCAGGTGACATTGCATTGCAGCTGACTGCCATGGACTGGTTACCTTGTTGGGTTGACATGGCTACGGGGATAACCCCGATCCTCATTTCCCGTCTCAATTCCCCATCTGCATGTCTAGCATTAAGCTTTGCCTCCCTGTCAACACCCACCCTTGGTCCGAAGCGGTTATTTGTATACCCTAGATTCCTTGACTGGTCTGCGCTTCCTGGTCATGCTTGTGACCGCTCCCTTGTTGGTTCTGGAGAATTGTCATGGGGATGCATAATGCATGAGACCCGGTGACAGTATGTGGCAGAGATAGCTAGATATTCTATCCTCACTACCCCCCACATTCTTAACCTTTCACTCCTGCCCGAAAATAGTCCCTCCTCTACTTCAGTTGCACAGTCTAAATGAACACTTACTATCCTAACACTGCACCTATACCCAGCTACACCCATCTGCAACCCTAAACACGTTCAACACCCCGAACCTGCAAAACTCAACAGAGCCAAAGAGATAGATACCACCTCCCCTCCCCTCCACACCTCCATTCCCCAGGGATATCCCAGACTACCCCGCACCGTCCCCGTCTCCTCCCTGAATCATAGATCCCACCTACCCGCCCAACCTCCGATAAAGAGAGAGGTAACATCAAGAATACCACTCTACCCCAGACCCAGACTCAGACGTAGACCCGAACGGCCCGTCCCTCCCTGACGAGAAGACTCCGTCGGACGAAGGGTAACTCCCGCTCATATGCATTCGCTGTTATCCTTCCGAGGAGGGTAGTATTATCACCGCGCAGGTCAGCCGCGCCTGTCCTGAACGGACGGCCAGGCTTGCGGGAGAAGACCCTTTTTTTTTATTATCTGTATCAGGGAAGTTTGCCGGGTGGGAGGATAGAGTTTAGATGCAGATGCAACGCTACTCAACGCCACTCTCGGCGGGTGGTGGGGTTCTCGGCGGTTGGTTTTCAGTGCCAGTATCTTAGAAGGAATATCTAGTTCATTGCTACGCTGGCGAAGACATAGTAGTCACATTAGTATCTAACGTGATACTACCCGAAGAAAGGAGCCGGTCCTGAACGCATTGAATCTAGTCTGTCTACCGCAAGTAGCTGTCTGAGTGTAGCCTGCGTGTGTGCACTGCTGGATTAGAGGATGTGCCTACTTATCTGACTCTGCAGTGGTCCACCACTGTCAATCAAGTTAGGATATTCATATGTATATATATACACAGAGCTCATCTTGTCTAGCGCCGGGCTGGAGACTTCGCTTCCGGACTGGCTTCTCTAATAGTCTCCGTCCCATCTGGATAGATAGAGGCGGCCTGATCGAAACAGAAACAGGAGATTGCATGAGAGGAAATGGTAGATCTGCACGGTTTTACACTCTGCGTGTGGCTTACGGGGCTATGATTTGAACGCTTGAAGTCTGGAACGGGTGCTCGCTGACGAGTCTGCTTGATTTGATGTCTGTATTGCTTGACGCCGCGTAGGTGGGTGATCGAGGGGCGGAGTGGTCGGCGAGGATTAGGGTGAGACGGTGCGAAGAGGGAAAGGTATAAGTGGAATGCATGGTCGGTCTGAAGCTGAGAAAATGTCTGATCCCATCGGGAAGACATCATTGCTTCTTTTGAAGGCTGAGGCAACACCGAGTTCTTGTAGAAGGGAACAAGACATCGAGACTGCTACTAGATGGCACGAGATGGCATCATAGGCGAACAGCTCCTCTGCGACCATTCTACCGCTACGCACACCAATACACAATGCACTGAAAATCATTCAACCCGGTACACAACCCAGGTATATCTAAGAACTAAAACCAACAACGATCTTCCACTCAACAACTAGACAAAAAAATAAAAAGACGTGGAACAAACACCCCAAACGCCCCGAGAATTTTTTGGAATCGCCCCGGTTCAATTCATGACCACTATGTTGCAACGAGGATTGAGCTTTGTACTTGTACGATGGGTAGTGTATTAAGAAGAAAGGACTTCGTCTCGTCATCGACCATCTGCATGGTCCTTTTAACGACGCTGGGTCTTGCCGATAGTACGCTTGCCGGTGTACTAGAAACAGCATCAGTAATGGCCAATTGAAAACCAGCAAGAATAAAACTTACCAAGTGCTTGGGCAAGGAGGCGGTGGTGTGTCGATCGGCCTCTCCCTGGCGGGCCATGCGGTTCATCTTCTTCTGGCCCAGCTTGGCCAACCGCTCGGCCTTGGTGCGCGCCTTCTCGTCGGTCACACCATCGTGCAGACGATCGGTCGCCGCCTGGCTGCGAGCACGGCTCTTGGCCCGGGCGATCGCCTGGCGAGGATCCGACATATCGACGTCCATGTCGTCGTCCATGTCCGCATCGCGCGTGAGCGGGCGGCCACGGACCTGGCTCTGGGACCGCGCGCGGCTGGCGGCGGCATCGACATCGTAACCGGCCGAGTCCAAGGCCTCCTCCATCTGGGAGAGCTTCTTGGCCTTGGCGCTGCGGGGGATGGCCGCCCGGTTCTTGAGCGACTTGCGCAGCTTGGCGTCGTTCTTCATGAGCGCCCGCTTCTCGCGGATCAGGTCCGCCTTCATACGGGTGTCGGCGTCCTCGGCATCTTCCACGCTCTCGTCCGAATCGTAGTAGCCATCGCCCTCGAGCTTCTCCTCCTCCTCTTCCAGAGCCGCCAGCTTGGCCTCGATCTCCGGGTCCACGTAATCGTAGATGTTCTTGCCGTTCCACACCTCGGGGATCTTGTCGTGCTTCCACTCGTCGTCGGCCAAGTCGTAGGTCTTCTTGAGGTCGATGTTGTAGACACCAGCACCACCGTTCTCCTCCTCGAGGTCCCGCTCTAGCTTCTTCCGGTTGGGGTCGTTCTTGTCGTACTTCTTGAGCGTCTTGATGGCATCAGGAATGAACGTCTCGCGAGTCACGCCACCCATGGGCTGTGCAACGTGAATACGGGCGAGGACATCGCCCAGGCGACCGCCGGGGGTACCGGAGTTGTTAGTACCGGACTTGAGCTTCTGGGCCACACGCTCAGCGAGGAGCTTGTCGCAAGCGGCGTTCTTGACAGCCGTGACACCCTCGGTGGTTGTACAAGACAGCTGCAGGAGCTCAACGTCACCAGCCTTGAGGATAGCCTCCAGCTGCTGCTGGTACTCAGGCTCGAGGTCCTCCGGGCGGCGAACATCAATCTTGTTGACCACGAGGAAGACGATCTTGTTGGCGAAAAGGGGCTTGATGCTGTGGAACAGCTTGATCTGGTCACCCACGGAGTAACCGCACTGTTCGGACAGATCCATGAAGTAGAGAACGGCAGAGCGCAAGTGGGCAATGGCAGTGATAGACTGCATTTCAATGGTGTTCATCTCTTCGAGGGGGTGGTCGAGGATACCGGGGGTATCGATGGCCTGGAAACGCAGGTACTTGTAGTCGAAGTGACCGACGAACAAACTCTTCGTAGTGAAAGCGTAGGGCTGAACGTCGACATCCGCGCGGGTGATGCTGCGCAAGAAGCTGGACTTGCCGACGTTGGGGTAACCGCAGATCAAGAGCGTACGGGTGTTGGGGTCGATCGCGGGCAGACGACCCAAGTGCTGACGCACCTGCTCAAGGTAGACGAGGGGGTCCTTGAGACGCTTGCAGATGGTGGCCATACGACCGAGAGCAGCGCGCTTGAGCTGCTTGCACTGGAACAGCGACTGCGCATACTTGATCAGACGAACGTAATCGCGGGAGACAGTTTCGATGAGATGCTTCGCGGTCGAAATCTGACCGAGGGCGATTCTGAAGTGGTCGGCATCGTAAAGGGTGTTCATCAAATCCTTGTCTGGCGGGAGTTTAGATTATCTGACTGCCAATCCCACAATGGCCGAGGGGCAAATTTTCCGGCGGTGTTGGGTAGCCAACTTACGGAAAGGGTGAATGTCCTGCAGTCTGGGGAAGCCATCGAGAATAGCCTGGAACTTCTCGCAGAAAGTCTCCTGAGTGTATTTGACCTTTCGGGTGTAGAAGCCTAAGCGGCAGCGAAAAATCCATCAGTCAAAATTCATTTATCACCGGTTGCCGCATGGTAACCACCGACTCGATGGTCGGCGTCGCAAAACAGACGAGGGCAAATGCACATACCTCGAATACGGCTGATGTTGAAACCAGCACGGATCTGAGTGGGCAGCTGTCTTTGGGTGCGGCTGAGGACGATGTCCAGGAATTCCTGGTTCGTAGGCACCGGAGCGATCTAATCAAGCGGTGAAAATGAGGTGTCAGTTGGGTGGATTCTGGAACGAGCTGCGATGGATTTCGGCGTCGTCGGGGAAGCTTACATCTTTCCACGTCGTCTTCATGATGGGCACCTGTGGAAATAGAGTCGGAACAGCAAGCGACTCGTCAAAGGAACCCCGGGGATGAGTTGCAACCTTGAAGAGTTGGTAATCTTGCCGGAGTCGAGATCAAACGAAAAAAAAATATGGCGGGCGGTCGGAGGGCAGATTTTGGCGGGCGGTGAGCAACTGATTGGCTAGTGATTTTAGTTAGTTCTGTTGGTGTGGGGGAGGGAGGCTGTCCGGTGAACGGGGAAGACCTCCAGTGCAAGTTTATTTTGCGGCATGTTATGTATTCAACCGGGAACTCTCGATCCTCCTGTCTATGGAGTCTTCATTTACATTGACTAGTTATCGGAGGACTATGTTACATCGACATGGATGTCCTGACAAAACCAACCACGGTGTGTTTCGATCCGGCCATCGTATCATCATCCATCCTCCATCATCCCGTCCCTGAACCCCATCGTAGCCCGACAGAACGCCTTGCTTTTATCAGAAACCCACCAGGAAGACTGAAATCCCGTGTAATCAAGCCATAAGAATGCAATAAACCGTCATCGAGGGAATGGGTACTAAGATCCGAGTCAAAGAAATCATCAAGGGAAGGTTGCACGGCCGTCCACCACTAGATCATCATTATCAAGAAGAGGCCCGGGCGCGGATTCACTCTTTGTTGAAATCGAACACCTGTAGAAAAACTGTTAGTCTAGGAGTGCAATGAGGAGATATCGACACCTACCAAGTCCACCCAACCACCGCCGCCAAACTGACACTTGCTCGGCCCACGGTTCTCGAAGCCAAAGGATTCATAGTAAGGAATCAAGTGGCCGTGCGCGATAATGGCCAGACGGTTGGCAATCTGCGCGTCCTTAATGCGCTGGATATAAGACTTCATGAGAGTGCTGCCGACCGATTTGCCCTGATGTTGGGGCAATACAGCGAGCGAGTGGATGGCGATTGTGCTGCCGTACTCATCGTGGCCCACGGTCTCTCCGTTCTCCACGGTCATGCGCTCGGTCTGCCAGTTGGCCGGCATCGCCATCGACTTGTCCGTCACCACGGGGGTTGAGGTCCTCGTGGCAATAATGTGTCCAACCAGAGTGGGGCGTGGCTTGGGCTCGCCCTCGCGGAGGATGGGAAGAGTGAAGAGACCGAGGCAGAGTTCAGGGCACCGGCTCAGACGGTAGCGGAACTATACGATCGCGTCAGTCATCTGAGCAGCGCACAGACTGTCGGAGTCCATGAGTCAAGATTGATGTACCTTTTCGCTCGTACAACGCTCCTGCTGGGGGAAGGCCTCTTCGACTTGGACACAGTCCTCGACATTCGACTCGGTCAGAACCTGCACGAAGGGGTGCAGTTCGTCCAACTTGGTGCGCTGATGCACCGGCGGGCGGCGAAACCAGTAAGGATATTCGTTGAGATCGTCGTGATCGACCGCGACATACTCCCCGTCGACCTCCTCTTCCCCCTCTTCCTCGTCCTCGTCGTCGATGTCGGCGTCTTCCAGAGGCAGCCCATTGGCCCGCGCCGTCTCTGCCCGCTCTGAGTGGTTGGACAGCTCGCGCGCGGTGGCGGGCAGGGAGAAGGAGTCTGCGTTGGACAACGGCCGGAGCCCGTTGACGGGCTCTTCATAGTGGTTGGACTCGTCGGACATGGTTGCGAACCGGGGCAGGCGCGCGAGGCGATGAGATGGTGAAACGTGAGTTGAGTAGGAAATTGGACGTGTGGGAATGGAGGCGATCGGCAAGCGACAGGCTGACAGAGGATGCAGGCCAAGCAAGGGCTGAGCTGACTGAAGGTAGAAGTCGGGAGTCGGGATGAATCGAGGGGTACGAAATACGCGGGAAAGCCTAGAGAAAGAAAGAGTGGGGATCAGATTTAGCTCAATGCGGACGATAAGCCTCGGACTGCGATTCCAGAAGCTCGATCCGGAGCGATCCAAGCGAGGTAGAGAGGTGTTCTGCTGCAGGAGGGGATTTACTTAGGGATGTGTTGAAGGTGAGCAGGTGGGAGAGAATCGCAGAGCTCTTCCGATGTGAGATGTTGGCAGGTACGCGCACAAGGGAGAGAAGAATAGGAGAAAGCTGAGCTAACTGTGGGAGATTCAGTCAGTCATTGCAGAGTTTGTGCGGGCGGAGGAACCGATAACGGGAGCAGGGAGGGAGTTGCCACTCACTCACTCACTCACTCACTCACTCAATCAATCAATTTTATCAATGTAACAACAGCCTGTCTCCAAGATTGCAGCAAGTTGAAAGGAGATGATGAACTGGAAAAAGAAAGTAAGAGTTTTCTTGCTACATATAGAGCGTCACCACAACCTCAGTGCTTGATCCCATCCATGATCATAATAAACCACACTATTTCTTCATAAGTATCTTTGCTACCCCTACAATCGCAACCAAATCTTGGTCATTGCCAGCCAGCCATCGGAAATTGCGACAGAACAGACCCAGTGCGGGTGAAGTTGTTTTGCAGGGGTAAATACCCCGGTGACTTCTCCGCTTTGCTGTCGGTGGATCAATGAAACACACGAGAATGGTAACTGATGGGGTTTTGGTATGGTCAGGACCTCCAGAGCTGCACCCGGTCAACTTCCCTCCCTTTCCTTTTCTCTGTTTCTGACCCTTCCAGCCTGACGCTTGAAGTTTCACTCGAGCTCATCTCTTGGAGGGCAAAGAATTGAGCGGCGGGCCATTGCATCGGTGCACTGTACTGTACCTTGTGCACAGATCAATATGGACGCAGTGCTTAGGATTGGCACTAGTACCTTACAGATGATTGCCAATGACGTATTGGCAAAGACCACGCATTAGTGCCGCCCATCCTGGTCGATGTTTGAAGAAATGATCGATTCAAGGATCTCGGATTGTTTGATTGGATATCAGAATGTTTGATCCTAAGCATACATAATCCAGAAGAGATAAGCACCTGCAATCTCACCAATCTTACCTCATACGGTGCCAGCCTCCCACTGTTCGCCATCTGGCACGTCGTGGAACAACACGTGCACCGGGATCCTCACGGTGAGAGTGTTGGTGGCCTCCTGCCGCTTCTCGTTCAACACCTATCCAATCCGCCTCGTGTTGGAGTAGGGCGACTCACACCATGAATGTACCACTCCGGGGCTATGCCGCCCGAAGCCCCCAGTAGACTCTCCCTGACCTCGGCGAGAAAAGCAGCAATGAAGACGGGCTTGATCACTCCCCCTGGCTTGCCGGCTGCTCTACCCGAATCCGACCCTGCCGATCAAATCCCGTCTGAAACACACCTACTGCAGCATAAGTCCATCATAGATGTTAATCCTATACAGTTCGTCCCAGAAGGTCCGAAAAGATCAGTGAAGATCGATCAGCCCATTTTGCTTATCGTGGGACGCCAAGAGAACTGGTTGGCCAAAACCGGCAAGGAATGCGGGGGAAAGTAGAAAAGCAAAGCCCCGGGTTCCGGAAATCCAATTAACTTACCACCTTGCCTTTTCCCCTCCTTTCGATGCTTGCAGCTTTCTTTCTTTGGATGTGAGGATATACTGATTAACGGATGGACTGAGAGCCTGTGATTTATTGCAGCGTTGACCTTTCGTTAACACACCCCGCAGCCCACCTTCCCTTCCATTCTAACCGCGGGGCGCAACTACCAATATCATGGGCGACTACGGACGAGGAGCGTCATCGCTCGAGACGCAAGCACTAACCACCCCGTCATTGGCGGCCACCGAGCCCGACGAGATGTCCGTGTTGGTAACAGGCTTTGGTGTATGTGAACTTCCTGACCGTCGCGCGACCCGACCGCAGTTTCCATTGACGACGATACCTCTGGCTAGCCCTTCAAAACGAACCTGGTCAATGCTTCTTATCTAATCGCCTCATCGCTACCGTCCTCCTTCACCTTCTCCGCATCCACCCCAGGCTCCACGCCGTGTCGCGTCTCCATCCACGTCCATCCGTCCCCGATCCCAGTCGCCTACTCGACCGTGCGCACCACCCTCCCCGTGATCCTGGACGACTACGCCAAGGCCCACGATGGCCGCCGCCCGGACTTCGTCATCCACATGGGCATCGCCGCCACGCGGAACTATTACTCCGTCGAGACCCAGGCCCACCGCGACGCATACCTGATGTCCGACGTCAAGGACCGATCCGGCTACGAGGACGGGGAGCGTCTGTGGAGGGAGCTCGGCCTGCCTGCCGTTCTCACCGCCGGACGCGCGAGTGCCTCGGTGCCTGGGTCTGGGCTGTCGTCGTCACGGTCGTCGTCCGCGAAGAAGTATCTGAACCCCCATCCACCGGATACGGAGTTCTTGACCACGTGGCAGTCGTTCGCGCGGCCCGGGATGGATTTGCGCATCTCCAACGATGCCGGCCGGTACCTCTGCGAGTTTATCTTCTACACGAGTCTGTCGCTGGCCTATCGGGAGGGCCAGGACCGGAATGTAGTGTTCTTCCATGTGCCCGGATCTTGCACCGATGAGGATGTCGCCGCCGGGAAGGAGGCGGCCATCGCGTTGATCAAGGCTCTGGTGACCAGCTGGGTGGTCAGCGACAGCCAGGTCTAGGCGGGGTCGGACCTAAAGCATTTGGAGGCTAGATTGGATTCGCTTAGCCTTGTCCTTTGTTATATTGTACTGGTACACCGCATGGGAAAGTTGGTTGCGTAGTAAACATGGCGTTGACGAATATTTATGTTTAGCAGCAGCTGAGCTGCATGAAGCATCTGAGGGGCTTCTTGATTCAGTGCGTGACACTAGATCCTACACTCAGATTATTCCTAGAGGAACAAGTATTTTCCCCGTTGAGACATTCATCCAAACTAGTACCAACCATCTTGTCTCGCGCATAGCATGAGTCAGATCTCACATAATCACGATAAGACACTCGGGATCTGGATATGGATTTGTTATCGCAAAACTACTTCCACCTCCCGAACCTCCTTCAGTGCTACTTAGTACACCCAGCATGATCACCCCATAGTTTTCAACCACCGCACGCAACACAACACAACACAACGCAACCGGCAAAATGCCCGCCCTCGAAATATCCGGGTCCACGGCCCTGGCACTCCTGCCGATCCTCATCATCGCGCTCCTCCCAATCCTCCGACGCCTCCAAACCCAGCTCAGCACCCTCCGTTCACCCAAGCAATCGCACGAGATCGTCGCCCTACGCATCTACCCGATAAAATCCTGCCGCGGCATCACCCTCCCACGAACCAAGCTATTAGAGCAGGGCCTAGCCCTGGACAGACGGTGGATGATAGTCGACGCAGAGACGCACAGCTTCCTCACCATCCGCCAGAACCCGCGCATGACGTTGATCACGACGGCTCTCACCTCCACCAATCCCAACGATTCCAACTCCAACGCAGACCCCCAAGAACTCAATCTACAAATCACCCTCCCGCCCCCCGAAACTGAAAATGACACCAACACCAATACCTCCCCCAAACCCACAACCCTAATAATCCCCGCCCACCCAACCGCAACCTACCTGTCAACCCACACAACCCTAGCCCACGACATAAAAATCTGGGACACAACAACGGACGGCCACATCTACAACGAAGAGATCAATGCCGCCATTAGCGCTTTCATGGGCCGTCCCGTAGCGCTAGTGTACAAGGGACCCACGCCGCGGATTTTGAAGGGAAACGGGGACCCGCGACTGCTGGGCCGGGAGCAATCCACAAATTTCCCCGACGTGCATCCCGTGCAGATTGCGTCGGAGGCGTCGTTGGCGGAGTTGAATACCCGTTTGGTCGCGCAGGGCGAGAAGGCGATTACCATTGAGCGGTTTCGGCCGAATATCATCGTTAAGGGGGTGGTGCCGTGGGAGGAGGATCGGTGGAAGACTGTTCGGATTGTTGCTTCTGGCGGTTCGGAGGGGAGTGACGGGAAAGGGAAAGGGAAGCCGGGGAAGAATGGAAAAGACCTGGTGCTCGATATCGTGGCCCGCTGTGCCCGCTGCCACGTGCCGAACGTCGAGCCCGCCACCGCCGAGGAACATCGCAAGCAGCCGTGGGACACGCTCATGGCGTACCGCCGCGTCGACGAGGGCATGAAGTACAAGCCGTGCTTCGGCATGCTGAGCGCCCCCCGTGCGGAGGGCGAGATCGCCGTCGGCATGCGCCTGGAGGTGCTGCAGGAGACTACCGCTCATCGCTATATTGCCGGCTTTTAGAACTAACCCCACTCACCACCCTCACTCAGTTCAACTACTAGAAGATATGCGTCCCGGGGGAGAACCCCCGGACCCCCCTTCCTTTCAGCTCCCTGGTAACCTCAATTCGATTAATTAATAGAATATAAGTAATCCGGGGGAGAACCCCCGGACCCCCCTTCTTTGCAGCTCCCTGGTAACCGCAATTTAAGAAAGACCTAAATCCAAACATCCCCCTCCTGCCCCTCCCCCTGGACCCCAGGAACAGGAATAACCCAAGACTCGCGAAAATACCTCTGCAAAACCTTCTCCGCATAACTCTGATCATCAACACAATACTCGCCCCCCGTGGGCCCAATATGCGGACAATGCATCGACGGATCATACTGCACCATATGCTCATGCACCTCGCGACACAGCAACGTATTGCGGCCCAGCTCGTAATCCTTCCCGAGCCGAATACCAGTGGTCAAAAACGCATAGCACGCGTCCGCGCTCTCATACTGCTTATTCCCACCCGTGCAGTACGCGTCGTGCGTCGCGCAGATCTGCGTCGCGAGCAGCTGCGTCAAATACGCCGTGGCCTCCGCGGTGGTGCCGTTGATCTGGCTGGCGAGCGCGCCGATCAGCGTATCCACCAAAAACCCGAACCAGCGGAAGGTCGCGTCGTATTGCGAGATCTGTCCCGCCGCGTTCCACATGATCCAGGTGTCGATTGTCACCGGGAGAAGCAGGTTGTTGAAGGAGGTCGCGTTGAAGGTGACGACTGTTGTTGCCGCGGCGATGTTCGTGTTGGGGGCGGCTGTGAATTGCGTGATGCTGTAGTCGATGGGTACCCCTACTAGGCTGAGGTGCGTTGGGTCCGAGAAGAGGCCGAACAGGTATTCGGTGTTGAGTGTGCTGCCGTTGAAGACTCGCGTGATGTCGACGCGGCCTTGGATCTGTCGGTAGGTTGTTAGTATTGGGGGATGATTAGAGGGAGGGGAGGGACATGCATCAGGTGCAAAGAGCGTCGAGTTGATGGCTTTGGTTTGTTCCAGGTTCGCCGGGTACAGGAAGTTGTCCCAGAAGTTTCGTTCCAGGTTCCATAGCTCTTGGATCGAATACTGCGTTGTGTTCTTCTTCTGCGTCGTGCATAGCGCGCTGGGGGCCAGCAGCGTCACTGCCGTCAGGATGGATGACCACGGGAGATGCATCGTGATGGGTTGGTTCACTTTCGAGGAATCCGCACCGAGCCTGAAACGCTAGGTATGGCATACCACGGCTCTTATACTCCACCCACCCACCAGGTTGATTGCTTATTCCAGAAAACGCGCATCCCCACCTCGATTGATCCCCAGGACTTACATGTCAGGCAGCCAGTCGAGGATCACCATCACATTGCTTCTTTCGTCGGCAGATACGAGCAACTCCAGAAGCCATGTGGCTGAATTGCTGAGAATCAAGCTGACTAGTGGTGCAGCTCACGACTCGGTGGTGCTAGATCAGGCAGTGCTAATGTGGTGAGCCAGACTCTTTACGGGGATCAGGAATGCAAGATGGAATGATAGAGGAATGGCCGATTGACCTGTACGATCTTACGCTGAGGCTACTGCACCCCTGTCGATCTATTGGACTATATGACATGGCATCGCAAAGGGATGGATGGCCACATACATAGCTCAATACCGTAACCCCGTATTCGCCCAAGACGAGTCATGCGCGAGGGCAGGTCGCTAGCCCTAATTGCGAGGTCATTCGGACTACTGGAATGGTGGCGTTCGGGCGGGACCGAGGCTTGTCGTTGCTTGTAAGGCCTTTGCTGGACCGACTCCTTGGTGGCCGTTATTAGGGGGACAAGGAATGGGGACTCGAGGTGTCATAAGACGAGAAGTCGGTAGCTCCAATAAAGATAGGGCTCGATTCGATGTCTGCCTCTTGGCGAGAGATCCCGCCGCGAGGATCATCCATCATCGATCATCGTCGTCCTTGGTCAGCCAAGGCAACAAACCACAAGTCACAACGACAAACCACATCGAGCAGAGCAAACGATCAGCCAACAAAGCCAGTCACTCGCTGATAAAGCTCATACTCGACATCCTCCATCCCAGTACAGGACATTCTGTCGGGTCTTGACATCAACACCACCATGAAACAAAGACAGCTCACACAAGCAATCATTGAAGCCTTCGCGCGTGAGCCAATTCCTTCACAATGCCACTCAACAGAGCACTAAAAAGCAAGCTTTCACCCCGAGATCAAAGAGCCCAGCCGAGCAGCATGCTTGACTCCCAAGCCTTAGGCTATAAAACCAGCCCAACAGGCCCAATAATCTCACGATCTCACAAGCGAAAGCAAGGCAGCAAGCGGGCCAGCAGCAGCACGCTCAGCTCGAATAGTTTGTCTACCGGCGCAAACCCGTAGTCGAACGCAGCAAAACCCAGGATCCCCTTGCCCGAAACGACCAAGGTAAACCCATTTCCCTCCTGAATCACCAGAGAAAACACATGTTCGACTACGCAGCCAGACAAAATGCCTCAAACCGTGTGCATCCAGGAACAAACCCGCTACGCGTGCGCCCACTCAGTGAGCACGAATTTCATCCCGTGCGCTACGCACGCCAGGACCGATAACTTGCGGTGTCCGAGTAACCGGATCCAGTATGTCGAGACGCATAGCACGAGCCACAAGTGTCGTAATTGCCTAAAGAGTGATTGAGTGTCTGTTTGTGCTGGCCCTTGTGGTGCACGACGCTCGGCTGCTGCGCATGGCCTGCCGCTGGGGTATAAAAAATCTTGTTTGAGTTTGGCTTAGCGGTTTTGTTCGTTCGCCCAGCAGTGCTTATAAAAATTGATTGTTGTTTTTGGCTTATTGGGTAGATGAGTCCTGAATGTAAGTAAGTGTATCAGCATATATCGATCAGCTAACCCTCGCAATCGGACTGTAGATCAGCGTCTTCGCTGGATGGGGGGATTCTAGCAGCTCTCTGGCATCTTTGCAGCCTGAAGATAAAGAGGATATGGTAGAGAACTGGACGCCGAGCCACTCCTAAGCTACCCTTCGGAGCTGTCGCCTCTCCGTCCACCACAGACTGTGAGATGGCTGTGCAGATTCACCTCCTCAGTAGTACTGTTCTTGGTGGCCAGGGCTGGTCAATATCCAAGCCTCATGTTCTTACCCCTCTCCAATTGGACTAAGCCCCATCAAAGTCTTTGAACATGGCCCGATAAGCGCCAAGCGATTAGTAGTGCCAGTTTAATTCATGCAATGAGTGAATTATGGAGAACCATCCTGGTGGCATCGCGAAGCTGGAAGACCGCTCCCTCCCGCGCGTCGTTTGCTCTGCAATCACTATCTCGTCCCCTCTTCCTTCTACCTCTTCCTTCTACAGCCTACTTCCTTCGCAACCTCATCAACCTCCTCCATCAGATCGACATGCTCTTTTGACCCTCTCGACTTACCTCCGTGAACTTCTTCCGCTGAACGTCCTCAAATACCTATCCGAGAGACTCAACGGGGCTTCGTACATACAGGTGTGTACTGTAAACTTTTTGCATTCAGCTAAAGCTACATCGCGGCAGTGACATGGCCACTCTCGATTCCCTCAAACAAGCTCTCAGGCAGACAGCCAAGACAGAGGCGCCGTCATCATTATCAAAGCAGCCGTTATCCGACACACAGCAGAGCGCTGGCTTTGACATCTTAAGCTCGCGATTGCCGACGCCCCAGAATTCCGTCACACCTCACCTATCTCAGCTGCTGAGCCCGCTCTTCGACTCGCGGGACCGTATTTCTGTACTGGAAATTGAGCCCGGTCCGAGGAGCGTCCTTGACCATGTGTCCCACCGCATGAGACAGAAGATCCGAAGATACACTCTGCTGGAGCCAAACAGCTTATTTCTGGCAAGTGTGAAAACATGGCTTCACCCTGACTCGGAGACGGTGTCTCCTTTACCTGGTCTGGAACGTCTTCCAGAATACCATCGCACTCTACTCGGTCTGGATAACAATGCTCCGAGTGATTCCAGTACAAGTACAGATGATAGCAACGGAGAGTATGATATTATCTTCTTCTCTAGTGGCATGTACTGCAGACTCAGAAAGAAGTCCATCGAACGGGCGCTGGCGATGCTTGGGGAGCGACCTGGAGACGGAAAGGTGATCGTTTTCCATAATCCTAATCTGCGAATTGACGGATTGGTGTGTCATGAAACGGCTTCGTTCTCTACCGGAGACGTTCTGGTGGCAGACAACGATGAGACACTGGATCGTTTTGCTCTTTTCATGGCGGGATTCGTCATAGAGGATAAGGATGAGGATAAGACTATCCGAGCTGAGTGGCGTACGGTGTGCCGCATTTTGGGACGGCGTGATGAAAGCTATCTAGAGCATCTTCTGTTCAGCATGCCCAACACCATGACGGTCTTCACCCGACATGCGACCACAGTGTCAGAGCTCACCACGCAGGTGCCGTTAGTGGACGAGAACAAGGCAGTAAAAGACCGCGACGCTCGCCTTCACCCTCCCGCCGCGATTGTCAAGCCGACAGAGATAAAGCATGTTCAGGAGTGTGTTAGATGGGCTCTGAAATACAAGTTCAGCTTGACGGTCATTGACGATGTGCATAGAAGCATACACTTCCTATAGATTCCCATGCTGCTCAGCCATTCTTTCCCTTTGAGTAAGCCGTTTAGATTGAAGATATCTTCGCCTAGTAGTGCCCTCAGGGCTAGACTTGAAGCCAAGCTTTCCAGCTAGCACCGCAAGTACTATACCTGACTTGGCCCCTTTTTTTGCAGGAGGATATGGTTTTCTGTCAGTGTCTTCTGCCTGCACTTCCCTAGAACCTGCAGCTACCGACACCTTCTATACCTCCCCTGTGCTCGTCTTATTGCGAGACAGTGTTGACCTCAACCGAGGATCCATACAAGGGGGCGGCAGCCGAAGGCAGTCTGCATCGCATTGCATTGCGCATCCCCACCGACGCGCCCCCCACCCCTAGCAATGCAAGCACATCCTTTGAGCTGCCAGTTAAGCCCAAGCAAAGCTTGTCCCGATAACTACCGCAAGCCACTCGGGCATTTCAAGCCCATACCACCACATTCCAACCGTGGACCCTACCTGTCTGTCCGCTTTTCATCCACCACAGGAAAACCCCATAGAATCACCTACGAAACCATAGACCAACACCTCATACAGCCATACAATCCAATTCTAATAAGGAAGCATAGAGTAGCATCCAAAGACCAAACATGTCCCTTAACTCCAACCCCCGCACCTCATTCAAACAAAGAATGTAAGACACGCCATCCCATCCCATCCCTTCCAACCCTTCCACACGCACGATAAGATAACCCTCGGCGAGGATCGACATAACATACCAACACACCCCCCTACCCTTAAACCCTCATATCCCTCGTCCAAACCCAGGTACCTTCCTTTCTTTCTTTCTTTCTTTCTTCCTTCTCTTCCTTGTAGTACTCAAGTGGTGAGCATCGCGACCGGCAACCAACAGACCACCACCACCGACACCAAACCGAACCAAAAAAAGCAGTACGCAAACCACCCCCAAAAACAAAGAAACTACTAACCAATCCAGAACCAAACAGACCAAAAAAATATGAAATTCTCCGTCGCAGTGGTATCTACCCTCCTCGTCGCCCTGGGCGTGGCGATGCCGATTCCCGTATGTCCTGTCCTCTCCCAACCCGGCCTGAAGTCTACAGAGGCAATAGAAGGTGCATGGCATGGCAAGTGATCACAGATACTAACTCAAGCTAGTCACCCGACGGCGCCGCGCCGATGCAGGGAGCGGATTTGTTCAGCGCGCTCGCCAGTGCGGGCGGCCTCGGTGAGGTGTTGCGCAGTATCCAGATTTCCACGCCGTTTCAGCAGTAAATCCATTGATTCTGTGGGTGATGAAACTGGATTCGAGGGTTGGGAGGGAGGAAAGGGGGCGATACCGCTTAAGCACGAGCTAGCTGAAGGAAATGTCGGAATGGATGGGTGCAATGAGTCAATGATATGATATTCAATTACCAGATCCAATCTCGCGTAGAGAGTAAGAGGACACCTTCGTGAAGGTATTTAGCTAATGGTAGGCTAGTGATCACTAAGCTATTCGTAGTAAGAATATCGTTCTCGTAAAAGTAGGCCGTATCACAAGACACAGACGCCGGGTTACGGTTCTGTGCTTGTCAAAGATTCGTGTCAATCAAACAAGAGAAGTTCGTGGCTTCGTGTCAGTCGTAAAGGAGCGTCATTTTAACAAAAAAAATCCAAAGAACGTAAGGGTATCAGTTCGGCCAACAACCACCAAAAGCAATTTAATCTTCCATCTCCGAATCCATCACCTCGACACGTGTGGCCAGCGCCTGTGTCCCCTCACGAATCAGCACCTGGAGCCTCTGCTCCATCCGCTGCAGGCTGGCGTCTTCCTCGCGCTCCAGGCGACGCTTCTCGGCCATGTGGCGTTTGGAGTTCACGGACACCGGGCTCTCGCGCGGCATGGCCGGAGAGGAGAAGTAGTGCTGGCTGGGTAGAGAGGGCGGCGCATGCGACATCAGCACACGCCTGGTGTGAGGTCGTGCACGACGTGCGGCCAGATGAGCGGCGGTGGTGGTGCGTCGTAGCCCCCGCCGGGGAGTGCTACCGCGATAAATGGTTGCCGACGGCGGGGAGACCATGACCCAGTTGCCCTGCAGATCGGTTTCCTCGGGATAGCAGCCAGGCAAAGGGGTCGACGGGCCCCGTCGAGGAGGTTGAGCGGAGGGGGTTGTCGGCGCAGAACCTTTCTCACTGGCCAGGGATGGGAAAGTCATTGAGTTATCGTCATCATCCTCCTCCTCCTGCTCGCCGCTCATAGTGTATCCGCGACCGCCCCCGGCATAGAAACCCCGAAACGCTCCGGACCAGCAGAAATCCCAGACCTTGCCGACAACGCCAAGAACAGCCTTGCTCCAGCGGACGGGTGCTGCGGAGGGGTATGAAGTGACGCTTGGAGATTGCTCCTTCTCATCCGAACCGGTGGGGGAGGCGGCGATCAAGTAAGGGTCCGGATGGCTGCGTTTGCGACGCAGACCGCCGGCCTCCCCCAGCGAGTCGACACTAGTATCGAGGTGTAATGGGTCGGACGGTTCGCGATATCGGCTGGGCCGATAGTCGAGGTCGACAACATTATCGACGCCGTGCAGAAGGTCATCGGAGCCGATCACCGATGTGACGAGGGGACTCGCGCTGCCATCGACCTGCAGCCAAGAGGAGCGAGTCTCGAGGCTGGAACGAGCCCTTTTACGGGGAGGGACAGCGATGGAGCGATACAATGCCGACGAAGCGGATGGGGATGGAGGCACTTGGAAGAGCTGCGAAGGCGCCCCAGCCAGATCGAGATGGGGAGGGATGGGAGAGTCAAGAGTGATCGAACTGGTGGGCATCCTTCCGGTGCAGCAATCCCGTGTGTATGCTATGCTGATTGATATGAACCATAAGAAAATTGCGATCGGAAATTAAAAACAAACAAGGGGGTGGGGGTGGGAAAGGTATGTTGTTAGAAAAGAGAGTGGGATGGTTGAGGAGGAGATGATGAAGAGGAGGAGGAGGAGGAGAGGAAGTGAGGAAGAAAGGGAAGGAAGGAAAAGTGAAAGAGAGTGAGTTCCCTCCTCCAGTTACGATTATCACTTCTCCGTTTGTTCCCCAACCCCCCTCTTTATTCTTGTATGTACCATTCACTCAACCCATAGACAACAGTGATGATTTTGAACATATCTCATCTAGCTACGGATTAATTAACCAACTTCAACTACAACTGACTCTTCCACTCTCTCCCCGCTGCCCGCAAGCCATCCTCGCCATCCACCAAAACACACCAACCCTCCGAGCCTCGGCCTCCCGCGCCCACCACCGCCGCCGCAAAATGTCCCTCCAGGTAGTCCAGTACCGCTTGATCGTACGTGCCAGGCTGTAAGAAGACAGCCGGGATACCGACCGCATAGGCTTCGCGAAGGAGACTGAGGGTCACTGCGGGGGGCGTCACCACCGACAGCGAGGTTTCGGTCGGAGCGGGCAAGTCGCGCACCGAGGCCACAGTGGGAAGACTCGTCGATTGCAGCTGGATGGAGGAAGCGCGCGGGTTGAGGGGAGTGACAGGGAGAGAATGGTGGTGATACCAGGCCAGGACTAGGTAAGGTAAATCAGAAAGGATTCTTATCGAGAGAATTATTAGACAAAAACATACTCCGATGGCCGAATTTGGCGGGGTCGTTGCTGGCGCCTGCGACCGCAAATCGGGGCGAGCTGAAGAAGAGCTTGACGGCTTCCATCGTCGCGGACATGGTGGATGATGGGTTTCTAGGTGTTTCTTTGGAGGTGGGAGAGAGGAGAATGAGGTGCTGAGGTGATAAGAACTGTCTGGGGAAGTGGAGAAGGAAGAAGTACTAAGTAGTTACGATAGGGAAGACGATAGGAAGACGATAGGAAGACGATAGGAAGACGTGAGGGGAAATCATTCATTCCCTCATCGTTTCTTCCTCGCTCTTTGTTCCGCCTTCATTGCAACTCCACACTTCAACCCCTTCCTACTCCTCCTTTCCTTCCATTACAGTCAATCTCATACATCTAGCAAATCTCCCAATTGATTCCCCACGAAAACCCCCATCAATTGCGTGCATGCCCCCCTTCGTCTCGCGCAAGCGTGTCTCCGACGAGGATCCGCCCGCGCCCAAACGTCATAATGCGACACCCGCCATCGCCGCCGCGACGGTTCTCGATAACGACTCCGACTCCTCCTCCACCGATTCCTCCTTAAGCGATGTTCCCGAAGACCTACAAGAAACCCCCAAGCCAGCCGTCATTAACGATTCCGATGATGACAGCAGCAGCAGCGAGTCGGAGGAAGAGGAGGTCGATTGGGAGGACGCCTTCGAGTCCGAGCCCGCCAGCGCCGCCACACCGGTGACGCCGTCGATGCTGGCCCCAGACCACCAGCACCAACACCAAGACCTGGAACTGACACTCGACAAGAACGAAGTGCACCTGGCCGACATCGTCGAGAGCAAGAAGCCGCCGTCCAAGATCGAGCGCCAAATCCGCATCAACACCCACTGCCTGCACGTGCGCTTCCTGCTCTACCACAACGCGCTCCGCAACGCCTGGGCCAACGACCCCAAACTTCACGAGATCCTGCGCCATAACCTCCCGCCCGCCCTACACAAGGAGGTCAAGAAATGGCGGGTGGCGTCGGGGCTGGAGCTGCCGGAGAAGCCCCCTCCAAGCAAGAAACAAACCAGAAACAAGGGCAAGGGCAAGGGCAAGCAAGGTAGCAGTCGGCGGTCGGAGCGGGATTGGACGGAGGGCTCGGAGCGCCTGGAGCCAGGACAGCCGGACATGAGTCGCGGTGACCCGATCATCCCGCTCCTGAAGGTCCTGGCCGCGTACTGGAAGAGGCAGTTCAAGATCACCGCCCCGGGTTTGCGCAAACAGGGGTATCGACCAATGGTGCAGCTGGAAGCGCAGATTGCCTCCTTCCACAAGGACGAACACGACCCGGTCATCCACGGCGAGCGGATCGCGGACCTCGACGAGTTCCGCCATGCGGCCGAGCACATGCAGGGCTCGCGCGACGTCGGCGCGCAGCTGTTCACGGCGCTCCTCCGCGCCCTCGACATTGAAGCCCGACTCGTAGCCAGTCTCCAGCCTCTCGGGTTCGGGTGGACTAAAGCCGAGATGTTCACGCCGAAGCCCACCAAGGTCAACCGCGAGCCCACGCTCGACGCAGTGGCCGAGACCGACGAAGTGATCGGCCTCGAGTCCGACAGCAGCAGTAGCAGCAACGAAGCCGAGACGAAGTCATCGTCTCGCGGGAGCAGCAAGAACAACCCGAAGGGTTACGACCGTGACCTCCCCTTCCCGATCTATTGGACGGAGGCGGCATCCCCAATCACGCACGAGATCATCCCGGTGGACGCACTCGTTCTCCCGAACGCGGTAGCCACGACGCCGGAGCTACAAGCAGCGTTCGAACCACGGGGCGCCAAAGCCGAGAAGGCCAAGCAAGTGATCAGCTACGTGATCGCATACTCGGCAGACAAAACAGCCAAAGACGTGACGACGCGCTACCTACGACGACGGACCTGGCCAGGCAAAACAAAGGGCTACCGGATGCCGGTAGAGAAGATCCCAATCCCCAGCGGCCGGCCCAACACCAAGACCCGCCGACCGAAAACCGTCATCACGTACGACTGGGCGCGCGTGGTCCTACGCATCTACGAACGCGCCCCGCAGCAACAAACGCCCGTTGACGCCCTCGAAAACAGCAAAGACCTGGTGCCAAAACAGCCAGAAAAGAAAGCCCAAACAAGCGCCAACCCACCAGACACACTCCAAAGCCTGCGCACCTCGCCGGACTTCATCCTAGAACGCTTCCTCCGGCGCGAAGAAGCACTCAAACCGGGCGCGCAGCACGTCCGCACCTTCACAACCGGCAAAGGCGCTCAACGTAAGACCGAAAACGTATACCTGCGCACAGACGTGGTACGCTGCCAATCGGCGGAAAGCTGGCACAAGGAAGGCCGGCAGATCAAACCGGGGCAGACACCGCTGAAACACGTGCCCATCCGCGCGGTCACGTTACAGCGCAAGCGCGAAGTGGACGAGTACGAGCGCGAGACGGGCGAAAAGCCGAAACAGGGGCTCTACGCGCGGTACCAGACCGAATATATCATCCCGGCCCCGATCGTCGACGGCGTGATCCCCAAGAATGACTACGGGAACATCGACTGCTTCGTACCGAGCATGGTGCCCGCTGGCGCCGCGCACATCCCCTGGCCTGGCACGGTGCGCATCTGCAAGAAGCTGGGGATTGATTATGCGGAGGCGGTGACGGGGTTCGAGTTCGGGTCTAAGATGGCGGTCCCGGTCATTCAGGGTGTGGTGGTTGCCGCCGAGAATGAGGGGCTGGTTAAGGATGCGTGGCGCGTTGAGGATGAGGAGAAGCGGAGGAAGGAGGCGAGGAAGGCGGAGGCCAGGATCTTGCAGACCTGGCGCAAGTTTTTGTTCGGCTTGCGGATCGCTCAGCGCGTGCGCGAGGAGTATGGCCCTGAGGAGGGTGATCGCGAGAAGGAGACTTCTAATCCTTTTGCTAAGCGGAGGGCGCCGCCTGAGAATAGTCCCGCTGGTGCTACGCCGGCCGCGGGGGATTATCAAGGTGGTGGTGGCGGTGGATTCCTACTTCCTGAGGAAGAGGGCCACGCAGATACCGAAGGCGGCGGATTCCTCCTCCCAGGGCAAGACGAACACGGCGAAGAGACTGACCGCGGCGGCGGGTTCCTGCTTCCCGGTCACGAGGGCGACGACGACGACGAGAAGCTGATTATCGTCCACCAACGTCGGAACCGGGCCACGCCGCCTCTTGCTACGGCTGGTGATAGTGACGCGATTGCTGCTACAGATGATGACAGCGATGACGATATCAGCGATGCTTCTGGCCCCGGCACCATTCAGGCAGATGCCATCTCGCTCAGCTCCGGCTCCAGCTCCGAAGACTTGTCGCCTCCGCCGGATGAGATTCCGGACTCTGAGGATGAGGAGTTCGTTGCAGAATATAAACCGCCGCCGACACGTAGACGTACGCGTGGAGGAGGGAGAGGGAGGGGTAGGGGTAGGGGCAGGGCTAGAGGAAGATCATGATTTGCTTGGTCCCGGTACGTTTGCTGTATCTGTTCATTGGTGGCGTTGGCGGGTTCTAGAGTTCATAGATGGTGTAAAATTAATGGTGTCTCTTGGGTGGACTATGTGGATTATGTTCAAAACAAATTATATTATGATGTATGAGTCTGCGTTTCTATTAATAATAAGGGTATAACATAAGTATGCTCCATGGCGGTCGTATGTATCACGCGTCATCGTAATCTTCGTCTTGAGACCAACGGCGTCTGCTCGAGATATCCGCGGTCAATTTCGTCCGCGTCCAGATCTGCATGCAGTGTCTCGTCCAAGTCGAAGTCCCCGATCGGACTGATATGCACCGCCGGTGACGCGATAGGACTATGCGCAACACGCGGCCGGGATTTGAACACACTGGCGTAGTCGGCTTCCTCGTTGAAAAGCTCATCGCGCGGGGTGGATGCCCGGCTGGGCGAAGGTTGTTTGCGTGGCGTCTCGAATTGGTTGATGGGGAACGAGGGCCGAGGTCGATGTGATCGGACCCTCTCGCGTGGGTTGGTCTGTGGAGGCGGCGGAACCAGAGACATGGACTTGCGCGTGCGTTCAACGAGGGTAAATCTATTACTCCTGATCGTGTCTAGCTCGGGCTCTATGTCGGAAGTATGACTATGATCATCTTCGGGCTGCGTCGGTGGCACATTCTCTTTTTTGGGAGAAGCGGGTCGAGCAGCATCTTCTTGGTAGACAACTGACGGTGTGCCGCTCTTTTCGGCTGGTGCAGGGGGCACAATGACAGGTATGTCGCGCGGTTGTCTTGACCCGCTGACCTGGCGGCGATGGGTGGCAGACCGGCCGTTGATGCGCGCGATCGCCTCCGTCATGGAAAAAAGCAGGGATCGGTCGTCTGCCTTGGGCGAGGCTCGTTCTACTGGCTGTCGGATGGCTCGGGAGATGCTCGCGACAGTCAGTGCCTGGTGATCACGAAAGACCAACGGCGACTGAGGCTTCTGGGAGCTCGTTGATTCTATGCGATTATGCTTGCGCATGGATGCGCTGTATTGACGCCAGCGCTGCACACGGGCGCGCTGGCGAAAGACCCGCGACTCCAGGTCGACCAACAGATCGGGCGTGATATTCGCCGTAAGATCTTCCACGCTCGAGTCCTTCGCCCTGGCCCATGCAGAGTCAAAAGGGAGATCCAGAAAAGCGTCACTAGTCCCCTGCGCACCCGCATGGAGCAGTGTATCGACCCATTCCTCGCAACCACGCCAATTAGCTCTGAGTTCGTCAGCTAACATGTCAATGTCAACCTTCTCATCAGAGATCGGTAGCGGGCTGATCTCGGCCCGCTCGTCCAGCTGACGTCGCTTGAGTTCTAGAAGCTGGGAAAACTCTGCCTGTGTTTCCCTCGCTCGTTCATAATCGATTCCAATCTGATTCAGGGAAGCCCGGTGTGCGACGATCAAGGGAACCATCAGCTGATAGTCCTCAAGGGTGAGGCCGTCGGCCATTGACAGGTTGACAGCAACATTTTGAAGGCTGGGGTCTGATGAGGCAGCTAGCGTTTTGCGAAGGACGGCGGTAGAGAATACCGCAAGGAGCTCGTCAAGTTTCTCTCCTTTGCAATCATCCAGCATGGACTTCCGAAGGATGATTTCCCTGCCCAGGTCGCCTTGCTTCTTCAATTCGGACAGGACACGAAATAGGGCGGCGCGCAGATTGACCGACTGCAGTGGTTCAAGTGGAGGGTAGAAGGGGCGGAGTTTCTAGGGCCATTGATCAGTCGGGCATTTCTGTTATGTCACAAGAAAGCGACGTACATCGCGCGCGGTGTCCGGGTCCCATAGATTGACCAGGTGGTAAAGAGCCCATTCGACGGCCTTGAGGCGTTGGCGCTGGTTCTGTGACGTATCGGCTAGCGTGCGGAGGGTGATGTTGGGCCAGTCACGGTGCGTGTCCAGTTGGAGCAGCCGGAGGTTGCGGACAAACACGACGAGGGGAGGCGGAGGAGACCAATTCGGGGGTTTCGGACGGGGGGTTCGGGCTTGCATGGTGGATTACATCTGGCGGAGTTAGTGTCTGACAATGGCAAGGCTGAGAAGTCGACAACGTACCAGGGTATACGCTCAACGGACAGAGCGTTATTAGGTGAGATGAAAGAGACACGGACGGGAGCTGGCGGCGCAGACGGGGAATATGAGGCGTCAACAAAGCGCCCAAACGAGCGATGGGTAGGTCTTGGCAGTGACCCCTCAATCAGACCTGTCCAGCTGATCGGACTGGTGTGTAATAGCTGCCAACGACGAGGTCAGCTTGTCAAGAGGGATGGAAGCATTTCTCGTGATTCTTGAATGATCGAGTAGTGAGTGGACTGGACTTTCAAGTTGAATCTCCAATCATTCCTCCCCGATCGGTCAACCATCCGGACCAAGCCAAACCCGATAAGGCAACCGCCGCTTTTTCTCCCCGCGTTTCTCAATCGGATCTTCTCGCGATTTCAACTCTTTCTCTCTTTAATCTCTACTCCGTCCTCGTCTTTTCTCTGGGTGTTCTCAATCCCTTCTCACTGCGTCTCTCTTGTCTATTATCCTTCATTGCTCATATCCACCCGCCACTGCACCCTCCAAAATGGGCTCCGAAACACCCTCCAACGCCCTCTGGACCACCCAGTCGGGTAAGTGAACCCCAATCCGATAACCTTGTCAAGCGTGTCGAAAACAACAACGCTAACCACGAAACAAACCTCTAGTCCTCGCAACCCTCCCCCACCCTCCCGAAGAGAACTCCGCGTCGCCAGTCCCCTTCTTCCACCTCCTCGAACGCCTGAAGACGACCAAGCGCGAAGGCTGGCGCCGATTCGGCATCAACGCGGGCGAGTCGATCTCGGACCACATGTACAGGATGTCGATCATGACGATGCTGGCGCCGCCGAGTCTGGCGGGACGGCTGAACCTGGCGCACTGCATGAAGATGGCGCTGGTGCACGATATGGCGGAGTCGCTGGTGGGCGACATCACGCCGGTGGACAAGGTGGACAAGAAGGAGAAGGCGCGGCGCGAGGCCGACGTGATGGACTACATTGCCGGCAAGCTGCTGGGCGGCGTGCCCGGCGGGGCCATGACCGGCCAGGACATCCTGGGCGTGTTCCACGAGTACGAGGCCAACGAGACGCTAGAGGCGCAGTTCGTGCACGACGTCGACAAGATGGAGCTGCTGCTGCAGATGGTCGAGTACGAGCGCGCCAGCGGCGTCGACCTGACCGAGTTCTGCCATGTGGCTGGCCGGATCCAGCTGCCGGAGGTCAAGGAGTGGGCGGCGACAGTGATGCAGGAGCGCGAGGCGTTCTGGAAGAAGAAGGCTGCGGCCAACGGGTCGGCGTGATGGTGCAATGACATATCCTCGGCGTTGCTTTCCGGCCCCAGAAGGGGTATTGTACATTGTGATTGACGGGCGTTTCTTCTTCTGCTGTGCTTTGATTTGAGTTATGGACGGACACGGATACGGACACGGGCCACGCATAGAGATGGATTTCTAGCATTGCATAGACACTTCGGCGGAAGTTCTAAAATTGAGTTCTGCACATAAACCCAGCCACCCTGTATAGTAGTCTAATCCATCTAACCCTTATATACAATACAAACAAGTATAGGTATCCCGGGGGAGAACCCCCGGACCCCCCTTCCTTTCTGCCCCCTGGCCACCTCAATCCAAGACCAGAGATATAAGATATCCGGGGGAGAACCCCCGGACCCCCCTTTCTTTTCAACTTCCTGGCCAGCTCAATCCAAAGCCAGAGATATAAGTGAGTAGCCGGGGGAGACCCCGGACCCCCCTTCCTTTCAGATACCTCAATTAATCATCTCCCAATTTTTCCATCTCCCTCATCAACATAGAGGCCTCAGCCTCCATCTCCTCCAAACTCCTCGCCCGCCTCTCCTCATTATCCACCTTCGGAAACCTCCTCCTCCCCCCATTAGCCCCCTGCCCCTGCCCCTGCCCCTGCTCCTCCCCCTCCCTCTCAGATAAAATCCTCCCTAAATCCCCCTCCTCCGACTCCAAAATCTCATAAACAACATCGACCCCGCCCCGACTCTCAAGATCCGCCGCCCGCCGCGGAATAACATGCGCATGCACATGGGGCACGCTCTGCCCGGCGTCCGCGCCGTCCTGGATAGCGATATTCAAGCTGGAGGCACCGTAGACCCGCTCGACGAGCCGCGCCACGCGCCGCACAGTCAGAAACAGATCCGCCGTTTCGGTGGCGGTGAGATCGGAGACGCGGGGTACCACGCGGCGGGGCGAGACGAGTACGTGGCCTGGGAGGATGGGTTTTAGGTTCACGAGGGCGTAGGTTTGCGGGGTTAGGTGGAAGACCTTTTAGTTTCCGGTTAGTTTTTGAAGGTGGAACGTTAGGGAAGGAGGGAGGGAGAGGGAGGATTAAGAAGAGGCTTAGTGAAGGGAGGGGTATACCTGGGTTGTGACGATGAATGGACCGAAGTGGATGGGGGCTGCTTTCAGGATGGCTGTTGACATTGTCATTGCTTTTGCCATTGTTGGTGCGGTGGTGGTGTTTTGGTTGAAAGGAGAGGGTAAAGGGGAGGTAGATAAAGGCTGGGCTGTGGAAGGGTCTGCTGGTGGTGAACTGTTTGTGCACATCGGTAGTTGAATATAAGTTCCGGTGTAATCAACCTGATTGATGGTATAGCTCGAGATGTCAATTGAAGGGAGACTTTAAAAGGCACCGCCGGTGGAGACCGATCGTCATAGCTAAGAAAACGCTCCGCCGTCGGACTTAGACGGAGATTACCAGATATCATACATGCACATACGCAATTAACTACACCACCTGAGCGACCACTGCAACACCATTAGGGTATCATTAATCTCGCTCGAGTCGTATATTACATCCCTCTCCTGGTACCAAAACGACACAAATTACAACCGTGGTATAGACACAAGCCATCACATGAAAAGGAAACAAATTGCGCAGCCCTACGCCTTCTGCGCGGGCTCGGCCTCTGTAGTCTCTATAGAGGGCTCGTCAGCCGCTGACGGCTTTTCCGCCGAGGTTTCCTCTGTCGGAGCTTCATCCGTGTTGGCCTTGACCTCTGCTTCGGTGTTCTCTGTCTGCTCCTCGGCTGCGGACTCCGGAGCAGCTTCGGCTACAGCTGCAGCTTCAGTGTCGCTCTCAGTCTGTGGCTTAGCCCCCTGTTCATCGTCGTGCACCTCAGCAACGGTCACCTGCGATGCAGGACTACCGCGTGACGTCTGCTCAGCAGCCTGCTGGGGTTCTTCAGGAGCCTGCGGTGCGGGCTCCGGCTTGCTCTGACCACCGCCAACGGCAGCAGCAGAAGCGGCAGCGGCAGCTACTGCAGCCGTAGCCGCCGCGACGGCCTGCTGCTTCGGCTGGTCATCATCCTCAGCGCTCTCATTAATGGTAGTCACCCCGGAGCTGATCGACGAGCTTCCCTTGTGGCGCCTCGTGGTGGCGCCCGTGCTGATCGACGGTGGCTCCATGGGGCCGGGGAACGGCTCGTTATCCTTCCGCAGGATCGTCACTCTCCGCCCATCACCATGCTCGAAAGCTGTCGTCGCCGCGGCCGCCGGGTGTGGCTGAACATCCAGTCCCTCCGCTTCCGCCGGCACCGTATAATTATCCTCCGGGATAAGACTGTACATGTCACAGACGGTCTTGAAGAAGATATAGAGTCCATCGTGTCCTTCGACCTGCCAGAAAACCTCCCGGTGCTGGAACCAGGCATGCGCGAAGATGCGATACAGTCGGCGGAAGATATTTGTCAGGTGCCGCATGCTCGCCTGGGCGCTGCCCCCACCCTCCGCGCCCAACGTCAGCCGACTGGGAAAGTATTTGGGCGATGTGAGGATGTTGGTGGCCCAGTCGAGGGTGTGGCAGCAGTAGTCGATGGCGCAGCATGCCTTGGGCGGATCGTGGACGGCGCAGAGATACTGCCATTCCGAGGCTCGCATCTCGGGGCAAGTCTGTGCGGAGCAAGGGGGGGAGTCGGCGAAGAAGGCGACGATGAGGTTGTTGGCTTTCATGGTCAGGAAGCGGCAAAGTTCGTACAGCCAGAGCGAGCGGTCGACGCCGTCCGGCGGCTCCGCCAGCTGGATCGCGACATCGCGGCTGATGGGAATGATGGTGTCTGAGCCTTCAGGTCGCGTGAAATGATTGTAGAGGGCCTTGAGATGTTCCTGAAGTTGAAAGGGGGAATCGAGCTATGACCGAGGAATAGGGAGGCTGGGGTCAGCGGGAGGGGGTAAACAGCTCGACCACGCACTCAGTCCATACCTGCGAAAGAGGGACCAACGGCGGACCAAAAGCCATATCAATGGCGCGGGTGCCCGGGCGAATGCGGCGAGTTGAGCCATCCTCGGCGGTTTGCGAAGCGCCCAGCAATTGCTCGGTCTCCGAGTCGAAGGACTCGCCGACCGAAGGCGACTTGGGCCCGATCTGAACCTCCGTGAATGGGGGCGGACTGGGTAAGCGCGGGGAGCTGGCCTGAGAGACTCCCGCAGCAGCCATGGCGGGAAGCGAAAGGAGCGAAGATGATAATAAAGAAGAGAAAAAGAGAAGGTGGGCGTGGAGGAAGGATAGAGAAGGAAGGGAAGAGAATGAGGGAGCAAACCAGCCAGCTGGGGAAGAAGATAGACAACAGCAAGGTCGATAAACACTTAACTAGAGATAAGATGCCGCGGGAAAGAACTGAAGCCCAGCCGCCGCCCGCCCATGCCCGCCCCGTGCCCTAAGCCCTAGAGGCCTGCCTCAATGGGGTAAAACGTCATTTCCGGGCGTTGATCTCGACTTCCATCTCCAGCTTCTTCTTCTCATACTTACATACATACCTCCATTCGCAACAACAAAGACAGCACCATCTTCGACGACTTCTGGACAAGATGGACGACGAGGACGCTCCCCCCCAGCTGGTCGATGTGTCGCAGCTGCCAGATCCTGCGCCATCGACGTCAGAGGATGACACGCCGGCTCAAGCCCGCGTGCCCATCACCCTTGTGACTGGTATGACGCGCGCGCCTCAATCTATCTATGCACCACCCCAAATTCTTAGATTGCAAGACCTAGAACCCGTAGACTCTAACTATTCTTTCCGAACATCATAAAGGCTATCTCGGAGCCGGCAAGACCACCCTGCTGAACTACATCCTCACCGAGAAGCATGGCAAGAAGATTGCCGTGATCATGAATGGTCAGTGAGCCTCTAAAGTTAGCTTTAAACAACAAAACGAACTTATACTAAGACTGGAAGTAGAATTCGGAGACTGTAAGGATCTAATCTCGATGTGATATGTCTGCCAATATGCTACATCACATCCCCACCTCCGAAAAGAGGTATATCTCAAACGCCCAAAGGCTAACTTCCAAACCCGATATCGAACAAAAGCCACGGACATCGAAAAGCCGCTGACGGTCAACCAAGACGGCCAAGAAGTGACAGAATGGATGGAAGTCGGCAACGGCTGCATCTGCTGCTCCGTAAAGTACGTACATTCCCCTGACTCCCCTCAATCTCCCAAAGCCTTAACAACCCGACAGAGACTCGGGCGTAATGGCCATCGAATCCCTAATGGCGCGACGCGGCACATTCGACTACATCCTCCTGGAGACGACCGGCCTCGCGGACCCAGGTAACATCGCGCCGATCTTCTGGGTGGACGACAACCTCGGCAGCAGCATCTACCTAGACGGGATCGTGACGTTGGTGGACGCAAAGAACATCCTGCACCTGCTGGACGCGCCGACGGCGGAGGAGACGGTGTCAAACCATAGCAACAACGACAGCGGGCACGAGCACAAGCACGAGCACAAGGGCCCCGTCCTCTCGATGGCGCACATGCAGATCTCCCACGCGGATGTCATCATCCTCAACAAAGCGGATCTGGTCTCGCCCGCCGAGCTGCAGCACGTCCGGGACCGCATCGTCGCCATCAACAGCGCCGCCCGGATCCACGTCACGGACCACAGCAAGACGCCGCAGATCGAGGGCGTGGTGCTGGACCTGCACGCCTACGACCACCTCGATGCCGAGACGGTGGATCTCTTCGCCCAGAGGGGCCACAGTCATCTTGATCCGGTGGGTTTCCCTTTCGTCCTCCATTGTGTAGTTCACTGCGTGGGGCTCCAAAGCCAGGCGTAGAAACGGCGGCTAACGCTGAAGATGTCGAATGCGGGAAGGCTATCTCCACTATCGCGCTCACCGTCCCGCAAATCTCCCCGGCGCAGGTGTCCCTCGTGGACGAGTGGCTTCGCTCAGTGCTGTGGGACTCGAAGCTCCCGGCTATCGTCCCTGGGGGGGCGCCAAGTCCGAAGGATTTTGAGATCCATCGGCTGAAGGGAATTCTCGCCATCGAGGACGGGACGACGCGGATCATCCAGGCGGTGCGGGACGTGTTCGAGATCCGGGACGCCGAGCCCGCCGAGGATTCGAACACGCAGTGTAAGATCGTGTTGATCGGGCGGGGACTGGGCGCCGACGCGCTTCCATGGCAGCGGAACTTTGAGGACTGCCTCAAGCGAGTCCAGAAATGAGGACAAAGGATTTAAAGATGATGACTAGATGAACTGTGATGACGATGATACAACAACTTCGAGGAGTCTCGAAGAATTCGTGCAGATTAGGACACAGAGATACACCACGACCGATAAACCCACATGGCTGGAGCCCCTGCCCTCTGATATAGCGTAGGTAAAGAATAAGACCACGATAATTCAATTTCGAATTAATACAGTTGCTGCCGGGAAGGTTATGAGCACTCAATGTACATGAGACGGCCGCACACTCACACAAAAACAGTAAGCCCAGAATAATTGCCGTCCGGTCGTTATTCGTGAAAAGAGATGAAAAGACAAAATACCAAGCGCCAGGGAAAGATCCTATGGTTGCTGCGAAGCTCTGTCGTATCTGGATGAGAAAGTTGTTCCGTATTCAAAAAAGAAAATCTGGGCCATCCCAAGGGTGGTTCCATCAACCGAATGGAATAAACAAGAACAAATCAGATCAAAGCGACCCAATAACTCCGATTCGCCGTTTGCTCGTGGAGGAAGGAATGGAAAGCATCATATGTCGCTCAAAAAGAGGTAACTGTACAGTGCAAAACTGCTAGGGGTATCGCGCACTGTGTGGTCTGATAATCGGGACCCAAAATCATGACTAAAACAACTCGTGACTGTCCTGTGAAGGGCTGATCTAGATGTATTCACCTGTTCCGTGTCATACAAATGCTGCTGTCTTCTCTTCAAGTGCGGGGTTGATTGGCAGATGCGAGTCGCATAAGTAATTGGTTGGTTCGTGAACGCTCTGCCGGGGAGCATATCCCAGGGCCGAACGAATGCTGAGGTGGGCAAATTGGTCAGTCTCAGCGTCCAACTTCTTCCGTTCGCAAGAGTCAGACGCAGGATTTATTGGTAGAATCGAGTGCATGAGAGATGAGACCGAGCGCGAAGACTCTTGAACAGACCAATCTGGGTCGTCCATAAGGGCGTGGCCGAGATCTGTCAATGGAGCTGGATACAAATCGGTCGACTGCGTTGCTGCCAAGGAGATCGGAGATTCCTGCAGCCTCCCGTTCTCCGATAGTGTAGTCAGCGAGAGGGGCTTAAGCGAGTATGCCGAGTTGATATCCACCTCTTTACGTTCGCCAAAGAAGCCGCCTGTATTCGAGTGCGTGTCATCCGCGTGGTCGATAGCGTACTTGCGATAGCATTCATCAGTCGGATCTAGCCCAAAATCATTTCCATCTAACCCTCGAAGAGTTGTACCATACGAGTCCGGACCGTTCTCCATCATTGCGTGGCTGAAATTTCCGGCTGCAGTTGATCCTGAATATGCATGTCCGCTTAGCCTCCGCGACTCTATCGCCGCCAAGCCACCCTCCGTGGTCATATTTTCATGATGAGGTGACTGCTCCCAAATCCCAGGCTCGGGGAGCTGCTCGCTATTAAGAGAAGGAGGGTCGAAATCTCCGTTTGCATCTTGCCTGTATGTGCGACCTGGGCGATGTTGTCCACCAGAGGCGTATCTGCCGGTATCCACCGGTTGTCGTTGCTCGAAGAGAAATGTCGTGTGGGCGTCGTACATCGGGAGGGTGTCATTGTGTAACGCTACACCAAGACCGCTTTGCGTGTGTGGTAAAGGGGAAACAGTCGAGAGCATCACTCCTCGCTCGCGTGGAAACAGTCTCAGCAGCTCCTTTGCGGATAGCCGATGACGAGGAACCGGGCTCAAACAGATGGAGACTAGCCTGCGGTAGTAGTCAGGCACATCCACATCCTCACCTAGCATCAGGGGCCGTGGCTGGCGCTCCGGCTCATCTTCCTCCATCGCCAACGCCCAAAGGGTCATGCCCAACTGAAAAATATCGGTCTTCACTCCAATATACATCGATATCCGCTGATTACTTTCGATCTTGGCTGCTATCTCTGGAGGCTCCCACCCCACCGGGCAACCCCGGCGATTGATGTCGATGATCTTGGCATTGTCGTCAGCGTCCACCACAATGTTGGACAACGTAAAGTCCCCCTGCACGTAGCCAGCCTCGTGAATCTCGCATAGCCCCCGGACAATCTGCCTAGCCCATCGTTCTCGACGGTCCCAAGAGATTGTACCTCGGTTCTCATATAGGAGATCAACCAATGCGCCCTTCTCGGCAAAGCCGATGAGTAGACCTTTCACGATTTCTTGGTCGTCATCTACCACAACACCCTCTACCTGAACAACATCCGGAATACCTTGTAGGGCATGAAGGGCGTTGATTTCGTACAAGAATTCGTCTACCGTATCGGGGCCAGGGATCTCTTTCTTAATGAAAGCCTTGCCATCCAGCTGCACATTGTACACGAACCCAGAGAGATGGGCCTCGAAGTGCAGTTGGTTTTCGGGAACGAGTCGTGCTTCCGGCAAGTGCCCAATACAAGAGACCGGCGGGTACGGGATTATCTCGTTGACATCCTCCGTGACATGCACATGCAGCCGACCGTCTCGGGTTTCCAATTTCAGGTTGGTGACGGTGTCATAGAACTGGATTTCGGGTAATGATTCGCGGAGGGATTCGTATATGCGTGCACATTTGTCGCGTTGATACCGTAACTCTCTGAGGTCCTGCTCCAGGGAATCAAGAGGCGCCCTGCGGTAATCGCAGGATATGGTGACTCTCCGCCAGCGGTTGGGTGTCTCTGCATAGGTGACGAAAAACTTTTCTCGTTCGGAGCGATCCCGAAAGTGCATGCTCAGATTCAAGATCCAACGCTTTTCCAGCTCCATCTCAAGCGACTCGGCCGGTGGCTCTTCGGGGACATCTGTCACGTCAGGGAAAGGGTTCCATTCCGAGCGGATCTCGTCGTTCTCATTCGTCTCGGGACGGTGGTCAACCGTGGGCTCGTCCGGGTCGTCGCGCCACTGAACCTCGGGTGCGGACAATCTGGGGTCGAGAGTGGGCGGTGGGGATGATCTAGTTCGCTGGGACTGCGAACTCAGGGGGCGACGACGGTCGGCGGACACCGTCCGACGGGGTTCGAGTTCGGTGGGTGACAGTCGGTCGCGTCGTTCAGAATTCTGTCGCTTGAAAGTTGTCGCGCGGGGCAATCCCACGCCGACCTTACGAGACAGTCGACGGGTGAGATTATCGTGTGGCTTGCTGGGACGAGAGGAGAGGGATGTTGCGTCATGATGGTGACTGCGGTGACTGTGGTGACTGTTGTGGGCGGCCGGTGAATTGGGCTGTTTCGCAGTGGGGACATTGTTGCCTGCGGGGGATTGGGAAGAAAGGTCTCGATCATCGCGGCCCAGCCATCGACGTAGACCCAGACGATGCCACATGCTCTGCTTGGGACGCGGAGGCTGGTCGGCCTTTTCTTCCAACAACAGACCCAACGAGCTCATCGGACTACAGGAACTGTCTGCAATCGAGATAGCCATCCGGCACGGCGCGGTCGCTGATCGGTCGTACAGAGGACGACAGAGACACCCGAGGGGTTGGGACGGTGCTGTCCATAAGAATTGACGACAGGATCTCTTGCAGCCAGCAGTGACTGTATCTTCTCTCTCACACTCACAAACTCGCAGGTTATGCAGGGACAATAGGTCAACAAGTTAAGGCAAATACGGGGAATAAAGGAAAAAGATCTGTGGGTGGCAGGGCCGCAGAGGGTTTTAAAAAAAGAAACCAGGGGCCGAAAAGCAAAAAAAGACCACCAAATTCCACAGGGCGGTTGAAGGGAGAGAAAACACCAATAGGCTGCAGGAGAATCAAGTCAGGAAACGGGATCGAGGAAATACGAAGAATTTTTCCATGTAGCTATGATGCAAGTGAAGTTGAAATAGGTAGTAGTAGTAGAGATAGATAAATAGTAATGAGGAAATCGATCTCCCAGGAGAAGTCGGTGAGAATTTGGGTTGCTGGCTAAGGTAGGCACTGCTTTGCCCAGTCCCACTGAGTGACTGAAGGGTCACACAATGTCGTCGTCACTGATGATCGTGATTGTTGGTCCCTGTTGCTGGAGAGTTGACTAGTGAGGATCAAAGGCAGAGGGAGTGACAATGTGATCAAATACACCCAGCATGGAGAGACCGGGAACAAATAAAGACGAGGGACGGAGGATGACGAGGAAGAAGAACAGACAGATAGACTCTGAGAAAGACAGCAAATGAGACTAGTCAGACCAGTCAGTCAATTGTAGCCCGGCTCGTCAAGGCGGGTTGGGCTGAGAGACTTGGAAAAGAGAGAGAAAGAGAGGAAGAGGAAAAGAAGAGAGAAGGATTAAAGAAGAGGGGAAGATGTTGACTGGTTGAACCAAAGGATGACAACTATCAACAGTCGATCGATGTGGTGAATCAATTAAATCGAGGAATAGAATATAGATGGTTTGGAGCAAATGACAATGACAATGCGAGTGGAAGACAAAAGACCAGGACTGGGGAAGGTAGAAGGTCGATGGAACATCCCATCGAACTATGAAGTCAGTCAGTCCGAGTCCACTTACTCACTATCTACTAAGTAAACCAACCCAATCCAGACTAAATCAACTAAGCTACACTAAAATAAACAAATCAATCTAAACTAAGCCAAAACCCCCCTCCAATGCAACAAATCTGAGATCCAATAAGCAACTCCGACTGCACGGCGGCCTGAAAGTGCCTGCCTGACTGATAATGAGATGAAGGCAAATGAATGAATAGCAGACGACGGCAGCCTCAACCGAGAACGAACCGACGATAGCCTCAATTCTTCATCCCATCGCACAGCATCCAAACTACTGCAGACGCACAGCCCAATTTCCTTCTCGAAGCCTGTCCCTGTTCGCTCGTTCCTCGCCCCGATTACTCCGAGGATCCAAATCAGAGCACTATACTATAAGACTGCTCTAATCTAGTAGTAGTTAACCAAGTACTTACTCTTTTTTCCGAGGCCCTCCCGTTCCCCCCAATTCAACCATCACATTTACAACTGCAACTCTCAAGTTCAAATTGACCACCCTCCATCGGGACTAATCGCAATGACGAACAAAGTGGATGATATCGCAATCCACCCTTGTGATTTCCAGCGTACCCGAGCGTATCGCGCAGGCCGGCCTTGGAACCAGCCACGCTGTTCAAACCAAACAACCAACCGCCCGGGGGGGTAAAGGAGGGCAGGCAGAAGAGTGAGAGAGCTTTTCATTCATCAATCCTGTACAGAGTACACTTGGATCCAATCGTCCGGCAAAGATAGGTGACGATGGTTCGTCTCTATACTTCCAACCGGCCGGTTTCCCAATCCTTGCCCCAGAAGAGGGGAAGTATACTGTACAGTACTGTACATACATACATCCATCGTCATCATCATCGTCACCTCCAGCAAACAAGAAGAGAGAATGATAAACAACGCTCTTTTTCTCAGTCTTACTGCCCATCTATCACTGACTAGTATGAGCGTTTAGACTTTCATCTAGTTGTCGAAAAGTGAAGCCTCCACTCAGACAAGGAGGAACCCGAACAGAAGACCGAACTGCCTCGTCAATCACCGATGATGATGCACCCAATCACTATTCCCCCCTTCAGGCTCCCGGCCAGTTCCATCACTTGTTTCCTTGCTATCACTGGTGGTGATCTATAGGCTAGGGACTAAGTATACTATACCAAGCAAGTCAATACCTAGTTAGTTGTACTACCTAGTATAGTAGTAAGGATGCAGGTCATTCCACCACTCCCCTCCCCTCTTCCACCAATGTATGTACATCTCTCTATACAACTCCCACCCTCCAACCAGCACAACAAATTACAATCCACACCAAGTAACTAGCTCCAGCAACACTTATACCTACTACAGACAGTAGATATCCACAACCAGTAACAGAGACCATCCACGCCCCGAGCCCACGCTCCCCCCTCCAAGGTAATAATCCTACCTCTCACCCACGGACGATAAGCTCCGAAGCGGAGAATCCCGGCTCACACTGGACTGCCCACCACCCCACCCTCTCTCTCTCTTCTTTTGCTTCCTGCATATGTATGCTTCCCTGTTGCATGGAACGTTTTCCAGTTGTACAAGACTGCACTACACATACATACAACGTGATCGAACCTACCTCCTACATACACCTACCTAGCTACCTACCTACTACCTACCTACCCAGGTACATACATACACACCTGCCCACCTGTCTACATACATACATATATACATACAGTCCACCCAGCCAACAGGTAAATAAGCCAGCACCTCAGAACAACCCCCAAGAAAACCTACCTACCGACCTATAGTTAGCACACACAACATACCAACAGCCTACAAGGATGATACTAGTAGGTATAGTACCTAGCTCCCACTGCAGTCAGAGGGGGGAGGGACATCCCCCGACCTCATTGGTGTAACTTGTACGCCAACCTCCATGCGGGCTTCTGTCTGATGTGAGATGGGTTCCAAACATGCTTGCCTCTGTGTTTTCTTTTTTCTCGACCGGAGTTTGGGGGTTGTGGACTTTTCTGGTGTTGTGGGTACTAGAGTAGCTATTGATGGTAGATATGAGTCGATACATGAAGAAAAAGATGGGTAAGGTAGGTAGAGTGTGGGGGTTAGTGGTATTGAGGTCTAGAATCGTAGAGCAGAATCTCCCGACGGGGCCAGTCCGCAAAGGTGTGGTACTGGCTAGTACGGTATCGGGCCCGGCTACACCCACGCCCGTAGATGCTGTTTGGTCTAGTAGCGGAGGGAACAGAGGGTAGATACCAATCACTGGGATACGGACAGATGTGCATAGTCAGTTGCTGGCTACCACTGGAACTCGACCATTGTGCGCTTTTTTCCATGAGCTGGTTCGCTACTTCGTTATATACATGCAGTAGCAGACGATTGTTTGCAATTAGTTCATGGTTCATGGTCATGGTGATGGTCATGTCCCCCATATTCTCAAAGGATAACAACAGAACGGAGCAGCGCAGTAGGAGTAGATAGCAGAGACGATAAGCCCAATTAGGAAACACGATGGGATCTGACCAACTGAAAGAGGAGTCACAACGAAGGATGGAACCAACAGATCAGGAAATAACGACCAACAGTGATGATGGGCCGGCAAATAACTAAGATCATTACGATTGCAAGAAAGAAACGCCCTAATGCAAGAGATTTCAGTGATTCGTTCCATGCGTCTATCATACTTCATGACCCGTACATCGACATGTCAACTAGAAAACAAGGGCAGGGCGGCTCATTTCCAAGCGTTGAGTCCGGCCCAGGGATCACTTGAGGCGCTCGACTGTCCCTGTGACTGGGAGGATTGCGACTGAGCCTTGTGGTGCTGACTGGACCCGTATGGCCGACTCTGAGCGTAGCCGGCGGGACCGGATGGGAAGGGGCCTGAAGCAGAAGGATAGTTTGTCTGCTGGGGTCGAGGGGGCGGAGGGGGTGGCACGTAGCCCTGGGGTAAAAAGGCGGACGGGGCTGCAGGGGGAGTGGGCCCGCTGTAGCTGCTGAACGGGGTAGGAGTGGAGGAGTAGAACTGCTGAGCTGGAGGAGGGGAAACAGCGGGTGGAATGGGATAGGCCATGGGGTTGTAACCCTCCGATAGAGGCGCTGCTGCTCCCTGCTGGTATGATTGTCCCGGATGGTAGGGCATGCCAGCGGCGCCGTGAGGCATGTATTGCCCATACGGTGCTGGCGAGTGGGACAGAGGGACACCATGCTGTTGCCCGGGAGGAAAAGCCGGGGAGTTCTTCGGCGAGGCGAGAGATGGGTTGTATGCGGGCGTCTGCACTGCTGGAGGCGGCGACTTAGCCTTGGAGGGAGGTGGGGGAGCCATTGCCCCTGCTGACGGCGGTGCAGGTGTGGATGCCTTGGGTTCAGTGGACAGGCGTTCCATCAACTGCCGCAATTTCTCCCGCTCACGATCCTCCTGCTCTGTCGCGCTGCTCGCTTTTTCGCGTTCGATCTGGCCTAGTAATTGGGCTCCCTCCGATCGGCGGTTGCTGATGAAGGCTTCGACATTCTTTTTCAGGTTCTCCACCGTCTCGGCCATCTCAGTGTAAAAGGTCTGGGCCTGAACTGTCCCAGAGAGCAGACCGTTGAAAGCATCATACACTTTCTTATACCGAGTCATCACCGTGTTGCGTTGGCGCGTGATGGCTTCGTACTTCGATTGCTCAGATCTTACTCGCTTATCTTGCAACAAATCGCCGTAGATCTTGGTCAGCTCTTTCATGAGCGAAGCCTGTTTATGGTTGGCCTGAAGTAGCCGATTTTGGTGGGGACGGAATTTCTCCAGTTCAGCTTCGAAGAGCTGGCTTTCCTGCCCAGTGATCGATTTCTTGTTGAGAATCAGAACATTCGATATGTCATCGTTGTGGACCTAGAAAGCCAATGTTAGCCAACATGTTTCAATTCAACTTTGAATGACCGACTACCTTCTCCTTCAGATCCTTCAGAACTTGAGATCGCTCCCTCTTGACCAGGTTCAGCTTCTTAAGAATGGCTTCCACCCGCGCGATTTGTTCCGACACGGAGGGGCTCCCCTCATCAAAAACATCATCCAGCAAGCTTCCCTCCGGCGTGGAGGCGTACGGGCTACCAAGGCCATTTTTCCCCTTGTTCTGCTTCGACCCAGCTTTAATCATCGCACGCTGGAAAAGGACATCGGCTTCATCGGTTTCTCCAGCTGATCGCATTTCGTCAAAATCAGCCTCATACTGCCGAAGCGTGGACAGTAGCTGAGAGTCACTTGCGCTGGCCTCGTTGACGGTGTCCCGGTATGACCGGATGTCTCCACGAAGTGTAGTGTTAAGCCTTGCACTGGGCTGCTGACTCCAATCAGCACCATACTTGGAGCGCATCTTTTCGCATACGCTTTCTTCCAAGTCGAGCTTTTTGGAGCACTGGTCCAGTTGTCCAAGGATCTCCACCTTCCGGTCCTGCAGCTCGTCCAGCGCTTTGATGAAAGGCTGATGGCCAGCAAGCTCCTGGCACCACCGTCGAAACTCCTCGTCGACCTCCATTTCTTGGTCCATCCCGCCTTTCAAAATGTTCAGGCTTCCGGGAAGTTTGAGATAATCCAAGCTGGCAGCCATTTCTCCATTAGCCATCTCGACCTTCTCAGTTTCCGCTCGGATAAGCTTGGCTTTTTCTTCGTCGTAGAGACTGGCTGTCTCTGTAACGGACATGGGGACCAGCTTCTGAAAGATATCCGGGCCAATGATACGTTGGATGTCTTGGCCCTGATAGAGTTCGCTAACTGGAATGGCCTTTGCCGCGGGTAATTTGGCGACAGCAGACAAGCCTGCTTCACTGGGGACGGGCTGGTGGTAGATGAAGTCATTGTCCTTCTTAAACATCGTAAGCTTTGCCTGGACATTAGCTAGATGGAACTTGACGAGTTCAAGCAAGTTGGTGCCCGATTCCGAGCTCAGATTCGTATTGGGCGAAACGGATGATGGGAATGACTTCGCCCATCCCAGCGCTGCCGTCGAGTTTTTCTCCGCAAATTGAAGCCGAGCAATCGCTACCCCATGAGATCCGCTTTCGCTGTCCGCCAGAGCCTGGTAGTACGATGCGACGGAAGCCATATGAGCCGCTTTTGTCTGAACGACAATTGACCAGACTTTGTCGAAGACCCCCTTACAGAATTCCTGGATCGCCTCCGCAGCCTGCGAGTAGAGATAGGCCGCTTGACTGGCTAGTTTCGCGAGCAGCCCGGCCTTCTTATTGTCCTCAACCTGCTTCTCCAGAAACACCTCCTGGCCCTGCGCGAGAGTGATGTGGATCATAGCCTTAACGGTTTCTCGGTTCAAGTCGGTCGACGGTGCGTGGAGGAAATTCTCGTTAATGTAGGTAAACATGCCAGCAGACGCCTGGAAGGAGTGATAAGCAGTCTTGAGACCGGTGTCTTCGGCGCGATTCTGATTGGCAGCATGACAGGAGAGCACGGCGGAGATGTTGAAAATGATAGAGGCTTTCTCATATGCGAGAGAGTATTGAGAAGTGGGTTTGTGGGTAAAGGCATCGTACCTGGTAGGCGACGTGGAATCATTGTTTAGCAAGCGGCCAGGAGGGATCGGGGAGGAGCAGAAATCCAAACATGCAATGCGTACCAGGTAAAAGATATCTTGATATGATTCTCGTCCACCGGAAACCTCAAGTCCAGCAGCTCCAGTTGCCCATAGTAGCGATAGAGCAAGTCGCGACCCGTCGCACTATCTTTCCCCGCGCCCCTCATGTCCTGGCGCAATCGATTGAGGGTGGCACATTCTTGACTGTAGCGGTCGGGATCCTCACCGTAACTCTGACGAATGTAATCCTTGAGGGGTCGAATCCAATCAATTTCGTTGGTCTGCTTCAGCGGACACGAGATCATGGGCGACTGAACCATCTTGCTGGTAGGAAGGAGCGGGGAGCTCCCATCCAAAGGCGGAGAAGAGACAGAAAGGGAAAGGCGAAGGGAGGCTGGACGGGGACAGGCGAAGGAGAGAACTGTCAATGATCAAGTTATGAAGGGGAAGTGAGGTAAAAGGGGGAGAATGACAGGCGGGAAAGGGCGGGACTGTGGGGTAAGATCAAGTTGATTTCGGAGGAAGAAACAGTGGATGGTGGCTGGTAGGGATGTCGAGATTAGTGTAATGGATGGGATGGACTGCCAGGCAGCACACGGGCAGTAAGACTGCCTGATGACGACGGCGGTGAGACGGAGGGAAGGTAGATGAGAGGATGGATGGAGACTATTCCACCTCAATCACAGACAGCTGTCAAAGTAGGAATACTTCGGATGATGATCAATAACCGAGATTCGGTTCAAGTGGGGAAAAAAACAATCAAGTAGTCACACCCTCTGACCTTTGCACAGGGTCCTGAAGAGAAGAGAGAAGACATTGTTGTGGACAGTGTGGTCAGTTAATAATGGGCAAGACATGGTTTAGTTTAACCGCCCGCAGTGACGAACCAAGACAGGCACATACAGACGGGCAAACGGGCGGGACACACCCATTCTTGATTCCCAATTCGACCCCTCCAAACTTCCCGTCCCGTCTGCTGCTGATCAGTCAATAAGTCAATAAAATAAGATACGCCAGAAGGAGAGATGTTTGATATACTTTTCTAATCGTACATACATACATACAGTGACATACACTGGGAGAATTGCTCTATGCACCGAACAACAGCACCAGCATCCAAAGACAACAAAAAGAATATATAGAAACCGACATGGAAATCATCCCAACATACAGAATAGCTCAAGAAACCCCCAATGTCGCCGGCGCTATGATATCGTCCGAAATAAAAACAGATAAGAAACGAAGAAGATCGTCCGGGACCACGACCTTAGAATCACCCATTATACGTCTCGTTCAGAGTCGCGTGCGTGGAGCCTTTCAGCTCGAGCCCGATTTCTTGTCACCGTCGGTCTTTTTGGCATCACCACTTTCTTTCTTGCTGGGATTCGAGTCCTGTTGCTTCGAGTGGTTCATAAGCTTCTGCCAAGCAGATTTGAGGAAACCAGGGTGCTTGGAGTCGTCGGTCGAGGCGCTCGGGCTAGATGGAGCACTGAGAATTGGTCAGAGGACAGCAAAGAAGGCGCGATCAAATCTAGCCAGAATCCACTCACCCATCATCCTTTTCCTTTGGAATATCCATAATACGCTTGGCAGTAGTATCACCCATCTCGTCCGCGAGAACCTCAAGAATCGTCCGTTGATTGCTGGTCAAGTACTTGGGCATAGCAACCTTGAACTCGACCCGCAAGTCACCCATGGAGCTGAGGTTACGGCTGCGACCGCCCAGTTTCTTCATGCCCATACCAGACAGAGTAATGCGATCACCAGTGCCAGTACCCGTCCCAACCTTTACCTTAACCTCGCCATCCAAGGTGGGCACCGTCACCTCGCCTCCGAGAAGGGCAGTGGTAAGGGGAATGGAAGCTGTGTAAAGAATATCGGACCCGGCGCGGCTGAAGCGATGGTCAGGGGAGACCCGGATCGAGACATAGAGATCACCGCGTTGCGTACGGGAGCCAGTAGGAGCCGCAGTACCGGTGGGTGGGGCATCACCTTCCCCGGAGATTCTCAGACGCATGCCATCCTCCACACCTCCCGGAATATCGACTTGGACGGTCTTGCGATCCCTGACCACACCGTTGCCCTTACAAGTGCCACACTCAGAGCCTCTGGGAACAGTCATTCCCAATCCTCCACAAGCGTCGCAGGTAGCCGCCACCTGGAAGCCACCCTGGATCATGTGAACTCGGGTGCCGGATCCATTGCACTGACGGCATTGGGTCTTTTTCGCGCCCTTTTTCAACCCCCCACCACTGCAAGTGTCACACTCTTTCAACGGAGTGATCACAATATCCTTAGAGGTGCCCTTCGCAGCCTCCATAAAAGAGATACTGGTCTGCACCTCGATATCTTCGCCAACGAGAACCTCCTGGAAGGGTCCCCGACGACCCCGGCCAGCTCTTCGAGCACCACCGGTGAAAGCGCCAAACAGATCCTCGAAATTGATGTCGGCAGAGAATCCTCCAGGGAATCCGCCGCCGAATCCATGGAAACCCCCAGCGCCAGCGAACGGGTTACCACCACCAAATGGGTTACCGCCGCTGGGATCGAAGCCGCCATTCTGATCAAAAGCAGCCGATCCAAATCGGTCGTAGTTCTCGCGTTTCTTCGGATCAGACAACAGCTCGTACGCCGATTGCGCCTCGGCAAACTTCTCTTTAGCGTCGGGTTCCTTGTTCGTATCCGGGTGATATTTCTTTGCCATTCCATAGTAAGCTTTTTTAATCTCCGATGCAGAAGCGCCTTTGTCGACTCCTAGAACTCTGTAAGGGTCGGGGACAGCCGCAAGTGGGGCGGTTGTATGGAAAGCCTGCCAGTCAAAAAGTCCAAGTCAGTTCACCGTCCAGGATCTCACAATGAGACCTAACCGGTCAAGACACGGGCGACTTACCCTTGACGAAAGGAATGCGGGCTGCTTCTTGCTGCAGGTCCCATCGCGCAGGCGATTACTGCTCGAAGAAGCGGTAGAGACATGATAGGTTCGGACAGGAGTCGAGGACCGGATGGTGGTGGACGGACTTTGCTTGGAGTATTGCCGCGAAGTCCGCAGTAAACGAGCGGGGAGAGCCGCGGCTTTAGGCATGGCGGCGGATGTAACGTTCATTATGAGAGAGAGGAGAGCATCAAAGATAAGACCGAGTAGCGGGCGCAAAATATGAGGGGGGCAGAAGAGAAATTTGAATTGACCTGTGAAGAAGAAGAACCACCGGGGACCTTTCTTGAAGCATCGACCGCCTCCTGATGGGGAAGACGTTTGGAAGCTTCGAGTCGTTCGGCTCGAAAAAGTTTCCCGACCGGATTAACATTGTACCGGACAGCAGCGATGATGAAAGACTGCTTCGGTAATCAATCACTCGACCGAAGGTCATCGATCGCCCCCCTCAATTTACAATTTACCGTTCCTTTTGCCATCTTGCTTGATCGATTCTTCTTTTTGCTTTCTCTCTCCCCCAGCTTACTCTGTATACTTCGCCATCTCGGTCAGCCTCGAGGCTACCGTATTCGCACCTATACCTCGTCTTTCCTTTTTCCGCCTGATCCGTCCCCGTCGTCCGCGTCGACGCACAGTAGCATGCTCCGCGGCCAGACACTCCCCTGGAGAGCCGCGCTCCACCAAACGCCGCGTCCCATACTCCTTCGCCCTCTCCTCGCTTCTCCTAGGCACAATGCTAGTGCTCGATCAATCCTGAACGCCTCCCGATTCGGCCGCATCCTTCCGTCTTCCCCCCGTCCTTTCTCATCGAGCTCGCTCCGCCAGAAAGAGAAGCCCCCACAGAACGACGATAAGGAGGACACTACGCAAAAAGAGCAAAAAGAGATCAAGGAAGAGAAAGATACCGGACGACGTCCCGATGCTCGACGGAAGGCGACTGATGCCTCCAACAGGCAGGGATCGTCACTAGAACCCGGAGCTCCGACATCGGGGTCATCGCGGCGGAAAGAGAAGGCGGCGGTGGACAAGGAGCAACGTAGCTTGGAGGACGAGACAAAGAAGAGCGGTAGCCCCATAGAAGGCAAAGAAAGCCCCTCTGATGAACCATCGCCGATACCTGTCAGTGGCAGCCCATCGGATTCTAGGCCTAGCGGTGCGAGCAACGGTGACAATGAAGATGGTGGCAAGAAGGGCAAGAAGGGCAGCAGCGAGAAAGCTCTACAGAAGCCAGTTGTGCCGGACATCTATCCTCAGGTCATGGCTATCCCTATCGCCAAGCGACCGCTGTACCCTGGCTTCTACAAAGCTATTACTATCAAAGACCCCAATGTGGCGAGCGCCATTCAAGATATGATGAAGCGTGGCCAACCATACGTGGGTGCCTTCCTGTTTAAGGACGAGAACGCGGATGGAGATGTGATTGAGAATCTCGACGATGTTTATGACGTCGGTGTCTTTGCTCAGATCACCGCCGCTTACCCTCTCCGTGGCGACGCAGGCGGTGTGACAGCCGTCCTTTACCCCCACCGTCGGATCAAGATCTCTTCACTCATTCCACCCAATGATTCTACCAAGTCGGGCACAGCCGAGGAGAAGGTTCAGGATAAACGTGGGGATGTCGTGGCCAGTTTCGAAGAGGGTGGCGCGGAAATTGCTCCGAAGGACCATTACGAACCAACCTCCTTCTTACGAAAGTACCTTGTCAGCCTCGTCAATGTTGAGAATCTGGCAGAGCAAACCTACGATAAGAAGAGCGCCATCATTCGTGCCGTGACCAGTGAAATTGTCAACGTCTGCAAGGAGATTGCTAGCTTGAACCCTCTGTTCCGTGACCAGATCTCCGCCTTCTACACCGATCAGTTCCCGGGTAATCTGAGTGATGATCCAGCCAAGTTGGCCGACTTTGCCGCTGCTGTCTCCGCGGGAGAACTTCATGAGATGCAGGAGGTTTTGGAGTTGATGAACATCGAAGAACGACTTCCCAAGGCTCTTATTGTGTTAAAGAAGGAACTCATGAATGCTCAGCTCCAGTCCAAGATCTCGAAGGATGTCGAAGCCAAGATTCAGAAGCGACAGCGCGAGTATTGGTTGATGGAGCAGATGAAGGGTATCAAGCGTGAGCTAGGTATCGAGTCCGACGGTAAAGACAAGCTGGTCGAGAAGTTCAAGGATAAGGCGGAAAAGCTCGCCATGCCCGAGGCCATCAAGAAAGTCTTCGACGAGGAGATCAACAAGCTGGCTCATCTGGAGCCTGCTGCGTCAGAGTTCAATGTCACGCGGAATTATCTGGACTGGCTAACTCAGATTCCTTGGGGTCAGAAGAGCGTGGAGAACTTCAGCATCAAGCATGCGATGTCTGTCCTTGATGAAGATCACCACGGTCTGAAAGACGTCAAAGATCGCATTCTCGAGTTCATTGCCGTTGGAAAGCTTCGCGGGACTGTCGAGGGCAAGATCCTTTGTCTGGTCGGACCACCAGGTGTAGGTAAGACCAGTATTGGAAAGTCCATTGCACGCGCCTTGAACAGGCAGTATTATCGCTTCTCTGTGGGTGGTTTGACGGATGTCGCTGAGGTCAAGGGACACCGAAGGACCTACGTTGGCGCTCTTCCTGGTCGTATCATCCAGGCCCTTAAGAAATGCCAGACGGAAAACCCTTTGATCTTGATTGATGAGATCGACAAGATTGGTCATGGTCATCAAGGCGATCCCTCTTCTGCTCTCCTCGAACTCCTCGATCCCGAACAGAACTCGTCATTCTTGGACCACTACATGGATGTCCCAGTCGATCTTTCTAAGGTTCTGTTCGTCTGTACCGCCAACATCACCGACACTATTCCTCGCCCTCTTCTTGATCGCATGGAGCTTATTGAGCTGTCCGGTTATGTTGCGGACGAAAAGATGGCTATCGCTCAGCGGTACCTCGCACCTGCCGCCAGGGAATTGACAGGTCTCAAGGACGTTGACGTTACCCTCACGGAGGATGCTGTCGAAGAGCTCATCAAATCGTATTGCCGCGAAAGTGGCGTACGTAACTTGAAGAAGCAGATTGAGAAAGTTTACCGCAAGGCCGCCTTCAAAATCGTTCGGGATCTGGGAGAGGATGTTCTTGCAGAAGAAAAAGCGATCACGGATGAGGGCAAGGCTGTGCAAGCGGAATCTCAGAAAGAGACCGAGCTGACTGATCCCGCAAACGCGCCCATTAACCCAGAGAAAGCCACTACGGAAACTCCTCGCGTGGCACTCAAGGTTCCTGAGAACGTGAGTGTCAGCATTGACAAGGGCAGCCTGACTGATTATGTTGGGCCCCCTGTTTTCACGGCCGACCGTCTGTATGAAACTTTCCCAGCAGGTGTCACCATGGGTCTCGCCTGGACCAGCATGGGCGGTGCCGCCCTGTACGTGGAGTCTATCCTTGAAAACGCTTTGTCGGCCGAATCTCGACCTGGTCTTGATATCACCGGTAACTTGCAAACCGTTATGAAGGAGTCCACCCACATTGCATACTCGTTCGCCAAATCGGTGATGGCGAAGCAGTTCCCCGAGAACCGGTTCTTCGAGAAGGCGAAACTACACATGCACTGCCCTGAGGGTGCAGTGCCCAAGGACGGACCGTCTGCCGGTATCACGATGGCTACATCCCTGTTGTCCCTGGCTTTGAATCACCCTCTGGACCCTACTATTGCCATGACCGGTGAGCTGACAGTGACCGGCAAAGTCTTGCGCATTGGAGGACTCAGGGAGAAGACGGTGGCCGCTCGCCGTGCTGGAGCTAAGAAGATCATCTTCCCTGCGGACAACATGTCCGACTGGCTGGAGCTGCCCGAGGTGAGTTCATTTGCATCTGTCTATCTTTCCAGCCACGCTAACGTTTTAATAGAACATCAAGAAGGGTATTGAAGGTCACGCAGTTGGATGGTATTCGGAAGTCTTCGACATCCTGTTTGCCGATCTCGACAGGACTGCTGCCAATCATGTATGGCAGAAGCAGCTTGCTGAAAAGCCCAAGAACAAGTCCCAAACCGCAAGCGAGGAGGATGATTGAATCAACCGACTACTGTTAATGCTATGATACGGCATGCACTTAAAGATGATGGTCCATACCGTATTGGGTCACGTTCAGGGCGTTTTAAGGGGCAGCATGGATCGGAGTCGGCTTTTTTCGCTTTTTTGTTGGATTAACCTTTTCCTCTGAATTTTAGCAATTGACATTTAGGTTGTGGCATAAACTACAACCAGGGTAGTGTCGTCGTTCCCTGGCCTGGATTCCGTTCCTCGATGCGGACTCAGGCAGGAACTCGGCGCGACACTGAAGCCCATCGAACAAACACCACTCCGCTCCGAGAAAACAGGATGGGTATCGGTCCATCCGACTGGCAATAGACTTGTGTTGAAGTTCTGCAGACGAGCGGGGATAGAGCTGGTGTGGCAGCACTCTCTATACTTTTGGTGCCAGACTTTCCATAAGGTCTGTGATCAGTCCTTGCATGTATGTATATACGAAGACTATGCCTGTATAATTTGGATAATAGAGGCTATTGCCTGTTCTATACTTATCTCCTTGTCTTCGCATGACCTGTAGACGATGCTTCCAATTCTGGTTCCCAGGTCACACGCCCAGCTGTGAAATCTGGGATATTCACTGAGGATTCCTGATGGGAAGTGGTAGATTCACTAGATCTATCTCTGTTCTGTTTTTGGTAGTTGAATCATTCACTGTTGACCATCTCCAGTACTGTCAAGTCCTGGGCTATAAGTATCCCCCCATATCCTCCTCGATCTCCCCTTCTTCCTTCCTTCTCTCATCCTCTTTCTACCTCTCGTCCTCCATCTCGTCACCAAGTCCACAGTTTCCATCCAAAGTCCAACAGCTACTCCATCTACCTACACTAACACCACTTTTTCATCTGTCCGTGGACAAGATGAAGCTCCACTTCCTCTCCTTCTGGGTTTTCGCCCTCCTGGTCACTCTGGTGACCTCGACAGCCATCTCAACCCGCTGCAACTGCGACCTCGCCAAGGACAACACCGACGATGACAACATCTCCTACGAAACCACGCTGGCTTACTTCAAGTGTCTGCATCGCTGCACCGGCCATGCCTCCGTCAAGAAAGCCCTCAATGGGTATCTCCGCCTCTACACTCGAGGTGAGTCCCTCAGTCCATCATCATTCCACCCTCCTCAATCCTCAACACAAACTAACCCTCTTCCTCTGAATCCAGACAACGTCGACTCAGAGCTAGATACCTCCTCTGCCCCTGTTACCCACATTGATCCCATCGATGACTCCACCAATGAAGCCAACACCGAGGAAGGCCTTACCCTCATCGATGACTACGAAAACGACGAGGAAGGCCCCTCGGCCGAAACCTCGGACGACACTGTTCCCCCCACCCCCAAGAACAAAGCCACGGCCACCAACGACGGCGAGATGTCGACCCTAGACCGCAAATGCCACCGTCGCTGCCGCCGCCACAGGGACTGCTGCCACACGGACATCTGCTACTCTGGCGTGTGCCTGGGACCAGGCAAATCGCCTTAGACAACTCGTCCATACCATCATCATCACCACCATCCCAAATCGTTGTTATCGTTCGCGCCACTGCTCTTGAACCCGGGGGGGGGGGGTTCTTATATTGCCCTCAGGTCAATAACAACAGCCCTTCAACGCAGCGGGCAACGCAGCAACACATTGGGATTCGCTTACGCACATATCGGAAATGACTATTGGATTCTGTACTATTGCTTTACTTTCTATCTGTCTTCCTTCATACCTTCACCATCCAGATCGTTGACGGCGTCAAGCGCCACTGCTTTGAAGGCGGGGGGTTCTTATATCGCTTTCGGGCTGATAACAACACCGCTTCAACGCAGTGGGCGACGCTGGCAACTATACGGTCAACAGGAAATGAATGGATATCTTGGGTCCCGTACTTCGCTTTGTGTCTTTTTGTGTTTCTTGCCCCAGTGAAAGGCTCTACCTTTGTGTTTATCTTCGTCTTCCTCGTCTGCTGTCTTCTTGTTGGTACCGTGCGCCACTGCTCTTGAAGACGGGGGGTTCTTATATCGCCTTCGGGATGATAACAACACCGCTTCAGACGCAGTGGGCATTGCAATGCTAGCGTGATAGCTTGGCGGGGGGATGTTACGTCGATGTAACATGGGTCTTGAACATTGGATTTGTACTCAGCTTTCACTTCTTGCCATATGTGAATCTTTCCCTGCGATGGGGCAGTCGTCAGGTGATTTGACTGTTTATTTAGACCGTACGTAGAGAACACCATTTATCAGGCTCGTAGTGAGGGTTGTATCGCTTAGTGTCCCTTCTTTGTAACCTACCTGGCTTGGGGGTTCTTTGGCAAGCGCTGGGAAAAGGTGATCTGGAGATGATGAACGGTTGCGGGGGGGTAGATTCAGTTGCGTATATAGGTATTACCGACATGTATCCGTGAATAGAGAACACGAGTAGACTGCTCTTAGGCATGACAGTGCAGTGGAGGTAATTTACCTGACTCGTACACCTCGCCAGTTTATGCTCTTACACCCGTGCGACAAAAGGGTAAAATACTCCAGTCTTGATTAGTATATATTATACGTACAGTGTAGGTAGGGTAAGAAGAATTGGGGAACGCCGAGAAAACGATGAAGAGGCAGACGAAACGGTCTATTTGATCCTGTAGTGGAGTGTGGAGTGCGTGCTGGGTAGAGGCAGAGAGGCGAGGTGGATGTAGAAGTGGATTAAGTTGCAACACCTTTTCGAACAAAGATGAGCAGAGGTGACCGCTATTGCCCAAGTGGAGCGTTGTCTTGATAAGTCAACGAAGATGATAGAACACTAGACGCCAGATAGATGGACAATAACGATAGGGTGGGAAAGAAGATTAGTGCAGAGGCGGGTTAGGGGAAGAGAGAAAAACACGAGCGCAGTGGGCAGTGTCGCACTGATGGGTATCATGAGAGAGCAAGTGAAACTGAGCCAGTGTCTCGTTTCCAACAAGAAGAGAAGGAGGTGTAGATTGGGCGGGAGGAGGGAGCGATGTGACGCAAAGGATAGGAAAGCATCGAGCAGACAGGGTTTCCAACTCAGTCGCCTCCAGAATATCCTGAAAGGTGATCCTGGAACGCCAGTATAAACAAGATCGTAACGGGAGAAGGCGACGATAAGCTGTATGTCACAGGGCCGAGTGTTTCGAATCGCAGCGCAATATTTGCAGAGATAGGTTGGGGGTGGCACGAGAATCGTCGAGGCAAAATGGGATTGGTAGCATTTCAGGGCTGGAATCTCAACCGGAAATGTCGCCCTCTCCCTTCTTCCCGAACTTTGTATAGAAACCGAGCAATTGCCTCCTGCTCTGCGAGACCAGCACTATTGAAGTGTTTGCGGACCGACAGGGCAAGTTGGTTCTTGCTCACTCGGTCTTGACCAATGATGTGATGGAGAGCGCTCTTCCCGTTGATTGCGCTTGGTGCTTGCTTCTGGGTCTGCCGGTCTTTGTGCTTCGCGCCGATGCCATTGGGGGCCGAAGAGGGATTGCCGTGCAGAGCTTTTTTCGGGGCAGCGGGGGCGGCGGTAGATGTATTAGTGGTGCTGGTAGTAGGTTGGGAGGTGCCATTTGTCATTTGATTTTGACTTTGAAGGTGAGCGCGCTGGGCGGCGATTGATGTCGGGGATCGCAGGCCAATGCCTCTGGAGAGAAGGAGGTGGGAGTATTCGCTGGTGAAGGCACTGGGGGAGGAAAGTTTGTAGGCATGTCGGTACGAATGGAGGAGGTCAAGGGGCATCTCGTTCCAGGGGATCTGCATGTAAGAAGGAAATATCAGTCTCCGTATCATCTAAACTATACGGTAGAAGCGAAAGCTTTCGAATGGGATAGTGAGCGAGTAGTGGAGAGTAAACGCAGGCGTACCTTTGGCACATCTAAAACGTTTCCCCCAGCGGGGGCACTGGTGACATTCGCAAGGTTCCCAGAGGCTTTGGCTTCTCGACTGGTGACAGATGATGCCAGAGACCCATTGGCACCTTTGCGAGACTTCGCACCTGTGGTTTTGTGTTCTCTAGTAGTACTGGAGCCCTCCGATCTCGAGTCGTCCTGGACGGCTGCCGTCCGTTGCCGCGGGGGAGCCATGAGGCACGAGGACAGAGATTTGAGCGATAAGTGAGGTGGGTTATGAGAAATTGAGATAAGCGCAACCCCAGGGAGCAAGCAAGCAGAAATCTGTCATTCGAGCACTACTGTTGGCTTGATTTGACTGCGAACAAAAGACAGGCTGCATTGTTCAAGAACATGTTTGATTGAACTTTTGCTTCGGCCGACGAAGAGCGGCCAGACGCGGCAGAATACTTAGAGCGCGACATCATCGCGGCCGCATTGGGTAATGTTGCCGAATCTCTTGATGTGAGGAGGTAGGTGGGAGGGTTGGAATGTGCAAAGATGCTTTTCTGGTTGGCGGCCACATTTATACACCGCGGACTGCTGCGGGAGCGTCATAGGTGTAGCTTTGTAGAATTCCTGGATACCATGCTTTTCTGCTCAAATGTCGGCCACAGACTACTGGTAATATAGTTGGCCGATAACGGCGTTGAGTCCAGACTCGTAGAATAGCTACCTATGCGCTGATCGATGTCGTAATCAACAATCTTTGAAGCTGGCTATAGATACAAATAGGACCTTGACTAGCGAGACAGCATCGTCGTCAGATTGAGGCACGTGTTACATAACGACCTGCTTCAAAGACGGCTGGTGCGACACGAGCATCACGAGCACTTGTATGGTCTGGGTCAATGCTCCCAACTGAACTCAGGGAGTCACATTGTTCCTGCATGCTTAGTGTGCTGGTGCATTGGTTGAGTGTATACATGTGTACTACTTGTTCGGCTGAACCTCCGAGTATATATTCCGGGACCCGGGTGAGTATACACCGGGCGACGCGAAGCCTACTAAGATCATCAACCACAGTCAACCTCTACAGATTCGACAGTAGCCATCGAGACATAAACCAACAAGACCAGTTTCAATAAGCTCGCAATTTTCAGCCCACATTAGATAACACCATGACCGCAATTCCCTCTCATCGACCTCCCTTTCTACATACCTCGGCTCTCATAAACCCGCACCGCGAACCCCAACCCACTCAACCATCTATAGACCCATAGGGGGTATAGTCCAAAGACCACCCGATCAGACTAGAGCCAATGCTAGAGGACCACCAAGAAACATAGACCACTGTCTCTCTGGGAATCTGGAGAATCTCAGAATCCCAATGCGGGGAACGCTGCTGCTATCGGCCGGCCAAAAGCAAATCTGCCTAGTTACATGCACTCCACGTTTGTTTACTTCTTCCCCACCCTAGCGCAGCACCTGACTATATTCGCGATAAGCAAATCCACAGTTTCGCAAGAGGAAAGCCTCAATTAAGACTTAGAGCCCCAGAGAACCAAGAAAGCACCAACAAAGTCCCAATTATCATGTGAACACAACATCCGAGGAGGGGAAGGGGGGGGGGGGGGGGTTTGGTTGTCGGCAAATCTCCGTAATGACAAACCCCCCACACGGAAAATGCCCCCTCCATCTCAGGCGGAACAAAAATCACCCGTGGAATCTCTCCGCATGGAGTAATCTTTAACACTCCAAAGGTGGTGCAACCCCGGTCACGTGTGACGAGCACAAAATGCTTATCTCAGCTGTCAAACGGGGGTTTGTCTTAATCTACTTGAGATCACTGGGTATGATTGGTGGTCTGGAGAAGGAGAAAGGATTATTTCCACCAATTGTGGTGCGACTATATAGTTCATTCGTCTGTAGGCTACCTGAGCAATCTATATCTCTGGCCTGAGAAAGGGGCGGGGGGGATTGTAGATGAGACAATATGAGGGGTTACAAACCGAGATTGAAAATCGGGTGCATGTTGCGAAACTCAGCTGACATCGCTTATAACCAAGATGGGAAAGAGAAAAGTGAGCGTGAGAATGAGGCGGGGGATGTGTTGTGTGCCCTGGAAAATGATTCATCGGCAAGATATGAAAATTTTTTATGCGTGCTCACCGCTACAGTGTAATTCTGACTGCAACCATACCCGTTGCCCCAAAGACAACAATCCATAGCCGAACAGAGGGTGCGTGGCAGACGATAGGTTACAAACCAAAAACTTGAAAGATTGGGTAGAAAGAAAAATTTTTCACTCCTTTCCGGTTACTGTTTCGAGCCTGTACTACCCCAATCCCCTAGCGATCCCCAGTTTTGGATAATGGATATGTGACTACTATCGAACTACGGAGTGTCAAAGTGAGTCCAAGGTACCCAATAAAGCTCCTGGAATGGTAGCAGTCGCATCAAAATTGGCCGAGGTGGAAATTGCCGAGGGGTTCAAGTTCATCTTGGTCTTAAACTGCCCTGGCCTGACCTGGCCACCAGCACATCACGACATGATAAGAATAGTTACATAATTTCCCGGAAGAGTAAGGCAGTCAAGCCACAGCATAGCGAGGCAGCAAGTCAGCCAACCGGGATACCTTCTTCCGAGGAATAGCTGGAAAAGACTCCCCAGATACCGCCCAGTGAGGGCGGCTCAGACCACCACGGGACTCGGGATAGATTCGGCAGAGAGAAGAGCCAGGGTAGAACGAACTCGGGTCGGACATCCCGATAAAAGACGAGGGAAGAGAAAAATTGCCTCAGACCGAGAGCCTAGCCTAGCCTAGCCTAGCCTGGTGAAAAGGCCGCGCGCGAGCGAAAGAGAGGGGGAAAAGTCAAACCACGGCCACCGGTAGAGGGGGAGGGGAAAGTCCCGGGGAGGGAAGAAACCAACCAAGGCCAGAACGGGCCCTAAAGGGCCCTAACGACGATGGCTGCTTCACCGGAAAACCCCTTTGAGGACGCGAGCCCGTGGCCTCAACTCACCCTGGAGACTGGAGAGGGAAGAGGGGAAGGGAAAAGTCGGGTTAGGTAAGAATTTTTTCTCCGCAATCCAACTTTCTTTGCTCAGTTGCCCGCCCCGTTTAGACTCGCCAGCCTCTCCCCCAGGAAAAGAAAAAAAATAGTTCAAGGGGAGAGAGGAAAAAGGCCGGAATTCTTCCGAAATCATCCGATACCTCCCACACTTTTTACAGCACACAACCCAGTCTTCTCACACACCGTCTCATTCTTGCGGTTGCAGAAAATTTTCTCTTCAGTCGGAGAAAAATTTTCTCCCTTCTGTCTTCTCGTCGTCTCTTCCCAAACGGGGAGGTTTCTCGTGGAGATTCTCTACCCTGGATCGTTTCTAGTGGATGGATTGTTCGGGACTTCGATGATGACAAGATCTTAAGTTTTGATCCGCCGGGCTTAAATTTTTCTATTTCTCCTCTGCTAAATATTGCATCCCGTCAAATCACAGCATGTGGAAGACAGTACCCCGGCCCCCGGCCCGGTACAACAAACACTCACACACATTGGAACCCACATTGCCCTCCCACATTCATCCACATACAGCCTAGATTGATAGTGATGCTGATGGTGATAAATGATGAAGTCGACAATTACGTATCTACCACCAAAAGCAAGACAATAGAATAAAAAAAACTCTAGAGCAGAAATAGCAACGAGTCAGTGCCTACCAACCATTGACGTGGCAAGCTGAAAACTTCCAGTATACAACAATCAGCCAAGCACTGTATGTTCCTAGACTAGACATCTCGATAGTCTACGTGGACTGACCATTGTAGAAACTATCTACCGACCAACGAGTCACAATGCCTCCAGAGACGGGAGATTGTCATCTAGAAACGCGGCAGTGCGCCGCCACTAAGGCAGGCCCATGTTTCCCTTATTGTCGAAAGTTCGAACCTCCTGGATTTAGCTGCAAATCATTCTCACTGCCATGACGCAATTCCCGGCCATCTTCCGTGGGCGTAGTGGCCCACCCCCCTCTCTCTTTGCCTGCCTCGCCTATTATCGGTCGGCTCGGCGTTGTGCTGGTCCCTTTTTTTTTTTTTTTTGTCTGGTTATTTTCTGCCTCCAAGCTAAACTTGATTTGGGCGAGAGATGAAAGTGCTGTAGCCCAGCCAGCCCCAGCTCTTACGTGGAGGGCAACACTGGGGCAACCTGGCAGACTGGCACATACGAATAGTATCCATGATTGGGGGAAAAGGTTCGGTGAATCTCTCTCTCTTTCAGGCTGTCTCTCGTATGGGGTAAAACTTTCTCCTTTGGGAAATTATTGTTCTTGTATACGAATGCGCCGTACAGTAGATAGGTAGGTATCAACGAGCTTTCCCGCTTTTCTTGTATACGTTCTCTTTTGTCATAAGGTCAGGTAAAATCAATGCTAAATTATCGCCATTTGCAACCCGATCCAAAATTCCCAACACTCAGTTTCTGTGGGAGTCGAAGTACGCACTACTGGCGGTCTGCAAACAAGAGAAGCAGAGAGGCGCACAACGGACGGAAGATCGGATTCCACCTGCAGCTAAAGGGTTGTACACTTGTACTGTCCGTAGTAACGTACACGGATCAACAGTGCCCAACTTTTCTCCGCCCACCCCTCCTCCGCAGAGTCCTTCCTGCACTATCTACAAACTGTACAGTCTCAGACAGGGAGGCGGTCCGATTCAACAGGTAAGTACCTAGGTAATTATGTACACAAGCAGGAACATAACTGGTTGAAACCCATCACACACACACACCTATTGTAGACTAGACCCGGGATTCCGGAGGGGTTTTGGCTGAGATTGAAAGATAGCTCCCTTGGAGCTATGACTAGGTCGGAGCAGACGGGGGGAAAGGGGTAAAGTACTTAGTCTTACAGTAGGGTCAGAGGGGGAGGACGGGGCGGATGGAGGGAGGAGGGGCTTTCTGGGAGATGAAAGAGGGGCAGAAGCCTAGCTAGCATGTGCCTCTGGCCATCTCGACCGAGTGAGTAGAACTATAGTCGGTGGGATGGATTGCGAACGATAGCATGATTTCCGTAGACCAACATCCAGGGAGTAGAAGTCAGAGAGGAGAAGAGCTTTAGTGTAGGAGATGAAGGAGAAAAACAAGGCCGATGCCTGGACAACATCGTGCGTGGGTGCGAGGTGAAGAAAATGGCACGACAAGGACCTTATCTCGTTTGCTGCCCTCCCTTAAGCTTCGCTCACAGTACACTAGTACCTCACTAAGGCAGGTAGACAGCACACTACCAACCCTTAGTCTGCCTGTGGTGAGGAATTGGACGAGACCTGACCACGTCCGACCCCCTCGCCCAGTCGATCGTCCTGAACTAGACTGCACAGTAGTTATGAAGAGTAGCTAGCCAAGGGTCCACCCACTGGTGACCAAGTCTTACTTATATAATTATAGATACGGGGTAAAGTGATTCAGGCACCCAGGTACGAGTACCTTGACCTAGATCCAGTCAGGTACAGGGGGTGTAGTTGCAAGATACTTACTTAATGGTATAATGAAGTGACATCTAAATTGGCCCCCCTAGCTTCATCCGAGCCCTTCCGCCCCTTTCGAGCGACGTGTCATCGCGCAAAATGGTGGCCGTTTTTCTCTCGTGCCCTGCGCCTCTTTTCTCCAGATGTCCCCAGATGCGACCGACACTGCTGATTACCAACCGGGCAAGACTAACTATGGAGTGCAATGCATATACGTTGTGGGGGGTTTTTTGCCCCCCTATTGACCGACTTCCCCCCAAAATCTTGAAAGAAGAAGTCAATGGTGTGACTGGAGGGTCAGAGAGTGAGGTATTCTGGGTTGACCAGAGGAGAAACCTCGGGGATACCGTTTCCAGCCGAAAGTTGGTATTTGTGATACAGGTTGTAGGCAAAGAATAATGATGCGACAGTGAGGAAAGGACCTCTGGGGGTTGAATAGACTGGGTGTGCCCCTTCCAGATCGCCCGTGACCCGCCCCAGGCTGCGCTCTTCCTGTCTTTGTTAGGGAGAAGGCTTTGAAGCTGAATTTAGCATGATATCTGATGCCTGATAAGAGGAACCCTGACGAGTTGACCAATGAGTGAGGCCAACCCGCCAATCCCACACATTTCCAACCAGACTGCCTAAGCCTCTGACGGGGGATACAGTACCTGCCTGCCTCACTCAGCTCTGCCTGCGTGTCTGCCTCCGGGCAGTACAGCAGGTACGTACTGCGTCCGTACTAATATGATTGCGTCCGGGTTCCGGAAGCGCGGCCCCGCATAACCTGGGGGCAGCGGCTGTGACGCCTGTGTATCGACGACATCACCGTGATACCGTTGCTCCACCATGATTGGGCAAGGTGCTCCGTTCCAGAAGCATGTGGAGCTTCGGATCGCGCCTTGCGGAGGGCTTGGAAGTGCGTGTCCGTAGCCGGATTTCGGGACGTGGCGTTTAAACTCGACCGCAATCGGTCACGACCATACCCGGGCGGCTGTAAGATTACATACCAGGCGTGCCGGTGTGTCTGTGTGTGTGTGTGTGTGTCTGAGGGTAGAATCTGACCGCAGGCAACCCTCTCACAGTCCCCTTGTTGCATCGGATGGGCCTGCTGTTAAGTTCAACTGATAAGAATCTCTTGCTCATTACTGGTAGATGGACATGAGCGGTGCTGATTTCTTTCGCATTGCCCAGAATTGTGCCTTGTATGGCAATCCTGATAGGTCAATCTTTCCGTAATATGTACCTCTATACGGAGATTCTCTGGAGATTCCCCAGGTTTCATCCCCGCATGTTGCTGCCAAGCGGTTAGGGTCGCCTTCGGACAGGATCGACCAGAAGATAGCAGCGCACAGGGAAGACTTCGACGCAATTCTCTTGCGTAAAAAGTAAACGTCTTCTCACGAGTGCAGCGAGCGCATCCCGATAATCGGCTGACCTGTTGCCCCCTTGAGAATGGATCATGGATATCATAACGCAATACCAAGACTGAAACCCGACAGCGCCCCTCCCCTGGCTCTCACTTGGCCTCTCTTGCAAGGCTGAGTAATCCGTCTCGGCAAGACTTCCACAGTTGGCAGGACACTCGGATGTATCGTTCGCACTTCCCCGGGTTGACGAAATCAGGCTGTTCCGGCCATAACGGTAACATGATTGCCTCTGGCACGTCATATCTGATTTCTATTCAATGAATCCTGACGCAATGAAATGATTGGCTCGGGCTGGATAAAGGAGCTTCCCTGTTCGTTGTGGCAAATCAGACTAACTTATCGCGATAGTCCGTGTGACAGTATTTTCAGCCATTGCAGAGCCGAAGGGCAAGACAAGAGTATCACACACTAATACCAATACATCATATTGATAATGGATTGATCTACAATGGGTTGCGCTTGAGAGCTGGCCGTGGTTGGATCTCAGCTGTCGTTGATGGTAGCACGGAGTTCCACATGTGAAACACCTACCGCAAGGCAGAAACCAAGGAGGACTGTACAGCGCGAGAGTCTCGAACCGTCTGCTTCTGGGAGTCAATGCGTTCTGCATTTTGTCTTGCTCTGCAGCCAATGCGGATTGTCATCTTCTAGGTAAATATACCTCCTAGTCGGATTTGCTCTCCTATCCTAGCGATCATGGGCCATGGGGCGGGTGTTACCGCATTCTAGTGCTGTAAATGAGCAAGCAACACATCAGAGATAGATAAAAAGAATTGAATGCAGCTCGCTTATTTGACATGCTCTAGTCAACGAGGAGGCAAGATTGTTTTATTTATCGTATGAAACTGAGATAAGAATGTGCGTGTGCGTGTATGTTGGCTGATTGTCAGACACCAGACACAATTATCATTTACCCCATACTGAAAGGATCAGGCAACACGAAAAGCGAGTGACATCGCGGCTAGTCAAGGGAGTCCATGGCTGCCGGCGCCATGTACGAAATGCTTATCGATTGGCCTGAAGTGAGCATCCGGCTGTGTAACAATTATCTGTACTTGACTCATGATTACCTCGTTCTCTCTGATCTGATTAGTGCGAAATTGGGGGTCTTGCCGCCGTTTCCTTTGACTTTGATATTGCTTAGTGGTTGGCGAGATGTTTCCAAGTATACTTCTTCCATGGGCACAAATGATAAAATTCCCTGTGTACTTGCATAGATCCAAAGCCGGAGTTGCTGATAACAAAAGAGATTGTGATTTAGGCAAGCCTAAAGCCCTAAGGCCGAGTAAAGTGACAGTCCTCGACGCATGAACAGTCTCGACTAAGCATGGTAGTGATCGTCAACTTCATGGGATTACTGCACAGTGTCCACGTCCCTTGGCTGCCCTGATAAAGCGATTGCCGCCGATAGTCACCGTAGCGATTGCCTGACAACGGCTAAGTCGGTTAGCGCCACGCCTACTCTCGCCTGTTCGCGCTGCAGCAGAAACGAGGCGTGCTTCTGCATACTTGCACCCAGGTATCTGGCCAAGGTTTACCTGCAACTAAGTGACAATTGTTCTGCGCTAGAACGCATCCACTATTGACCTCCTCGATTCAATGCAACATTCGGGCCTTCAAGCAGCTACTAAATAGAGGAATGACCTTTTCCGGATAGAGCACCTCCCGAATGCGACTCGTGTAGATCATGTCCCGCGATGATCGCGGGGAAGATCTTCCGTCATTGGGGATGTGCAAGTGGAGGGCTCGGTGCCGGGCGCAACAAGATCATGGGGTCTTTCGAAAAAAATAGAAAATGGGCCTGGAGATCTATGGGAACGTCACTGCTCGCCAATTCAATAGTGCCTATACCTCATCATCGCAGGTTGAGAGGAGTAGCAGCATCTGTCGTATTAGTCGCATGCCGGCTTGTGAAGTAATACGTACGGCCTGGCACTTTGTTGTCATCATGACAGATATGGCGCCTCGCTGGCTGTTCGGCAAAATGTGGAATTATTTATTAGCAAGATGGCGACAAAGACGGACAATATGAGGTGTTGAATAGCTGTCGACTGTGTGCTTGCGTAGACTAGTATGTAGGTATGTAGGTTAAGCAGTCCTGCCTCTGGCCTGGCCGAGGAGTTACGTAGCCCTGGTGCCGTACCTGCGTAGTACCCTCAGCATCCAGTCCTACTCCCCCATTTGTTCCACCAACCCAGGCTGGAGCCTGGAGAATCATCGATAGGTGTGGGGTTTCGCTTTCGACTCACGAGCCTGAAGCCTGAGCGCGCATACATGGTACCGTTCTTCTGGCCGGCAAAGCGCCGGCAATCGGCCCGGCATCAGCCATCGCAGCTATGAGAAGCATTCATTCAGCTGAGAATTTGCAGCTGGTACCGCCGGCTCTTTCTGTTCCAATCCCCTATCTCATCCTTCCCAAATCTGGACGTTGAGTTGGAACAAAGCAGGTTTTTTTTTCCCATACCAGATAAGGACGAGCAGATGATCAAGTTTCTAGGCTTTTCACATTTGCAGCCCTGTGACCCCGTGTTTCACACCCTAGACACCTCTGTATAGTACGGAGTTTTGTACTTTTGTCTGTCTTATCTCACGGATCTTTTTAGTGATTCGCACTACCCTTGTCCGAATGATAATTTTTCCGGGGTCGCCATTCTTTCCTCTCTAGGCGGATAAACCTTCTGGTCCTGGGGGTGGATTCCAGATCATCGACCAAGACGGCCGACTTTATCCTATCAGAGCTGGGGGAACCGCCACGATATGAACCGCGGGAGGTTTTCTCCGTCGGCTCTACCGAACCCCCTGGCCCCTACCCTTGCCCTTCTTCTATCTTGCGATCCCTGAGATTTAGTGTTGAAGGTCAAATCGGCTTTGAGAATCTAGGTATGTACTAAACTATACTGGGTCTGGACCTCCTGGTGCCTGCTCAAAGAGACAAATACACACTGTGCATCGGTTAGTTATCATTGAGATGATAACGAACGGAAAGACGTTATCGGGGACACGTTCCCAACGACAATGTGACTGTGATATCTGTTCTAGTAGACCAAGTTGGGGTTGCACCCTCATTATCCTTCCCCCTCTCCCCGGACCCCTCGGGGTTGGGACTATCTACGATCTACAGAACTGCCCAGACGGCTTGATGCATGGATGTGTTCCGATTTCCCGGATATTCATCCTAATTACGAATCGTGTTGTTCTTTTTTTTTTTTTTTTTTTTTTTTTTTTTTTTTTTTAATAATTGATCTATTTTTTCCTGCCTTCGCCCTGAGCATATTCCCTTTTGACCTTTGGTTTCTTTGCGTGCCTTATCGCGACTCACACTCATGAAAATACTCACATTCCTTTCTTAGAAATGCTAGCTCCCATCAGGGCCATTGACCCTTACTTACCAGCCAATATTCGGACAAGTTAGCCACAATCACTTCGAGAAGCATGCTGATAAGATCGATTATTATCCAGTGACATGTGAATACCTCTGCTGCATTACCACGCCATATTGAGAAGCAAAAGACGTTAAGTGGCTCGTGGGTTGTCTAATGGCTGGCTAGAGTTGCCGAAAACCCGTATCTTACTTTCTCCCGGATGACGCCCGCCTGGTCTAGGTAAGATCTCCTCTCCAGGTTGCGATTATTTCATTCAGTCGCTTAACACTTAAGATCAAATCATGCGACAATCAGACGATATCATTAGTCAAGCCTGATGGTGGCGGACTCGTAACCCTCTCAGCAAGCAGTGCTCCCGCACGGGGGTTTCCCTTGTCGGAAGTCCTCCCCCCTCAGCTTCGCCCGTCCGGGGAAATTCACTCCGGTCACGGCGGGCAGAGCTTCAGAAATTAGCAGTGGTCTGGGACCTGAGGAATTGATTGCGGAGTTGATTTTCCGGACTTGATTCTAGTTTGCGTTGGATCACCAAGTAGTCGCCTTCGGCCCCCTCCTGGCGACTCCTACCAGGGGGGTCATCTACCTCCCCCTGTTAATATCATCACCGGAAAGCTCCTGTAGACGCCGTGGCACTGATGAAACGATGCAGGGCTTCCCACCAATGCAGTGGGAATAGTAAGCACTAGCCCAGGGGGCAGGGGGGTTCCGGTTGTGAGAAGATTCGATTCCGGCTACATGGGGGAGCGCGCGCATCACAGACGGTTGATCGCACCTGGGAAGCTTGATAGTCGGTTAAATAGAGCCAGAAGACCGCGCCCATCCCCATCTCGGTATCACATCTGATGAGCGATTGCAGGGCGATTGCAATTGCATTTCTTGTCGACCCCGTATGCCCGCCGACCACATGATTTAGCGCATATCTTCTCGGCGCAAATCCCACGTAGCCATCCCATCATCATGCCTGCCAGCCCCAGCCTGCCCGCCTAGTCTAGGCGCCTTGAGCACCAAGAGATCCAAGATAACGGAGAATAGCCTACCCCATACTTCTGCCGTACTCGGGTCAAATTATCACCGTACTAATACTTAGAGGTAGCTGAGGTGAGCCGGCCGTCCCGAATACCCGTATAACTTACTGTGCGTCTAATCTGACTCACGGGGGAGGGAAGGCTGATGATGAGCCATGGTTGATGTCTGATGCAATGCTTTCTTTTTTTTTCTTCCCCCACAATCCCGACGGACGGCCGTCGTCGCCCATTTACCCGCATGGCATGTCATCCCGGCTCTTTTTCGTTGCCCTCCTCCAGTTCGCCCTGTGGCTGTTGTCGCCAACAAACTCAACAGCAGCCTCATCAACCGCTTTGCACACGCCCCCCTCTTCCACACCCCCTGCCTTACCTTACCGCTGATGATGTATTGGACCTGGACCCATCGTATGACTTTTTTTGACTCCGCGTACCGCTCTGCCCTACCTAGCCCTTTCGACATGATCACCGCTTCCGTCACGGACAGATGTCATTGGGAAACTCTCATTCGACCCCCAACACCGTCTTGTCTGCTTGGCTTATGAACTTATCTCAGATTCCCTTGTCGCCGACCCTCGCCTGAATGTCGGTCGATCAGCTGGGTCTGGACTGGGCGGTTCTGAAGATCTTGTCGAAACAAATCTTCTTCTACTTCATGTATTGTATTTCCCCGGCTATGCCCCGGACTAGTAGTTTGGGGAAAGGGTTTGCCCAAAAACCTAAAACCACAAAGCAATCCAAAAAAAGATTATTCCTGTCAATGGACAAATCATAACCCTTCAAGGTCTTCTTCCCCCAAGGAAAAAAGAATTCTGGATGATCCCCCCTTCCCGGCGCCAATCACCTCATCTTTTCATCATCGACTCTCGTCACTACAGGATGGCATCATCTGGAGCAGGAGGAGGACCCTTTGGGGGAGGGTGAAGGATGGGGGGTGGAGGGGCGAGGGGGGGGGGAATGGGGGAGGGGAGGTTTGTTGATTGGGGTTATTCTACCTTTCTCAACCCCCCCATCTGACCGTATCACGCAGAGCCGGTTGAGTCCAACACTGACATCCTAACCTAGAGTCTATTCCAGGTGGTGGGCGATAGGGAAGGAGAGGAGAAAAGGGGGG